TGTAGAACTGCTTGAAGAGGTGGTTCCAGGACCGTGGTTGCCTCTACGGTTGTGTGGTCGTGGTACTGCTTGAGGTGGAACTCTTTGTAGTAGAACTGCTTGAAGAGGTGGTTCCAGGACCGTTGTTGCCTCTACCTTGGGTGGTGGTGGAAGTGCTTGAAGAGGTGGTTCCAGGACCGTTGTTGCCTCTACCTTGTGTGGTGGTGGATGTGCTTGAAGAGGTGGTTGAAGTGGTTGATGGTTTAGTTGGAAAGGCATACTGTGCAGCTAATGGTTGAACGGCAAGATATGTGGAGGATGAAGTGATAGCTGCTACATATGTATCAAGGGTATCTATAGACAATGTATCAGCAACGGATGTGGCAACCACAAGTGGAGCTGCAGATGAAGTATCAAGAATAGATGGAGCTGCAGATGAAGTATCAGCTATAGGTGAAGCTGCAGATGATGAAACAACAATGATTGTATCCGAAGATGAAGTATCAGCTATAGGTGGAGCTGCAGAGGAAGTATCAGGAATAGGTGGAGCTGCAGATGAAGTATCAACTATAGGTGGAGCTGCAGATGATGAAACCACAATGATTGTATCCGAAGATGAAGTATCAGGAATAGGTGGAGCTGCAGATGATGTAGGAATGATAATTGAAGTCGAGTCAGCTGGAGGGGGAGCTACTTCAGAAGAGGGGGCAGCTGTAACTTCCGAGGAAGATTCAACTGGAGCGGGAACAACTTCAGAAGAGATGACAGCTTGACTTTCACTAGTTGAGGAAGTGGTAGGAGCACTAGAGGCAACAACAATGGAAGATGCAGCAACATCAGCAGAGGGTTCTGTTGAAGAAAGAGCAACTTCTGATGGGGTAAAGATTGGAACATCAGAAGAAGATGCAACAGATGAAAGAACAACTTCAGTGGAGGAAGTAGCCTGAGTTGGCACAATTTCGGTGGAGGAGGTGGGAAATGATGTTGGAACAACGTCGGATGATTCGACAGAAACAACAATGGGTGAGGTAGAAGCAGAATCTTCGTTACCATGACCATTGTCCTCTGGATTACCATTGCCAAAAGGGGTAGAAGATACACTGGTATCATCATCCTTGTTATCTCCACCAGGAGATATAGGCAAGGCTAGAGCCGACGTGGTTAGATAACACCACGTTAGAATAAGCTTTGATATCAACATTTTTCCTAACTATACTTCAATGAACTTCAAGAAAAAAAGGTTGAATGATCGGTGTTTTTTCAAATTTTATTCTTTTCAAGGAAAGGGAAGAATAATTTGAATTTATAAATGAAAATAAATTCTGGAAAATTCGTACTTGAACAATCTTCTATATTCCTTAAAGATGAAAGGCGGACAAAAGTATCAGGGATAAGCTAAGTTTTTGCATCCTGTATTAACGTGGCTTTAGGATTCAAAAATAATAAAGTATTTTTTTGCAAAAATATTTGGATTGAACAAGTATCCTTGAAGGAGTATGTGAAAAAATAAAATGGACAGCTAAACCATTATTTGGTAAACCAAAGCGGGAATTACTTCAGCAATTAGGAGAAAAAGCACGTCTATTTCTCTAAGTTAAAAGATCCCAGATTAACCAGCATGGAAGAAGCAAATAATTGATACGCATACCTTACTAATGATTCCACGATCCCAACAGAATTACTGTTGAGAATAGCTGGATGTGAATTTGGATAAACGCGTTGGAATAATAATTTCTCTCTATTGTTGGAATTAATGATCAATCAATCACACCCTGCCGCCTCATCCCTTAAAACCATGATCGTAACACTTAGCGCCTGTTCCAACTCTGTCATCAACATATTCCTTTGTATTATTGTTTAATTTAGAGGGGTGTGTTTTCAGTATATTCCGTCGATTATTTTTTTTTTGTTTTGATCTGGATGTTGCCAAAAAAAAAGTCACTTGTATTTTTTTGGCTCTACACGACCTGGAAATTTTTTGACGTTTTCCAGCCACACAAGGTTGAAGTAAATTTCTTAAAAACTAGCGAGTTTCTTCTGTAGTGCCAAAGTTTAATTCTGTAATTATAGAATGAGCACTCCTACACCTGTCATGTGAAAGTAGCTTTGTAGATTTATAGAGGGAAACATTGATTCTGTTAGAAGAGGTACCGTATTTCGATCGAAAATCAAATTTTGTCGTGTGTTCACACTTAGGTTTCCTTTTTTCCCTTGTTCGTAAATGTAATAAAAAAATATTTTTTGAAGATATTTTTTTTGATTGCAAAAAAAGGATAAAGTACTTGCATTGCAAAAAATAATAGTTATATATTTTTTGTTGTATCTGCCTCACATACGAAAGTTCTTAATATAGGTTTGCTGGTGAGTTTAATACCAAAATTGACACATGCTTTATATGTGATTAACTCAACCTATAGTGAAAATTTGCAGTAAGAGCTTTTACCTTGACTCGCAAATCAATTCTAAAGTTGATTGCACAATGCAGGACCAAGACAAATACATAGTTTGAGATCCCAAAATTAATTAAATTGGGATAAACCTGCAGATAGATGAATTCGATCGTATTCCAAGGCGGGTCGTTACTCATACCACAGCTTATCTAGATACAATACTTTGTGGGGTATGGATTACACGTTTTAGTGTTGAAAATATTTTGGAATTGAACCAGATATCATCTTCTAAGTACATGGCTTTCTATAACAATAAATGTCATGAAAAAATAAAGAACGCCTTTGGGGGGTGTTCTTGTATACTTTTTTTTGTGTTTAAGGCAACTTGTTCTCCTCAAGAGTAACAGGGAACAGGGAAATTGTTACGCAAAAGAGTCTAATAAGAGACTAGGTTAGCCATTATTAATCTTTCAAATATGTTTTAAGATTTTTACAGAACATGTAAGATGATTATTTTATAACATCTGTTCATTTTCTCTTCTTGGTGGTATGGCCCAGAAATGCGTTAATTCTTAACAAAAATATGCACCACAAGTCTGGAAAAGTTCAAATGGTACGACCATCATCGAATTTGTTATTACCACATCTCTCGATGAAAATGAAAGGGGTATCTGGTGTTTTCTAGTACATTCAAATTCCCAAAGATTCCAATACTTCCACCCTTATTAGCCACAATACTTGAATCTAGATCTTTCCCATTTTATTTTTTTAGCCAATCCATCATATTTTTTCATGTTGTTTAACTTTCGATCAAGCCACGTCAACGAGTATGAAGCTGGTATAATTACGAACTCTTAATTGGAATCTTGATCACTGCTTTGATAATATAGGAGGTACAGAAAAAGAAACGTCCTGACCACATCTGATTATTTGAAAACAAAAAAATATAGCTTTTTTTTTATTTTTTTATTTTCTGGTACATTAACAATGGGTTGCCCATATTAGAAAAAAAATATTAATCACAATAAACATTTTGATCTGGGGACGACCCTTTTATTAAGTAAGGGTTAAAAAAAATATTAGGGTTCCCACCCTTATGCCACCCTTGAGGGGCAAATTTGATCAGTTAGATGTAAATGTTTACGATATAGACCTGTTTGTGGGATACAATATAGTGCTATGAAAGTTTATATTAGTGGTCGATAAGTTTCACTTGTTTAAATTAGTATATTTAGATTTTCGCTATTAGCTTGTTCCAAGCAGAATTAGTTCCTTCGTTGTAATTGTCTTTAAAATTAGATTTTCGGTTTTAACTATTGAAAAGTAAATTAACAATGCCAAGCAAAAATATTTTTTACTATTGTATAAACCAATAATCCCACTTTGTTTTTTCTTCGCACTGTCAAACTTTCATTTACGAACAAATGTGTTGTCCACGGTGTTATCATCAATAAATGTTCACACGACATTTAAAATTGAACATATGTATATATATATATATATACATAATCATAACAACTTTTTTCTATGACAATAATGCTGGAACTACATAAAGTCCCATTTATGTAATGTTTTCAGTAAAGAGTTTAGAAAAGGGATTGGGTTTACGATGATCCAAGCTTTTCAACGTAAAGTTAATACGGATGTTGTTTGATCTCCTCCCTTATTTGACCCCGCTAATCGGCTTGATGAAATCCCGTCAACTTTATCTACGAAAGGGATAGTTTTCGCGTCCAGACAAAATTTTTTTTACTTTTGCCCGAATTTGCGTCTTTTTAATTATTATTTATGAGGATGACTGGGTAGAGGTTCTAGATAGGAAATTTTTCTATCTTTCATAGTATTTGCGGGGAGTACTGTATAAAAAAAATTTTTTTTTTTGCTGAAAAATTATGAGTGAGGAGATAGAAGTACTCAAGGGTTCTATTTTTAATTGTTCGTAATTGGTTTCTTTGTGTTCTTAGAACATGAGCATTTTTATGCGGATCGTATTTTTTAACACAAATTCAATTACGAAGATCCTTGTTCTCAATTGGGAATTTTCTTTTTTTCTTTTGGGTACCGGATTCTTTTTTTCATCCCCGTTCTTGTGGAGTGCATTAAAATATTTTAATGGGATAGCCACAGCAACAATTATAGGGCGGACAACAATTAAATCACTACAGGGTGAAAAATATGTATTATTAATGCAACTTTAGGGGTTAAACTGATTAGCTGGAAGTTTCCTGCAGACTAGACATCGTGGTAACTCCTATTTGAAACTAAAAGCCATCTCTTATAGTTGCCAGATTTTAACAAGCCTCTCCATTATCTATATTTTTTCTTTCATTTGTGCTGGAAGAGAAATGTACAAGGTGTTTTTTTCGTAAATGGTTTTAAGGGAGGAATTATTTTTATTTAGGGGCCATTTTTTTGATCAACCTCAAATCCCTCTCTTGTGAAAAGACAGCTGAAGTAAAAGGACTTAAAACTTCGCTATGTTCTGCACATTGTAATAAACTCTTTAACAGTCTATCAAATCATTTCTTCTTCTATCACCTTCGTTGCTTCTAGGGTACACAATATACGAAATGCCTACTAAGTGAGTCGTATTGCCTCTATTGGTCTATTTAATTCAAATTTACAACTGAATCTAGATCTTTACTGTGTCATTCCAATAAGATCTATTATGGACTTTTTAGAAGGGTAACTGGTTGAGAGAAATGGAATTATTGTCAACTACAAGCGGTCTACAGAAGCCATACACTTTCCAGAACTCCATTATAATCAAAGAAAGATTACTTGAAGGAAATAATTGCTCAGCTCCAAACACCTAATCTTTACAAATACGTTAGACCTATTCCTAAAGGCAGTTGCATACTGATGACTATTCTTACACTCTAACGAAGAATATATTCTTTAAATGGCGTTGGTTGCTTCCAGTGGGGTTTCAAACATTACAGTAAAATCCCACCACCTACACTTTGATCAGTATGAGAAACCCTTAGTGCTTCAAAAGGTCAGAAGGAGAGGATGTTTTATGAGAGTATATTCTGATTATATAGAATAGTTTAAGAGGACAGGAGAGACTGACTAGTGGGGCATATTACCTTGTAAGTGTTACCTTATACTGTAGGCAAGAGGCGCCATGTGGCCAAGTTATTGTTGTCAATATATATAAAAATCCCGTCAAACCTCTTATTTTTATTGCATAATGGGTTTCCTTTACTTTAAATGGCTAATATAATCATATGATAATATGGTTTGTATGCAAATTCAAACAAAGATTTAAATCGTGTAAGACAAGTCTTCTTTTCCGTAAATTTTGAGAAAATCCTAGCAAATATCTACCTCCACCCACCTTCCAAAAAAAAAAAAATTTGCGAAATTAAAATTGTCATACACTCTAAGTCGATATCTATATTCAAATATACATTAAAATTTACTTTTAATAGGCAATTCTTGATAATCTCTGTCAAAGTTCTTATCAGTAATGTCTATAATATAATTAACATTCAACTCATCAGTAATTAAGTAATGATCTTTAGATTTGCCAATAATTTGATGCAAAAATTCATTCAAGATCTTCAAATCTCTCATATTACTGATTTGAACAAATGCTTTAGTCTTGGCTTTATTCTTGAAAATTCGAATTAATTTCAAATTATCAAGATAAAACAAATCACTTAATAAATATTGCTTGTTAAATGATTCTACTGAAGCGACTTTACCTCGGGATTTCTTAATTATATATTTCAATAATCCCTTGGTATCAGGATATTTCAAATCATTATCATCAAGAATCAACTTACCATTCCCATTTTGAAGCTTCTTATTCCTGGCATAATTATTGGCTAAGTCATTGGTCATATTGACAATGTTTGAAATTAACACATCATAAGATTCCAAAAACGGTTGGGCTAAATTGGCAAACAACTGCATGTATAGATAATCAACAATTTGGTAGGTATTGTCATATTCATCCTTAGTTATCACATTGCAATTAACCATGTCATTCAAGATAAAAGTTGGTCCTGTTCTTGGATTTTCATCATAATCAAACAAGAATTCATTTTTTAAAAACCCAGTAACAATATAAAATAATTTCCCAATAAGTCGCTGTGATGTGTTCTTTCCGTCTAATAGCAACAATATAAACAGCACAAGACAACGCTGTATAATTAAATGGATGGATAAATTCTTGTAATATAATAATTCAATGGGTGATTCAATTTTAATCACATCTAACTTGTCGTTGACTTTTATAAATCGGAAAAATGATACAATTTGATGCTTAATAAGACTGGTTAATTCTTTATCTGATAGAGCAATAACACCTTGCAAAATTTGCGAGTTTGTTTTGGAGTTTTCACTTTCTGCAAGTAATGTTTGACCAACTAATCTTAATACTGGTATGAGGTCTCGAATAGGGAAAGTTGGACTTGGTTTAATATAATGAAATGCTTGAAGAGCACAACCCACTAAGGCAACTTCGGGCAAGAAACTATTTCTATTAACTTCATGAAGTATTTTAAACCCAAGTTTTTTTAAATTTACGGAATCAAAATCCTTTTCAGCAAGTAGAGCCTTTGGATTATTCAATTTGACACTAAATTCGACATCATCTTGTGTGATATAATGTGACATGGTGAAACTTGTACCTAATTTAACAAATATTTTTCCGGTTAACGATCTATTGGAATTATCATTGAATCCATGTTCATCAATAACAATTTGATCCTTGTTTTTACTTACAAATGCACCACCAGCAATCGAGAGAATATTTAACAAACTTTCTTGTTTTTTATCCTCACCTATTAACTCCTTTAAATATCCATCATTTTCATAAACCCGCTCATAAGTGACTGCAACTGGTTGCATTAATAAATCAAATCCAGAATTCTTTTCCAATTGAGTTTGTTTCAAATAGATATGAACAAGAGATTTCAAAATTCCATACTTTGGTAATAAAAGCTTCCCATCTCTAGATCTGGTGCCTTCAACAAACACTTCAAAGTTAATTTTATTTACCAATAAAAATTCAATAACGTTATTCAAATTTCTTTCGGTGTATGCTTCATTATTAAATGACCGAGGAATGAAAATTGCTCCCAATTTCTTCAATAATTCCCCTACTATAGCCACATTTAAGTTTTCACCTGCAATTACTGCAGGAATTGCCATCTGAAATCGAATACATACTAAATGTATTATAATATAATCCAAATGCGATTGGTGTGAAGGTAAAAAGACAATTGACATGGGGTTTTCAAGATATCTGGCATACAAATCTGACATATCTTGGTTTGACAACCAAATACCTTCAGGGAATAACTTTTGCATTATTGTCATCACGGTCACATAAGCAGTTCTAATAAAGTCACGCGAACTGAAAGTAGGTAAATTTTTCTTATTTTGAGCTTTATAGTAGTCAACCATAAAAGCTTTAACTTCTTGAAACCTTGATTTGAATTGGGATGCTTTGATTAATTTCATATTCAACTCTTTAGTAACTAATTCATAGACTATTTCATCAAGTTTCACATCACTTTTTTCTAATTTGTCATTCATATAATCGATAAATTTCTGCTTAAATTGTTGTGAAGATCTATTTGTGAAACATGATTCATTGTTCTTGTAAATATCATCATATGACTGTCCACCAGTAAACAACCTAAAGGTATGGTGTAACAAGTTAAAGGATCGGGATAAACTAGCAGCATTTGCTTCTTTGTCTATGGGTAAAGGAAACTTCAAGTCTATTGACGGATTAATCAAAGCATCTTGCAAGATATTAACATCAAAATCAGAATTAGAAAGATCTGTCATAGTATCCTAATTGCTGGGGAATAAAAGAGTGGGAAGAAAAGTAGCAAATGCTGTTGCAAAAGAAGTAGAGCAAAAAATGTGCGGTATTTATTTACAGATCTTTTGCGTGTGTGGGTGTCTATTGTTGTTCTCCATATTCTCCAGCCCAACAAAAAATTTTTTTTTCATCACATATGAACACTATAAGACCACCTGTAATTTAGTGCGTTGTGCAGAGAACATACGCAGGGTACGATAGAAAACTCATCTAATTATGAGATGTTCCAAGTACAAACCTCGGTTTAGAAAAGTAATAACTTTGTCGACATTAAGCGATTCTACATGAACAGTGGTACCATGGTAAGGGCTACTTCTTTTTTTTTTTTTTCACTTCAAAGTTTATTAGCCTATCGGTAATAGTTGGAAATTTCCCAATCAGGAAAGTCTTTCGATGAAACGAAAAATGTGGGGGGACCAGGGAACATATCTCATGCTTACTGGTGGAACAATGCCCAACATTTCTGAGGGGATCGCTTATTTGTCGTTACATCATGGAAAATCTTATCGGTGATATTCCACGGTTTATCCAATGTGAATTATGAGCTTAGTTCAGCTATTTAGGAGTAATTTAATTTCATATGATTCGATTTTAAATAGTAATGCCTCTTTGGATATAAATTTCTTTAAATGATATATTCCACTATCTCTGGTTAGTATCTCCACATGATATAAGACCATGATGTTTCTTTGCATATATTGCTATTGTTCATATGCTGATTAACAATGCAAAAAAGTTTGGTGTCTCCACCCCCCACTCCGTGAAAGCAAAATAATTTAGGTAACATTGCTTTTCCTTTATCGACCTAGCAATGGTATTATGAAAGGAATCACAATCGCTTTCTTCTTGTATAGAAACTGCCTCTTGTAGAATATGTCACTTCTTGTCACCAAATAACTCCATTAGTGTTAGTTCCAATTATAGCAATTTCTGGTTGCCAGTATACACTCAATCAAGGTTGTCACTCAGTCTAATGCTAAGCAAATGGTCAAGTTTGATATTGTAAGGTATTAACTAGCATACAGGATTAACTATAAATAGGTGAAGTTTCCATCAACGTTTCTCATCATATCAAACGTTTCATTCGTATTTAATAAAACTTACAGTATATAAGAAAAGGATAAATGCTTATTTGCATGACTTATCTCAAACGCCGCATTCAGCTATTTTTAACCTAATATAATAGCTATGATGTAATGAACATTCAAGATATAATACAAAATGTCATTACTGCATTAAAAGTTTTCTTAGCCAATTCCATCAACTGATTAAATTTTAGTATGATTTGCTTTCAAATGCAACCATGTAATATTTTGTGGTTATTTGGCTCAGATAAAAATGTTTATTATTTTCTTGGCTCGTTCGGAAGAATTTACGAACATTGTAACAATCCATAATATTCGGATTAATTTATCGTAATCATTAGATTGACGTTTAGGGGGTTTAGCTTCTATACTTCTATAACATTTTTCCAAATACTTGAATCATAGCGTTCTACTTTAAGTGTGTTCTTTTTTTTTTTTACCCCCCCATTGTGAATCTATCAAATATTGAATTCTTTCAGCTTGCAAAATATCTAATGGATACAAGGGAACATTGGAATTTCTATAATTACGTATTGAGGTAAAAAAAATGCAATGTGAAGCACAAGGTCACTCATCCAGATCTGACCTTCTAGAAATCGTACCACAAATAGCAGCAGAAAAACGTTATCATGCATTTCTTTTTTATTATTTATGCGCCCCAAACTATTTCTATCACGCCAAGTCGTAATTCTTTTTTTTAGCACCTTATTCTGGGCAAGGCATGCAGGAGAAAATATGACCAGAGTACCCGAAACGCCGAATATTGTTAAAAATATCTAGTAAGTGCTCTAAAAACAATGACCAATGAGGCAGTTCATCCAAGCAAGTATAAATAATTGCTAAGGTGACCTAGTTCTGTTCTGAATTTTTATTCTCATCACAACAGAAGATAATAACTTTACATAGTTCCCTCAAAAGATTTTAACAATGCGCTATACTTATTTACTTGCCTTAGGCTTGATTACCGGTGTTTTCAGTGCACCCGTTCCCAAAAATGATAAACCAATATGTTTCAAAGATTCCTCTGGAGTTGTACGTTGCTTAGGTGACTTGGACTCTGCTACTCCAGCCTGTTTCAAAGACACCGAAGGTAATGAACGTTGCTTAGGTGCTTTGGATCCACCAAACCCACTTTGTTTCAAAGGTGATGATGGCCATTTATACTGCTTGGGTGATTTGGCCAAACGTGAAAATAAAGAAATCTGTTTCAAAGATACCGAAGGTAATGAACGTTGCTTAGGAGTTTTGGACCAAGGTGCAAATGACAAAGATGAAGATGACAAAATTTGCTTCCCTAGTCACCTAGGCCCAACACTTTGTCACTAACTCGTTGATCAGGAATCATAGAGCCAGATTTAGTTTACAGAAAAGAATTTAATTTAGAATAAAAAAAATTGATTTGTTTATATAGAGTGTTTATTAAACATTAAATGAGATTATACTATGATTTGTAAACATTCGCACGATTGTTCGGCTTATACAGGTAGCTCCCCCAGAGTACAAATTATTCAAATACTTACACTATATCTAATAAAAGTAATCTTTTCCAAGGATTCAATTTCCGAAGGTAACTCAATAGTCACAAGTTAGTTAATTGGTATTGTTTGTTTGTTGACTACCTGTAGTTCTGTTAACTGCCTACAAAAGTTTCATCAATAGCAACTTTCTGCAAAACTTTACCCTCCCCCCACCTCCCCTACTTATCGTTTAAAAGAGATCCAAAAAGTGATACGTGATCGCGATATCATTCTGACTGAAAAAATCTTGTTGGTGTTTTTTTATCTCAAAAATATAGTTTTATGAGTATACTTTCATTGTAAATTATTGATTCAATTAAGTAGTGGTGAGAATAAACCCAGTTTTGAATCTGGTATGATATGTACAGGGACCGTTTACAATTTGCAAGACACATGCACACTTAGGTAGGTAAAGTCGGAGGTAACCGGTTAAATGCTCTATAGAACAAATTTCAGGATTTGATTGATTAGAGTTTACACCTTAGTTTTGAATTTCTTATCTTCTCTGTTCTTTCAGTTTATCGCAGACATCAAAAACTTACCTCCTCAAAGACTGTAGCATGTGTCATACTAATATCCAGTTGCGTGATGTCACCATCATAGACAAAGAGCAACATACTTGTACGTAATATGTATTAGATCTTAGTACAAGGATTACGAATTATAGTTTTATTATCGTGGTTATAATACTAGCGAGATCTGGCGAATGCAGCGTGACCAATATAATTCGCTTATTGTAAGAGTGCATGTGGTGTGCACAAAGGGTTATTAACAAATCTACGTTGTGACATTGCACGAGTTGTCGTTGCAACCAGAGTGGCGGTCAGAAACTCCTGCACTGAGAAGGAAAACTCAAAGGCCAACCATTGTTATTAGATCTACATGCAACTTTGCACGTGATGATTACTTTGGATTTTTTTTCATAGGCTATAAAACGTTGAGGTTAATTAGTTAATTTAAAAAAAATCAGAACAATCGATTTGATAATATCACGTGCCCTGTCATAACTGATTTTTCGGGATTTGAAATTTCTTTTTTCGTTCCTTTTTCTTAGGATGCAATATACGATTATATAAAATCTTGACCAGAACATTTTTTTTTTGGTTGTCTGCCTTGTTGCAAGCTTCTATTTTGATAAACAAATACAGATATGGCACCTCACGCATTGGCTGAAACACCCGCTGTTTCTAGTCTTGACTCCAGTGTCAACGAATTAGACATTAGCAGCACCGCTATTATCAAAGCCAACCCTTTTGGTACTGCAGTTGATCCAAACCTTATCAAAGGTGCAGTCTACACTTCTGCTTCTACGATTATTAACCAAGCAGTTTATTCTATTGCTTCCAAGATTTTCAGCTACGAAACCGTTGGTGCTGACAATTTGATTGATTCTCACATTCAATTATGGAGCCAAACTTATCAACGTGGAAACTCGTTTGGTATTGTTCCTTTCTTCCACAAACTTCAAGTTAGATCTGGTGCTTCAAACGCCATCTTAGGGTATTTCAAGAAGAATGGCACTAATGGCCAACCTTTATCTGTTTTTGTTGGCGGTAACGGTTTGAACTATATGAGAAGTTCTTTGGCCGGCCAACTCAATGACAGTTTACCATTGAGTTTGAACGTTTCTGCTATTGATTTCGTTGAGGATTCCTTAGTTTCAAACTATGGTTCTTCTTTAAGCGTTGCCCGTGATTTAGGATTCCCAGTATTCACTCCAGTTGATTCCAAAGACGGTTTAGAATTACAACATTTGGCCGTTTTGAACCATACTTTTGCCTCATTTGTTGGTAAGCCTTCTTTATTTTTGTTTGATGGTCCGGATTTTGTTAAATCTTTTACCAGATATTCTAATTTATTATCAGTTGAAAAGTTGGGTCATTTGTACCAAGGTTTATTGAATGATTTGTCATCAGTCGTCCCAACTAGCGTTGACAATGCTATCGACTTGGCTTTCAATGCTTTGAACAACCTTACCGGAAAGTCTTATGCTCCATTTGAATACGTTGGTAGTGCCAATCCTGAAACTGTTTTTATTATTTATGGTTCCCACGAATCTACTCAAGTCTCTGACTTGATCAAACGTAGTGGTGACAAGATTGGTTTAGTAAAGGTTAGAGTTCCATTGCCATTCAACCATGGTAAATTCTTAGCCACCATTCCTAGCTCCACCAAGAAATTAGTTGTTTTAAGTCCAGACAATGTCTCCTTAAAGGCCGATATCACTGCTGCTTTATTCTTGAATGGTAGATACTTTGGTATCACCATAGACGAATTTGTTTACTCACTTGACTTTACTTGGACCCCAATTACCATTGCCAAAATCTTGTCTGAATTTGTTCCAAACTTGAATGTGGATAAATTATTGTTGTCTACAGCTAAGAACTCAGTTGAAGCTTTAACTGCCAATTCTTCTCCTGAAGGTCAATTTGTATTCTGGGGTAAGGACAATGGTATTATTACAACTACTGCTGATAAGTTAGCTTTATCATTGTCATTAGATAACTCCAAGGCTGTTGATATTCGTAACAGGTACGACAATTCCCAGGCCGGTGGTGTTTTCCAATCTCAAATTATTGTTACCAGTGAAGGTTCAACTGTTGGCGATGGTGCTGATGTTGTTATCATTGAGGACTTAGCACTTTTAGACAACTACGATATCTTAGCCACTGTTAAACCAGGTGCTAAGGTGTTGTACATTAACAATAAGAAGATTGCTTCTCTCGAAGAAGATGTTGTTGCTAAATTACCTTTGGAGTTCAAGAAGACTTTAGCTTCTAATCAAAATGAGTTAATTTTGGTTGATTTCTCTATTATTGATACCTTAGATGAATTAAACAATTCCATCAAGGGTTTATCTGGTGAATTCTTGCTTCAATTAGCTTTCTGGAGAGCTTCATTACCCGAATTGAAGGGTTTCATTGTTAACAAGTTGTTACAAGCTAACGGTAACTCTTTTGAATTATTAGCTACTGTTTTGGATAACTTTATCAACATTGTTGACGATAATCAAGGTATCAAGGAAATTGTTGTTGATTCTAAATGGAGTGAATTAGTCGAAGAAGATCCAGAAGAAAAGGAAGAGCAACAGGAAGAAGAAGAAGAAGAAGAAGAAGTTAAACAATTACCATTCTTTGTTAAAGAAACTTCCTTATTCCCTAACCCCAGAACTTCGACTGAAACTGCTGAAGAAATCAACACTAATGCCCACACTAGTCTTGCTCAAAAGATCGCTTTCCCTGAAGCTTACAATGTTTCTCAAGAATTGAGACCAGACTTACCAATGAAGAACTTTGTAGTTAAGGTGCAAGAAAATAAGAGATTGACTCCAACTGAATATCTGAGAAACATCTTCCATATCGAATTTGATATTACCGGTACAGGCTTAACTTATGATATTGGTGAAGCTTTAGGTATTCATGGTAGAAACAACAGTGAAGCTGTTGAAGAATTCTTGCAATTCTATGGTGTTGATGGAGATTTGCTTGTTGAAATCTCTAATGGGGCTGAATTGCAAATTAGATCAGCTAGACAAGTCTTGTCTGAAATGGTTGATTTCTTGGGTAAGCCACCAAAGAGATTCTACGAATCTTTAGCTGAATATGCCACTGATGAAACTGAAAAGACAGCAATCGCCAAGTTAGCTACTGGTGGCGAAGAATTGAAGCAAAGACAAGAGGTTTCATTTGATACTTACTTTGATATCTTGCAAGAATTCAAATCTGCTAAACCAGCTTTCCAAGATTTGATCAAGATCATTTCTCCATTGAAGAGAAGGGAATATTCTATTGCTTCTTCCCAAAAGATCCACGAAAACGCTATTCATTTGTTGATTGTTGTTGTTGATTGGGTTGACTCCAAGGGTAGATTAAGATATGGTCACTGTTCCAAGTACTTGTCTGATTTGAAGATCGGTGACGAATTAGTTGTCAGCGTTAAACCTTCGGTTATGAAGTTACCACCATTATCCACCCAACCAATTGTTATGTCTGGTTTAGGTACTGGTTTAGCTCCATTCAAGGCCTTCATTGAAGAAAAAATCTGGCAAAAGAACCAAGGTATGGAAATTGGCGAAATCTACTTGTACTTGGGTTCTAGACACAAGAAGGAAGAATATCTTTATGGTGAACTTTGGGAAGCTTATAAGGATGCTGGTGTTTTAACCCACATTGGTGCTGCCTTCTCTAGAGATCAACCACAAAAGATTTATATCCAAGATAAAATTAGAGACACTATTGAAGAATTAACTGATGCTATTGTCACCAAGAATGGTTCTTTCTACTTGTGTGGTCCTACTTGGCCCGTTCCTGATATCACCCAATGTTTGGAAGACATTGTTGCCAATGGTGCTAAAAAACAAGGTGTTGAAATTAAAGATGTTGCTAAAGTTGTTGAAGATATGAAGGAAGAAGGCCGTTACATCTTAGAAGTTTATTAGATTTAGATAGTTATATAGTTATTGAAACAATTAACTATTATTTAACAACTAGATGCATACAGTAGAGGATTCCCACCTCCTTATCAGGATCAATTATGCGTTTTGCAACCTATCAGATTGGTAGCGTTTGTTATTTTTTTTATTTTTCCTTCTTGTTCTTACCAGCTAAATTCCTCGGGTCTCTTTCTTGCAACCACATGCTAATAAGACTTTGTAAATACTTAATTAAACAATTTACTAGGATTATCATTATTTTGGTATTACCATTACTGGATTTTGTTGAGAAAAGTGCTTTGAATATCAACTAAGTTGATACAGAAAGCTAATAGGGCGTTTCTCACCACTTTACAGATTTCAATTTCGGCAACATTAGAATTAGTTGCCAATCCATTTGGTATTAATAAAGTATACCTGGATATTGTAAACAAAAAAAGACTGAACTGGATGCCAACAAGACCAGAATGTATAACGTATTGGATATTATTTTGATTCTGAGTGTTCAATTTGATGAGAGCGTGTTCAAAATGATTAGAGATGCAATTGAGGATTTGATCAAACACATGGGGAGTCAGAAGTGACATTAAACTGCTAAATAATGAATAATTTAAGGTAAAAGACAAATAAGTTCGAAACCGAGCTATTGGAATACAGGTAGAAAACTTCCCTTACTATAAAAGTGTTTAAAGATATCCCCTTTGAGTTATAAATTATTAACAAAACTAAAGAGTTATTTTTTTTCAACTAGCAAAACAACACGAGGGAAGTTTGTTTGTTGCATGGAGAAATTCAACACAGTATCAAAACGATTAAGGAAGACATTGTCAATCTTTTGACAATGTTAAAAGATTACAAAAGAAGAGAAAGACAAAGAGCACGGGTCTGAAGATTGAGTAAAAATAATCCTGTCAAAAAGTGATATGTGAAGAGGGTCGAAAGAATGCTAAGCAGTGAATGCAAAGAGATTTCTACATCATATGAATATGTTAAGGATATTTATCCCTGTAGTTGAAAATCTATTAATTGAAGCAAGAAAACTGTATAATGCAAAAGAAGATCCAATTATTTAACCAGTATTATAATACAAAGATGATTAATATTATGGATGTATATGAAGAACTAGAAAGTCACATTTAGAGATCAATGAACTCAATAAATTACGAAATAGCTATATCAAAGGATTTACTAGTCAACAGACCAAGAAATTAATGAGATAAATTACTTTTTTTTCATTTTTTCAACTTAGAATTGAATTGTTCCATTCAATAAGCTAGTAATCTACAATTTGTTTGCAAGATTTTTCATCTAGCTCCAATTCAAATGAAGCATTATTAGAATTTAAATCTAGAGAGTATCAAGGTATATAAATTTATAAATCTCTCTATTAGCATAACACCCCATTTAACAATTCTGTCAAGAGTGAAAAGTTTGGCTTGAACCAGGTCTCAAATAAGAAGCTTCAATCTATGTAAGTAATGGGTCATAATATCACTAATTATAATTCAACACGGAGGTCTACTAAGTGCCTCAAATGTAGTATAACGGACCCGAGCTATCCGAAGAGAATAAATTATCATATATTCTTGAAAATGATATACCCACCCCCTCCTGCAATATAACGATGATGAGCTGACGCATATCTTTTTGAAAATGGACGTGACATTGAGATTCTGCCCCCTCCCTCATGTTATTAATGTACACAACAGATAGATTCATCCGAAAAAGGTGGTACCTAGCTAGGGTCTAATATATACATGATAAACTTTGTGGGGTCTAGCTCCTGCGTATTGCGTATAAGAATATGAACCCATCAATGGTATGACAAATCAATCTCGTTCCATCAATATCATCTAATTCAGTCACATTGTTTGCTTTTGATCTAGTGACCATAGAAAGGGCATCACCCATACGTACACATTGGTTCAAGGGTAATGGGGTTGATTTACTAATATCTAACGATCCAACTAGTTCCAAGTCGCTAGTAAATACGTAGACGAGGTTTATTGAAATGGTAGCATAATAGGATAAAGTTTTCTCTAATAAAGTTAATGTAGATTCGGGTAGTGAGGGAGATAATATTTCCATTATTTGCAGTCAAAATAATGTGGGGGAGGAGAGCAGTAATTGGCAACTGACACCTATGACATAATTAAATTATGTACTTGTCATTCAAAAAAAAAAATTAAGCTTTCGGAAACTAGCAAATGCTAAAAAAAGAAAAAAAACGTGATTTTGTTTTGGGAGGTTGTTTGCTATTTTATCATTTGCCGTTGGGATTCAGTCATAAGCTTCTAACTATAGCAACAGCAGTTGCAAAGTGAGACACTGCAAGTGGTGAGTATTACTATACTACAATTTAAAACGTACGACAAAAAAATGGTATGTTATGTGTTCCCCCCCACCTTTACATCTCCACTGTGCGCGCCTCCTCGCATGAGACTTTTAGTGACACGTCGGAACGTTAGGGCGGTGGGGTATGGAAAAGCAATTGTATAACGGATACGTCCTCGGGTAAAAATAAAAAAATATGAGACAAACCAAACTTGAAACATTTAACTATTTTTGAACAAAAAGTAATGATGCTAAAAACTTGGGTTAGTCATACATGACAACAGACACATATCACACAAACACTACACAACCCTTTGTTTTTCTTTTTTTTTTTTCTTGCTAGTTGTTTTTTTTTTTCTTAGTGTTTGGTCATACAAAATCTCGCCACGCCCCCGCAAACTGGTGCGTGTATATTTTTATTTATTAGGCAGATAAGGTGGAAGCCGACACAATTTAAAATGCAAGCAATTTTGCTCAAAAAGCTTGCGTAATTTTTTTTATATTTTAAATCTGATTTTTTTTTTTTTTCATAATTTTCAAACTCGAACGCCCTAACACCCTCCCACACCACACAAATTAAAATAATCACAACATTTTTTTTTTACCACACTTGTACAAACATGACAAGTAATATTAGACAACATCCTATATCATTTGCTAGTATATTAAATAGTAATCCCCCTACCCCGCCTCCACAGTCACCACTCAATTATATAAAACCAGAAGAATCCCCTCAGAAGTTATCACCACCTTCAGTAAATTTGCCCCCACATTTTATGAGTCACCTGGCTTCAGTACCACCATTTACAAAACAACAGCAACAACAACACCAAACAATGGACCATCAATTCACTCCTCCTTCGTCCTCGTTATCTTCACCACCGCTTCCACCTTTGAAACATTCCCCGCCTTCTAAATCCAAGAAGATCCTTCTTTCCACGTCGTCACCTGAAGGAATTCAAGTTGCCAGCAAAATCACTCCTACAAGGTTAGCCAACTTACTTATACGTAAGGGGCCTCTTCCTATAAGACATATAACGTCGCAGTTGGCGTTGGAAGTTCCTTCGTTTGATTTATTGTCGTTATCAAAACAGCGACGGTTGATTATGGCAGCTATGGAACAAACAGATTTAGTTAACAATGTTGTTTTTGAAAAGATAGGCTGGGGACAATGGGCAGTTAGAAAGGTTGATTCAGATTATATTGTAACTGAAGGAACCGAGGCTGGTAATTATACCCATCCAACAGAAGATACCGATCGGAAAATGATTAACGTGAATGACTTGAGAAACCAAACCAATTTGAAATTAGGCTGGCTGAAGAAGAAGAAGAAGAAACAGTCAACTAAACCGGACCCTAGAAGAGAATCAATTACCAATCACACGAGAAATTTACATGATTTAAAAATACCCACTGAACCACTAGATTCAAATGCTATTGAGTCGGACTCAGAAGACGAATATGCTTTATCAGACCATATAGACGAAGATTTGTCAAGTGAAGAAGAAGAAGAGGAAGAGGAAGAAGAAGACGAAGATGTTTTTACATTTGAAGATGAATCTACCACAACCACAAACAAATTTAAACCTTCCCCTCCAATAAAATTTGCTAAACGAGTACCAATAAAGTTCAGTCCTCCACCTGATGGTACCTCGTCGTCGTCCCGACGTAAATCAAGTTCCTCGCAGCCCTCTACATCAGCAGCAATTTCCAAACCAACGTACCGACACCAAATATTCCCAAGATCAAGGCTAAGCTCATTAGAAAATCTTGATAATTACATTGTATCTTCCGCTAAGAATTCCACAGTTCTGATTAATTCTCCACCAACTGCAGCTGCGCCTATTCCTGCCATTTCATTCAGTTATTCTGGATCAAACTCGGTGTTAAGTGCATCACCGGCAAACTCGTGGACCAGTGGTGGACCTAGTCCCAGCGGGAATTATATACACCACCAGTCGATGGATACAATCAGTCCCGAACGAGGCAATGGGAGCACCGCTACCAATCGAAGAAAATCTTCGTTTAATGAGAGTCATGTGAGATCCACGTTGATTAATCAGAAACCGGCACAGCATCTGGCTGTTCCCTCGCTGAAATTAGCCCATGATGAAGCCAATGCCAGTGATACAGATGAAGAAGATTGGGCTGCAATTGGACCACAATCTTTACGAGAAGAACATAAAAAAAGACATGCGTCGAATGTTAAAGGGGAAGATGAAGTTAATGAAGAAGACAAGAGCGCTGCTTTTGCTTTGGTTCATCTTATGTCGGTATAAAAATCAGGTTTTCTATTTCTTTTTCTTTTTAATTCTTTTACTTATTTTAGTTTTGTAGTTTTAATAATAAAATTAATAATCTGTCTGATATGAAATCGAGATCGTGTACTTGTCTCAAAGGGGGTTGCACATAGTTACCAGCCCATTTCCTAATTAGGAAAAATAATTAAAAAAAAAACACGCGAAACGCGCGTATCCACAAAAGTTAAAATTGACTCTTCATTTTTTGACACTTCAAAAATTCTCAGGTTTTTTTTTGTTTTTTTACAACCACAGCTTTCCCCCTTATTACTCTTCTTCTTTCAGTTGATCAATCAATCAGGTAAACCATGTCAGCTACTACTACTACGGTGTTACCGGCTATTCAATTGAAGGTCAATTATTCCGACATTAAAACCATAGCTAAGGATTTCCTTACTCAGTTCAAATCAGCGAGTATAGACGAGGATGAAATTCATAGTAGTAAATACATGAACATTCTTCAATCAGTGGCTAATCGTGAAACCACAACCATTTACATTGAGTTGGATGATTTGAAATCATTCCTTTCTTATTATGATCCAGCTTCTACTCAAACTTATCAAGAAAGTAAGTCCTTGTTACCTACCATTCTTAACAATACTTACAGATTTATTGAATTGTTTAGTGAAATTATTGATGAAATCATGCCTGAACCTACCAAGGATATCAGCTACAAAGACGATGTTTTAGATGTGATTTTACATCAAAGAAAGTTGAGAAACATTAGATTACAGCAAGAATCAAACGACGAGTTTAATAACTTGCGTGAAGGTTTGAATACTCAAGTAGACGAAAATATTCAAAATCCCGACGCTAACACTAACACATTCCCGGCCAAGCTTACCAGGAGATATTGTCTTTACTTTAAACCTTTATCCACTAACGTAAGCAAGGCGCTTTCAGTAAGGCAAGTCAAGGGGAAGTACGTTGGTCATTATATCACCGTTAGAGGTATAATCACCAGAGTTACCGATGTCAAGCCAACCGTTTTGGTCAATGCATACACCTGTGACAAGTGTGGGTATGAAATCTTCCAAGAAGTCAATTCCAAGCTGTTTACTCCTTTGAGCCAGTGTACCAGTCCTTCCTGTTCGCAAGATAACACCAAAGGTCAATTATTTATGAGTACCAGAGCATCTAAATTTTCTAGTTTCCAAGAGGTTAAGATCCAGGAATTGTCTAATCAAGTTCCAGTTGGTCATATTCCAAGACAATTATCAATTCATGTCAATGGGGATTTAGTTAGAAGTATGAATCCTGGTGATACTGTTGACGTTTCTGGTATTTTTATGCCTTCCCCATATACCGGCTTCCGTGCTTTGAAAGCGGGGTTGCTTACTGAGACTTACTTGGAAGCTCAATATGTTCACCATCACAAGAAACAATATGATGAAACTTCACTTCTGGCACAAGCAGATGCCGCCATCCAGCAATTAATGGAAGGCGGTGATGTTTACAATAAGCTTGCTAAATCCATTGCTCCTGAAATTTATGGACATTTGGATATCAAGAAGATCTTGTTACTTTTACTTTGTGGTGGTGTCACTAAGGAAATTGGTGATGGGTTAAAAATCAGAGGTGATATAAATGTTTGTCTTATGGGAGATCCCGGGGTGGCCAAATCCCAATTATTAAAGGCCATTGGTAAAATTGCCCCAAGATCGGTTTATACTACCGGTAGAGGTTCTTCGGGTGTGGGTTTAACTGCCGCCGTTATGAGAGATCCAATCACTGATGAAATGATTTTGGAAGGTGGTGCTTTGGTTCTTGCTGATAATGGTATTTGTTGTATTGATGAATTTGATAAGATGGATGAAAATGATAGAACTGCCATTCATGAAGTTATGGAACAACAAACCATTTCTATTTCCAAGGCTGGGATTACCACCACTTTAAACGCAAGAACTTCTATATTGGCCGCCGCCAATCCATTATATGGTAAATATAATAGAAAGATTTCACCCCATGAAAATATCAACTTACCAGCTGCATTACTTTCAAGATTTGATATTATGTTTTTAATTCTTGATCAACCTTCGAGAGAAAACGATGAAAGATTAGCTAGTCATGTTGCGTACGTTCATATGCATAACAAGCAACCAGAAATGGATTTCTCTCCTGTGGATTCGGCTACAATCAGACAATATATTTCCCGTGCTAGACTGTTTAGACCAGTTGTCCCACAAGAAGTTGCTGATTATGTTGTACAGCAATATATCAACATGCGTAAGGAATCACATAGAAATGAAGGCTCCATTAAAAAGTTCAGTCATATCACACCAAGAACTTTGCTTGGTATATTAAGATTGGCACAAGCTAGTGCCAGATTAAGATTCGACAATGTCGTCACCATGGAAGACGTTGATGAATCATTAAGGTTAATCCAAGTTTCCAAATCGTCGTTATATGCCGAAGATGAAACCATAAGACAAGATGAAAGTTCTACGTCCAAGATTTATCAAATTATTAGAACCATGGCCATGGGCGACGGTTCCAGATTCCAAAACACTTTACCAATGCAAGAAATCAGAGAAAGAGTCATTGCTAAGGGATTCACTATACAACAATTTGATGATTGTATAACTGAATATGATGGTGTTGGTGTCTGGCAAAGAATCGATAATGGCGAGACTTTGATGTTTACCAATGGTGATGATGAGGATGAAGAAATGGAGTATTAGCTTGTATAATTAGTATGTTTGTTTTTAATTGTATTATATGTTAGAGTCAAGATGACTGTAAGTGTGTATTCATGTAAGCATGACAACGTAAGTGTGTGTGTGTGTTGGATTTTCTAGAATTGACCAGCGTTATGGAATTGCTTTGATATTACGGGCAAAAAAATCCGAAGGGCCAACGCAAAAAAAAGAAAAAACTCCTTTGATATTTCGTTCACCCACAAAACCCCAACAAACGTAAAACCTGTAATAGTATACACCCACAATGTCCGATTATAACTCACAGACAGTTGCTCAATTGAAAGAATTACTTAAGGCTAAGGGGTTAGCTACCGACGGAAAGAAGGCCGATTTAGTGCAAAGATTAACCGAGGCAGACGAACAAGCTCCAGCAGAAGCACCACAACAACAACAACAACAACAACAACAAGCTGAAGGTGAACCGGCTGCTGATGCTCAAATTGCCCCTGAACCAACTAGTACTGCCGATGGCGAAATCACCAGTGGCGATGTCCCCGAAAACGAATCTACTCTTACTGTTATCCAACCGGTTGAAAAGGAAGAACCTAAGGTATTAACTGCTGAAGAAAGAAAGCAATTGGCAGTGGAATTGTTGACTAAAAAGATATCGCGTGCTGAAAAGTTTGGTGACGAAGCTGGTGCTGAAGCAGCAAGAAAGGATTTGGTTAGAGTAGAGAAGTTTGGAGTGGAAGCTGGAACTGCCTTGGCCAGAGAAATTGGATTGGTGGATAAAAGTTTGGGAAGTGGTCATAAAAGACACCACCACCATAAAAAGGGATTCAAAAAGGGTGGAAATAAGAAATTCAAACATCGTAAACATTAATCATTTTGTGTAGTAGTTAAATTCTGTAGTATTTCTCTGTTTGTACATTTAGTTTAGTTATTAGTTTATAGATGTAACTATATATTTCAATAACAGATCTAAGGTCTGAAAGGTTGGCTTGACTCTTCTTCATCGTCACTAATGTTAAATTCAGATACATCGGCATACTGAATAGGATCATTGGCTTGAGGATCGATAATGAGCCCATTATTATCCTTGACCCAAATGAAAAATACCGAGATAACAAGCACGAATGAATATGCCCAACTGCTCCAAACGATTCCAAGAAAAACACTTGGTTGTAATTCCAAAATTTCATAATTCCAGAATTTCATGGCTGAATTATAAACAATTTCTCGCAATTCACTGGTTGGTGTTGGTAGTACCGGTATAGAATTTTGTGCATTTTGAAGTTTTTCAACAGAGAAATATACCACCACGAATACAATCACAATTGGAAGGCCAAGAATAATCCAGATTGAAAGCCTAAATGATTTCACTACCCGCTCAGTGTAGTTAGATTCAGAACCTGTTGGGGGGAAAGAAGCAATTAGTTTTTTAGTTTTGAAATAATAAACTATGGGTGCAATACCCCAAAACAATGCAAATAGTAAAATGACCAAGTTTAACGCGCCAGCAATTAAAACTCTCATTGAAGGAGTACTCTCATTCACCTCAACTCCTCCGACAATACCATGGAAGTATTGTGTTTTAGATGATGTGACATCCAAGAACAGCAAAAGAAAAATAACAACTAAATTGGCAATGAATAACCCAAATATCCGTGAAAACTGCTTCTTTGGAAACATTCTGTACTGAGGGGATTGTCCATCATGGTAATAAATAACCCCATAACCCATTGTGAATAATAAAAATACAAACTGGGTATAAATATTGAACCAAGCGTTAACAAGTTTTGAAAAACTAAGTAGTATTGAACCCAGTGACGAAGAATTAAAATGGTTTGTAATGAAAAGGCAAAACCATTGGAATGCAGTCACGGTAACAAACGGACCCAAGATATAAAAGATGATACCCTTGGAAATAATTGATAATTGATTCATATTCTTGAAATCTTTACCTATAAGCTTCAATATATGATTGAATAAAACGGCAAATAACACTATTCCAAAGAGAACAACCCACTTCAATTGAGAATACACTTTATACTCATTGTATAACAAATTACCGTACTCATTCTTAAATTGAACAGGTACACGTATATCGGTAATGCCTTGATCATGGGGTGGAGCAATGTAAACACAATAAATACCAGATTCAGGAACCACGAAATCCACGTCAACATGTTTCTCTTCTTCCTTAATCTTATGGTCTAAAGTTATGAAATCATTCCAAACTTTCTCCTGGTCGATGTTAAACCCTTCAAACGGCTCAAGTTTGAATTTAGCATTTTTAGTATCAAGAATGTCCTTGTATAACTCTGCCTTGTTTGAAATGTATGAATCATAATACAATTCAGGAGATGGAATGTTGGTGAAATTGTAAACATAGGGAGCACGGAAGATCAATACTGGGAATCTTAAACTGTCAATTATCGATGAGTCTTTTGTATCAATAGTATCAACATATAAATGAATATGGGCCTTCATAGATTTTGATTGAACCACGGGACTACATATGACCCCATTCTTAATATCAAGGATAGTGGGGCCGCTACCAGCAGCAAGAATTGCTGCAAAGAAATAACTTAGAAGTAACAATAATTGTTGGTACATTTGATATTTGCTGGAGAAGAAATGGTGGCAACTAAATTTAGAACTTTTAATCACTGAAGTGAAATCTTTATGGGGGGCAACAACAATAGAAAAACTGAAGGGATAAAATCAGCCAAGAGTTTTTTTGCAACACGAGCCTTGTCTTTTACACGACCCACTTATATATACCAAAACAGGTTAATTCCATTTAAGGTTTGTTTGAAATTTGTAAATATATCCGATTTTAGTGCTAAAAAGTGTATCAGTTAGTCAGAAAAGCTCTTAGATTTGTGTTTCAACTGAAACTGGCTTCCTTAGACCATGTAAGTGTGCAATCCCCACTACTCAGGTGAACCAAAAAATGCCCGATTCAATTGAACAACATTTGTTTTGCTAACAATATAGGCAAGTACGTAAGTATGTTGATCTGCATTACTTAAAGTCAGCAATAGGCAAGTATGTTGTAAGTGGTTAGCAACGTACCTTGTAAGACATATGGGAACTATGCTAGCAATTTGTTGATAAGCTAAAAAAAGACCCTAATAATTGCTTATCTGTTAAACTTGCACAAAAGCCAGTTATCGTAAATGACTACTAGGATGTGCTAATAATAAGAACGAAAGCATCACTTGACTTCTGTTTTGGAGTCTCGTGCAGGCAAGCCAAACACAGATTCGCCTCCTAAGAGTTTTATTGTTTCGAATTTCATTGTTCAATTACGTAATTGTATGGCAGGAACAGACGCCACTAACCATAGAACACCAACTTAAATGTAACATGATTCACACTCACTCTCGCACGAAACCGTTAGCACTATAGTCAGCATTCATAGTCTTTTTCAGAAGCCGTTCCCTGTCGTCCTCACCCTTGAACGGCCCTAAAAATCTTACACAAAATTTGCAAGACTCAAATTTTTTTTTTTACAACCAAAAAGGCGAAATTTAAATTTCAGGGGGAGATTTAATTTTAGTTTACTCTTTTCTTCTTTAACCACTAGGCATTGAGTGTTTTGTTAGTACTATGTCTGATCAACCCTATTACGAGGCTCTTCCAGCCTCTCTCAAACCATCTAGATATCATGTCTCTGTTTTTGATATCGATATCACAAAGGAAAGTTTCAAGGGTAAGGTCACCATTGAATTGGATGTTGTTAAACCAACTCAGGAATTGCACTTGAATTACCGTGATTTGACTGTTACTAAAGAAGGAATCACTGTTCAACATGGCGAAGATGTGATTGCTATTGAATCTATAACAGAATTCAAATCGAAGGAGTACTTTTTTGTCAAGTTGGAAGAAACAGTTTCTCAAGGTAAATTGGTTGTCACTTTAGAATACGATGGTATAATCCAAACCAATATGGCTGGGTTCTATAAATCTAGTTATTTGGAAGATGGGGAAGAAAAGTTTATGTTATCTACCCAGTTCGAAGCCACAGACGCCAGAAGAGCATTTCCATGTCTTGATGAACCTTCTTTAAAGGCAACTTTCGTCGTTGATATTACTTTGAATTCCCAATGGACTTGTTTGGGAAACACCCCAGTTGCTTCCACTGAATCTGTTAGTGACGATTTACAAAAGGTAACCTTTGAAGAAACCCCAATCATGTCTACATACTTGTTGGCTTGGGCTTGTGGTGATTTCGAGTATATTGAATCTTTCACCAAGGACACTTACCACAACGATAAACCATTACCAGTCCGTATTTACACCACTAAAGGTGGATACTTGGCCGATGCTCAATTAGCCCTGGAAATCACTCCTAAGATTGTTGATTACTTTTCACAAATTTTTGAAATTAAGTATCCATTGCCAAAATTAGATTTGTTGGCAGTTCACTCATTCTCCCATAATGCTATGGAAAACTGGGGGTTGATCACTTATAGATCAACTGCTCTTTTATACTCCGAAGCCAAATCCGACCCATCATACAAACAAAAGGTTGCTTACGTTGTTGCTCACGAATTAGCCCATCAATGGTTTGGTAATTTAGTCACTATGAAATGGTGGGATGAATTGTGGCTTAATGAAGGGTTTGCTACTTGGGTAGGGTATGCTGCTGTGGATTATTTGTTCCCAGAATGGGATATTTTCAGTGGATTTGTTTCTGAATCATTGCAACAAGCTCTTAATTTGGATGGATTAAGAAATTCCCACCCTATTGAAGTTCCAGTTATCGATGCATTGGATATTGATCAAGTTTTTGATGCCATTAGTTACTTGAAGGGTGCCTCTACTATTTTGATGATTTCAAACTATTTAGGAAGAGATTTGTTCTTAAAGGGTGTTGCCAAGTACTTGAACGAAAACAAGTATAGCAATGCTACCAGTCATGATTTATGGAGTAGCATTGGTGAAGTCAGTGGCAAACCTATTGACCAATTGATGAACTCTTGGATCAAGAAAGTTGGGTTCCCAATTGTTAATGTTGATGTTCATGAAAACAGTCTAGTATTGACGCAATCTAGATTCTTAAACAGTGGAGATTTAACTACTGAAGAAAATGAAACTAAATGGTGGATTCCATTGAATTTTGTTGACGGGGGAGATATTACCATTGACTCATTTGAAAGCGAAACTTTGATAATTGATCAATTCCCATTGATTGACAAGTACTTTAAGTTAAACAAAGACACTTCTGGTGTTTATCGTGTCAATTACTCTTCAGCTATTTTGGAAAAGAATATCTTGCCATTTTTCGATAAGTTGTCTCCTCGTGATAAGGTCGGGTTGATTGCTGATTCAGCAGCTACTGCTATTTCTGGTAACAATTCTACCGCTGAATTTTTGAAGTTAGTTAGAAACATTGCTGGTAAATTGGGTAATGATTACGTTGTATGGTTGGAATTAGGTAAGAGATTGGGTGATGTTGCCACTGCATTCTCCACTAGCGAAATCAGACCAAAGGTTGATGCCTTTATAAGAGCAATCTATCAAGACAAGGCTGTTGAATTAGTAAAAGAGTTGGCTAGCTCCACTACCATCGACAGTGCTGATTTCTTAAAGGTTAAATTAAGATCAGAAATCTTGAAACACGCTGGATTATTATCTATTCCTGAAGTTGAACAATATGCACAAGTATTATTTGAAAGTTGGCTTAAAGATCCAAGCACATTGCATCCTTCATTACGTTCATTTGTATTTACTACTGTTGCTGCTTCTGCTAAATTTACCAATGCGCAATTCCAATCTATTTTGAAGGAAGTTACTCATCCTTCTTCATTGGATTCTAGAGAAATTTCCCTTCGTGCCTTGGGTCACATCACTAATGTTGAACTTCTTCAACCATTGCTTGATCTCTTGACACAACCTGAAGTTATCCCAACTATGGATTCGCATTTCCTTGGTGCTCCATTGAGTGACAATCCAGTTACTCGTGATGCATTCCTTCAATTCTTCTTTGATAATTATGATGATAAATTGTACAAGTTGATGCTGACAAACATGGTTGTGTTGGACAGATTTGTTAAGATGACCTTGAGAAACTATCAAAGTGAAGAAGTGTACAATAAGGTCAGTGATTTCTTTAGAAATAGAGATGTTCATGGATTTGAAAGAAGTTTGAAACAATCATTGGATAACATAAAGATCAATTCAACTTGGTTTGGTCGTGATGGTAAAGCTGTAGATGAATATTTATCTTGAGTGTATACCTTGTAGTACTACAAATAAAAATAAAGAAAAGTATTCATGTTTCAGCATATATTATGCGCAGATATCTATAAATAATTACAAAAGTTTAAAAAATTAGGCATCAGCAACTTTATGATCGTGGGTAGCAGCGTATCTACCAGAAGGATCTTCGTGACAACCCCATTCAGCCTTTGGAATCCATCTCATGACGGTGGTAGCAGCGGCCTTGGAGTTGGCAAACATCTTGTCGAACTTACATCTGTACCAGTATGCTTCCTTAGTGGTTGGAATGTCATCACCCCACTCTGGCTTAGGGTTGGCAAATTCTTCATCACTGACCAATCTTTCAGCAGTGTCCTTCAAACAATCAATCCAGGAGTAACCGACCCCATCGGAGAATTGTTCCTTTTGTCTCCAAAGGATTTCATCAGGGAGGTAAGGAGCAGCACTTGGATCGTCAGAAGTGTCAAAGGCTTTACGCAAGACATACTTTTCAATGTGTCCTGGACGAATAAGTTTATCTTCTGGGTTGATGTTCATACAGACTTCAAGGAATTGCTTGTCCAAGAATGGGACTCTGGCTTCCAAACCCCAAGCCATGGTGGACTTGTTGGCTCTCAAACAATCGGCGTAATGCAAGTTCTTGACTCTTTGGACACATTCTTGGTGGAAGTCCTTGGCAGATGGGGCGTTGGCAAAATACAAGTATCCACCAAAGATTTCATCGGAACCTTCACCGGAAAGAACCATCTTGATACCTTGGGCCTTAATCTTACGGGACAAAAGGTACATTGGGGTAGAAGCTCTGATGGTGGTGACATCGTAGGTTTCCAAGTGGTAAATGACATCATCTAAGGCATCAACACCTTCTTCCAAGGTGAAAGTGTGAGAATGGTGAATGGTACCAATGAAATGGGCAACTTTTTCAGCAGCAATTAAATCAGGAGCGCCTGGCAACCCAATTGCAAAAGAATGTAATTGTGAGAAAAGAGTGTTGTTGTGAAGAGCACCAGAGTCATCGATACCGGTTAATTCTTCGTTAGCATCAACCCCACTTGGGTTGTAAGAGGATTCCACGGCTTTTCTGGTTTCACGAGCAGCAATGGCGGCGATTAAAGAAGAATCTAACCCACCGGATAATAAAACACCGTATGGAACTTCGGCCATCAATCTCTTTCTCACGGCCAATTCCAAACTTTCTCTAACTTCTTTATAGTCGACTCTCTTTTCAGGAATCTTGGAACCATCCCACCAAGTAGGGGTAAAGTATCTGGTGATTTGGTCAGTCTTGGAGTCATATATGTGTCCTGGAGGGAATGCAACAACTTCGTCACATTCTTCAAGCAAACATTTCAATTCAGAAGCGAAATATCTAGTTTCTGGGTTGGCCTTGGACTTACCCAAGTATAAGGTGGTGATACCGATTGGGTCTCTGGCAGCAACAATTCTATCGTTCTTGGCGTCATGCAAAACCCAAGCAAACATACCATCCAAGTACTTAGGAGCGTCGATGTCGTATTTTTCAAAAAGGGGAATGATTGGTTCACAATCAGAGTGGGTCTTGTATTTGTAGTCGCTGAATTCTTCTCTTAAGTGGATATGGTTATAGATTTCCCCATTGACACAAAGAGTGAAGTTACCATCAGGAGAAGTGATTGGTTGAGCACCGGAGTCTAAACCAACAATAGCCAATCTTTCGTGACATAAAATAGTTGATTTTTGGATGACGTTACCAGACCAATCTGGGCCTCTGTGTCTGATCAATTTGGAATATTGTAAAGCTTTAGACTTGAATTTTTCAACATCTGGTTGCCTATAGGCAGCAAAGATACCACACATTTTTGTTTAAGAATTTGTATATGTATTACTGAGAAAGAAAGAGAGAAAAAGAAAGAAAAGAAAGAAAAGAAAGAAAGACGATTGGAAAATTTTTCCGGGATTCTTTATACTGGTGCAACCAGACAAAGAAAAAAAACTGAAAAATTCATGATGAGTCAACAAACAAATTTCCACCGCAAAAAGTTGACAAATGCACAGCGGGATTTGTAGATAAACCCAAAATAGGACGAGTGAGAATTTTTTAGTTTAGTTTGTGTTATGATTTATTTACTCATAATTGTGGGAGAAATTCCGGGTAAACAAAATTTTTATCAAATTCGACGAATTCGCATAAGCCACCTTGGACCCCCTCCACCCCCAAAGAGTCACGCAGTGCGTTAGCTAACAATTTTTGCAATTTCCGGTGCGATTCAGCACCTGATCGCCCATCACCCTCACTCCGTTTTCGCAGTAATTTATGTACAGGACGCCAATCGTGAGAAAACGGAAGTCACACGCGCGGCACGTGATGTCGATTTGGGCTGGAAAAAATACGCACCAAGCGAGAATGCATTTATTTACAACCCACATTACACTCTAGTGGTGAGTGGTAATGTTTGCTGAGCAGAACCAATGGTATGTGTTACATTGTATAATGCGCAGCTATTTGTTTCAATTGCCTATATTGGAATTGCTGGCTCAATTCTCTTGGTGAAGATATACAAACCTTTAAATGATTTGTTGTTGTACGGGAAAACACTCACTTCTACTGGCACCACTAGCACTCGTAATCAATCACGATTACAGGAGCTAGTCAGCGCGGCTAGCTCTAGATTGAGAGTTCCTAAATCATACTTTACCCATTTTTACGTTTTATTAAGTATATTCTCTACCATTACTTGGGCCGTTAGTTATCCAGCAGGTGCTGCTGCCAATCCATCCCCTACAAAATACAAGAACATGATATTTATCAACGTGTTACTTTGGGTTCAAGGTAACAGGCGACTTTATGAATGTTTGCATATTTCAAAATTTTCAAAAACGTCATATATCAACGTTAGCCATTACATTGCTGGTATGGCACACTACACCTTAGTATCTTTAGCTTGTTATTTGGGAATGAGAACATATTCATCGGGAGAATCAGTACTGCTTGTTCCAACTTTTTTCGACTGGCTTATCATGTTTGCGTATGTGGTGCTCGCAACAAGACAATACTATGCCCATCGTCACTTGGCATCGTTGGTTAAATATAGTCTTCCAAATTTCAAGTATGTTGCATCACCACATTATTTACAAGAGATTGGAATATATGCTACACTTTTCATATTCAGTGTTAAGGATGGTTGGGATATTGTTTCTTGTAATTTCCTATTTGCATTAGTGTTCGTCACGGTTAATCTTTCAATAAGTTCAATTGAAACTTATCGGTACTATCAAGAAAAATTCAAAGATGAGTTTAAATTAAAATGGTGTATTTTCCCTGGTGTTTTATAGGGTTATAGATTTAAAGTTAAAGGGTTGTACAATACATGTGGCTTAATTGATACTAACGTAATTAGATTTTGGCTTTTTGCAGCATTTTTCTGAGGAAATCTGTTTGGAGTATTAAACAAACGTGTATTACATTAGATCAAAGCATAAGCCAACAACTTGTTTGAGTGAAGCTGCTGTTCACGTGAGATCTCCAAAGTTGAAACAGTCACGGTACTGTTCCTCGTTAATTACGAATTGGTCTTGATAGCACCGCCCCCTCCCTTGTACGCGCAAATTACACTAAAAAATAACACCGATTTTGAACCTTTGGGAAAATAATAAAAAAAAAATACAAAGCCTAGCACGGAAAGTGACAACTTTGGTAGACAACACAACCAAATGTTCCTATGAGTCCCCTTAAACCTGTCATTTCACCAGTGATGGTGACATTAGAACCATCAGCCACATCAATAGTCCATGGTTGTCCCGGTGTACCGCGTAGTATCCCGCGGATCGAAACCGTAATTCACATCAGATCACTTACGGGCGCACCATTTGACGTTCGAAGTGTGGGAATCGCCATGAGCACGGTGCAGAAAGTTTCAATGCCCACGAAGTTCGGCACCAATGATTCAGTCAAGGATTTTAAATGGTTTGAAAACCCGCTATGTTATCGCCCCCCTGTGGGTGAGTTCTACCTGAAGCTTATTGGAATCGATATCCCGATCTTGATTCCATTGCCGCGAGATGTGGTCAGTAGCGGGTATGTACCGAGTTGTAACGCCAGCACTGTGCATAAATTAAGTGTCAAAGTGTCCTGTGGTAAGACAGCGGAGACCGAAACTAATTTCGTAGAGAGCTTCCCCATTGCCATAAAGTGTTATGATACACTTCCCTTGTACCGACAATACAATGAACCAGTATTGTATCAAATGGTGACGAATGATAATCAAGTGATTGTGGAATGTAAATTGCCCGTGAGTTCCATTGGACCCGGTGATAATATCAACTTGGAATGTAATGTTAGAACAAATACGGCGAATAATAGACTACATAAACATATACAGCTAAAACAATTGACGTTGCAATTAAAGGAGATTATAGAGTGTTATGATGCTGGGTTGCCACCTAAGAAGGAATTCAAACTAGTTTCCACCACTCAAGTATTTAAGAATCAAGAAATCCATGCCCTGCCATTCAACCACAATTTCCAGATAAAGTTTCCCTACGAGAACGATTACTTGTCGTTATTTTCCCAGCCGGAAATTCCCCTTGATCCCCAGTTGGAAGACGACTGCTCCACCACGGTGATTGAATCGTACAACATATGTAAAGTCAGACAACTCGACAAACTAGAAGAAGGAATTCCCTTGACACACATCCAGGGATTCACCAAAGTGGGGAAATTCTACTCAATCAGATATGAACTCATAGTCAAAGCCAAGTTTAGCCATGCCAAAGATGTGAATGTGAACATACCGATCACTGTCAGTCCCTACGATCGAGACTGTTCTGAGTATCTTCTCCAATGGATCTTATACGAATGCGACGTTGCCAAACAAACATACGGTAAACAGCTAGTGGAGGAGTATTGTGCATTAGGGGACAGATACGACTATGTCGTTAGTTTAATGTCACGGTTTGTGGATGCTCCTACTTGCTATCGATATAGCATAGATGAATGGAAGCATTTGGGATATAATATGGATGCCATAGGTGTGGCTAATGGTATAGATGGGACTCAGTCATTAGTAGGGTATATTGATTAATGCAATGTGATTAACGTGTCAATGTCGATCGTAGCGATAATTTGATTAACTCGTAGCTTGTTCTTTTTAGTTTGTATTTCGGGCAAGGGGATACCTTCTAAGGGATTCTGATGGAGCAATTTACATTGAATGTGGAAGGACCTTGGCGTGTATCCTGTGTAACTCTTGAACATTCGACATAGGTGCCATTTGGAAATCTTCAACTGGATGATAATTGCATCCATACTTAATTTGCACCCTTGAATTGCTTGTTCAAATATCAAGCGGCAAGCCTGATCAACTAGCTCGCGACTGGTGTTCCATCCCCGGGACACATCAGGCCTGCATCTTTTGCAACTTCTGTATCCTAATGCAATGGCCTGTTGCAGTGAATCTAAGAACATGATGTTCTTACGAAGAGCAAGTCGCGAGTAGCATGTAGGGCGACAGTAGATTTTGGTTGACTTTACGGCATATATGAACTTGCCTTCTGCCTGGGGGTCTCTGTTTTTTAGTGCTTCATATTTTGCATCCTCTGTAGTGAATTCCATTGTTAATCATGGTTGGACTTATTCCTAGAAGCAGGGGAAGGCATCAGAGACATTTATAGGTTGTTTTTTTTTTTGCTCTCAAATTGATATGGTTGATCAGCAATCATGAACAACAGTAAGTCCCCGCCCGAATATGCACCAACTGCAACCACATCATTCACAGTGTCATCATCATCACCTCGGTACAATTCGGAGATAACCAAATCCACACTTCTTAAAACTTCCTTACACAAGACTGTTTATGATTCACTTGCCGAGATATACTCCATACTTCCCACCCTTGAAATGTTGGAAGTCTCATACATCAAGGATTACATAACCGATAAGGAAAAGTACACATCTACTTCGTATAGATTGATCAACCAATATCAAATAATCTTGAAGGGATTTGTGGAGGATCTGGACAAGTTGAATCTCCTCAAAACGATATTACCTGGGTTGGACCACACCTTGTCCAACTTCTTACAGTTGCTCCTGAACAAGTTTCATTGCAATTGTACCCATGCAATTAAACGATTACAATCGGGTATTCCTGCCACCATTGAACATTTAAGTACCCAGGTGGAAAGTCTACACCCTACCGTGTCTCAGAATACAGCTACTACGCCTGCAGCACCAAATGCAAACACGAGTGCGAAATTGATATCACAAATCACGGGTAATTTCATCACTTGCATGGATGCAGTCAAGTTAAACTACAAGACCAAGAGCCAATTGCATCCCTTGCTTAGTGAATTGGTCGTCAATTTAAACGATCTTGTTGAGAATGAACAGCATAAACTGTTGGAATTCTCGGGAAAATCCAAATTGGTGAATTGGTTGATCAAGATTAATAACTTGAAAGATGGTGAAGAGATAGGGGGCACGGATGCAGACAGCTTTTTAAATGATTTGGATACGGCCTATAAAGGGTTCTATACATCTTTAGAGTAGTAGACTTATACAATAGATTCTATTTGTTCCGCATACCCCAATACATTCTTGATTACGGATTCGTTATCCACCTGTAATTCCAGTTCGTTCTTGGTAAAATAAATAGCGCCATTTTCAAATCTCCAATTGTCCACTTCGAAAGTGTCTCTCAAAATCTTTTCAAATGCGGCATCGGATTGTTCTTGTGGCAAGTACAACAAGTTCTTACAGTTGGAAATAGGTATTGATTCATAGGTCTTTTCTAACGATTTGGCAATTTCAAAACGCAAGGCTGTGATTAATGTATCAATAAAATGAGTGTATTCCTTACATGGCAAATTAGCTTCTTCTTTCAATAATTTCCAGATCTTGATATAATTACCTTCCATTAAGTTGCTTTCTAAGTGAACGGGAAAAGCAAGATACTTGTCTTGTTCAACATCATAATGGTTTGAATTGTAGATGATTTCCAACTCAATGTGGAATTTTGAGATCAATCCTTGACTCAACAAGTATAACAAGTATAATGAAATGATTTTCGTGGCATCGGTATTAACATGCACTTTATTCAAATTGTGTAATTTGCCATTGGAGTAGAATGGACGCAATTGGGCGAAATAGTTTTCAAATCCGCTGTAGTTGTTAGTTAAGAGCGATGATAAGGCCCCGATTTCAAGGATTCTTTGTGCGATTTTCAAATCATTGAGTTGATCTTTGGTTTGCGTGTTGGCTGGAGTGGGAATAAGGAGATTGTGTTTGATGAGTTCGAGTTTGATGGGGGCAAGAAGGACTTGACATTGGTCATATTTTTCCTTTTCAAAAAGGGAATATATTTCTGCTGTGAGGCTTTGAAGGGACATGGTTGTGGGTGATGTTGATGAATGAGCTGGTTGTTATTATAATAAATGTTGCCACTAGTTTTTTGGAGTCAACGAAAAGTGAAGGTCGTGCGAAAGTGGAGAATATCTAGAAACTTTGCAATTACGTGTGGATAATACGGGATTTTCCTCCGAATTTACAACCATAAAGACAAACCAAAGGTCGGCCAACATTGCATCACTCTCGGATACCTTAGCGGTATGTTCGATCACTGTTTGACCCCAGAGTGTTGTCTTTTAAGTAAAAGCTTCCCATTTGAAGTCACGTGCACAGGGATTAAGATGGCTTGAAATTTTTTTTTTTCTTTTTATATAGAGATGATGCCAATATCTCTGCACAACAACTTCGAGCATACGACATTAGATAGATAAACAACCACATAGAATCATGAAATTCCTCACCACCAACTTTGTGCAATGTGCAGTTAAGTCATGTCACTCCTCCCTCACATCGTTCCCCTTACAATACGAAGAATGTCAATTAGTACAACAAGAACAAGACTATAACCCTGAATTTATCGTACACATGCTTGAACGTCTTGACTGGAACGCTATAGTTCAAGTCGCCAAAGATCTCGGGAACGAAAGTTTGCCAGCTAATAAGCCTGAAGATTTAGATCCGATTATGGAAGACAGTCAAGCGGTTTTAAGAGATTTGCATACATTACTAGTGGAGACTCAAATCGTTGAGGGGAAAATGGTTTGTAAGAATTGCGGACATATTTACTATATCAAGAATTCAATTCCTAATTTCCTTTTACCTCCACATTTGGCTAATTAGGGTGTGATAAATAAGGGTAATGTATAATAGATAGAGTGTGTCAATAGACAGAATATGTCGATAGATAGAGTGTGTCAATAGACAGATTAGTAGTAAGATTTTTGTAATCTCATCTCAATATGGGCGGTGTAGGTTGTGAGCAAGGTTTGATACCTGAAGTACTGTTGTAAGTTTAATTTCCCCTTATAATGAGATATTACAGGTTATGAACATAAGTGAATGACCCATATTTCATGCAGACGTTGATGTTCAATGCATATCACAATACCACTTGTATTATGTCATGCTGTGTATGAATGTACGATCATATAGAATTGCTCGTATATTACTTCCACTCCTGCACTTTACTTGATTCCTAAAAATAAAAATAAAACTAAAAAAAAATAAAAAAAATAAAAAAAAAGGAAGTGGGAAGTGAAAATGTCGGCCATTAAATTTCTTTAATTAAATGCTCCACGTAATTTAACTTTTTTTTTTTTCTCTCTCTCCTTTTGCCAAGTCAAACAAAAAGCAAAGACTACGGCACATCCAATAGATAACCAACGTTTAGTCATTCTACTTCGTCTTCATCTTCAGACACGACCTCATACGTACCTCAACCCTCTCGAACATAACTGAATATCACCACCACTACCTCCACCCAACTCATCCAAAATCAGCAACATACACGTCTACACTTAGTGACACATATTTTTCGATCACATAATCAAAATCCCTCCACCAAATATACTACCCACGAGGAAATCCCACATTCTAGCATTCTGCACATACATATAATTTAACATAAGCTTTACATATATGGTCAGTTTATCATTATTTGGAAACAACAGCTCGCCTAGTTCATCCAACGATGTCACTCCCCCAAGTGAACAGGATTTGTCATCAATGGAAGCAAATGTTTTTCACAATGGCCATGCCGGCATAACAACTCCGCCCCACCCCGGATATTCTAGACCTCAGTCTAGAAATAGAAAACGGTCGATCTCATTCACAAAGTTCTTGTTTAACAAGGACGAACCAAATTCCACCAACAACCATCACGTTACTCCTGCAAACGACTTGGGCTCGTCTCAGTCGACACTTTCGGTTAACCACCCCGAAGAATTGAAGCTGCAAGCAAGTTTCGTCAGATTGAAGAATATGTTTAAGTTATCGACTGCCTCCCTGTTGGCACACAGTGAAAGTGAACAGCTGGAAGAACAACAAGAGCAGCAGCAGCAGCAGCATCACCAAGAACCTACATCGCCCGACACATCCGTCCACATTGGACGTAACCGTTCTATATCCACCCCATTAAGTGGCCCCATAAAAAATCATGTGCGTAACTTTGCCTCGCGAGAAGCAGGATACACTCCATCCCAAGACTCCATGTCGTCATCCACACTGAAGATACCAACCATAACAACAACCCCCACGTCTCCTCCGCGAAGTGGCAAGGATGAATCTCAAGTCATTCATTCCAATTTGTACTTTGCATACCAAGGGTTGCCTCCACATATGGCCCATGAGAACCCACCCCATCCCGCTCAGTACTTGCACGATTCAACCAATAGATCGGACATCAGCGTTGCTTTACGACACAATGACTCTGTATTTTCCTTGAGTGAAAGTGGCATCTTGAAACCTCCCAAGGTTCATACTTCTCAAATCAGCACCAGTGATAATGATGAAGAAGAACAAGCAATCGAGGAATTCCCTAGCACGATTAAGTCGCTGCCTGCAGTTCCTATTCTTGAAAAACCTCCAAAGATAACCGAATTGGAACAGCAAAAAAAGCACAAGACACATCCAGATCAACCCCAGCCTCAGCATGTTTTACGCACCCCTAAAAAGTTTGTCACTGCTACTGCTGATGACGGAATATTTGATGATGACACCGACAATCTCAACCTTAAGCCCATAGATGTTGAGCGAGACTTGTCGGTCCCAGTGTCACCACTCCAACGCGCCTTGCGTCGAGTGGCCTCGGCTCCATTGGTGCATCGCTTATTACAAGAGAAGCTGAGCGATACAACCACCATTGAGCCGCCATTCTCCACTGCTGCCACTCCTAAGCCCGTGGTTAAAACTGAAGAAGAAGTGTATGATATCAATAAACATATCGGTGAGGTGAAAATCACGGGCCGGCCCCGTACTTACACAGCCGATCGGACTTATTCCAATGCCGCTACCCGAGTCACTGATGTCAAGGTTAATGCCGATTGTTTTGAAAAGATTAGATTATTGGGAAAGGGAGACGTCGGGAAGGTTTATCTTGTGCGCGAAAAGCTGTCAAATAGGTTGTACGCCATGAAGATATTGAGCAAGAAGGAAATGATTGAGAGAAACAAGATTAAGCGGGCATTAGCCGAGCAAGAGATTTTGGCAACTCTGAACCATCCATTTATTGTGACGCTCTACCATTCATTTCAAAGTCAAGATTATCTCTATTTGTGTATGGAGTACTGCATGGGTGGGGAATTCTTCCGCGCGTTGCAAACCCGAGACACAAAGTCCATTCTGGAACAGGATGCCAAGTTTTACGCTGCCGAAGTCACCGCTGCGTTGGAGTACCTCCATTTGATGGGATTCATCTATCGTGATTTGAAACCCGAGAATATCTTGTTGCATCAATCAGGACACATCATGTTGAGTGATTTTGACTTGTCGAAACAGAGCGAACGGGCCAAGAATCCTGAAGTTGTGTTCAATAGGACTGGTCTCCATTTGAGTTCCACTTCCAGTGTCAGTTCGCGGGACGGGCCTGCCCTAGATACTAAAGCGTGTATTGATGGATTTAGAACCAATTCGTTTGTCGGTACTGAAGAGTACATCGCGCCTGAAGTTATTCGCGGCAAGGGACATACGAGTGCTGTTGATTGGTGGACCTTGGGGATCTTTATTTATGAAATGTTGTATGGAACCACGCCATTCAAGGGAAGCGACCGCAAGAAAACATTTGCCAATGTGCTTAAAAAGGAGGTTAAATTCTTGGATTCGCAGCCGGTGTCTTCCCAATGTCGATCATTAATCAAGAAGTTGCTTATCAAAGACGAAGAAAAACGATTAGGTTCGAAAACAGGAGCCAGTGAGATTAAAAACCATGCCTTTTTCAGAAACACCCAGTGGGCGCTCTTGCGTAATCAGAAACCACCTATGATCCCCGTGTTAACCAAGAGTACGAAAAAGGTGGAAAAGCCAATTGACGAACAGACCCAACCTCAAGATTCAGCTGCGGTATCACTCGAAGAAAACGGTAAAAGCGACGATCCGTTTGCGCAGTTTAGTTCAGTGACGTTGCAGTATGAGGAGAATGAATGTTCGAGTCCCATGTACAACCCGGAAAGCAGTGCATATACAAGTGTGGCCTATACCATGACCAAGAGCCAGAACGGCAGTCCCACCAAGCAAAAGGGCTTTCTTAAACGATGATACACAGTTTTGTATTTTATATATATGTAAAAAACAGTAAACGATTGTGGTTATAGAGCCTAAAGTAGTGTTTTATTGTACTTGTACTTTTTGCATTCGAATTGCAACATTGCTGAGCCGCACGCAAAATCACGTGATCGACAGCCAACCAGAAACAAACAAAATTTAAGCAACATTTTTCTTCCTTCATGGAACAGCCTATTACTTCCACATTACAACAGCTATAAACAACACACACACAATGGCTGCTGGACACTTTGTTAAATACGTGAGACACGCAGGTGCCGCCGCACCACACGTTTCTCCAGCCATCCGCTGGACTGCTAAATTGCTGGGTGCCGCCATGTGGTTTTGGATCTTGTACCGTGTTAAAGAAGATGGACCAGTTATGTTTGGCTGGAAATTGCCTCATGAACACCATTAGATAATGTTAATTCTGCATGTTTGCATTTGGAGAGAAGTTTGAAGTTTAGTTGTGTATTTATGTATTCTATAATAAAAGAAGGTTTACTGTACTTATCGGGTAGATGGCCGGGATCCTCCTCCTCCTCCTCCTCCTCCTCGCGCTCGTCCACGGAAAGATCCTCTTGGTCTAAATGAAGGATTGCCCCTTCGAGGGTTCCAGCCACCTCTCGCACGAGTAGACCCTCGTGAACTTCTACCGTAGGCAAGAGCATTGATGTCGTCCTCGGCTTTATCGTCAGATTGGCTGCTGATGAGGGTTGTGTCGGCGGCCTCTTCCTCATCACGCACTTTAAAGTTGAAATTGAACCCTTGCGAACTACATTGATCCAATTTGAAATTGCCCTTGTCGTCAAGTTTAAAAATCATGTAATTCCGTTCGTCATTCTTGTTTGTGAAATCACATAGGTTGAAATGCCAGAGGTTGTAGTACGCCTGGAAATAATAATCATTCAACTTCTTGATGACTTTTTTGTTGACTTCTGCGTCTTGGTCAGGGTACAAGCTCAATGGCACAATCTTATCCAGTGGATCGCTTGCTGGAACCAGGATCTTGTCAAATAGGCTCAATCCAAGTTCTAGCAAGTTCTTCAAGTTACTCGAATTTGATTCTTGGAGTAGCTCCTCGATGTCGTTCTTTATAATAAGCCACAATTCCCCTAGAATCATCCGAAGTCGTGAGAACTTGGATCGGTAGTTTTCAATGTACCCGGAAGATCCCCCCATACTATCGACAAAACTCATGCCGTTGCCCATGACAGGGTATCGGAAATGCAAACCCTGGCTGATTGTAAAATCAGCATTGGTTATAATTGCCAAGTGTTCAAGTAAGGGCGTTTTGATTACCGGGGCATGGGTGACGAAAATGTTGATTGTTTGTTTGTTGGGCAATGTCTCTGTATTCTGGCTAGTGGTGACATTGAGATATAGTTCGGCGATTTGTAATAGTGTGATCCAGAGCTCGCTAACTTTGCCATTGATTGAGTTATAATTAAATGTGCCACTATCGAACAAGCTATGGATCTTTAGCGTCCCTCCTATTCCGTAGAGCTTTATATTGGGCATGCTCGCTACGGTTTTAATTTCGTAGTTGTGGGTATGGTCGATTAGGTATAAGTTTGGAATGGATATTGTGTTTGTTTGGATCTTGTCAATGATTCGAGGATCATCAAGAGGACCGAATATGGTGTATACTGGACACGGCAATGATTTCGCCCCACTGACATATTGCGAGAATTGACTTATTCCATGGTGAGACTGGGCTAGTTTTTCCTTAAACTTGGTGAATTCTTCACTGCTGTTGCCTCCAGCGTTGCTTATCGTGCTCAAGTTGTTTAATTCCTCGGTTATCTCTGGTTCAAGCACACTCAGGAATGCTACAATTTGTTTGAGATAGTTTAGGTCGGTGTACGAGTCAATTGTTTCCTGGTCCCAAAACCCGAAATTTCCCGTGACTATTATTATCTCGACGGGGTTGGTTTGATATAGTTGGGTGAGTGCATCAAGGTTTCCTTGAGTGTCCGAGACGGCTAGGATGCGGACCGACATCGGTGTATACTTTTGTTTATGTTATGTCTGGATTTGATGGGACAAAGGTGATTACTTCAATCTGGTGGGTGCTACTGCTGTGTAATCTTGTAGACAGGTGGTGATCTGCTTGGCGATAAGCTTGGTTGGGTGTGATTGTGACAAATGTCTCGGGCAGTTTTGTGCATTTGTGTGGAGATAAGTAATAACCTCGCGGTATTTGCTCCGAATTTTGAGACCCGTGCACGACATTTTTTGGTCCAGGCCAAGGGCTGCCATACCAACGTTGGTGTTTACTACGATAACTCAATTTGAGTACTGGTGGCATAACCAGGCGGAATTGAATGAATGTTAATTAGTAATGACGAGCGTTCGGAACCCTTGCCTGGTTATTGCTAAGGTTGCATTAGATGTCTTCCTATAGTAGACGCTAGATTGTTACCTCTAGGTCACACTTGTTTACACCGTCAATACATCGCTATAGCACTAACGAGGGGAAGAAAAACATCGTCACGCCATCCTATGTCAAAGCTGCGGTTGTAAATCCAACAAAACTCAGTCAAAACTGATCGTGGAGATGTTTCATCCACCGCCCTAAAAAAATCGCCTCACATTTCTCATTGTAGCCGAAACCTGAAATTTATTATCTCTCATTTCAACAACAAAGACAGCCACGCCTAGCAAATAGATACCCTCCCCCTCCGGACAAGACAATATCTACCGACAATCATTTGACTATAGTCCTACAATCACATATATACATACGGACATACAATCACCCAATTACATTTGTACATTATTATATATATAGACATATACATACATTGCATTTACGAAACTACCACGCTACCCGGTCATCCCTTGACATCATGAAATGTTAGATCCCCAACAAAGACTTCGCAAAGCCGTGATCGACGGCAATCTCCCCATTGTTCAGAGACTCCTCTCGCGGTTCCCGTCACTCTGGCTCAACGTCGACTCGGCCCACGACGGCTGGTCCAACCTCCACTACGCCCTGTACTATGGCCATTACTTGGTGTGTTTCCACTTGGTATCGTTCATCAACAATGATCTCGAAAGCAAGTATACCAAATTGGATTTGCTCTCGTTTGACAATCTCACCGTTTTGCATGTCTGCATTGAAGGAAAACATTTACAAACGTTGCATTACTTGCTCCAGGAGTTCCCGGGTAAACTATGGTTGAATTACCCTGGTGGTGCCAGCAAACAAACTCCCTTGCACTGGAGTTGCAAATACGGTTTCAGCGAAGGAACGAAATTGTTACTAGAGTTTGGCGCTAGTTGGGACGAACGCGACGGGAATGGAGACACTTGTTTGCATCATTGCTTCCAACATGGTAACACCCAGTGCATCCAAGAAATACTCCGGTATATCTTCCAAAACACCAACGATAAAGAAAAAGCCATTGACAAGATTGATTATTTTGAACGCATGAGGAATAAACGAGGATGTGTGGCTTTTGACTACGCTTCAAGCTCTTCCTTGGCGAGAAAGTATCAGTTGCTAAAACAAGATCTAATGGCGTTGGATTTCTCTGATTCGGGAGAAGCGTCATCGGGTTCTTCCATGGTTTATACACTTCACCAAAACCAGTCAATGCACTCATTGGAAACTAGCAGGATACTAACAAGTCCGATTTTACCCATGGGAATCCAAAAGCAAGAAGATAACGAGCATACAATTATACACGACGACATTGATACCACAATAACAACCGAAGAAGAAGAAGAAGAAGAAGAAGAAAAGCCAGGACGTCGATCGCACTCCCAATCACTCCCCACAAATCCAGAAACCACAAATTCTCTTCCTGGCACAAAAGTTCGCAGCCGTTCAAATACGAACTACATATATCACCCTCCCAACCTCAACAATATCCCAGTACTTGGATCGCCGCGGTTCGCATCTCCGCCCGTCATGCCGCCTCCATCTACACCCATCACTAACCGTGCACCATCCTTGAAATCAGTTACCATATCACCATCAGTACGAAGTAATGGCCATGACTCTACAGAAGACCTGCAACGACCAGAATCACCACAGTCAATCTGGTCACTACAATCAACAAACACATCCCCTGCAAAGTCACAACATGGACAACGCCGAAGTTTTTCGTTTTCCAAAGTGGTTCCTACAAGTGCGTCTATTGACGAGCACGACCAATGGCCCAGCTTTCAAACTGAGATGCCGGCAATACACGATCTCAAAATCCAAGAGAGTTCCATGCCACGGCCTCGTGCTGAATCCGCGTCTGCAGTTGCGAATTCTGCTTCCGTGGCTGCTAAAAAGGCATTCGTGTCCAGTAGGCCCAGCCATGAAAACCACAGATCTCGACCCAATACACCTAGTCAACGCTCTCGTCAATCTGAATCCTCGCATACTTCACCGACATTACAAAAACTAAACAGTCGAACAAGCAGCACTTCGATAGGAAGCATAGGCAGCCAAACCAGCCCCACCAGCCAGCATGAACATATCTTGCGCAAGTCTCAATCTAGTTCAACATTGCTGTCTGACCCAACAACCATTCCAATCATACGACAACCACCACAACGAACTGACAGTGCGGGATCATTAACTATGCTGGACTCTCTGAGAAAGTTTAGTGTCAATAGTATAAGTTTTAGTAGGATTAGGTAGAGAATCTCTCTCTCTCTCTGTATTTATTTTAACGCGTAATGAGCTTTGTATTCAGTTAGTAAAAAAAAATTTGGCAACACAAACCAACACTAAGCAACACGAAGCAGCAACGGACTTACTTACACTATGCCCATAACCAAACAGGCAACCATCAGTAGCTTCTTCAAGAGTGCTACACCAATCAAGAGTGAAGAGAATTCACCCAAGTCTTTTCCAACTGCAAATGTTCTTGATCAATTTTCTTTTAAAAATGGCAACCACAAACGTTCGTCTCCAGCTCTCCAAACTCCAACTCCACCCACACCCACACCCCCACTGACTTCAGATAATACAGAACTGCCGGCCATTCCACAAAAGCGGAAACAGCAAACTCAATCAGCAAGGAAACCAAAAGAACCGTCATATACACCCCTAGAGAAACAGATCATTGACCTAACCGACGCGCATCACGACAAGATTCTTCTCATTCAAGTAGGATACAAGTATAAAGTGTACGGACCACATGCCGAGATTGTATCGCACATCCTCAACATCATGTACATCCCCAAGGACAATCCCCGGTTTGCGTATTGTTCGTTCCCCGACATCAAACTACACATTAACATCAAGAGAATCATCAACCACGGATACAAGATTGGCGTAGTTAAACAGCAAGAATCGGCCATTGTGCGTACTATTGAGAAAAAAGGGTCTGACTTAATGAAGAGAGAAGTCACGGGTGTTTATACTAAAGGCACGTATCTTGGTGATGAGTTTGTAGGGAATGGTAATGACAATGACAATGAGAAACCTCAGTATATTGTTTGTATTTGCGAAGTTAATGAGCATGATTTTGCAATTGTTGCCGTGCAGTTGCTTACAGGTAATATTATTTATGACATGTTCAAAGACAGATTGAACCGAGAGGAAATGGAGACAAGATTGACGTATTTATCTCCTGCTGAAGTCATTGTAGTTAACTCCCAAGACGAAATAAGTTCAAGTACACTAAAGATTCTAAAACTAATCAATCCTGAACTTGTGCCCATGCATAAAACTACTAGCAAGTTGGAAGACCTTGAACTAGATGCAGACTTGATTGAATACTACACCATCAACTTTCCCCATTCGGTACAATCATGCATTGCAACACTAACGAAGTACTTGTCCGAGTTCAAGCTCAACAGTGTATTCACCCTCCGTGAAAATATCACCCCGTTTACCAATTCCACTAACTATATGATCCTTCCTGCCAGCACTTTGAACGCATTGGATGTATTCACCAACTCCACTGACCCTGAATCTGAACGAGGCACTCTCGTCTGGCTTTTGAATCACACGCGTACGCGCATGGGACAACGGATGTTCACTAAATGGGTCAGTCGACCATTGGTGCATCGACCAGCCATTGAAGACCGTCTACAAGCAGTGGAAGACTTGCGCAAGGGATACATTCACGTGGTTGACTCTCTTCGAAACCAATTGGACAAATTTAAAAGGTTGGATTTGGAAGAGTTGTTAATCAAAGCGCATTACTCCGTCAGTTACAAAACGGGTAAGTTGAGTCGAAAAGAAGCGTTCCTTATGATTCACGGGTTTAATGATGTCTTCAAAGTGGTGGGTCAGTTTGAAAAATCGATTTGTGAATTGAATAAAAGTGTCAAGTCACGATTGTTATTAGACATATTTGAAGGATTGCTTGATTTCTCAAAAACTAATGTCGCAAGAGAGTTTGTGGATATGATTAATCCCAGCTATTTATTGAGTGAGTCCAAGGACATTGATGAGCAAAAGACCAAGTTTTTCAACTTAAACAATTTCAAATCTGAACCGATCGCCAAGGAACAACAGGAAATAACCGACATCGAAAGGCTTCTCGATGAGGAATTAGAGAATGTGAGGCATTTACTCAAACGAGCCAATTTGAAATACATCACTGTTAATCGAGAACCATACTTGATTGAAGTGCGTAATGGGAAGGACGTGGATGGGCTTCCGGACACGTTCCAACGAATCAGCGGGAATAAAGCTGTGAGTCGATTCCGAACTCGAGAAATTTCTCGATTGTACAATCTCCTTCAATATCATCAAGAAATCCTCTTGCAGAGGTGTGATGAGGCCTACATGGCCTTTTTGCAGCAAATTGACGATAAACACCCCTTCTTTCGCAACACCATTAAACATTTGGCAACTTTTGATTGTCTCCTTTCACTCACTGCTGCCAGTCTCATACCCAACCATGTCAGGCCCAAGTTCACTGATGATCTCTTAGTTGAAGTACGTCAGGGACGCCACCCCATCATCGAACAATTACGGGATAATTACGTCCCCAATGACATCTCTATGACATATGATAAAGACCGAGCCCTAATCATCACCGGTCCCAATATGGGTGGGAAATCCTCATATGTTAAACAAATTGCCTTGCTCGTAATCATGGCCCAGATTGGTGCATACATCCCCTGTCAATCAGCCACCATGGGGATCTTCGACACTGTGTTTATGCGTATGGGTGCTCGAGACGATATTTTGCGGGGACAATCAACGTTCATGACCGAGATGAATGAATGTGGATCCATCATTTCGGGATTGACTAATCGGTCTCTTGTGATTATGGACGAGATTGGGCGAGGCACGGGGACGACAGATGGGATCGCCATTGCGTATAGTGTGTTGAAGTATCTTGTTGAGTGCAACCAGAGGCCGTTGGTTTGTTTTATTACGCATTACCCCAGTCTCCATGTTTTAGAAGAGGAGTTCCCGGGACAAGTAGTGAATTACCATATGGGGTTCAAGGAAGTGGCTAAGGACGGTGAGTTCCCCGAGGTTGTATTTTTGTATAATTTGGTTAGAGGTGTGATTGGAAATCTGTATGGATTAAACGTTGCCAAGCTTGCTGGAGTTCCACATGAAATTATTCAAGGAGCATATAAAGTAAGTGAAATATTGAGGAATAAAATTGAAGCAAGAGATCAGCATAGGTTTTACATGAAATTGATGCAAGCAATTAAGCTGGGAGAAGATCTTGACAAGTATCTAGCTGCGATAGAATAAGGGTGCATCAGCTCTATTAATTAAATATACTATATAGATCTATAGAACATTACAAGTTCGAATCAATATTAAGATCAAAGAATTTGGTAACGATACTGTTGAACTTGGCTGGATTATCCAAGTAAATATGATGACCGGCGTTTTCAACAATCATAAATTGAGAAAGTGAAGGATCAGTCTTGGAAACTTGAGTATGTATGTGTTCTCCACCACGATGGTTCATCCAGTCCTTGTCTCCATAAAGCCATAGTGCTTGCACGTTATATTCTTTGAAATATTCAATGAGTCCTCGTTCGCAAAGTGGGAGTCTGGCTAAAATCTCATGATTGATAAACTTGGTAATTGCCAATTCTCCTGATCCTGGGAACTGGTTGAAAATGGAGTACGAGTATCTATGTAATTTCATAATAACTTCTTCATCTGCATGGTTCTTGAATCTTTTGAATGACCAATATGACAAGACCTTGGAATAAAACGGGCCTAGTTTCTGCAATATCATAAACGGGGATTTATTATGTTTCCAGAGTGTGCGAATGATGTAATTCTTGGGGAATCGAGGACGGCCCATTTCCAACAGTTCCACGAGAAGTTCAACTTCGTTCTCGGGGTCCGGTTTGTTCTCTTCCTCAGTGGGCTTATTACTGAGTAAACTAACCTCGCTTGACTCTGTTCCCATGGGACTCACAAGTATGACCCGATCCACCACCAATTTTGGGTCGCGGTTATACTTCATCAAGTAACAGCTCGTCAAGTATGCCCCCATTGAATGGGCAATCATATTGAATTTATGCAAGTCTCTCTTGATTCTCCATGTCTCAATGCAATCAATGAACCAACCTTCTACAAGTTTGATCTGGGCAATCTTGGCCTCGCGCGTGTCTGGTTCTATAAGAAATTCTGCCGGGAACTTGGGACGCAGGGAGTTACCAAACCCAGGAAGATCAATCAAATGCAACCTCATTCCTGGAGTCGATATTATTTCTGAGATGTTATTGACAAAGTACCCCAAGGCCGCCATGTACCCATGGACTATTACTATATGTTGTTCCTCGCCTCCTTCGGTATTGTTCTCCAAGTACAACTCGTGTATTGTGACATTATCTGAGACTTCTGTGTCTATGAATTCGGCAAATACTGGATGGCGACCCTCGTCGGGGGTAGGTGCATTTGGGGGGTAGATATGGATAAAGCCTGGGAGAATGGATTTGAAAAGTTCATATTCTATCATGCGGTTTTTCAATCTGGCAGCCTGTATTTCTAGATTTTGCTGGATTACAGATGTACTGGAACTACTGGCATTCATAAGCTGGCTCAGGGACGACCACCAATCTTGAAAGGAGATGTAGAAAGGTATAGATGATAGTGATGATGCGGTAGTTGTTGTGGAAGAAGTGGTTGAAGTTGACGAAGATTGTGACATGGGGGAAGATTTTGGATCATCCATGGTGGCAATTGTTTCTTTAATCAACGAAGACATTTTGCTGTAGAGGTGTCTAGAAAGAAGAAGGAGGAGGAGGAGGAAATGGTTGTAATTTTTTATAAAAATAGACCACTTCCTTATCTTAGCCACCATGTGGGAAAAAAAAATCGCAACTCTTTTCACGGCCGATTCAGCCGATAATTTCGGAGATTAAAACAGGTGAATCATGATCACTACATTGAGCTGTTAAAGTAGTACAAAGTGCAAATTATTCATTAAACGTTAAGTGCATCTATTAAACAACATTATAGAACTAAATTGGACGACAAGCCAAAAGAAAAAAGGCAGGCTAAAATTATTTGAAAAACATTCTACTCTCCTACATGTCTCCCTGTGTAAAACTTCTCCCTAAATATATCGCACCCTCTCAATGCTGGGTCTTGTTATCAATTTCGGTATAGGCGGGTGGAGCGCCAGAATCAGGTTGAGCCGATGATCCTTCAATCACGGCTCCATAAGTAGAACTTCCGGCACCGGTTAATGGCTGTTGTTGGGAAGAAGAAGAAGAAGGGGCAGGAGGAGGTGATTGATGATAATGAACATGAACTTCAGAAGGTTGTTGTTGTCTAGGATATGCTTGTCTCTGAGATCTAGATGGATGAGGCATTTGACTTTCAAGATCGTTATGCACCACAACGTAAACATCAGGTTTGCGCTGGTATGAGTATGGTGGGTATTTGGCTATTATATACCATGAATGGATAAGACCAGGGAAGTAACCTAGTATGCAAAGAGCAATGTTGATCAATGAGTCACAAGAACATATCCCTCTCCTTATCCATACTGGCAAAGGCGGGAAAAATACAGAAAGCAAAATCAAAATTAGATCGGAAAGGCAACCACACATTATTTATTCTATTTGGATAGTGAAGACTGAAGTATTAATAAAAAGGTTCAAAGGGTGAGTTATTTATATTTCTGTCAACTTTGCCTCCTCTAGGTGCGTGGGTCATTTCTTTTTTTTTTATTTTTTCTTCTTCTTCTTGTTCTTCTTTTCAGTAAACGGAAACTGATAGCGCATTTGTCGTCCAAGAAATGCGACATTTCTCTACACCAAATCTACGACATTGGTTTGTTTGCCTTCTGTAAGATTCCATGGCAAAAAAAAAACACTGTGAATTCATCAAACGATCTCTTTCTACACACCGTTTAGTAAGCAACAACAGACAAAATGGCCTCAATCGCTCTCAATATAACTTATGGAGCTTCTAGTAAAAAGTTCACCATCCCTAAATCAACCACAATATCGCAGCTCGTTTCCGAAGCACTCCCAAAGTTTGGAATATCAAAAGATGAATATACAGGCACACTTTCCTACAATTCTAAACCGCTTGATTCGTCTCTTCCTATTCGTCTAACTCCACTTCTAAACAACTCCAAATTGAAGCTTTCAGTTAGCAAACTTGATCTCGATTTCGATGTCAATGTGAAATTAACGGTGGATGGAGCTAGTTCAATCAAGAAATGTGGGGCAAGTTTGACCGTTCGTGAATTGCTTGATCTTTTCGCTGTTGATCTTACAAGAGACAGCGAAGTGCGGATCTTGGATTTGAAATTGACTTCCAGCTCAGGTCAATATGATTCGGTCAAATTAGGAAGTGTCGTGACTAAGAAAGTTGGCAGTGTTGTTATTCGATTGAACTACACCAAGCTGGTAAGTGAGCAGGAAAAGATAAACCTTGAACAGCAAGAAGCGGTAAAGTTGCAACTAGAAGGTGAAAGAAAGAGAAAGCTCGAGGAAGCAGAAAGAAGAAGACAGGAAGAGGAAAAAGCAAATACTGAAAGACTTTTGAAAGAACAGAAGCAAGAACAGGAAGAAAAGACTGCACACGTTGAACCTATGGATATCGATGAAGAGAAGCCATTGCAACAATTTCATGATCACAAGAAAGTGCTTGAGGATGTGGATTCAGCCACCACTCCAAGCAAACAGTCAACTCCTATTGATCCTGTCTATGTTGAAGAACCACTTGCTGAAACGCCTCAACTTTACGTTCCCTCTACTTCTAGTAAGGTTAGTACTTATGAGAACCCTGACGAAGATTACGAAATGACATTGGGCCAAGCTAAAGCATATCACAACATCGTTAAAAACTCGGGGGTTAGAAAGAAGAAGGTATCGCCTTCTCCAGCCTCCTTACCTTCCAAATATCTTATCAGAGTTAAATTTCCTGATTTAACTATTCTTCAAATTAACTTCCTTGAAGATGTTCATCTTGTTAAATTTGGTCAGCTAGTTAAAAGGATTGATGAATTACTCTATCCGGATTTCATAAACGGTTACAATTTGAAATTGGGATACCCGCCATTCTCGCCTCTTGGGCAATCATTTGATATGAATAGCAAGTTGCTTCATGAAATGCCTGATTTCAAGAGTGAACGAATCACCCTTATCTGGGAGTTGGCCAAGAATGACTTGAACATATCAGGGCCATATGTCAAGAGTGAAGGTGACGTCACAGTTAGAGCAACAACTGAGATGCCAGGGCAAGTATTGGAAAGCATGAGAGGGGAATTACCTGATGATGAACAAGAAAAGAAACCTCCTAAAGAAGTGACTGGTCAAGCTAGCTCCGAATCCAAGAAACCAAATAAGCTACCAAAATGGTTGAAGTTTAAGTAGTTATCTAACCAATAAACGAGAATTCCGCTATCCAGCTGCCGTAAATATCTAATATATATATAGAGAGAGAGGGAGAAATAGTCCTGACAACGGGCCGAATTCGCAGATGCAGCCGATAATGCAACGTAAACGGTGAGCGAAGATCAAGTATTGTATAGTAGTGGGTTCCGTTGAACCGCATCTATTAATAAATTGGATGCTATAGCACAATGCATTGTTGAAGAGCACGTGATAAAGGAGTCTCTTTGTTCTCCAACGGATCGACCTATTGTGGAAAAACAATACTCCTCAAATGCGCAATTGAGAGGGAGAGGGGGAGGAGGGTTTTGTATAAGTGGTGTGTAATGAATTTACTATGTCTGGTGCTTTCAGAATCTCGTGACGCCTTCGTTAGAACGTAAGCTATTAGTGACACTTGACTACCAATTATTCTCAATACAAAAATGCTTGCATGGAGGATCGGTTACGAAGTAGTCTGTTCCTAAACCAGTAAAGCGCGCTTAATCAGGAAACTAAATATTATTCACTCCTGCATGAAATGTGTTTGTGACACATTTATTAGTAATCTGAACCAATAAGAAAAAAGGCGCACTAGCGTCGCGTACTGAGATCTACGAGCATAGTTATTGTGCAGGGACACTATGCGTAACTTTCATACTCTTGATCTCGTATGAAAAAAAATTATAAATAATGTGAAATTCCGCACAACTGAAAAATTTTTCACTGCTACTCTTTTTTCCCCTATATCCTCAACAAACAACAGCAAACTCCTAAATACTTTTAAATTTTTTACTTATTTTTCCCCGTTTTACTAAAGAGATTGCTATTAAAGATGTGTTAAATCACCCCATTATATTATAATATATAAAGAGTTTGTTTAAAGAGATTTTATTAAGAAATAAAATAAACTAATAACCCCCCGTTAAAGATGTTGAGATAAATTAAAGTTACATACCCGTCCACTATGACGTATACTACTACTACTACTACTGCCCCAGAAAGTTGCTATTACTACTAAAGATTACTGATTACAATAAATTTACTACCTTACTGCCATTATTAAAGAATTGTTAAATTTAAAAATGTCTGCTACTACTCCTATGTTATTCGAAGATTCATTGTTTGAATCTCAGATTTTAATTGCTTCCGATGAACACACAACCAACGACGTTGTTGTTCCCGCCACTAAGCAAATCCATGTTGAACCAGAATTAGGTTCAGCATTGCCTATGGAACGTAAACCTGGACCAGCCTCACCAATGCCCATTCACTCGAGTGTGCTTGACCTGGTTTTCAGTTGTACCATGGATGAATTGGAAAACACTCCTATGTTTGATGAGTTGGACCTCATCGTTGATGGCTCCAAGGTCAACACCAAGGATGACTGGGTTTCCTTATTTGGTGCTGTCACCAGTACTAATGACGAACCTTTACTCTCGTTGGATGATTTAGGTGCCATTGATGATGAAGAAATTGTTCCTCGCGACGAGGCATTCAATTCAGATGCTACTGTTTCCGCTGAGTCGGCAAACACTACTGCTACTTCAAGTCCAGGTGTTGCTCCATCAACCACTGCCACTTCGATGACAATTGGTTCCAAGAGACGCTTCACTGAAGTTGAGGAATCCTTTGAGTTCCTGGTTCCTAACCAATTGTTTACTCCAAACCCATCATCAACCCTCCCAACACCATTGCTTGATTCTAAGAAGAAGTCAACCAGTTCTAAAGTTGACCACTTGGGCTGTGTTACATACTCCAAGAAGTCTAGATCTCAACCATTGCAACCAGTTGTAGCTGATTCGAGTGACCCTGTTCTGCTTAAACGTGCTAAGAACACTGAGGCTGCTCGTAGATCTAGAGCTCGTAAGATGGAACGTATGACACAATTAGAAACAAGAGTTGAAGAGTTGATTGATGAAAAGACTGGATTGGAACAAGAAGTTTTGAGGTTAAGAGAGTTGCTTACTAAGAATGGTATCCAATACTAATTCTAGTTTAGCTAACCTGGTTTGATTTTTACGAGAATTGTTTAAATATGTTTTATATATAAGAATAATAATAATTTTAAAATTAGATTTAATTATAACTGTAGTCGTGTATTTCTATGTGACGCAAGATTAATGGACTAATTCGCTTAGTGTATTGAAGTTACTTAATGTAAACGAATAAGGACCAATGCTCGATAATGTTATTTTCTGCTATTTTTCAATACCTTTGGAATCGAATAAAGAGATGATAGGGTTGGCTGTCCACAACCTTTATGGATAATCAAATCCTAATGACTGATTAATGTTGGTGAATTACTGTGTGAGTTCTTGTACCTGTAGAACGCATGTTGAATAAAATAGATCTCGTAAATACTGTGGCCCACGTGAAAAATATTAGGGTTGGGGCTGCATCCTGCACCAAAATAATTTATTTGCAACCATCTTTTCTAGAAGTTTTAAATTGCTTAATAATTTGTATAAACTGATCCTCTATATGGTAATATATTCGTGATTGCTGTAGCATGTATATTACTTTGTTTGGTAAGTCAATTTGTTAAAGTATCTTGTCGATCTACAAATTATTTATATTTTACATAAAATATTAACAAAAAGTTTACTAAATATTATACTTAGCTGTTTAATTCCAATATGTAAACATGAATATCAGGCTAAACACAGTTCATATGATTATTAGCTGCTTAAATCCTGAACTTCAAATGCAATTCTAATTATAGTTATTCTTTATTTAGTAATTATTATCTCCGTTTTGTTGCATGGTGCCCCCCCTCATGCGCGCGAGGGAGTCCCAATATTTCTAGCTTGACTGCAACAACATGCGGAAGACCCTGTGACGGCTGACCGCTTTTCTCATATAATCAGAAAAGAAATTATCTAGTGGAAGAGGCAACCGGCTACGTCCGTGATATCCGCTTGTTTATGTCACACAATAAATTCATCGACCGCCTTTAGACCATCTGCTCGCTTAAACATAAATCCGATTTTTTCCTTTCTTTTTTTTTGTTTTTAATCCTCGCTACCATCTGGAATATAAATTCGAGACCTGAATCGTTTTTAGCACGCGGTTAGTTTCCGCATTTCAAAAATATTTTTTAGGCGAAATAAATTATTTTTATGCAAATTTTTCATATGGATTCGTGAAATGTTCACTTTCCCCCTCGGTAATTCCGTTTTGCAATCTATGGTTTTGCTTATCAACAAAACCTGGAGATATACGCCTATCAATAATTGCATATTGCTGATATGAATTGCGTCTCTAAATTATTTTGGAATGTTAATTACGGGGTTGATTAATTGTGAATTGATAGCGACTGAATTAGACACAATGGGAGAGGGCTGAGCGCTGGAATCACATACCCTTCTTGATTATGTTAAACGAACGGGAAAACCCCGATGGAAATTAACTATTTAATTAAATCTTTAATTAACTCTCGCAAAATTTTGACTCCTGATACATACAAATCAGTTTGTGATTCTTTTTTCATTTCAATTGATAGGCCAGCGCAATAGAAAAACAATTATCAATTTACGAAAAAATAAAAGGGAAAAGGTTCCCTAAAAATATTCAAGTGCCGTTCCGATGGGGGCACAAAACACGCAACTGAGAACGATCGTTCGAGAAGAGATGTACTTTTCTTAGCGTGTTTGCTGGTTGGACATAGTTAGGAGTAATTACAACATTTATTATGCTTCCAGTGAGAACTATATAACTGGAGGTCAAGAAAAATCCACCAACAATGCATCAGTGGCGCCATTCTGGAGAGGCAAGACCCCGCGGAGGAAGCGAAACTTGTTTGATAAAGATGCATATAGTTATCTCTTCAAACTCGATATCTCTGCTTCTATCAGTATCTTGCGCTCCCCTCTCCCTTGTCTGTGTCCAATGCATCGGGTTTTCCTTATCTCAATTCAAAATATTTTTTGAGCCTTTCGGGCTAGTAAATGAGTTATTTTTTCTGTGTTTCTAAGGCAATTCCACCAATATCCTGTATACAGTTGGAAAATAACCAAATGTATATTGTTCGTCTTGACGTAAAAAATAAAAATCCATTGTTACCGTTTCTTTTTTTCCACATTATTTTTTCATATTTCCTTTTTGCATGAGATGGTGACTTAAAATTTTTTTTTACAAAGGGAAGTATTGTCATGATTTACTTACATAGAGAGACTCTGCCAAGATCTATCACAATATATAAAAAGAAATGCAAATTTCTTTCAGATTTTTTTCACTTTTTGAAACTTTTTCTACTCCAGAAGAAACTACCGCTAGGTTTTATCAACCCAATCTTCCCAAAGCTTATTTAAACCTTTATTTAAACTACCACTACTTTTACCCACCTCCCCCAAAATCACCGTCTCTATATTTACTAAACCATATCCCCCCCATCATAGTAAATATACTTCATTCCCTTTCCATCCAATTCAAATTAATTGCAATAAATTTATTATAACATACAATGTCAGATCTCGAAAAATCTACCGAAAAGGGTTCCATTGAATCTCCACTTGTTCAGCAAATAAGTGCCACCACTACTGAAACCAACTTTATTGATCGTTGGGCCCAAAAGCTTAATGCCGAAACTAAAGGTATTGAATTGGTCACTGATGAAGAAAAAACTGATACTTCCCTTTGGAATGCTGCTACTATGTGGCTTTCTGCCAATTTAGTCATTGCCACCTTCTCCTTGGGTGCATTGGGTGTTACCGTTTTTGATTTAGCATTTGGTCAAGCATGTTTGGTTATTATTTTCTTTTCTGCGTTAGGTGTTTTCTTTGTTGCATTCTTTTCTTGTTTTGGTCCAGTCTTGGGGTTAAGACAAATTATCTTGTCTAAATTCTTAATTGGTGATTATACCACCAGGATTTTCGCCGCCATCAATGCTGTTGCTTGTGTTGGTTGGGGGGCAGTTAATATCATGTCCTCAGCTCAATTGTTACACATTGTTAACAACCAAACTTTACCACCATGGGCTGGTTGTTTGATTTTGGTTGTTTTGACTATCTTAGTTACCTTTTTTGGTTACAATGTTATTCATCATTATGAAAAGTGGTCATGGATTCCAAACTTGGCTGTTTTCCTTGTCATTATTGCCAGATTCTCCATGTCCGGTAACTTTACCAGTGAAGCATTTGTTGGTGGTCCAACTACTGCCGGTAACGTCTTGAGTTTTGGTGGTACCATTTTCGGTTTCGCTACCGGTTGGACTACCTATGCTTCTGACTATACCGTTTATCAACCACGTAATGCTAACTTGTACAAGATTTTCTTTTCTATTTTCTTTGGTTTATGGTGTCCACTTTTGTTCACTTTGATTCTTGGTGCTGGTTGTGCTACTGGTACTTTAACCAACCAAAGATGGGCTGACTTGTACAATGAATACTCAGTTGGTGGTTTAGTTTACGCTATTATTGTTGAAGATTCCTTACATGGTTTCGGTCAATTCTGTTGTGTCCTTCTTGCTTTGAGTACTGTTGCCAACAATGTTCCAAACATGTACTCCCTTGCCCTTTCCGTCCAAGCTTTCTGGAGTCCTTTAGCTAAGGTTCCAAGAGTTTGCTGGACTATTTTAGGTAATTGTGTTACTTTGGCTATTTGTATTCCTGCTTATTATTTGTTTGAATCTGTTATGGAAAATTTCATGAACTTGATTGCTTATTACCTTGCCATTTATGAATCCTTAATGTTGGCTGAACATTTTGTTTGGAATAAAGGTAAGTTTTCTGCTTACGATTATGAAAACTTCCATGATAAGAAGAGTTATCCAATTGGTATAGCTGGTACTTTTGGATTTTGTTGTGGTGTTGCCGGGGTTGTTTTAGGTATGAATCAAACTTGGTATTCTGGTGTTATTGCTAGACAAATTGGTGAATTCGGTGGTGATATTGCATTTGAATTAGGTTTCGCTTTTAGTTTTATCGGATTCAATGCTGTAAGATACTTTGAAAAGAAGTACTTCCGTTAGAGTTTTCCCAATTTCTTCTTGCATATATTTATACCACGTCACGTAAACGAACCCTATTTTTGTATCTTTATGTCCATTTGTACTTTTAATATTTAATAATAATAGATTTAGAATGATTTACTTTTTTGTAATTGAAGGATCCTGCTTTCTTTAGTTAGTATTATTAGCTGGAAGTTCACGTTTCGCCGAATACTTGGAGAGAATGTAAACAAGAACGTCAGCCAACATACATACACATTCTGTAGTTTACCTATCCTCTTACTAAACCGCATCAATAAGTATATTTGAAGGAGTTTTAACGGGTAGGGGCTGTGTGTGTTTGCAAATGAGGTGGATAAAGAGGTGGTTGTCAATGGCGAAAATTTTTGGCTGCCACTTTTTCTGGTCTATATTTGGACCATAATTACCACCTTACTTTTCAACATGGCCAACAAGTTTCTCAGGTCTTCTCATAATGCATGTATAATCTATTTCTATGTACAAGAGTGTATTTACAAACTATATTGCTTCTGCAATTCTTGGTATCTCCTTTCATAATCACACAACACCATCATTTCCTTAAATTCTGCTTTGAACTTATCCAGAAATTGTCCATTTTGTCGTTGCAAATATTGTGGCAAGAAATAAGTTAATAGCCAACCGACAGCACGACTATCGATTGTTCTCTTGCAATATTCAATCCAAAGCAAACATAACTCTTCGTCAAAGATGTTTTCCACAAGTTTATAGCTGCCGGTGTTCAATTTGATCGTGTTTGAATCTTGAGAATCAACCAAGATTTTATCAAATAATAATCCGAAATATGCGTGCAAGTTAAGATCAAGACATGCTTTCATTATCACATAAACACACTGTCTTGAAATTGTTAATTCCGGGGCAAGGAATATGGATTGAGGGATTCTAATAAGGTGGATACCTGATCTAGACCACATATAGGGATGCCTCTCTTTAATAACCTGATCTAATTGTAAAAAGGCAAGGAGATCTACGGCAGTTTCCACGTCTTGGTTTCGTGCTTGATATGCGAATATAGGACCAAGAATATCTGGATGTGCTAGTATCAAGTGCAGGAAATGATCAGGCATAAGTGGTGCAGTGAGTTGTTCTGGGTGCTTGGCAAGCACAGTTGTTTGGTGTTTATAGTGGAACAAGGATAGGTATACAATGGTTGCGAAATTGTAAAGTCCAAATCGTTGGAACTGGGAAAGTAAATATGTCCATATTTCAAGCGTAGGGGTATTCTTATTGCATTGTATGAGTGCCTGCACTATCTTTAGTCCAAGGGCTATATGATTAGAATCTTTTTGGTACTTGTCAAATGCCAGGTCAAATCGATTAATATATTCCGAAGAATCCTTCACCGTCAGATGAAACCGTATATAATCTTCTCCTAATATTGCTGGGGTAGTATCGGATTTCCAATAATTCAAGTATTGTCCTGATTTATAGTGGTGGAACTTGTATCTGTACTGTTCAAGGGAATTAAACCAGGAAGATTCTTTAATATGATCAATGGCATATTTCAAGTTTGTAGGATTATGTAGTTCAGGAACACCTTTCAGTTTTAGTCTTTCTTCAATGGAAATCGATTCAAGAAGGGAATGCGATATTAGCAAGATTGTTGATTTCATGTCCACATTAGTATATGAAAGACTACCAAGGATGTGCTCAAGGTTCTTATAAGTAGCAGTTTGCAACTTTGAATCCCTACTAAACATCGACAGAACAATCTTTGGGTTGTCGGCTATGTCAAGAACTTTCTTATGATGTTTCAAGTACTGGTCGACTAGCGTGTAATTCTCTTGGTAATGTTTAACAGCTTTTCCTTCGCGTTTTCGTATAGCTCCCAGGACAACACGGTTGATGTGTTCCTTGTGGGCGGGATCTTGGGTTTGTTCAGAAGTACGAGAGACATACCGTCGAGTGATTCGACCACACGGCATTCGCCTCGCTCGAAACAAGAACATTTAGTTGTATTTAGCTTCTGTTGCAATGCTAATTAATGGGCTTTGTAGTGAAATCAAATTTTGTAAAACCTAAAAAAATGGCCAAGCACATCACGTGACTAAAGGGTGTGCTGGACGCAAGGGAAAAAAAAAGTTGACAAGTTTAATTTTTCAAAAAAAAAAAGGTCGTCGGATTAAAATTGATCCCCTTTTCCCACACTTTAACATAAGTATCTACCTGGATTCACAATGAAATTCACTTCTGTTTTAACTTTGTTTACCGCAGCCATTGCGTCTGTTTCCGGTTACGAGACTACATCTGAACCAAACGCAATTGGTATACTTGCTGATTACCACATTGTTCAAACTCCTAATATCAAATCTAATGATGTTGCCAACTGGATAAATGACGAAACTGTTACTATCAGCTACCAAATCCAAAACAACGAAGCAGAAGAAATCACTCTTATTGGAGTCACTGGTTCCTACAGAGACCCAACCACAGGTGAAATTGCCTCTAACTTGACCAATGCCAGAATTGATGCTTTGGTTATCGAACCAGGTACCTCTGGTAGTTTTGAGCAAGATATTGCCGTCAATTTAATTCCAGGTAACTATCTTTTAGTTCCACAAATCTTCTTGGCCCACGAAAACCAAGTCAAGGTTCTTACTGTCAGAGGCCAATTGCTTACCATTGACGATGCTCCAATCTCCATTTTTGACCCAAGATTAATCTTGTTGGAATTGGTCTTGCTTGCTTCCCTCGGTGGATTGGCTTACCTTGGTTACGACATCTGGGGTAAGCAATACTTCCAAGGTGTTGTTCCAGTCAAGGCTGCTGCTGCCACTCCAAGAAAAGGTGCTTCTCCTTCAAGTGAAGGTTCCTCCAGAAGTGGTACTCCTTCCGGTTCAAGCTATGACGTTAATTGGATTCCTGAAGGTCACTTGAAGCAAAAGAAGACCAAGAAGACCGCATAACCATGTCCAATCACTTTAGTGTATAATTTTTTTCTGTGTAACGGTGTATAAGTTTAAGTTTTCTATGACGATAAGAGTCTAAATAAATAAATACTCAGCCTCGATGCTACCATGTCAACAATATCCAATTTGTATGCAGGAACACAAAGCAATCCTATTTTTATACCCAAACAATTCTAAACAAAAGTGTTGCAAGAAAAGTTTACACACAGATCACCGCCTGTTTATAGACCTATAGAGATGAAACTATACCTCAATGAAAGGCCGCGTACATTTGTACTTGCCACAAACACCCACGCCCTTGTTATACGACACCCTTGGCCGCGATACAAAGAACGCAGGTTGAAGAAATTGATGTCGTCTCTGCATCTGAATGACAAACAAAAACACAAGGATAGCGCCAATAAAGTATTGGTTGAGTTTATACATCGTGATTCTCTTGATTTGTCCAGTTTTAGAGACATCACACCGAGAAGCTCCTTGCTTGGATTCCTTGGATTAATTAACGTCAAGGGGAATATCTATCTTGGGTTTGTCACCAATGATGAGTTTATAGCAAGTCCAACGATTGCCGAACGAATCTATCGCATTACCGGGGTTGAGTTTTATTGCTTGGATAACGATGAATACGATGATTTAATATATCAGGAAGAACAGTTGGAACGAGAAAAGCTAGTTATGGAATACCCTGCTGAGTCAGTTAACAAGTTGTTGTCCAGTGGGGCGTTTTTCTATTCGAGACAATTTGACGTTACTTCAAACATTCAAGAGCGAGGGGTGTCTACAGACAGTGATTCGTTCAAGCTAATTGCTGATACCGACTATTTCTGCCGGTTTCAATGGAATAGATTTATGATGAATGAATTTATGGAGTTTAGAAATAGATTGTCTATTTATGAACAACATAAATTTGATGCCACGGGATTCTGCATAATTATAGCCAGAGGATACGCCAAGACTGTAAACACGGAAATCAATGGAGAAGAAGCATTATTGACATTGATCTCTAAACAGGCATGCCTTAAAGAAGGTCCATTATTTGGTGATTGGGGTGCTGACGGGAATGGATACACTTCAAACTTTGTTGAATCAGAAATCGTAGTGTATTGTCGAAAATTCGTCTTGTCTTATGTTATAGTACGGGGGAATGTACCGATATATTGGGAAATGGAAAACAGCAAGAACATTCTATCCACCAACACCAAAAGAATTGTATTTCCACGTTCATTCGAAGCCAGTCAACACGCCTTCAGTCGACATTTTGAAATCTTGGCCAACCAATTCGGTGATGTTCATATAATAAACACATTAAGCCAAGACACAAGGACGTATAAAGGGATGTTGTGTCATGCATACCAACAACATATTGAATATCTCAACAAGACCCTCGTGGAAACTGGGTTTCAGTTATTGTACTCAAATATACCCATTCCAACTGCCCGCATGAAGAAACTCGGGTATACTGGGTCTAATCCTTATGATATAGTATCGCTTATTTCCACATCACTTATTGATTTTGGGGCGTTGTTGTATGATAATTTGGATCAGAACTTTATTGGGAAGCAATTAGGTATATTCAGAATAAATTCATTTGATTGTTTGAAGAAAGTGGACTTTTTAGGAAAGATTATAAGTCAAGAGGTGTTAGAGTTGGCATTTCGGGATGTGGGGATCAGCCTTGATCGAGATGTGTACACCAAACACGGTCAGTTATGGCATGAAAATGAGCAGTACTTGTCTAAGCTTACATCCAAGTTTGCCAGTACTAGTGACAAATTACAATCTTCCAGTGCAACTTCGCGTCCATCCACCATGAAATCCCATATCAAGAAGAAATACCTCAGTGGGGTGGTTGTTGAATCGAAACCTAATGAAATTGCCATTTTGAAATTGTTAGGAAGATTACAAGATCAAACTAGTTTAAGTTTACACAATCCCATTCATGACTATGTTTCACGTGAATTGAAACGACAAGCGCAATTGTACACTTCCCCTTTAGATATCAATTTGTACACTTCTACATTCAATGTTAATGGAAGCACGTATGATGGGGATATCACCAAATGGATATTCCCTGATAACACCTTGAAGGATTATGACTTGGTATTTATTGGCTTGCAAGAGATTGTTGAATTGAACCCGCAACAAATGGTGAATACCGATGTTAAGAACAAGTATCATTGGGAACAGAAAATATTAGAATGTTTGAACAAGAACGAGAATAAGTATATGGTTATGTGGAGTGGACAATTAGGGGGATTGGCTTTACTCTTATATGTTAAACAAGATCAATTGAAGCATATTTCTAACATTGAATGTTCATTTAAGAAAACCGGTCTAGGAGGAGTAAGTTCAAATAAAGGTGGGGTTGCTGTAAGTTTCAAATACTGTGATACCAGTTTCTGCTTTGTGTCTAGCCATTTAGCTGCCGGGTTGACCAATGTTGAAGAAAGACACAATAACTACAAGACATTATCCAAGGGGATCCAATTCAGCAAGAATAAACGTATCAAGAACCATGATATTATTATCTGGCTTGGGGATTTCAATTATAGAATTGGATTACCCAACACCCATGTCAAGCAATTGATCGAAGCCAAGAAGTTTGGGAAATTATTTGAGTTTGATCAGTTGAATCAACAAATGGCGAATGGGGAGAGTTTCCCGTTTTATAACGAGTTAGAAATCAAGTTTCCACCAACATATAAATTCGATAATGGAACCAAGACATATGATACTAGTGAGAAACAAAGAATTCCCGCTTGGACCGATAGAATTCTTTACCAGTCACCGACAAATATCGTGAAACCGTTAGTTTACAATTGTGACCAGGATTTAATATTTTCCGACCATCGGCCGGTTTATGCCATGTTTAAAATCACTGTGAATGTTATTAACAATTCTATAAAGAAAAACTTGTCTAATCAATTATACGAAACTTACAAAAAGACCCATGGTGGAATTAATGATATCTTAACATCCAGTTTTGATTACCTTGATCTTGATGATACCAAGACATTACCGCCTCCAAGTTCAGACAAACAAAAGTGGTGGTTGGAAAGAGGAATGTCAGCAAAAGTTGTCATTAATCAACTTGATGAAATACCTGTCGATGGCAATTCCATGGTTATAAACCCTCGTCGACCGATCAATCCGTTTGTGAAAACCGAGCAGCCAGAGTTCATAACCAAGAGTGACTTATTGAATATGTTAAGTAAATAGACATTTAATGACTGGATTGCGTATCTCCTGTAGGTTCTTCTTGCTTCTGCTCTTCTTGCTTAGGCTCTTCTTGCTTAGGCTCTTCTTGCTTAGGCTCTTCCACCTGCTTGAGCTCTTCCTGGCTGATAGCTTGGGCTTCTTTAAGGATTGATTCGAGTTTCAGTTCGAAATTATCCAACATTTTTTCTAAATTAGCAGCTTGTTTTTCTGCTTCATTTAACTGCTTGTATGTATCAGCAATACTAGCTTGACTTTCTTGTGTCATAGTGTGATTGTATCAACCTCGTGTGTTGCTATTGACATGGTTTTTTTTTATGACGCGGATTGTCTTTTTTAAATCGCAAAAAAAAGATAAAATTTAGCGCTTGCAACTACACTGTTTATACAATGGTCATGGTTTACTAAATAAACGATTTTCTTTACTATGTACTAAACACGGGGGAATTGAAATGTCAAATAAATAAAAACACTTTACTTGAGATCACCATTTCTATGTAATCCATTCAAGACAGAAATAAGCGACAAGAAAGAAGCTTGAGAAACATCAGTATGGATACCCACACCCCATCTGGTAACTTTATTACCCAAGGCAATTTCAATGTATGTTGCTGCACGAGAAGCAGAGTCATTGTCACCAAGAGAATGTTCATGATAGTTCTTGACGGTGATATCAATGTTAAAGTGCTTGGAAATAGCGTCAGTGAAAGCAGAAAGTTGACCGTTACCTTGACCACTGATCTTGACTGACTTACCGTCGATATCTAATTCAGCATCGATTTGCTTGACTCCCTTGCTTGGAGAAGTTATAGAATAGTCAACCAATTTGTAGTGAGTTGGTGGTGCATCTTCATCATAGTCAATAAAGTATTCTTGTTTGAATAATTCACACAATTCTTCATTGGTTAATTCTTGACCCTTAACTTCAGCACGATCTTGAACAACTTTACTGAATGCAATCTGTAACCCTCTTGGTAAGTCTAATTCCAAGTTACGTAAAATAACCCAAGCTGACCCACCTTTACCGGATTGAGAATTGACTCTGATGATGGCTTCATAAGTTCTTCCAATATCTTGAGGATCCAATGGCAAGTAGGGTAATTTCCAGTGAACTTGTTTTCCTTGAGCCTTTTCCTTTTCCTTTTCATGGGCAGCAAACCCTTTCTTGATGGCATCTTGATGCGACCCACTAAATGCACAAACAACAAGCGAACCACCATATGGTGCTCTAGCATGAACGGGGATCTTGTTACACTTTTCAACAATATCAATCACGGAATTTATATCGGAGAAATCCAATTTAGGAGAAATACCCTGGGTGTACAAGTTAAGGGCCAAAGTAACCAAGTCAACATTACCAGTACGTTCACCATTACCGAAAAGACACCCTTCAACACGGTCTGCACCAGCTAATTGACCCAATTCTGCAGCAGCAACCGAACAACCACGGTCATTGTGTGGATGTAAGGAAATACAAACGGTTTCTCTATTGGAAATATGGGTAGCGAAATATTCAATTTGGTCGGCATACACGTTTGGAGTGGCCATTTCAACAGTAGCAGGTAAGTTGAAAATTATTGGCTTTTCCTCAGTTGGTTCCCAGGCAGCCTTGACAGCTTCACAAACCTCAACAGCATAATCTAAATCAGTATCTGAGAAAGTTTCTGGAGAAAATTCAAAATCCCAATCAGTACCAGCTGTGGAAGGATCATCTTTAGTTAATTTTCGCACCAACTTAGTACATTCAACTGCTTTACGCTTTGATTCTTCTTTGGAAAGACCAAAAACAACATTACGGAAACAGTCGGAAGTGGCCAAGTAAATATGCACCGTGGCTCTTTTGGCACCCTTTAACGACTCCACGGTTCTAGTGATCAACTCCTCACGACAAGGAGACAAAACTTGAACGGAAACATCAGCAGGAGCAGTTTCAACAGCAAACCTGGTGAAATCAAAATCAATTTGGGAAGCCAGCGGGAAGGCAACTTCGATTTCCTTAAACCCGATTTCAACTAACTTTTGGAAATATTGTTTCTTTTCAGAAATTGACATTGGATCAGGTAAGGATTGGTTACCATCTCTTAAATCAGTGGATAACCATCTGGGGGTCTTGTTCAATGACCGGGATGGCCATTGACGATTAGGTAAATGAACGTCAGGAAATTTCTTATATTTGACAGAAGGATCGGCTAACATAGGCATGATGGATACTTTCTTACTATACAAACCAAAAAAAGAGATATGAAATATGAAAAAATTTCTGGGTATATTTATACGACTGAAAAATGACCCAACTATTACTCATATTTTTCTTTTTTTTTTTGGTTCTCCAGGAAAAAGAAAAATTTCATTCATCCCCCGGAACACGTGATCCAGCCGCTTCCGGAGTAAACACCACAATTTCTTTTTCCCTTTCGGTCCGCAAAACAAAACTTTCTCCGAGAGTTTACTAGTACAGTGTGCAGAACAGTTTTTCAAACCTTCGATTCGGTTATTCACGGGTATGTTGTTGACTCTTTCCACTCCGAAATCGCTATGAAATGCTATGGCATTTGAATTACTCCGGAATGGATATGCTGTGATTTCGCTAAAACACGCCGTGCTAGATTGGAGTTGACTACCCAATAGCAAACAATATATGTACAATGACTAATAAGTGGGGATGGAACTAACCATTGTTTCTACATGATAATCAAAGAGGAGAAAATGAATCAATACAATACAATATCATAACCACGGTTGCATCTAGTTTAGGTGGGCTAATGAAAGATATTTTCACGTAGAGGGAAGTATTGTTTACAGTTAATCGAATCATAGTAAATTATGTTATTGAAACAAATCTTACTAAACATACAACCTACAAATTAAACCAAGAAAATGTAATAGCGAGCAATAAGATTATTTACTTAACCATTAATCATTGGTTAAATGCACCTATTCTTCTTCCATATAACTAGCAGCTTCTACAAAGTTTATTTGTATAATTTTGTAGTATTTTATACCACAGTGTAAGTCGAGATCTTTTTCGAGCTTGTTGGTCTTTGGTTCTATCTTTCTCGTGTCTGCTGTCGAAAAATAAAACTCTACCTTAGCCATCGTACTTGGCTCAACACATAATCTAGGGAACAATAGACAAATTAGTTCAGCTATAGAAAATCAACCGTAACTAAGATCACCCAATGGCTCTGAAAAATACCACTTACATTCCAGGCTGTTTCTAAAACCTGGTTATCTCATCCCCCCTTCTTCCAAAAGTGTGATTGGTTTGATTCTAATTTCTCAACTTGATCAACACTCTGTCCAAGAATAACTCATATTTCGCCGGGGATTTTTCATAAACTCCGATGGTGGCTTGGCGTTTGTATATTTGTGCCACGGTTTCCCAAGTCTAATACCACTTGATCCACAGAGTTGGTACGAATGTTTAATTTATATCAGCAAATACTTGGTGTGATATGAATTATTAGCCGCCAAGTTATGCATTCAAATGACTATCAAGTGCTGGGATATATTCCAAGAAAAATACTTGAAACCTTTCGTTCTTTTAGTTGATTGAAATCTGTAAATATTCGCACTGACAAGTTTTGTCTCATGCTTTTATAGCCAAGGTATATTCTTATATATATTACCAATATCACAGTCATACACCAAGAAAATGATAGCATCTACAAGAAAACGAGCCCTATAGGGCAAGTTGGCAACAAAATTCTTGTCTCTTTCCACGTCCTACGAATAACATGAGCAAGTATAATTGCGAACCATTAAAGAGGAAATTATCAAAGTAGAAATTGCCTTAGAAGGGAACACTCGTAAAGAAGCTATTTCAGAAAAAGCCATCTCAGAAGAAACCACCAAAGAAGAACACACTGAAGTAGAAACTACCCCAGAACCTACTACTGTGGTTTCCACAGAGGAAGAACCTATGCCCACATTCAAGCCTTTGAAATTCCACATGTACTTGGCACAACCGAGAGCATAATTGACTTAATGAGAATTTACAACATATACTAGCTGTAGACCATCATGATTATAGACTTTTGCTAAACAACTATACAGGTTAAAATAAAAAAAACGTTACAAATCGTCGGCAAAAAAAAAGTTCGGTGATAAAAATAGTTATATTATATACAGTACCATGCAAGTAAAGTCGTTTAACCCATCTATCAATTTATACTTTCTTTCAAGTAAATCAACAATGAAAAGTTTATTAAGATTAAACAAAACGAAATATATTATATAATATGACATACACAAAAATGGAGTTAAAAAAAAAAAGTAAGTTATGGTCTGCAAAAACTCTTTGTAGTTATGAAGATTATTCCTTTTTTCAGAACAGTCAATAATCCGATTAGCCCGTAAAAGGTAATAACAGATTTAAAAACACCCCATAGGGCACTATTAATTTCTAGTACCGAAATAAGCACCTAAAATAACAGCAAGAATAATGATTATAATAACACAAATGAAGAAACACCACAACTTCTTTTTTCTGGCTGCTTTAGCACTCTTTACAGCCTTATTAGTATGACCTACACCCTGTTCAATATCATGTTGAGCAGCAGCAACTTGCTCCTCAATTTGTTGGATTGGTTGATCTTGTTCAATGACCAATTCTTCCATATCATGGAACAATTGAGTTAATTCTGCCATGGTCTTTTCTAACTTGATCAACTCACGATGTCTAGTTTGGACGTCATTCAACACTGATCTGGCCTCACCTCTTCTATTTGATTGTAATAATGCTTGTTGGAAATATTGCTCACTACCGTCTTCAACCACAGCCTTCAATTCAGCGTCGGTGGCATTAGGGTTAATAATTCTATATTGTCTCTCGGCTTGTTGTTTATTTTCTTCCTTATTGTTAGCTTCAACCATTCTATATTCTTGAATCAAATCCAAGAATCTCTTTCTACATGTTTCTGCTTGGTCAAGCTTGGTTTGATCACGGCTATGAACAGCTTGAGTTTGAACATTCTTAATTCGAGATTTCAATTCTAATTGCAAAGATTGGGCTTCATTGACCAAATTATCAATCTGGGCAGAGGCACGGGTGTCTTCGTCGGTATCGTTCAAATCTATATCGTGCAAATAATTACGTTGTTTGTTATTGATAAGGTTAATTATGTGGGAGTAATTGTCTAATTGAGAATTGATGTCTTGAATTTCATTCATAAATTGAACAAAGTCGTCTTCGTTGGAAGAGTACTTGTTGCCAGCATAGCTGTCTAACTCATACGAGTTGGGAGTGGCCTGTTGATATGGATTAGACATTATAACACTTAGCCGCTAGGTTTATCTGGGTTAATCGAGGAAGAAAAGAACCTGGGATTAGTTAAGTGACACTTTTTTTTCCAATGTGTTTTGAATGGTAATTTTTCCTTTTCTCGCCTTTCAGACACGAAATTTATTTATGGAAAAAAACAAAAAAAGAACAAAGAGGGTCCAGGCCAAACAATAATAACACAGTTTCAGTGTGTGGGTGTAGCGACTGCGATAACAAAGATAATTAGGTAAGCAAACCAAAGGCGGTCTAAGTAATACCATTGAATCATTGTAATTAAGAATGATCCATCGTTAGGTACGATATTTGTAATAAATTAAGGTGCATATACGATGACGATGTTGCCCGTAGTTACGAGACAACCAGTTAATCGTTTGCAAAATTCCATTACGAACTTTTTAAAAGTCAACAAGAAAATTACATTTCTTCATTTTAAATCCTCCGTGTTCTATGTTCTACATAATTGTTCTAAGTAATTAGTAGATTGTTTTCCCTGCTCATCTCGTCGTATCTCAGTAACCAGAATAGTGGCTATGCTGTTTTTTTTTCCCCAAAGTAGAAAACAAAGGTTTGCAACACCGTGAATGGTCCCCATACAAAAATGGCCACACTTTCACCGTATGTCCCGTCAAAGCACCAGGCAGCAGGTCATGATGGCTGTCTTACATTAGAAGATGGATCTCTTTTCATAAAACTAACCAATTCTCAGGAGATCGATTTCTATGCCAAGACTCAAGCTGATGATAGCGATGGCAACGAACGCATTCCAGGAACCAAGCTAGTTGATTGGATGCCACTTTTCATGGGCACGCTCTCTGAAACTGATGTCAATTCAGTAGCTGCTCCTGGCCATATACATGGTCCTTCCCAACCAACGGATAAACAATATGTCGTGTTGGGGAATTGCTATTCTGGGTATGCCCATCCAAGCATTCTTGATATTAAATTAGGGGCCAAATTAACTGATGATGAAGTGACCGCACCGGAGAAGATTGAAAGGTTACAAAAAGTCAGCGAATCAACTACTTCGGGCCTGCATAACTTTAGAATATGTGGTATGAAGGTGTATAATGGTGAGTCTGTAGATAAACCGAACGAGCTCTATGAAAAAATGAATGATTCGTCAGTGTCGATTAACAGTTCTGGCGAAAAAGACAATTATTTAGAATTCAACAAGTTTTATGGACGTTCGTTAGATAGTAAGAATATCAAGGACGGAATCCGACTTTTCTTTACCCATCATTTAAAAAAAGTGCCTAATGGACAAGAAATCGTCATAAGGTTGCTAGACAGGTTCCATAAACGATTACAATTACTATATAATTGTCTATTGGACTACGAAGTGAGAATCTTTTCAGGAAGTTTATTATTCATTTATGAAAATGATTTACAAAAGTGGCAGACTGCACTTGCTGATGAAGAAGAATACTATCAAACATACGATCCATTGATTCGAGAATGTAATCTAGCTGATGATGACGAAGAAGAAGAGGAAGAGGAAGCCCCGGTAAGTTCGCTCAATATTATTGATTTCGCTCACGCAAAATACGTCCCTGGTCAAGGTCATGATGAAAATATCCTACAGGGAATTGAAAATTTAATTGATATATTTGATCAGTTACTAAAAGAAGAGGAGAGTATATAATACTTACAATAACTTGGTAATCTTACCAATTGCAATGGTTGTTCCTTGATCTCTTAATGTGAATCTTCCCAATTGTGGATAGTTGTTATAAGTTTCAGCACAAATCAATTCATTAACTTCCAAAACGGCGATAATCTTCATACCCTTCTTAGCAAATGCTGGTGGCTTCTTGGATTTTCTATTAGTTCCCTTTTCTAATTTATGTTTCAATTCAACAAACTTGACTTCTTCAATAGCAGTATGTAAATGCATAACACAAGAGAACCCATTGGACAAGATAGACTTTAATTCAACAATAGCAATTTGAGCTTCAAACTTGGTGACTGTCTTGACTGGAAATTGTGGAGAAGTCAAGACGTAACCTGGTTGTAAATCTTCTTCCTCAACACCCTTTAATCTTAATCTGACTTGTTCACCAGAGTAAGCAACGTCACATTCTTGTTCGGTTTCGTTATAAATAGTCAATACTTCAACAGAAGTCTTGTTTGGCATCAATAACAAATTACCATTCTTTCTGATGTGCCCGGATTCAATCTTACCTTCGACAACAGTACCCATATCCTTCATCTTACCGGAGATTGGCAACATGAAATGACCATTGATTTTACGGTTAAGATGTTCCATGTTATCCAAATATTCCAATAATGCAGGACCAGAATACCATGGACAAACCTTTGGATCAACACGGTCCTTCAAACCGGCACCGGTGTAACCGGAAACTGGCATGTAGACAATATCGTCCTTGTTATATCCAATACCCTTTAAGAAGAGACCCAACTTAGTAGTACATTCGTTATATCTTTCTTCGGACCAGTCAACAGTTGGATCATCCATCTTGTTGACAACAACAATGATCTTATTAACCCCTTGTGTCTTGGCCAATAAGGCATGTTCTCTAGTTTGACCACCTTTTTCAAACCCGGTTTCGTATTCACCCTTTCTGGCAGAAATAACCAAGATACCAACATCGGCTTGGGAAGCACCACCAATCATTTCAGAAACGTACATCTTGTGTCCTGGGGCATCTAAAATAGTGTATCTTCTCTTATCGGTTTCGAAATATGCCTTACCAACTTCAATGGTCTTACCATCGTTTCTTTCTTCCTTGTTGGTATCCATAACCCAAGATAAGTACCAACCTTGACGACCGGCATCCTTGGCTTCACGTTCGTATTTTTCAACAGTACGCTTATCAACTGATCCAGTCAAGTAAAGAATGTTACCACCCATGGTGGATTTACCGGCATCAACGTGACCCATGAAGATAATGGAAACGTGGTCCTTACCACCAAACATATCATTGACAACTTCTTCATCAACTTCGTCTTCTTGTTCCTTAGCGAGAGATTCAGAAGATTGGAGGTTTCCGGAAGGAGTAGTAGCGACTGGAGGAGCAACCATGGAGGCGATAGATGGAGTACTTGATTCACCAACAGAACGAGCAGAGAGAACAGCTGGTTCTTCTTTCTTTGCAGGAGCGGCAGCTTCTTCCTTCTTTGGTTCTTCCTTCTTGGCTTCTTCCTTCTTGGCTTCTTCCTTTGGAGCAGCTTCTGTCTTTGGCTCAGCAGCAGGGGCAGGAGATGGTTCTTTCTTGGCATTGGCCAACTTGATACCACTTGATGGGGCCAATTTAAGGGTCTTCTTTGGCTTGTTCAAACTAGCTTGTTGTTGTTCCTTTTGTTTTTGGAAATCAGCCAAACTCATACCTTGAGGTTGAGATTGCTGTTGTTGTTGTTGATAAGCATCGTAACCTTGGTATTGTTGTCTATTGTTGTATTGTTGGTACCCACCTCTGTTATTGTAGTTTTGTTGGTACCCTCCGCGGGAGTTGTAGTTTTGATATCCACCTCTACCACCTTGTTGGTAACCACCTCTGGTGTTGTAGTTTTGGTATTGGTTGTATTGTTGATATTGTTGTCCTTGTTGAGGTTGGAATTGTTGGTATTGTTGGTATCCTCCTTGTGGAACAAATGATTGGGCATTAGCCATGTTGTAGTAACCTCCACCTTGTTGTGGTTGTTGGTACTGTTGTTGTTGTTGTTGACTTTGGTCAGCACCTCCGCCAATTGAGGCGTTTTGGAAGTCTTGAGATAACTTATCTGGGTTGTATTGGTCAGACATGGTGAGTTAGCTTAAACCTTAACAGTAGCAACAAATCGTACGTGATGTTGAAAAAATTTGACTTAAAATTTTGGACAGCAAAAAGAGAAGGAGGAAAAAAAAAGTTTGAGAAGAGATGGGTCACGTGAATGCAATGAAACAGCATTAACTATATGATAAGAGTAGCTTGTAAGAGTTACATAGTAGTATAGTAGATATCATCATCCAAGTAGTAAGAATTTAACAGTTGGACTCGATTGATCCAGTAATTCCTCGATGACTGCATACTTATTGTACTTGTGCTTAGATCCATGCAAACTTATGCAACCTAACTATACCGTGGATGGTTTAGCCTACTATGGTCAGTGCGTGCAGACCGCTCCTGGCTTTGGCTTACATTAGTAATATTCGGAGATCGTGTCTACATTCAAAGTAGTCATTTAACTTTTGCCATTTTCAGCCACTTGATTCGCTCGGTCATTGCATCTGTGACATGGTAGCGTTTGTGTCTTCGCATTGTATCTTTGCATGTGTATTCGCATGCGTCTTCGCATTATGTCATCAGATTAAATAACATGTCAATTGATTCTAATTAGAGATTCTAGAAGAAACAGCATACCCTATTATGACAACCCCTATTTGTTAGTTGGAATGTCAATGCAAATACTGCGACATAAAAAAAAATGTGGTAAGGATGATTTTTCCGATCGGCCATCCGCCAGCCCCCCACCACGCCGCAGTCATCCGCCCAATCTCTTACGTTCCCTCTCTCTCTCTCTTTGTCTCTCCTTCCCCCCGCCACATGAAATTCTATAAATTTCGTCGGTAATCTTCACTAAAAATAATCTAAACGTATCTTACGAAATCAAACACCCTACTTCCTAACCATGCCTATCTTTTCCGATCACGCATATACTTCAATCACCATCAAAATCAACCAGCTCGCCGAGCACACTAACACCGACACCGACGAGGACCTGTTGGAGCTATATCTTTCTGATCTTCTTGAATTGATCAAGATACAACCTAGTTCTGGAGCCAAGGAGGCTGCCCGTGCAGTTAGAAAGAAGATCAAGTATGGAGAAGGTGTGCAAGAACAGCTTCGCGCCTTGCAGATTTTAGAATTGCTTGTGTTGAATTCAGGCACGGCTATAGGGAAAATCATTGCCCGTGATGATAAGCTAATTGATGTTCTTCAAGGGATTATCCGTGGTAATGGAAAGACTGGCGATGGTGTTGCATATGACAAAAGGGTTAAATCGAGAGTTGTCGCTATGGCTAAAGGTTGGAAACATGAATTGGCTGATATGGGTGATGAGTACAAGTACATGCAAGGGTTGTACAAAACAATTCCCGGGGCCAAGAGAAGAGATCGCGAACGTGAACGAAGTGAACGTGGTAATGATCGTGAAGATCTGTATGATATTCCTGATGACTCTCGTGACGCATTCAATGACGAATCAGCAGACGTTTCCCCACCAAGAACTCCACGCAGAAGAAGAAGAGAAACCCCAAGAGAGACTCCTCGTGATACTCCTCAGGATTCTGCCAGAGAAATACCAAAAGAAGACAAGAAATCAAAGAAAAAGTCTAAAAAGAAAAAGGGAATTGTATATGCTGATCAAGAATTTGAAATCCCACAGATTAACTACAAGGTAGAAGCACCCAAGATCAGAGATCTCCTTGCATCCTCGTACACTCACTCAACAACGTTATCCAACTTGCTTCTTCAACTTCCAGGAGGTGAATCGCCCTTAGATAACGATAAATGTCTTGATGAATTTCAAAACTGTAAGAAAATCCGCCGGAAAATCTTACACTATTTACAATATGTCGGTGCTGGGTCATCCAGTGCTAAATCTTCCGAGGTTGCTGCATTAGATGAGGAGTTCTTGGGAAGTTTAATTAGTGCCAATGAACAATTAGTAGAAGTGTTTAAGAAGTTTGACATCAAGGCAGGTTACAACAATGCTCAAAACAGTGTCCCTACTTATGGAGAAGAAAGTGACAGCGATAGCAGTTACTATACTGAATCAGACAGTGAAGATTCAATCGAAGAAAGAATGAATCATATGAATTTGAACAAGTCTCCTCCACCACCCCCAAAAGTAAGATCCCCTCCACCTCCAAGACCAAGCAAACCAGCGGCATTATCCAAACCAGTTCCTGTGGCTCAAGTGGACGATAACCCATTTGGCGATGGTAATGCTGTATCTCATTCAATTTATGATTAGCTAAGTGTATATTTTAATTTTTCTTACCAATGTATTGCTATAATAGACTTTTATTAATAACGATATCAATACGAGTGCTACCATGTGACGAGATAAGATTCAAAGAACATTATGAAATGATACGCCTACATTGCTAATGATAGACCGGGGAACCGAGATTAGAACTTGTGTTTTTTTCAAGGCGATGATATGCGTGGTGTTCCTTGATTTGCAAAATAGGTTAAGTTGTGATTCCAGGGAGTTAAGCACATTAAGTGTACAGTAGGGCGTTTCTTTCCTAGTAACAAGTCCTCCTAAAGAAGTAGGTCTCGTTATTTCCATCGAACCCATCTCGTTCTACATGGTCTGTTGGAATTGAATTGTAAGTTCAAGTAAAAAGCCCTCTCTTTATGACTCCGATTGATTGCTAACTGTATTGTGATGCTTCTGGGGGTTAAAAAAAAAAAAAAAAACTTTAAAACAAAACCAGCTTACTTATCGCTAGATGCATAGACTTTAATGACAAACACACCACAATTCAAGTCACCACCACTACCTTCAATCGAATCATTCAAACTCGATAACATACTAAACACCAGTCTCGCCAATGAATCTAACCAGGTGATATCTGATCTTTTAAACATCACTAACAACTATCAACAGGACTTAGCCCAAGGGATCAAGACTAATTTGATCATTGAACAGAAAATCCAATCCAAAAATGTCGAAGTAGTGAAATTGGCCCATGGAATAAGTAGCCAGCTCAAGAGTCGAGTTAAGAAGTTGAATAAAGTCACGGGTGAGTCGGATGAAGTTAACAAGTTGTTGAGAAATACTGTGATTGTCAGTGATAAAGTGCGACTGTTGGTTGGACAACTACACGAAATTGAAATGTTGGTTAATGGAAGTGTTAATCCCAGTGTTTATCCAAATATATATAAGATACTACAGAAACAACAAAGATTGCAAGCAGTTGATCAATCACAAGTTGAGCCACGACCCTCGGTTGAACTGCCGACTCCTGCAAGACTTTCACCTACTCCACCGCATGCCCCCATCCCACTACGCGCCGCTGAAGCCCCCACTCCTCCTCCTCCTCCTCCTCCACCACCTCCTAAGCTGCCAGAACAATCTTTATCAGAATCAGAATCTAGTGAGATCATCCCATACTCGCCTGAACTACCTTCGCGCCAACCACCCGAGACTGCCAAAGACATACCGCAGTCGCCGGAACCTGAGGATATGGACCCAGATCAGTTCGAACTATTTATGTCAGAATCAATATCGAAATACCGACATCGACAATCTTTAAAGCACAAACAACTTCCACAATCTCCACCGCCTATAAACAACCCATTAAACCTTCTTTACTCCCAATTGATACCGAAACCATCCCAACAATTTTTGAAATCACCTTTTGTAAATTCCCTCCCCATGAAATCTATGCCCATTATAAAACCTACATTGCAAACATCCCATTTTAAGAAACTACGTATTAATGGCGATCCAATTGGTTCAACCAAACACGATGGATGTGGGTGTAACCTGCCGGATCACTCTGAACAAGAATTGGTTTTTCAAGATGATGAGGAACTTGATTGGAAAGGATTAAGTTGTGATGAAGAATTAACCGAGACTGACTCTTCAGAGTCTGATTCAGACGATGATACCACTAGTCTACCGATGATGACCAACCAATATTACAAGAATCTAAAGCGAGCATCTCGAAAGAGAACTCGTAATCCTCCTCTTCCTCCTGCTAGACAACCCGAGCTATCTCCTACGCCCAAACACAAACCTTCACATCATACATTAAAGCCTAAACGGTCGATTTTGAAAACATCTGATCGAATAGTATTCCTGAAGGAAAACTCGCCGTACAGACAAGCGGTTAAAGCTACGAATATTATTCCCGATGCCGTAGCTATTGTCAACAACAAGTATGCTTCGAGGATAGAATACCCTGTGAGTGAATTCACAGCAGAAGGGGTGATAATAGAGCCGGAAACTGTCGAAGCTGACGATTCAAGTAGTATCCGTTCCATTCTGGTTCTTAAAAGTTATATTAATTAAGGTGTGTATATTAGTATATATTATTAGAACAACCAAATCCAGAAAAACCAAATGCCAACAATCGTGAATACAAGTAACCACATTTTCCAGGTTATACCTGCTCGTTTACTCATCACCACCATGTGATTAAAGGTATTCTTTAAATTGACACTTCCCTTTTCAAACAGATTGGTGATATCATCATTAAGTTTGATCCCCTTGTTTATCTCTACTCCGATCTTCACCCCCAAGTTCTTGAGCATGGCGACTTTCTCATTCATGACATTGACGTCGTCGTTGTTTTGTGATTCTAATGACAGTAACATTGACTCTGAATGTTTGGCCGAGGGGGCGGGTATGGGATCATATGGTGATGCTGTTCTATTAGGGACACGTCGAGTTGTGGTTGTAGAGAATAGCTGGGTTCGAAGATCTTGTTGATCGGCTGAGTATCGAGACATTGTATATGTGTGTGTGTGCTGCACGATTTGTATGTGTTGGTTGCAGTTCTTAATTTTTGACAACGTTTGAGATTTCTTTTTGAGTTGGAAAGGCTGTGACATTGTATGCAGGTTCCATCTTATATGACAATACAGTTTTTCTGGCAGTAGTTCTTTTTTTGATAAATTACTAATCTAGTTTGCTGCAACAATCATGGAAGCTCCACCTAAATCGTTAAATCACGTCAAACATATCGTGTTAATCCTCTCGGGGAAAGGAGGTGTTGGAAAATCCTCTGTAACTACCCAGACAGCCCTTACTTTACATGCACAAGGTTACAGTGTAGGAGTATTGGATATTGACTTGACCGGGCCCTCTCTTCCGCGAATGTTTGGAGTTGAAGAAAGGCAAGTGCATCAATCAACTAACGGATGGATCCCGGTACAAGTATGCCCTAAGTTATATCTTATGTCACTAGGATTTCTTATATCGAATCGGAATAACTCTGTCGTGTGGCGTGGACCAAAGAAAACTGCCATGATTAAACAGTTTTTACAAGATGTGTGTTGGGGAAGTGAGAGTGAACCATTGGACTATTTGCTTATTGATACTCCACCAGGTACTTCAGATGAGCATATCGCTATAGCTGAAGAATTAAGATGGGCTAACCCCGATGGAGCCATCATTGTAACTACACCACAACAAGTATCAACTGCAGACGTGAGAAAGGAAATTAACTTTTGTAATAAAGTCAATTTTGAAGTGTTGGGGATAGTGGAGAATATGTCGGGATTCATATGTCCTTATTGTGCCGAATGCACCAATATATTCCTGTCGGGAGGAGGGAAACAATTGAGTGAGAGTTTGGCGTTGCCTTACTTGGGTAACATCCCTATTGATCCTCTGTTCGTTGAACTTATCGAGTTACAAGATAACAACACCAAGGGCAAGTCACTTGTCGAGTTATACGACAAATGCCTGTTGAAACCAATTATGAATGAGATTATAGGAAAGATTTTACAAAAAAATTTACCCAGTAGAATCTAGACCGTTTATATTTATAGACTATAGAATTTAATTTATATCATTAGCTTTCTTCCACTTGTTGATTCTTCTCTTGAGATCACCTGCGGTTTGTTGATATATGTTAAGCTTCTTATCCCATTTCATTTTTTCGTAATCATCACCATACTTCTCGTACAAACTTCTTAACCATTCGTCTTCTCTTGAGGATTGGTGTCTGACTTTCTTGATCTGACTGTGCTTTTTACCATATTCTTGTAATTGCTTAACGACTTCTGATTCTTCAGCAGTTGCTAGTTTATCTTCAGCCTTCTTTTCTCCGTAGATAACCTTGATCACTTCATTTGTAGTTTCATCACGAATAATCTTGGCTTGGCCAACTGGGATTTTGGCTGGATCATCAGTGTCTTCCACTTCGTTCGTCTCTTGTTCATTTTTATCCCTCTTTTCTCTAATTTCGGTCAAGCTTTCAACCAGTTGCTCAACACCACCAGCTAAGCTTCCCAATTTGGCCCTCAACCCTAATCTTTTATAATTTTGTTGTAAAGTTAATGATTTATCCCAATTAGCAGCAATTATAGGGTTGGAATGTATGTTTATATTACGTTGCTTATTCTTAGTTCTTCTGGTGTTTTTACGGACAGAAGAACGTGCCATTTTTCTCTTACGAACTGAAACCATTTTCTAAGTGTCTATATATATATTAATGTGCTATGCTGGAGGTTTGATTAAGAAAGTAGTTAATTTGGTTGTAAATTTTTTTGGCGATGAGTACCGTTTTGATTTTTGATCGAATTGTGTCACGTGACTCGATAGTTTGCTTTGGTAGACTACAGGGGCCACGGACAAGGTGTATTAAATTGTATCGTTGTTGGAGATTTGGTAAACTGGGTTAGCCTAATGATAGAACCTGGTATGCTGGTAGCAAGCTGGAGGAATATCTGGTTTTTCTGTATGCCATCCCCCAAGACTTCACTTCCATTCCTCACTGTTTTTTCGCAAGCAATTTTGAAAGGATGCAACAAATTTCCAGACAACACTTTTTCTTCTAGTAAGTTTTCAACATCAACACACTTAGACGTTAATGTACTCTAATGAGCCCTACCGGTCGGATTCATGACGCAATCATGTCAATTAAGTACAATTACATGAATAAGTTTACCTAGATTCTAAGCTTCCTTAAACAAGACAACATTTTGATTGTACCCTTGTTTGGTGTTATCAGCGTGAGATCGAACTGTCTATAGAATGTTCTATGGGCGCGGGAGGGGGGAACAATCTGATGGACATAGCATAATGGCCAATACTTCTCTCTTGGTGCATGTATTTATAAAATTCGTCAATTGCAACCGTTATAGGTCTGCTAAACTTGAATTGGTCTACTATTACCACAACAAAGACTTTTTCTGTATCATATTCGACAAGAAACTTTAGAAAGTTTGCAGAGGATAATCGAAAAATATGCCCAAATCATTTCTTAGCAGCAATCTCGTATGTTTTGGTGTAGATAAGTGACACTTGTTAACAATATACATTGTATCCGGGGCGTTACACATAAGAATATATTTGTTGATCCCAAAAAAAGAGTATGACATTGTAATACTGTATAAAAATGAATAAAGAACTATATAAGATTATTCTCCATCGACTTCTTCTGATGGCTCCGTTGGCACACTGGCATTTTCACTGGTTTCGTCCAGGTTTCTTCCTCCTCTACCTCTTCCTCCCCTACCTCTTCCTCTTCCGCCTCTACCTCTACCGCGTCCACCTCTGCCTCTACCTCTGCCACCACCTCTTTTTCTAAACCCAGGCAAATTAGTTCTTTTGGATGTAACTCTCAACTCCCTACCTCTAAATTCCTTCCCGTTCAATTCATCAATTGCTTGTTGTACACTTACACTTTTTTCAAATTCAATATATGCATAACCTTTAGGTAATCCGCTGAATCTATCAAACAATATGGTTACTCGTTCAATAATACCAACTACATGGAAGAATTGTTCCAATTGTTCTGGAGTAGATTGATAATCTACATTGCCAACATATATTGATCTCGAATCTATTTCTTCTTGTTTGGCAAGCTTTTCAGCATTGTCAACGTCCGATTGTGAGTTGGATTCCTGGACTGGTTGGGCTGGTTCTTCTGACATTGCTGAGTTTTCGATGCTGAGTCAATTGACGAGTGGGAATGTGGTGGTTTTTAAATAAATTGTGTAAGTCAATTTGGACAATGGACGACTTACTGTAATTTGTTGCATTTATTGGTGTATTTTTTTTTTCGCACTTACGTCACAGGCACATTTGGAAACGTTCCCGCTACAACAAAACAAAACAAAAAGAGACAGTGTAATGTGATTTACAGTATAATTAACCTATGCTTCAACAAAAGCTCTATAAGTAGTGAAGTCTTCTGATTCAGCCAGTAAAACCACATCAACCCCTGGGGCAATGAAGTATACATACCCAGTTTCAACCTTTTGTGGGGTTTCCCCAACAATTCCGATAGTACCATTACCTTTAGTAGCGATAATGATAGAAGGACCATTCAATCCCTTGTGCGTTTGCTTATCACCTGGCTTGGCCAATTCTGTTTGTAACACGGAGAATTCGGAAATAGGAGGATCGTATAATACCGACTTTATAGCATCACCACTTGATCTTGGGAATGGTTGCTTTGGCATCTTTTGTTTTTCAACATCACCATAAGAGTAAGTCAACATCGATACTAAATTGTCGACATCTTTGAACTTTGGAGTGAATCCGGCACGGACAACATTATCAGAAGCGGCCATACATTCAATTATATCTCCGGAAATGTAAGCATGTGGGTCCTTAGCTTGTAAAAACATAGCTTCACCCGAGTTGAGTTGGACGTGATTTAACAAAAGGCAACCGCAAAATAATCCAATATCGCTAGGGAATTGGTTGTGTAAGGTTTGGATAAGTTCAGGTAATCTAGGGTCGATTTTCTTGAATAATTCGGGATCAGTTTCGGCTCTCTTAACTAAACTTTCACCCTTTTCGGCAATTATTTTTTCATCAGTGTTCATTAATTTCCCAAATACCTTTTGCAACAACTTTCTATTGTTTAAATCATCAGCTGAGCCTTCTTCAACGTTTAACTTGATACCCTTGGAGAACTCTTCAACCAAGTCTTGGCCAATTACCTCATTTAATTCAGGAATGGTTTGTAAGGTAGTGGCTAAAGTGTCTAATGGCTTAAACCCACAGAAACCTTCGAAATCAGTCACGGCAATGGCCATTTCTGGTTTGTGGTTATCATCAGGGTAGTTCTTTGGATCGCTGGCGTGTAATTGTTTTGCTAATGTTTTATCTGGGTGGGCTTGAATACTCAAGACTTTTTCAATGGACAAGACTTTGAACAAGAATGGTAACTCTTTACCAAACTTTGCAACGACATCGGCATGTAACAAGTCATGAGGTTCGGAAGTGATCAAGTCCCGTAAAGTCTTGTTGGAATCAACGGCAATAGAAGGCACAGAAGGGTGAGTACCCATCCATAATTCGGCATAGGGAGTATTGTCATCGATAGTGACAGATTTATCTGAAGCTGAAGCGAACTGAGCGACAGCTGAGGAGTTACCGTGTTTTCCCCAGTCGTAAGTTTGATAACCACAATTAATTCTGAATAACTTGGACATGTTGTTTATGTTCAAAGAACCAAAGAAGATATGAAAGTAATACAATGGAAGAATATTGTGTATCTTTATACTCGAGGTCCTGACAAAAAAATAAAAAAAAATAATACGAAAAAAATTTAGTGCTGTACGCGGCGCGGGAATTTCAGTTACTGTATTTTCTACCCAAGGCGTCGTGCATTGTGTACAAGGCTATTGTTTCGATTAGTGACACGTTGGAATGATATCCTAATTAATAATGAAGTATTTGTGTATGGTCGTGGTTTTGTAATCTTGGATCGGACTAGTTGTCGTTTAACATATGCACGTTTGTATCATAGAAATTAGGCCGACTTAATTCCGTGATGACAACAAAATTTTTGACGTTGTTGTCCGCACTAGTAAGTAAACACACAGCTAATCTATCTCAACATGTCATACATTGAAACATCATCAGGCAATCGAATATCTCAGGATGCTAAAATATCAGGAACGTCACAAATATCAATAGAATCAAACTGTACCATCAGCCATAATGTCATTCTACAGGGCGACACATTCACCTCAGAAAGCCCTACTATCCAATTAGGTAAGTATTGCTACCTTGATACAAATTGTCGTATAACTCCCGAGACAACTCCAGTAACAATCGGATCATATGTTATCATAGGTGTAAATACTACTGTTCACCTGTCCACCATTCTGAATCGTGTGATTATCGAGGGAGATTGCACCATCGCTACACTGTCAGTCATTTACGATTGTTGCATTATTAGAAAAGGTACAGTCATCCCCAATAGACTAGTTATTCCTCCCTATAGTGAAGTTAGTGGGGTACCAGGAAAAGATTTCGCAATACGTAAACTACATCCAAGTTTCAAAAAGTTGATTGAAATTGAAGCTAAACAATTACAGATATTAGGTTAATCCTTCTTGGGAACAGCGGCCCCGATAATACCGGTATTACCATTGCCCGTTCTGTGTCTTCTTCTTCTTCGTCTGACAAAGAAATAACCCAATAAATAAACGACGGAAAATAATGCAAGATATCCAAAAATACCGTAATCATGAATATGATCCATGAATTGAAATTGTGTACTGTAGGGACTACCAGTGACACGTCTAACCACATTAGAATTCTCTAACCTTGGATCCAACAATGATAACAATACATGCTTCATTGTAGCAGGGTCGTTCTTTAGTTTCTGCCCCTTGACATCATGATCCCAATAGTATCGGTAATCCTTGCTTAAAACAATTGCATCACCACTGTCATACTGGTCAATATCTAATTTCCAACCAGGAATATAATTGAACTCACTGGCCTTGGATTTATCAATATATGTAAATAAAACATCATCATTGTTCCATAAATGAGGAATCTCTTTACGCATAGCTTCAATGACTTTAACACTTTCAGTATTTTGTTTCTTCAATTCATCGATCCATTTTTGCTTTCTTTGTCTATCAGATTCAAGTTTATGGTAATAGTATTCTTTCTTAAGATGATGATATTCATGAGCTGCGAGAACAAGATTGTCTAGATCAGTAGTGATATCTTTCTTGGAATCAACAAATGCAATAACCACCTTATATTCTCTATCGCTAAATTTAGTGAAATAACTAGGTAATAAATCCGGGGTTAATTCATGATATGTTGGGAATTGACTTCTGCGGATAAAATCTTCTACTCTTCCAAAAATACGAATGTCTTCCGGTGCATAGGTTTGGTAAATGTCCACCATTAATGTATTATCCTTGAACACAAGAATTGTAGGTTTGGCCGTTAATGTTGTTGCTATTTCCATAGGTTTATTATATTTATATTCTGGAGCTTTGGCATCATAGTTTATATATTTGATCAATTCTTTGCTCATACTGTTGACATGTTCTTCAAGTTGTTTGTGTTTGGAAATTAACAAACGGGTATTGAATGGAGATTTCTGAAGCTCAAGAAGTAAGTGCGTGAGAACCAGTTCATCTTCAGGAGTAACTGACACTTCGTCAAAGTAAAATACAACACTGACAGCATTCTTTCCATCATGGTTAATTTTCCCTGGTTCAAGCTTATCAACTAATTTCATATGTGAGCCCAAGGTTTTCTTGGTAACTACTTCATATTTGCTGTTTGCACCAAGTTTAACAGCCCATTTCTTCATGGCATTGATTTCTATTGGTCCATCATAATTAACTTGGTGTATTCTAGCCGCCTTGGGCAAAAACATGATGAATTTAGGACTAACTCTCTGATTTGGTTTAGTTAATTCTTCAAATCCAAGTTGGGAACATACCACGGGATGGTCTAAACAATTGAAATGTCCCGATTCAGCCGTGAATGCAATTCTGTTGGACAATCTATCCCAAATCAGTTGGGCATCAACACATCCAACACAATTGTGAGGAAACTTATCGTTGGACTTCCCTGGAAATAATGCTACAAATTTAGGAACAGTGGCATCACCATTAACTAACTTCAAGATTGTATCGGTTTCCAACAATTCCGACGTACTAGGGACGTTTGCATTTTCACCGCCGTATTCAGCAACGGACTCTTTCAAAAACTTGATTATATTCTCTTCGGTACGTTGAACCATGGGCATTGAACCTACAAACTTCAGCTTACCTTCAGTAGTAGGAACGTACAATCTTATGGTGGGGTATGCCATGATTCCTTCCTGATCGCACAAATCTCCACTTTCGACACAGTTGACTTGGCGCATGTCGATCTTCATATCAGGATAATCCTTATGGAAGTTATTATAGGATGACTCCCAGATCGGAGCAAGCCTCTTACAGTGAGAACAATATGGTGAATAGAATTCGACTACTGTAAGCTGTGCGCTGGTGATTTTGTCAAAATCGGCGTTGGTTAGTAACGGTGGTAAGTTGGACGGTTTTTTGTCCTTGTTGTTCTTTGGTACTGGACCTGCCATTGTAGCAGGAAATAGCAATAATGCCAATAGATATGACATGATGCGTGATACTTGGTATTAATATGTTTATTAATAAAATAGAAGTTACGCTGTTGTGTTGCCAAACAAAAAAAAAAAAGAAAGTCCCTTGTTTTACCACACAATATCGTGAACTAAACCAGAAAAAAAAAAAAACTAGCGTCGTAAATATTCATTACATGTATGACATTGCTAAAATGGAGGCTTTACATTTCCCATTTCTCTATAAAACATGCAGATATATAAAATAAATAAACCACTTCTATTTCAATACAGGACCATTACCACTTACTCGTAATAGATAAGTTTTGAAGTATTCAAAACTAACCAAAGTAACTGCGCTCGAAGGTACCGTTCTTGCCAAATTAGTTCCATACCCAGCATAAAACCCTTTCCAACCTTCTTTTTTCCAAATATCTATAGTAGATCTCACCAAAACATGTTTGACTGGCTGTATTCCATGATTCTTGATTTGCATTCTTGTACGTAAGATCTCATGCGGATAAGTGATTGTACTAGCAATCATTTTTGATACTGACGATGCCACAATTAATCGCGCCAACATTCCTCGCGAATCATTCCCTTCACTCATATTACAATGCAATATATTCTTTAATTTCTCATACATGGGGAAATGGATCCCTACGTGTAACAATCCGAATATCGAGGGTAGTAAACCACTGTAAAACACTCTAATTCCTTCCTCGCGATACATCTTCACAAATGCATCAATTGTACCTTTATAATAAGTTCTACCCACCGTTTTCAGCAGACCATATATGGTTGATTTCTTACCGGTTTGAATCATTAATCTTGTTTTGACAACCCATATTGGGTTCACCACTATCGAACTGGTTAACCCTGCAGTTAATGCGGAAAAGAAATGTGTGGCATCATCATTATTAACATTTAAATATTTATGCAAAATGCTCGGAAATACCTTTTTACCCTTTTCGTATATAGTGAAATATATTGTCCATGTAGGTAAATAACCTATTGTTATCGGTACTAGCCCACGGTATAATCCACGAACACCTTCTTCGGCAAGGATAGTTTTCAAAGTATGCCAAAAGCCGTTATACTTCGACGGCATATATGCAATGGCATCCCCCTGGGCTTGTAACCTTGTTTTAACCACGTCTAATGGACACACAGCTACTCCAGCAAGGAACCCTGATGCAGCCCCAGCCATGGTTATTAGTTGATTAGGTGAGAATTTGGAGAATATAGGTGATGGTGTTGTCTGTAACAATACTGGAGGTGCAGCTGTGAATGTAGTTGCTTGGGTTGGTTCAGTGTCATATTCACGTAATAGAGGAACGGGTACTGCACCCACTGGACTAGGCGCTATCCCCTCATTAAGTATCGTTCGGTCTATTCTAGTCATTATATGTGGACTGTCTTTATAAATGGTCTTTGTAATAAAAAAATGGGGATATAACCATATGAAAAAGAAGTTAGTAATGCGATCGGCTTCGGAAAAAAAAAAAAGAAAAGCAAGACAAAAAAGAAAAAACAAACAAGAAAAAAAAAAACAACAGCAAAAAAAAGGGGGGTATGACTAGCGGAAAAGTACGGGATGAATTGGCCTTAACTCCAGACGGTGGGCTATCTTGATCTGTGAGATAACGTTAACTGTTTTAATCGCTGTTTGTAAGTTTGAATATTATCCGAGAAGCATTTTATTTATATTTGATAGAATATTTGAGGGAATTTTATAGATAAGGCGATGCGTTTCATGTAGTTCTTCAATTTACCGTACGAGTTTTATTTTTCTCGCTAATCGATTCCCGTGGGACAAGATGGTATTTAATCTAATTGTTTTTAGCAATCTTCGACATTTGCTAGCAAGGATTTAGTCAGGTACTTGGGCATACTGTATTGTTTCGTTGCACCCGGATGCCAATGTTTCATAAAACCCCCACGTCGCAAAGTACCTTTTTTTTCTACGCCGTACATGCACTTCCATGTATCCTGATCTGACATTACCGCAGTGCTGGAAATACTTAGCGACAATTTTCCTTTGCAGAAAAAAAAAAAACTAGGGAGGAAACCAAATACTGACTAAAAACCATCACTCAATTATCAAATTTAACCCTGTAAAATTACCACAACAATGGTTAAATTCTTATTAAAAGTTTCAGCGACATTGGAAAGTGTAACTGATTTTGAGCCAATTGATACTCCAGAACTGCCATTCGAATATACTTTTCAAATTGAATGTACCAAATGTCGTACCACACATGATAAAGAAATTGCCATAAATAGATTTGAAAAACATGAAATGTCGGGGTCAAGAGGCGAAGCTAGTTTTGTGTTTAGATGCAAAGAATGTAAGCATGAACATTCAGCAAGTATTATAAGGACAGACAAGAAATTGACTCCTGATGATACTAAACCAGTCCCGATTTTAGAAATTGATGCTCGTGGTATAGATTTCCAGAAATTTTTCACCTATGGATATTTCCAAGCTGTCGGGTTAGAAACTGGAACTAAATTTAAAGAAATTGAGTTTGACGAAGGAGAATGGTACGATGCTGACGAAAAGACAAATGAACAAGTTTCAATTGTAGATTTAAATTGGGAGATTTCAAGAAGTTAAGGTGAGAAAGAGGGAATAGGTAAATATTTATCTAAAATAAAACAATCAAAGTAAAATTTCCAGCTTTTGTAGTCTTGCATGAAGATTAATTTTCTCGTATATGGTGAATATAACCATTAAGGTATTTCTATTACAATTCTAAAGAATAGAATCGAAATCTTTTTTTACGAAATTAGCCTTTATCCATTGCAATTGAACTTACTTTTTAGATGTAATTACAGGGAAATCACTCAGTGTATTAAGCTTGCGCATGGATATCAAAAGTCTTGCTGTGGCGGATAAAACGGATTCAGTAAAATATGGGAACAATGGCATTCATGCATAGTGATGCCCGTCCAAAAGTGCAAGCGAAAACTGAGCTTTTCATAACGGTTGCAATTACGTAAAGCTTGCATAATAACTTGGTAGGTTGTTCCGGGTAAAAATAACCTAGAGTGAACTAATTGACTGGGGTATAACGTAGTAGTAGTAAGTTAGATTTACGGGGTATTTCTGGCAATTGTGGACTGGAAAACATTTAGATTTATCGTCAATTTGCCCTACTCTTTTTAATCGACACAATTGACATGAATGGCAATTGCTATTGTTTCTATGATAATTGGAAAAACAAGTGGGTAGAGGGGGGGGGAGGGATTGAAACGGTTATCACATTTATAACTCCTTTCGCGCAAATCCGACCATATAACTCCTTTCGCACAAATCCTGCTTACCTTCCTGCAATCTAACTGCCTACTCAAAAAAGAAATACTTGAATATAATTACGATAAATTACAATACCGATTGTTATATAAAATCTATGGCTTCGGTGAAAATTTCATGTTAAATCATGATGCCCAGTTTTATTTCTGGTTAACCGTTCCTTCCACAGTGATGTTCGGCCCAAACAAACTAAAAAATAACCCTGCGACCGGCGATAATGCTGCTAGGAAAAAATATCTCAATTTTAAAGTCATTCGCAACCCCCCTAAATAAATCCAAATTTCAAAAACTATATATAGAGCAATTGTCTCCGGATATCTGGTTTAATTCTCCTAAATTTTTTTCCATCATTCAAAGACTTGTTCTTAAGTTTATTCAATTCATTTTCTTTTTATATTTTCAATTCAATTATTAATAGTTTACTATTTCAATTATTAACAGTTTATTTAAATCAAATCACAATATGGCAGGAAATTTAGCTGATGCAATAACTCAACCCGTCAATGACCAACTCAAAAAGATAGCCGAAAAGTCCACTGGTGGAAGCGGTAGTAGTGGAAGCGCCAATCCACCACATAAGATTCAATTATTCACCCCTGAATATTACGCAGCATGTACGCTTGGAGGTATCACTGCTTGTGGTCCAACCCACGCTGCCGTCACTCCCTTGGATTTGGTGAAATGTCGTCGTCAAGTGGACCCTCATTTATACAAATCTAATTTGCAAGGATGGAAGTCAATCTTGAAAACTAAAGGTGATTCTATCCTTACTGGTTTTGGTGCTACTTTTGTGGGGTACTCTTTCCAAGGGGCAGGTAAGTATGGTTTCTACGAATTCTTTAAGAAGACCTATAGTGATTTAGTTGGTCCTAAATTTGCTAATGACTATAAGACTGGTGTATATTTAGCTGCTTCAGCATCAGCTGAATTCCTTGCTGATATTGCATTATGTCCTTGGGAAACAATCAAAGTTAGAACTCAAACCACCATTCCACCTTATGCCAAGTCACTTACTGAAGGATGGCTGAAAATTGTTGCTGCTGATGGTTACGGTGGATTATACAAGGGTTTAGTTCCATTATGGGGTAGACAAATTCCATATACTATGGTTAAGTTTGCCTCGTTTGAAAATGTCGTGGCTGCAATTTATAGTTATTGGGGAAAATCAAGTTACACTAATCTTGAAAAAACTGGAGTCTCATTCCTTGCTGGTTACATTGCTGGTATTTTCTGTGCCATTGTATCTCACCCTGCTGACGTCATGGTGTCTAAAGTTACTTCAGAAAGAAAGGCTGGAGAAGCAATTGGTGAAACTCTTGGTAGAATCTATAAGCGTATCGGATTCGTAGGGTTATGGAATGGGTTACCAGTAAGAATTGTTATGATTGGTACATTAACTGGGTTCCAATGGTTAATCTACGACTCTTTCAAAGTGTACGTTGGTTTACCAACTACTGGTGGTCATTAAGCTTTTATGTTTATTTCTTTGTATATGCTTTAATATATAATCCAAGAACTTTTAATTCCAAACATTCTTGAACAAATCGTCGTCTAATCCGTTGCTTGTAGTAGTTGTAGCTTTCCATTGGTTGTTATTGTATGAACCTTGAGAAGAGTCCGACCATTCGTTATTCCAGGTTGAATTTGCAGCAACCGGTACAGGTGGTTTCGTATCTCTCAACGATGTTTGGCTGATATTAGCTTGTGGTTGTACCTTGACAGTTGAATTGAATGATAATCCCGATAAGGAATTGTTTAATGAGTTGACACTGGCATTATAAGGTTGGGTTCTTAAATGAGGAGAAGGTTGAGGTGGAGGTTGTTGAAATTGACCAACAAAGCTAGATGAAGATGATGGAGATGCATATAATGATAAAATTGACTTCTTCAAGTCTGGTCTACCGCTTCCGGTACTACCACCAGTAGATTGTGGTGATTGGGTTATTGTAGGTGGTGCTGGAGATACAATTGGGTTAATTGGTTGTTTACCATTAGTTGGAGGTTGTGGTAGAGGTTGTGATTGTGGCTTAGGGGAAGGTGATGAAGAAAAGTCACCAAATTCTTCGTCTAAAAGGTTGACTGAATTTGTAACAGCTTGCTTCTTTTGAGGCGCTGGTGCAGCAACTTCGGGTAATTGAGCGGCACGGGGTGCTGCATTCTCCTTCTTCACTTTCATGGTCAATGGATCAGGTATATGGGTAGAAGCTGTCCATTTCTTCAATTCGTATTTAGTTCTTATGAAATTCTCAATCTTCAGAGAATCTGGAATATAACCCTCAGGTAATTTAGCTTCCCAATATAAATTACACTTTTCATTTCCCCATTTAATAACATTTTCAATTTGATCATCAGTCCAAGCATCCAAATCAACCGATTTAACTTTTGATATGTGGGTCCCCATACTTCTATGAATACCTGAGCATCTAATACAAACAAAACAACCTAAACTCCACGATGCCCATCTTGGATTCTTGGAAACTTTACAATCAGCACATGTCTTATTAGGTTCTTCCCTAAGAAGTTGTTTCAATATTTGTTTATGTCTTTCCAGATGCGTCTTTTTGGACGAGGGTAAGGCTGAAGCAGATGAACGATAACTCATTTATGTGAATGATTAATTAGAACAAGGTCTAAATAAACAATATATTACAATTTTCTATAAGCTGTTTTCTCTAATGAAGATATAACGCCCAAGGCACGTCGTCTTTTCTAGTAGGCTTACCTTATGAATCAATAGTATGATTCAACGAATTTCTCTCTCTCTCTTTTTTTTAATCAACACCCGAAACGAGAAAGTGAAAAAAAGAAATTATGTCACATGATCAACAGTCATGTGAATTGTGGGTTTTGTCTCCGCACGACCTTTGACCAATTTCCGCAGCAAACAAAAATTTAAAATCTTCCTTCACTCGCAGTTTGAAATTTCTGAAACGCATCAAAAATCCGCAAGAGAATGGAGGAAAAAAAAAAAAGAAATCCTTAAATTTCTTGATTTCCAAACACTTACGTATCTAATTAGAAAAGACATTTACTTTTGCTTTTAAACAGGAGGATTAACGGCAATAGTTTGGACATTATAGATTATAATCATCCCCACTGACAACCACACCTGCATTTTTTTAAGACCATTCTTCATTCACTGATTGTTACACCTTTTCATGCACTGATTGATTGGCTCCAAACTCACACACACATATATATATATAGCAAGCATGAGCCCGTCTCTACAAATACAGACCAACCAAGGGAACTCGCCCCCTATGAAGCACGCGAAACATCGATCGGTGCAATATTTCACCCCTGAACAAGTACGACAACACGATACTCCCGATGACTTGTGGATGATCATATATAATAAGGTTTACGATGTTACCACAATTGCCAAGGAGCACCCAGGAGGAATAGAAGTTTTGTTTGATTGTGGTGGTGAAGATGCCACTGAATCATTTGAAGACGTTGGTCATTCCGATTATGCCTTCTCGCTATTGGCTCCTGGGTACCTTGGAGAAATTATCCCCGCTCAACAGATTCAATATTCTAACCCCCAGCCGCAGATTATTTACAACACATCAAAGCCTGACATAAAGTCCGATGATATTTGGAACTTGGGTAAACCTGCAAAGAAAAATTGGGAATGGTTAAGGTTTGGGGTTCTTTCATTACTTGCATTATTATCATTATTACTGTATATTTATTTACAAAAGCGAAAATGGGGGGATCTAGGAATATAAACTTCCTCCGTGTGGATTTTATCCCATTAACTTTGTTTTCATTTCTCTAGTCGTATTTTTTTTTGAATATACATTTGCATTTGGGTAAAAACATTTTAGTAAAAATTTAGTCTTGGTGCATAACTATGTGTTTCCGTGTGTTTTCGGACTTTACAACCTTCCGTTGCCTGTCTCTCGGGCACTGCTTTTATGATAAGCTTCAGAGAAGAAAACCTACAAATATGTCATCAGCGCGGCTAGTATCTTGATAAGATCACTGCGGCAACAAACTATTACATTTCTTGTCGTCAAAGTTAATTTTGTTTGGAATAACACCGAGAAAAGTTGGGTTCAATCCACAAATATTTGAAAAGCTTATTTCTGTTTAGATATTATTATACAAATATGAATCACCACATCACTGCTTAAACATTACATTATCAAATACACTTTTGTGTTTTCCTAAAGCTTGATCACAAAATTAAACATCTTTAGCTCGTGTGGGGAAATTTCTTTCGCAACCAAAAATGTGTCGACTAGCCAACGAAATATCCCCCGTAAATAAACAGACATTGACTTGCATGGTAAACTAAATAGATAACATGATGCTGCTTAACTAGATGTTTATCTAATACTATTCAATATATCACATATACAGCTGATTCAGTAAAAATTAGCCAAAAAGAAAGCCCGATGCGGGGGTCGAACCCGCAACCTTTTGATGTCTATGTTTTCTAAGAGTCAAACGCTCTACCGATTGAGCTAACCAGGCAAACAAGAAACAAGCCCGATGCGGGGGTCGAACCCGCAACCTTTTGATGTCTAACTTAAGAGTCAAACGCTCTACCGATTGAGCTAACCAGGCTGTTTTTTTCTGAAAATTTTCGTATTTTCAAGGCACCGTTAAAATTTTTTGTTTTATTTATAGGAAGTAGTAAATGAACTTTTCTCGTCCAAAATTCCACTGATTTTTAGCAAAAGTTATAGTCATAGCTTTGTATAACCTTTTTTCTTTGGCCATAGTTTTGAAATTAATCGAACAATAGCCATTTTATCATATTTTTTCTAATTTTATTAAAATTTGAAAAAAATGTTCCAAAATATTTTGTTTAGTTTGGGTGCAAGAAAAGAGGATCGTTGGATTATATCTTAAAAATAGTTATTCAATGACTATAGATGAATTAACTTATGTATTTAAATTATTGTCTCTGATGTTTTTAACCAGTGCTCTACTGATTGCTCTTGGTCCAATGTCCTAGATTTAAGATAGGAGATGAGAGTACGCAAAATTTGACTGTCTTGAATAGAAACAAGACCAAATCAACCGCCTTTATTTATAGGAACTAAACAAATAGCTTTGGTATGCAAATAATAGTTAATTTAATGGACTTATCATAGGATAAGATTATGCAAACAATAATTTTGTTAGATGTAAACCCATGTAAATTTCATGATATCAATGAGAGCTAAAGTGCTAAATTTGTAAAATCTGCACCCCATCCTAGTATTTACTCTAAATAATATTTCCTAGAATTTTGTCAAAATTTCTTGTAATTGTATCTCGGGTATTTGCATCATGCTACTTTTTAAATACCATTAACAAGCTTTTAGATAAAATTAGCAGGTCGAACGTGAAATAAAAGGTAAGGTAAAATTGTTTTATTTGATCAATTATACATTTCATGTTTTCTAATTCTTTTCTGACTGTTTCAAAATTTTTGGAATGTCATCAACTGTCATTGAACTATTCTCATGCCAAATATTAATATTATGAACATGCATAATCTCCACCAAGCATAATATTAATCAGATCAATTGCGAAATTTATAAATGTCACTTGGCTTACAGTAGGTCTAACAAAATTCGAAAAAAATTCGACATCGAAACATCCGATATAGTGTAACGGCTAGCACGGTTCGCTTTCACCGAGCAGACCCGGGTTCGACTCCCGGTATCGGAATTAATTTTTTTTTGATGTTTATTTTTTCAATTTTGATTTACAATGCTAAGCTGTACTAGTAGCGTCGGATCTGTTAAGTTGGGGGCTCTCAATATAATCTTTACTTTAAGCATGATATATATATTTACTTGCACAGGTTGTATTTTTCCCAGTTATCATATTAGATTGTTACCAACAGAAATGTGTTCAAGCTTATGTTAACATTCAATGTTGAATTATTTCATCAGAGGTTCCATACATCAATACCCTCTGTAGTTATTATATATTAAGTATTCCTTCCAATTATAAAGTGATTAATCCAATATTTGTTCTTTTACTATTTGGAACTTGATAGTATATTTTGCTTAGTTGCAGCCAAAATTTATAAAATTATTAGCTTCATTATAAATAATATATAAAGAATCCTATATTTACATAGTCGTAGTTTGTATTCAGAAGAGTAATAACCAAAGTTGGATCTAAGGAAATTATAACAAGAGAGTTTGCAGCAAATAAGTTTGGTACGCGATCCTGCATGCAACACACAAATTGAAGTTTTGGAATCTGTTATCATTTTTCTGGTTATTTACTTGTTCATTTTCTTTCAGAGGCAATCAATTCAATTATGTCTGACGACGAGGAATTCTATTCTGAAGAATCATATGAGTTTGAATTTGAAGAAGATGATGATGAAGAGGATAAAAATGATCAAAATGCTGATTACAATGAAGTAGAACAAAATGATGATTTGGATATTGTATGTGAGGTTTTTCTTTTGGGGGGAATTTACCTTTAATATTTATACTAACATCATAACTAGGAAAGTAAGTATTACACAGCAAAAGGCTTCAAAGATGACGAACCAGATACAGCGATTAAAGAATTGAAGAAGATTGTAGAAGATTCCGATAGAACTGTCAGCGATAATATTGAGTGGATTTTCAAGTCATACAAACAATTAATTAAACTAAATTTCAAACAGAACAATCATAATAAGGCACTTGAATACTTACAGGACCTATTCGTATTGGTTCCACAAATTTCTAAATCTTATGTTGAAGAATCAGTTTCCAAAATGATTGCACGTTATTCAAGTGCTACTGACACAAGTTTCATGCCCAGATTTTACACCTTGGTTCTTGAACACATTGGTCAAAGCAATGACAGAATATGGCTCAAAGTCAATACAAATTTACTTAATACCTATCTTGAGAATGAGGAATATGACAAGTGTCCCGTTTTGATTGAAAAAATTCATGCGAAATTAGAGCATGTATCAGAATCAACTAGAAAATCATTCAGTCTTGAAGTTATTGCTGCTGAAATTGACTTTTTAGCTCGAACAAAGAATCTCAAATTACTGCGTATGATCCAATTATATAGAAAAAGTTTGGATATCACCACTGCAGTGACCCATCCCCGAATCTTAGGTATGATTAGGGAATGTGGGGGCAAGGTTCAATTTTACCGATGTAATTATGAAAAGGCCAGGTTGGAATTTTATGAAAGTTTCAAGAGTTATGATGAAGCGGGATCACCTTTAAAAAACAGAATTCTCAAGTACCTTGCCTTGTGTTCCTTGTTAACTGAAAATGAATTCAACCCATTTGATTCTCAAGAAACACGAACGTACACTCAAATGCCAGAATTTACAAACCTACTTATGTTGATTCGTGAGTACCACAATCTGGATTTAACTAAATTTCATCAAGCGTTGGAAAAGATGAAAGAAGAAAAGGATGAGCTCTATCTTGATGATATTTTCACTCATGCATCAAAGCAAATTATTTCAAATCTAAGAGCAAATGCTTTGATGAATTATATTCAGGCTTATAAATCAATACGATTGGAGCTTATCTCCCAAAAGCTTCAATTGGATAAAAACGAATTGGAATCGCTTGTGTTGAAATTAGTCAATGAAGGACGATTATCAGACATAAGGATAGATTTTGTCAATAGTGTTATTTATTCCGAAAAGGCATCCGAGCAATTGATCCCTCAAGTCTTGGCACCTAAGGAGATCTACGGAAATGTCAAAGCATTGGATTTGATAAACCTAGAATCCGGTCATTCTACTACCTCATATGACCACATGGAAATTGATAATCCTAAAGCACCAGTTTATTTCACTGATGTCCCAGGAACTGCATTAGAGGACAAACCGGTGAGTTTGTTGAAAAAATTATTCCTTGTGATTGACTCCACCTTGAAACCCAATGATTGGTTTAAGGCAATAGAAGACTGGTATGCATTTATGGTCTCCGCTGTGCCGCCTTCTGTGAAGACAGAATTGAGTCAAAAAGATCAGATCCATTCTGAACAGAGAGCTGAGAATGCTATTATTGCATCAACTAGTTTAAATATTGGTGCCAATACAAAAGGATTACTAGTTGATGATTCATTAGATCAGGATGAATCTTTCTCGGTTGAACAAATCCACAAGACTGATTTGTTAAGGGCAAGTTATAGAAATATCCAAACATATTATGATAGCTTGAATTCTAAGTAGTACAAAACAGGTTAGAAATTTTTTTGTGCGAGTTGAAAAAGTTGAATATATATATCTGGGATTGCATCGCTGAAAAAAAAAAATAAAATTTTTTTGTATAACTTTTCTTCTTCCAAACACGAAGTTGTAATGAGTATGTTTCTATAGTTATAACTTAGCTTTTATGATCCGTTGATCTTGAAATGATTAAATTTTTATGCGTTATCGTCATGATTTTGCCCACTTTAACAATGTCTTAGGGCGCAAAGTGAAATCAACTAACACCTACATGAAGAGAGATTCGAAAGGTTCATAAGCTTAAAACAATAACAATGATTGAAATACTAACTGATTCTTAAGAATTGAGATTCGAAAATTTATATCTATACACTTATTCCTAGAACTGAAGAGCTAGATTGAGTTTAAGCATAATCTCAGGTAATAGTTTCAGCTTGGATTTTTACTCTTTGAACTTATCATTACCTTGAAGGCAGTAAGAATGGTCCCATATGAGATATCCATTATCGCTAATGGTATTGGTTAATGGGTTTTGAGTGAACAGACACTATTTTGATTTACTACATTGACTGTAAATTCTTTTTGAATTACCAACTATCTGATTCGGTCTTGAGCCAACGTGCAATTCTAATTTTTTTTTCTTGTTTTGAGTATTCTATATCCCTCTGATGTGCCAAGTTTTTTTTCTCTGCTGAGCGTTTCATTGACTGTTAAACTGCATCAAAAAAGGAAGAGTTATTTAGAGAAAAACCAACACAAACTAGTTAGAATTGATAAACTAAAGAGTGTAAGATACAACAGATGCAAAAAAATGATTCCGCCCAGGATCGAACTGGGGACGTTCTGCGTGTTAAGCAGATGCCATAACCAACTAGACCACGGAACCGATTTATATTTTCATGTTCTATAATGGAGGTACCCGTTAGAGAAGGTTACTATGTGCAGGTACTAGGAACCGGATATCTCAATCAATTACTTGATTGTTCTATTAAACTTTGATAACTATTGACTGGAGTCTATTACTAGACTTGACTGAAGAAAACCTATATAAACTTATTCAGAAATTCGATGAAGAATTTTCACATAAACGATCACAAAGGACACAAAGTGTCCTTTGCGATCCTTTTCCATAAGACGTGGAATATGCAGTACGACATGTGCCTGCATCTTGAGATATTCTATTCGCATGAACTGCGATTATGGAACATTTCAATGCTCTATTATTGGGTTACTTCTGTGTGGATTTTTATATCAGTTAAATACTCAATAAAACTTCATAAAAACTAAAGAAAAGAATACGTAATTTCTAAGCTGAAGTTCCCAAGATTCCCACATCTTCATAGACCTATTTTTCTGGAATCTTTAGAACATCCGATTTCTCAGTTACTACTATTTAGCAACTTAAGAGCATATTTCTTTTAACCAGTTTGGGAATCCTCAGACCATTTTAGCAATCACTTATTGTCCAAATGACTTGCTCATGGACAACAATGGAAGGTTCCGTAATTCAACAATAACATCAGACCATATTAATTTATAACAATAACCAACAACCCAACATATTCTATGCAGTCCGAAGGGCTGATAAAGAACATTTCATTAAATTCTACTAATCAAATACTGAAGATAATTTTAACAATTTTCTAGCAAAACCAAGCCAAAATCAAAACAATAAGTTCAAGAAGAACAAGGAAGGGACTTATGGCTCTGATAATAGTATGATTTTGGTTTATAGCATAAATTATGGTCGAGAACAGCAAAAACAAGAGGATTAAATTAACAAAAAACGAATCTGAAGTGAAAGAAAAGGAAACCATAATCTGAGTGAGTAACCAATGAAATAATGACGTTTTGAAATCAAAGCAGTTCTCAACTGACAGAAAAAGGAACTCGCAAGAGTCACTATAGAGAATAATATTTGGACCAACTTAAATATGCAATAGAAAAGAACCATATTTCTTGCAAAAATGAGCCCTAGGTGAATTTTTTCAAATATTTCGCATACTTAAAACTTCGATCTCTGGCACAGAACAATTACAAATATTTCCCAAGCCACATTAATAAGGTTAGAAGCCAGTTGTTAGATCAAGCATGTTAGGTAAACTGTCCAAACTTAGCTCCAGTCTATCTGGATTGCAGAATAGAATACAGTGCTTGCTGTAAACCAAAATTTTTTTTTAAAAAAGAACTACTAGTATTTTATGCTCTATTCATATTATATTTATAAACACAGAAAGCGAATAGAGAAACAAATTAAACTAAGGCGAATTGAAACAACCAACTTTTCAAAATTCGGAAAGAACATTGGAAAGTAGCCGTTTTGAATTCCTAATATATATATATATCCAATCTTTCCTTCTCTAATAATAAATGGTAGAAAAATAAACCGAAAATAGCAAAATAAATGTTGTGCAAATGGCAACAACATATCTCTTCTTAAACACGAAGATCCATATATGGAGGTATTTGAAATAAATGAAAACAGCAAAGGTGAAGATTTCAACGGGAAAGACCAACTATTTCATATAAGAAATAATAATGTAACTGTACCCCTGACCTTTTTTTGCAGTCTATAATTCGAAAAGTAGCGAAAAAAAACCAAAGATTCCCACATGATTCATCAACCAGGAAAGAAAATACACGAAAAGTACAACAAATAAAACCCAGATATCAAGAATATATTTTATTCCTTAATATAAAATAGAAAAATTTGACTGCATATGAATTCAAAGTCAAACTTAAAGGAAGTAAGCCAATGGAACCAAAGCTAAAGCTAAGAAAGTGGCACCAGCAGAAGCAGCACCAGCTTCGAAAGTGGAGATGACACCAGCCTTGGTGGTAACAGCTGGAGAAGCAGCTGGGGCAAGAGTGGTAGCAGCACCTGGAGCTGGAGCAGCTGGAGTAGTAGCAGTAGCAGCAGCACCTGGGGCACCAGTAGCTCCTGGAGCACCGGTTTGAGGAGCTGGGGCAGCAGTACCTGGAGCAGCTGGAGCAGCAGTACCTGGAGCAGCTGGGGCAGCAGTACCTGGAGCAGCTGGGCAGCAGTACCTGGAGCAGCTGGGGCAGCAGTACCTGGAGCAGCTGGAGCAGCAGTACCTGGGGCAGCTGGAGCAGCAGTAGAGGTAACTGGAACGTAGGTAACGAAAACAGTCTTGGTACCTTCAACAGTACCGGTGGTAAGAGCTGGAGTAGCTGGGCAGATAGTGGTGGTACCTTCGCTGGTAACAGTGATGGTAACAGTTGGGAGCTTGGTTTCAGCACCAGTAGAGAGAGGACAGTAAGTAGTGTAGACGGTTTCAACTTCGTTGATAGTTTCAGTGGTAACAGCTGGGGTGGCTGGAACAGCAGTAGCAACACACTTGTCTTCCTTACAAGAAAGGATGGTGACGGTGGTGGTAGATTCTTCAGTGACAGCAGTTAATGGACAGTAAGTAGTGTAAACAGTAACTTCACCACTGATGGTTTCAGTAGTAACACCCTTAGTGGCTGGGTAAGTAGTCAAAGAACAGACATCGTTAGAACAGTGAGTGGTAGTGATGGTGGTAGTAGCAATGTTAGTAGCGGTAACAGTGGAAGCACCAGTAGAGGCACCAGCACCAGTAGAAGCACCAGCACCAGTGGAAGCACCGGTAGAGGCACCAGCACCAGTGGAAGCACCAGTAGAAGCACCAGCACCAGTGGAAGCACCAGTAGAAGCACCAGCACCAGTGGAGGCTGGACCAGTAGTAGAGCTAGATTCAGGGTTGGCAAGAACAACTTGGAAAGAAATGTCACCACCAACTAAGGTACCGTCAATGTACTTGATAGAATCAGCAAAGTCACTAGCAGCGTCTCTCTTAACAATAGCAGTATCCTTGAATAATCTCTTTCTAATAGCAGCAGTAGAGTTAGAAGCAGCTTGTTCTTCAACATGAACGTGATATAAAGGAGCACCTGGGGTGTTGAATAAAATTCTGGCTGGGATACTGATGATACGACCGGCATCGACGATGTCGTTCCAGTATCTTTGACCACCAATAAGGGAGTAGTAGAAGTCAACATCGTAATCTTCACGACTGAAGAAGTCGAAGATGACTGGATATTGTGATGGGATAGTGAATGGACATAAACCAGTGTCTAAGTCGACGACAGCGACACTGACACCACCGACTAAACAGGCGACGTCAACAGCAACAGCTTGAGTCAATAAGACAGCAGATGCAACGATTGAAGAAATTGAAAACCTCATTGTATTATAATTGCTTGAGTTTGAATCTATTTAAAAAGCGAAGGTATCGGTTCAAAAGACTTAAGCGTTAAACTAATAAGAAAAAGAAAAAGAAGGAGTAAAATAATATTAAATTGGGCTTCGCTGGGAATTTGTGTGAAATATATATCTCAATTTGATTTAGCAGCCAGATATCTTTCAATGAAATTCGCCCTTTCGAAGGGAAATGCAAAAAAATATTCATTTGAGTGGGTAAAAAATAAAATTTGCTAAATAATATTCACAAAACCAAATCAATATTTTCACCAGATATTTGTATTGTTGCGAAAAAATAACAATATAAAGTCTATATGTGTGGTCAAAAAGTTCGTGTTGGGTGTGTAGATAGCACAATAATGTTTTAGAGCACACATAATTTTTATGTACTGGAAAAAAGGGAAAACAATAAGAAACTGGTATGGATCTCACCGAAAATTGGCGTGGCTTTTGATAATATTATGCAGATCCTTTCGTGTGTGTTTACCTTCTTAATAACAATCAAAAAAAAATTATTACTAATGGTTCTAGTTCAGGATGTATTACCACCGTAACTACAATTCAGAATATTTTGATCTTCTTCACCCCCTAGTCAGATTATTTTCAAGCGCCGCAACTAAAATTTCAAAATTTAGTACGAAGAATACTGGTTTCACTATGATACTGCGATTGTTCTAATAATAACTATAAAAAAATTTGTTGGAAAAACCACTCCGTTATTTTTTTCCCCCAAATATGTGGTAGTTATACGTAATGAGTTAATATTGGATCCCCTTTGATAACATATAATATTATATGCTAGTAATTGATCTCCAGTTTACATTTCTTGATTTTTAATTTTGAGGTATATCAGCAGATCAGGTGTTTTAGCGCGATGGCTGGAAGAAAACGTTTAAATTTGTTTGTTCGCATCTCACCAGCCACCAAAAAACCCTGTTTGTTTTGTACACAAAAGTCTTAGACTGAAACACCGCGCCAACAAAATCTAAATTTACATATAAACTTCGCCCCTGCATCTCGTAAGATTCAATTTGATATTTCCGCACTTTTGCTTGCTAAGGTAAAGCGGGTAAATTCTCCACGCAGGGTTAATTCTGGTCATTCTTGCTATAAATCAGCTCATAAAACTTTTGAAAATAGATTGCTTGCAAGCAAATGATTGACATTGACTCTGCATTCAAATCAATTAATTCTGCATTACTCATCGGTTACAAGTTGCCGGCCCTGTTTGTTGTCATGACGTTATTTGGTTTCAGAATGCCGCGCTTAATGTGAATCAAAAACAAAACCTGCATTCCAGTGCAGATTTTCTTTCTTTTTTTTTCTTTATCTACCTTCCTAATCTGTAAAAAATAGAGTTTGACACCTGCAATAGGATCTCGGTAAAAAAATATTTGATTCACAAAATAACGGATATTTACATTTTAACCCTGTCAAATTTCATATCCTTTTTAACACAGTTCTAGATTTTTGTAGATATGTCATCGATTGGCTTAATAGATAGTCGAGAAGGGATTAAGGGGTACATGTTTCAAGTTTAATTCATCCATTGTACCATTATAAAACCTTTAAATTTTCCACAAAAGTTATAGATTGGAATTTGAGGGATCTTCTATGTACAAGCTAATTTCTCGTTTAGCCATAAGCATCTCAGTCGCCTTAACAACCCCTTACTACGAGCGAATATATTTGCATGTTTTACTGGTTGTCACTACAAACAAACGTAAAAGAAATTTCTCGCAATTACACTGCCCCCTAATGCACTCTCCTGTAACATTCCTTTACGAAAATTCCTCAGGATTATAATTGCTTGTAACAGATTAAGATAAGCCAAGACATTATTTTACAAGAATCCCACATTCCCTTCGTATCCCTCTCCCTATTAATTTCAGCACTAGATATATTTTACTGCAATTCTATTCTTGCATTTTTAGTATTAAAAAAAGAAAAACAAACTAACAAGAGACATCCTTTGTAGAACAAAAAGGAGGGGCCAATTGAGGGTACATAAACGTTGATGAAGCACGTTGGATGATTTAGATTTGCTTCGAGATTAATTAAGGGACGCACGCACCCTTGGATTGTTCTCCTGAGACTCACAAAACAAAATATCCAAAGCATAATTTATTTTTTGTGCTACTAATGCAAAGGAATTTTTTTTTCCATTTAACACTTCCCACGTCCAGATGTGGCGAATTAATTTACTAAAAAAGTAAAATTATCTAACTAACTAGAAAAATAAAATCTTGTCTGATAACGGGAGTGTGAGTCCTATTCTGCACTGTTTCTTACCTTGCAACCAATATAATCACCCAATTGGCATATATACGATGTTTTCAATTCACACCCCCGCTTTTCTCCCAAATTCTAATAGCTCAATTGAGTATGGTGAAGCTCAAGTAGGATGTTTTGATTTTGTACGAAATTTTTTGTTTTTCTCAACTCCGGTAACTATTTCCGCCCTTGGCCATCTAACCGAAAGGGGGGAAGATTGCTGCTCTTGGCGTGGGCACTACTATTTTTTTGTTTTCATAATTGTATAATTTGTCGCGACTCACACATTGTCTTTTTCCAATAGAGTCATTATTTAGCTTATACTGTTTGTTTATAACTAAGGTATAACTCGACGCGCTTTTCAAAGTTGTCATTATGATTTAGTTGTTCGGATATTATTTCCTCTTTTTCATTATGACCATGCAGCCGCGTAGTCCTATCTTATTATTACACCCCCACCACTCATGTTTATGTTACCAACAATGAAATCACTAAAACCCCTAAACAAGAATCAGGTACGCGACTCTCTTTTCCACATCTAGATTCACCTGCGCTCAATCTAGATGTTTTAACAACAATGATCGTATACAATTATGGCGCTGCAAACTGACGCGATTAGTTGTTTATCTCGTGGTGGTGTTACCACCCTTGCACAATGTCTTAACTCCATGAGATGCAAATATGCATTTTTATACAAGCTATGTAAATTAATTAGGGGTTGAAATCAGCTAACTGTTTATCACTTTTTTGGGACTGATCTATTTTCCAGTCATCAACCCCTGGCCAATCGACTTTGATCTTTCTTTGTTTAGACATATCTGTGTTTTTCAAATATTGCTGTCTTTCCTTACTCCATTCGTCTTGAACATCAGCAAAAGCCTTGTTCCAGACTTTATCATAAACCTTCTTAATCTTGGCCTCTTCTTGTTGTCTTACTTCTTCTAATGCCATCCATTCCATATGTTTCAAATCATCGGAAGATGGTTCATAGATATGCCAAATAACATAATGTGGTAAACCAACCACGGAATAACCCATTCGTTTACTCAATTTCCCAAATGCTTCAGTTTCAGCATGTTTTTCAAATGAAAAAGCTGGGAAATGAGACCCGGTACGGAAGACTCTGGCTTTGGTTAAGATACTAACACCTCCAATCCCATCCAAATCCATTTCTACTTCAGGATCGCCATATGGGTCTCTTAAATATGCCAAGTGAGGTCTCCATGTTTGATATTCAACATATCCTTCGACAATACAAGCATCTTCGTCCAAAGTGTCTGCCAATTGTAATCCCCCATCAGATTCTTGCCAAGAGTTCAAATCATAAGGTTGTTGATTTCCTAACCAATCTGGCAATGGACGCCAGACATTAGGAACAATCACATCTTTATCATGATGCATTAAATCTTCGACAATTGTAGGAGGAACTGTTTCCACATCGGCATCTCTCCAATATACAAAAGAGTGGTACGGTTTTATGGCCACGGTCCAGAGCCAGTTTCTGGCCCGTGCCATCAACTTTCTTCTGGGACCTTGGGCAGCAAATCCATGTCTATCTGAAAACCCTTGTCCTATAACTTGGCCGAAATCTTTTTCGTAAATTTCAATCTCACCAAATCTCATATTTGGATCAGGATCATTTTGAATCTCAAGCAAATGCTTTCTTAAAGACCCCATGGTATCATCAGACGAGTCACTAACCAAGAATGCCAAGTCTATTAATCCATGTGGATATGTTAATTTCCTCATATGACCAAAGAACATTGGTAAATGAGCAGCTGCATCTCTTAAAGGGACACAGAAAAGAACTCGTTCATCCCGTTGCCAACCATCGGCACTTCCCATGTAGTTTGCCAAATCAAAGAACTGGACGTTGTCAAACAGTGATATATCTGGCAGGTAACCACTACCAACCGATTGACGAACCACTAACACTAGTAGTAGCACTAAAAATAGCACTAGAATGATTATTTGTCTAATCGGATGAGCAACGAACCCTAATATAGAATGAGAACCAGATTTCCCCTTTTTAGATTTTCCTTCACGATCATCATCGTAATAGTCATATGGAGTCACCAGTATAGAGCTTGATGACATCATTAAGTTGTATGTGTATTAAAAATATGCAAATTGACTGATTTTCTCTCGCAAGTGGGAAGAATGAAAATTATTATTGGTTGTAAGTTTCTATTTTTGGACTGGTCGGTGTGAATGCAAGTGCAGGGTGTGAATTCAATGACTTGGAAAGGTATTAGTGTCAAAGATATCAACAGTAGATGGAAGAGTACGATCTAGAAGAGATTAGAAAGGTTGATAGAAAAAAAAAATATCACTTACGTTGAGTGTGGCAGGTGGATCTTGATTATTTTTTTTTTTCGAAGTGATTTTGTATGAAGATGTTGAAACCGATTGTTTGACACAATAGCAAAGTATTATTGCAGATAACCACAGGGAAAACACCCTTCTGAAAACAAATGTTACCAGCTTGAAAACAAACGGTTTGAAATGGAATCGAGCTAAACTGAAACGTAGACACTCTCCCCTTAGTAAGTTTTCACAACAATATAAAAAGATCTGGTTCTGCTTCTGGAATCCAGCACATTATCCATTAATTCGAAACAATAGGCGAGAGTAAAAGTTCTAAAGCACGATGTCCACAACCCGCCCTGAATTATACATGTGCTACCAAAAAAAAAAAAAAATTAAAACCGTTGGAAGAATTTCATTTTTTGCAACTACGCAAAATCTTATAATTTCTCTATAAATACAAACCTTTACACAATATTACATAACGGAAACAACCGAAGTACCATCTTGGAATCTTGTTCTGAAAACACGATTAGCATTAGTAAACATTCCTTCCTTTAAAGAAACAACAATGAATTGCGACCCTTTAAATCTCGTCTTGATTAAATGACCAATGTTCTGAGTATGGGAAAGATCCAACGCAGCATCAACTTCATCCAAAATATACATTGGTGCAGGTTTAAATTGTAACAATGCCATGATCAACGAAAGTGCAATCAATGATCTTTGACCACCAGACAATTCAACCAAACTTTCCTTCCACACTGCTCCTAATTTCACCTTAACTTCAAGACCTTGAGTCACATCCATCATATTCACAGGAACTAACTTAGCAAACGAACCAGGTAATAAATCTGAAAAGATTTGTCCGAAATCAGCTGACACTTTTTGATAAGTAGTGTTCAATGTCTCACGCTTATAACCATTTAATTTACTAATGGTATGCTCAATCTTACTCTTGTCCTTTTCGATGGTCTTAACCATAGTCTTTAAAGATGCTTCTTTCTTCTCAACATTATCAATCATATTCATGATATTAACATTGACCTTTCTTCTCATACTTGCAAACTTTTCTTGCAATACATTCAATTGCTCTCTACTTTCTTCAACATTCAATCCTGGATATTGCTGAATTAAATTCTCCAAAACATGCGAATCCATAACCCATTCATGCTCATTTATAATTTCATCTAATCGTGACTTTAAAGCTGTTGTCAAATTCTTTGATTTTTCCAACTCATGGGTTAATTTTTGCATTTCTAATTTACTATGATTCACACTATCATTCTTTGTTTTCAATAATTTGGTCAATTCATTAATTTCGTCATCCAAACCTAACAATCCCGCTCTTACTTCTTCCAATTCGACTTTGATCAATGCCAATCTATCGGCCAACTTTTCATAATCTTCTTGTTGCAGAAGACTCTTGGTAGTCAACTCCTCAGTCAATTGATCACATGACGCAAGCGATTCATTAATATTTGCCACTTCTGCCTTTTGTTGTTCACTTTCAACTTGAATGGCCTGGTACTTTTCAGTTAGTTCATCCAATTCTTGTTCCTTTTTAGCAACCTTCTTCTTCAATCCAGTGGTTTCCTTTTTCAAGTCATTAATCTTGGATCCTTTATCGCTGTTAAACTCCTTGATATCTTTCTCAATTCTAGAAATTTCATGTTTGTATTGCTCACACTTTTCCAAATGAACTTCAATTTCTTCAGTTAATTTACTAATTTCAGCTTCATTGGCTTGATTTTGCTTCAAGATCAACGAGGATGGGTTACTTTCTAATTTTCTCTCCAATAATGACAATTCATGCTTTTTAAGGTTTATTTCATTTTGCAATGCTTTGGTTGAACTCAATAATGAATCCATATGCGACAATTCCTTTCTAGTGTTTTGCAATTCCATTTCAACTCCTTTTAATTTTGAAGCAATCTTATTATACTGTTGTAATCTTAACAAAACCGAAGAATTGTTCTTACGGGACCCACCCGAGATGTTACCCTCTGGATCATAGGTATCACCATCCAAAGTAATCGAGCGAGATCGAATCTTAGGATCAAAAGTGATAGTCTTGGCCGTGTGGGGATCATTACAAATAAAAGTAGTTCCAAACACATACTCCATTGCCTTGCGTAAATCATTCTCAAAATCAATTAGATTCATAGCAAGCTCAACTTTCCCAGGAGCAACTTGTTTTGCATATTGAATAACATCATTGTTGATTGTCCTAGTGGTTATCTTATCCAAGGGAATGATCGTAATTCTTCTCTTCAATTGCCCGCGCTCTAAAAGTTGAGATGCAACATCACTGGTATCCACGACAACATTATATAATCTTCCACCAGCACAAACTTGTAATGCAACAGCTTTATCATCTGAGCCTTCCAGTAAATTGAATAATCGTGCAACAATACCTCGAACTAGATTATCATTAAAATCGGCCGAGGGCCTGCTATATTGAAAGTCAAGATTACCAATTTCGCGTCGGATATAATTCAACTCACTATTTAACTTATTTTGCTGATCCACCAAATCAGCTTCTTGGTTTCTTAATTGTGAAATTCTAGCTGGATCAAATCCCAATTTATTATCAAGTTCACTCTGTTTATCCGTGATAATAGATCGATATTTCTCGATATCTGAAAGTAAGGCCATATTTTCTTGACGTGCCTTATCGAGCTTGACTTTATCACTATTTATCTGATTGTTAAGATGGGAAATTTTCAATTTAGACGTCTTGATGAAGGTTTCCGAAGTGTTCAAGTTCTCTTTGGCTTCATTCAACTGAGAAGAATATCCAGTACTGACATTACCTTTGGAAGACATACCAGTTGACAAGCTCGATAACAATTCTTCCTTCTTATTAAGTTCTTCTTTCAATTGGTTCAATTCCTGATTAGATATGTTGTATTCATGCTCATGATTTCTATAGATATCTTCATTGTTTTTCAAATTCACATCCAATTCACGCAACTGATTTTCCAATTTGGTCCTCTTTTTCTGTTCTTCTTTAAGATTTTCCATAGTGATATCCTTGGTCGTATTCAATCTTGCAATCTCATTAGAAAGTTCGTTTTCAGCATGTTCCAATTCTTTCAATTTACTATCATTTTGAAGCTCTGCTTGTTTCTTAGTTTTGACTTGATTCAAATCATCATTCAAGTTTTCAATTTCATTATTCAATTTGTCTATTTCAAGACGGAGATCATTCATTTTAGTTTCATGTTGACTCAAGAAGTTAGAATGATTAGTGAAATTTTGTGACAAGTTAGTATAATCATAAGCTGCAACGGCACGAGAGAGTTTCTCTAAATCAATTTGAGTCTGTTGAAATTCAAGAAAGTTTCTCTTTTCATTTCTTAATTTTTCCAACTTTGGATCAATTTCTTCTTTTAACAAAGTTCGTATTTCAACTAATTTGGCTTCCTTTTTAGCCATAGTTTTTTGAGCTTTGTCTTTTCTTTCTTCAAAAGTTCTCGTACCTGCAGCTTCTTCAATCAAGGAAAGAATTTCCTGGGGTTTCATATTCAACACTTTGGTAATCTTCCCTTGCATGATCAAGAAATTAGGATTATTGATATTCAATTGAACTGATTGGAATAAATTCAACACTGTCTGCTGTTGAGCTTTATGTCCATTAATCAAATACTTTGAGCTACCACCCAAAATAATCTGTCGAGTTACACTGATGGTAGCACAGGTTTCAAACCCAATAGGTGACTTGGAAACTTCACTATTATCAAAAACAATAGTCACACTGGCCTTTGTAACCCCGGCTTGCCCTCTCTTATAGATTAAATCTTGTAAGTTGGAAGCTCTCACGGTGGACATGGATGCAATCCCCAAAACAAAACAAATGGCATCCAAAATATTGGACTTTCCAGACCCATTCAACCCAGTGATGGCGTTAAATTGCGCATCCCAGCCAGAAATAACCGTACGGGACGCATAGGACTTGAACCCATCTATTATGAGCTCATCTACCTTCATGGTGGTTTGGTTGATGAAATTGGTTGTAAATATTTTGGGTTTGTTTATTTTTGATCTGGTGAAATTCGCGCGTGCCTACAGAGAATTAGGGGAACGTGAGATTTGTATTGAGGTACGGATTTTTCTTTCAGCCGCAACAATTTCTGCTCATCTCCACGCCGTCTTAGTCAAAGAGGATACTGAAGACACACAGACAATATATCGTGGCGGGAAGATGTTAAGAGCGGCTAGAGTCACAAGAGGCTCTGTACGACCTTTGCAGTCTTTAAATGTCCAATCATCGAGATGTCGTCATGGCAAGTCTGAACCTGGCCCTAAAAGAAGAATATATTCATCAAGACTAGACAATATATTTGATAGAAAGACAACCGCAAAAGAACACAAGAAGACAGATGCAGTGGAAGGGCTAGCAAAGACAATGAAACTTATCAACGAGAAATCTACAAAATTCTTGGGTAAATATGTTGATCCCACAAGTAAGCTTGATCTCAGACTATCCTCCAAGAAAATCCTACTGGAGATAGAAGAGGCATTTATCAAGAGAGGCAACGACAGATTTGTCACTCCATCCAAGGCATGGAAGGAAAATGTTCTTTCCGGGGAGGAATCCAAAGGTATAAGCGAACAAATCAGCCTGTGTTTATCAAATTCCAAGGTGAATGGTGCTTGTATTGTTCAACCTCCCAAAGTTGGTGATATCGTTACATTGTCCGACAATTTGCGCTTGTATATAATAGCAGCTGGTCCAAAAAGTATCAAATCAGGTTCATACACTTTTATAAATGCCAGAGGTGAGATTGTGTTTGGAAAAAGTGGTATGATCCGTGACAGAGTTCCCGGAGCAATCCCCCAGAGATTTCATGATTATTTGGGAAATTGTGTTTCTTTAGAACAGAAATTCGATGGTGTTGCTCCTGTAGGAATGGCAGAAAGTTTGACTAGATCCGCACCAGAAACTATCAAGACTAAAGACGAGAAGATGAATGATTTGGAAGAACCGGAAGTGAATGACCCTACTGACTTTGTAGTTTCCCAAGCTACATCCCAATTACTTGTGGATACAGACATCAATACCTATATTGTCCCGCTTTTAGCAAGAAGTACTTATGCGGGAGCATTGTCCCAGTTATGTATCGACTCATTCAAGAAAGTTAGTAGTATCAACCAGAAACTAGAAAGATTACACAGAACTTTGCAATATGATGCTGATGGAAACTTGAACGTGCCAAGAACACTTACTATTTTCGAAATATTATACCATTTGGAACAGAATCCAAAAAATTCTATCCAGTCTAAACAAAATGGAAATTCCAAACTTGGTGTGTCACTTGACTTTAGTCAGAACTATGAAGACTACGACTATAGTGCTTCAACGTATTTGGCTACCTTATTTGCATTACGTAAACAATCCAGACTTTGGAATTTAGAAGCCACATCTCAAAACGAGTGTCAAACCAGAGTCACAGTTTTGCCGGTTTCTGATGTTTCTTATATTGACAGGGTGATGAAATATCTCAAAGAAGGCGGAATTGACGAATTTTCAAAATATTGTGCTGGAATATTATCAGGCGAGAAACCTACTAAGCAACCTCCATTGTACATCGATATAATTGGAATGTTGAAAGACTTTGTTAACCGTAAATTCGACCATGACCCAGCAGTTGAAACTGTTTTAGTGTATGTTTTGAGGGGAATTGAAAAGCACATGCTACCATCAAACCTAGTTTTCGAAACTTCAAACTATGTGAATGAATATTCCAGAACAAGGGCATATGATTTATTGGTTGAACTTGAAAAGAATGATTCAATAGTTAATCCATTTAAATGGTCAAAGACCAGTAGCTGGCCCAACGAAAAGACTTCATATGTTTCTGACTTGTCTCAATCGTATTATGACTGTCTTGATGATAATGCAACCACCTCTAGTGAGAATACTGGTCTCGACCAACTTGATCAACAACAATTATCGAACTTGAATGAACCAATTGATCTGACTCAGATGGGCTATTCCAATGATTTCTTTGATTCAGATCCTATGAATGACATAAGAGAAGATCTTACCAACGTCCTGGTGTACTGTATTGATAGTGAGTTTGCCCATGAAATTGATGACGGTATTTCAATTCACGAAGATGAAGGCAAATATGTGATTTCAGTGCATATTGCTGAACCAAGTTCATACGTTAAGCCTGACTCGACCCTCAGTTCAATTGCGTTTAATAGGACCTCCACTCAATATTTCCCTGAAACTGCATTGTTAATGTTCCCACCCATTATTTCTAACTTGAGCGGATTGGGAATTGATTCCCAAGACACAAGGGCATTCAGTATACAATATAAATTGGACAAAGGTCTCCTTGACGAGTTCTTCAAGCAGAGATTGACTGATCCAGAGTCAAGCATTGATTCCACATTATTAAACACTGTAAAGTCGCAAATTGAACAGACTAAGGAAATAAAGTATAGCTTATTAAGAAATTTCCGCCAAGGGTTCACGTATAAGAAAGTAGCTAAGGTGTTGCGAAGTGAAAACAGACAGGAATTATACAGGACAGACCAAGATTACAACAATTTATTCAAGTTATTTCAATTATCAACTATTCTCAACGGGATAAGGAGTCAAAATATACCAGTTGAGATGACTCAGAATAACAGCAATCTCCAGGTTTTAGAGACTGGCGATGACATCGCGTCCGAAAGTCGTTATATAGAAAAAGGTGAAGGACACGAAATCCGAGTAAAGAATTCGCGTCAATCGATTATCATCCCCAAAGAACTTGATATTGAAGATTCGGTGAGTTTAGTTACTGAAAACATGATCTTTGCCAATTATTTAACAGGTGCCATAGCCAAAGAGAAGAACATCAAGATTCTCTATAGAACATTTGAATTCAACATTTCTGACGAACTTAAGAAACAATTCCAAGAGTTAAGACTGGGGAATTCCATCCGAAAAGATGAATTTGATTTTGGAAGTTTTGTGAGCCTTGCCAAATATACTGTCTCACATGGAACTCATGCCCTTGTTGGACTTGGATCATATACAACCATCACTTCACCCATGAGAAGATACGTTGATATGATCAATCAATGGAAGTTCCAGGATTATTTCCTTGGCCGCGAAGAAGGGTTTATCAAGGATTCAAATCTTGAAAATATTGCCAATATCGTGAATTCAAAAGCAGCGTACGCAAAGAAACCAAGCGCTTATGCACAAAAATTCTGGACTGGTATTTTTCTTCGTGAATACAAGAGATTGTTTGAAGCTGGCGAGATCAAGAATCCTATTGAGTTTTCTCTTGTGTTGAAAGCAGCTCCCAGAAAAGATGCTGTTATTGGTGTTACTTGTGAGAAATTCCCCAATATGATTGCCAATCTTGAAGTTTCAGATGCTCTTATGGAGGATTACAAGAATGGACTTATCGGTAAGGATGGTAGAATAAGTTCAAACAGACTCCAAATCGCGAGAATTGACTATGTCGAAGATGATTTGCTATTCAAATATGTTTAAATGTTCTAATGTAATTAACTTGTAGATAGACTTGTAAATAGAAAATATGTAAATAGACACCTGCAAAATTTATATTTATAAACTGTATGTATATATATTTTAAGATTTGTAAATTCATACCAAATTCAGGATCATGCCCACTTTCCAATGAATGCCATTGCAAAAGCACCAAAGGCAAGCCAGAAGTAAGCAGCCAACATGTTCTTGGTAGACTTATCCTTGAACTCAGACGAATAAATGAAATCATAAGCCATCAAGTCAGCAATACTATTGTAAATAAGCACACCAGCACACATAGCATCAAACGTTCCTGTTGTGATCAATGCTGTTCTTGATCTAACAGGATAAGTTTTCCTTACACCAATCCCAATGGCAACCGCTGAAGGTGTTGTTAAACTATAAATGAATGCCATTAGCCAAGGCACATATTTTTTCCCCTTGGGCCAAGGTGTGGTTGCAAATCTTGTTCCTAACCCCAACCCTTCAAAGAATTGATGAAAACAAATGGCAATATACAATGAAACAAATTCATCACCAGCAATTGCCAAGGATAACCCAACAAATACTGAATGAAGAACAATACCGCACTCTAAAACAATACAATTGAGAATTTGCTGATATAAGTTTTCATAAGCAGCAGCCAGGGGATCAGGTACATCCGAAGGTGTAGCGGTGGTGTTTTCTCCACCTACAGAACTTTCCTTGTCCAAAGAACTTTCCTTATCTAGAGAGCTCTCGGATGATTCCAATTCTGCAATAATACACCGTGGTTGTCCATCTGCCCCAATCTCACAACAGTCAGCGTGGAGTTTTGCTTTCTGGTGAATTTTCTTGTTGGCGATCATGTCAAAGAAAAAGAATACAAATACTGCCATCAAAGCAATCCCTTCTGCAAATGGGTATTCGGCAAAGACACCACCCAAACAATCGTTGGTAAGTGCCACCAGGGCTTCTGCCAAGAGATGAATAAACCCAGTTCCAATGATAACACCACTACCGAAATTCTTGGTAATAAAGAATAGCCAGTTAGGTAAGTGAAATTTCAGTGAATACAAAGCGACTAATGGGAAAAGTGATCCAAGGGCCGATAACACAAAAACCACGGGGACAGCAGTTATTCTTGCAATAAGATGTTCACCATTATAATGGTTACCTTGAAGACATACATCTTCTCGGGGAAATAATTCAGTCATGATTCTATATTAAAGTAGAAGTTCACATTACTGTGCTATCCATGAATTTATAGGAGGAAGCATGATGTATTTATACAAAATATTACTCAATATTGCTACCCTATAAAAAAACCTTCGCAGGCGTATTTCCTTAACAAGAAAGGATGCAGCCAAGTTCAAGCGAAGCTCCGAGGCGGCTTTCTACAGAGGAGTTCCGATTTTTTGTATGGATAAGGAGTATATGACTCAAGTGAAAAAAAGAAAAATGGAATGATCATGAGCAGATTTATAACTGCATTAGGTACACCAAAACTATAAACATTGATCAAGAAAATGCAGTTGGAGAGAAAAAGAAAATATAAAATCTTGGACTAATTGGATATTCGATCTATACGTCCAGCAAGTTTATGTATTGTAAAATTCATGCTTAAAGTTCCCGAGGATAAATAAGAGATATTTCACAACTTGTATTGGTTGGTCCTTGAAATATGGCTGCATGCTAATGTATCCAATCATGGTTGTTCTGATTATTGATGACTGAAAAATATTATCAATCTAATCAATCTAAATAATAATTGTGATCATGAGATTCTGCACTCATTGCAAAGACCAATGCCACAAAGCACACATTTAATAAAATCTTGAGAGAAGCTAATCTATTTACTATATCAGAAGCAGATCTAACTCTGAACACACAATTCCACACAAAATATTCACCTTAAAGTCAATTGTAGTTATCTCTGAAATCTTTACTATTGATTCAAGATTACAATAATCCCTTCATTACTGAGAGCAATTGAGAAGTCATGCGCAAAATCCAAAATGCCAAGAAATGGCATCATGAGATTCGAGAAGTCTAGCCACTCAATTATTTCAGTACAACAACAATTGTGAATATTGTCTGCCTAGATTTATAATTTTCTTGGAATAAGAATGTAAATAATCACCAAGCATCCTTGGGCTGAAGAATGCAAGGATTAAAATATTCGTAGATCGTAGGCTGCATCACCAGACCTCTGATATTGTTCGTATATTAGAGGCTTATAAATGGTATTCCCTTAGAAAAATATACCTTCTATTTTTGTTACTATAATAAGACCTATTACAATTGTATTTAAAGCTATTGAATACAATTTTAATGACTGCAATGCTTAGTTTGTGTAGTTAATTTACAGTGTGGTCATTCGCAACCACAAATGCCAGTATCAAATATACACACCATGTAATTTTAGTCACGGGAGTAAACTGTCGCAAACATTTATTGTTTGTTTATCAAATCTTTATTTACAACCCAGAAAATTGACATTAAAGTCACGGACGATGGAAAACGATATATTCCCCTCACATTCACTTACAAGTGCTTTTATATCTACAGTTGATCATTTGCCTTGTGATATCATCCGATCTGTGTGGCTAATACAAGCATGCAATATCAAGATAGATGCTCGTAAACATGAGATAGATGAGATACTAAAACATTACCAATCCACGCGAGATATAACGCAACAGGATATTGAAAAGTTGATTCGAATAAAACAAAACATTAGAACTTTATCACGAGAATCAATACTGGAAGCACGTGCATTGAACAACCAACTTACAACGCACAAAATGAATTTAATAGAAGAGTTGAATCAATTGCAAAATATTGACAAGTCAAAAGTTAACTTACACGACCATTATAAGCAGCGAGAGCAACTACTGCGTCAATTAAAAGAACATTATGCCAAGTATCCTTTACAATCACAGAAGGAGGCACTAGAAGAACAAAAACGACAACCTTCGAAAAAGAGTGGATTGAAGATATTATTGAAAATACCGAAAAGCCTACAGAAGACAGCAAAATTAAATACAAAGATAGCGAAAAAACCAAAACCTGTTGCCAAGGTGAGTAAATCAGCAAAAACAAAACCGCCAATCAAGTCTCGACCTTCAACCAAACGAAATATTCCTAAGATCGAACCGGAACCGGAACCAGTACAGGAAGAACCACAAGAAGACACCAACGTGTACTGTTTCTGTAAACAACGATCTTCTGGTGACATGATAGCTTGTGACAACGAAGACTCGTGTCCTAATGGAGAATGGTTCCATTTCAAATGTGTCGGTCTATTGAATAGAGTCGAAGCAATGAAATATACTACGGGTAAAGTAAAATGGTACTGTTCTGACTTTTGTCGTAATGCTGCTGAGCAAAAGGAACTTAAAGCAAAGGAACTCAAAAAGAAAAAGAGGAAAAGAAGGTGGTGATTACTTTTGTATTAATATATATATATTGTACAAACACCCTATGCAGTTAATAATTCCAACATACCACTAATTTCATTGGCTTCTTTACATTTTTTAATTTCAATGTTTATTCTCTTGAGTAAATTGGAGAAACATTCTTCCAAGACAACACTCTTGTCTATTAAGGAACCGTACATTTCCAAGATGATACCAATGTAATCACATTGTAAGTTGAAAGATCTAACATCTTCTAAGTTCTTAATAAACCATTGTAAAATAGGCAACAATGAAATCTCATCACGCCCATACAAGGAAATTCTTACTTTCCCTCTCTTTTTCAACTCATTTAATATAGTCACAGTTTGTTCTTTAGGTAATCCTGGAGCAAATGCACTGTCTAAAGCCTCAGCCCATCTAAATGCATTAAGGTGTTTCTCAAACTGTTTCAATTTCTTGGCCTGAGGAGCACTGGATTGGATAATACGATGTTCTTCTTCACCAGCATAGTCTCTACCTTTCATCATTCTAGCATATGCAGCAGACTTTTCTTGCTTGACACCTTGTTTTACCTTTGGTTCTGTCTTCTTTGTACGTATGGAAATCAACCCTGAAGTTAAACCAGCCACGAAATGCTTATGGTCGTTGGAAGCTGGAGAAACACCACAACTCAAGACACCACCACTACCGAACTTCCATCCAAATTGGACATCCCAATTAGAAGAAGTGTAATCGAAAATCTTAACATGGCCATCCAACGAACCTACCAACAACCCTCTATCACCAGTATCATGTAAACTAGTAGCTGTCTTGGTAAAGTTGTTCAACTCATGAATTTGAGCACCTCTGGTCAAATCCCAGATTCTCACTTGCGGTCCACCAGCACTGACTAATGTAGTTGAAGAAATCGCAAGAACATCTTCTATAGGATTATGTTGGTTAAATTGAGCCACAACTTGATGTTGAGAAGTGGAAAAGTTTCTGGTATCAAAAATTCTAACAATCCCATCATAACAACCGGTAGCTATTAAATTAGGGTTACCAGGAATGAAGTTTGCGCTTCTTATATAATCAGTATGGTGAGAACCGTCGAATTCAACTATTGGACCCTTTGTGGTTTGTGATATGTCGTAAAGTCTTAATATTCTATCGTCAGAACCAGTAATCAACTGATTTCCTATAGTTGGGTGGAATTTAGCAACATGTGTAGGGTGGGAACTTGGATGTAAACTAACGAGCAAGTTTCTAGGTTGGTAACTATCGTAGATCGACACCAATCCAGTTGCATCAGCAGCAACTAATAACTTCCCATCATATCTGAACTTACCGGAATATACAATATCCTTGAATCTGGAAAAGGTCTTGATAACTTGTCTGGTCTTGGAGGAAAATATTTGAATCCTGGTGGAAGAAGTAATGGCAAAGTCATTTGGAGTAATTGGATTAAAATCTATGCAATTTACAGGATGGTTTTCCTTGATTAGTTGTGGACTGACGTAACTTCTCCAATACCTTTGTTCTGGAGTAGTCTGTGAAGGTAAAGTTGGATTCCTCACCTGGGGAATCGCTTGTCTAGTGGCTGACATCTATAATAATATTACAAGTTGTGATGTTAAAATCGTGGTTTAGCGATGCTTGAAAAATTTATAGAGATGAGAATGAATTTAATTTTTTTTGTACATCACGTGATCGAGATGCTACCGCTAAATAAAATAGTTGGTAAATGCTACTGCTAGTGCTGCTACTACTACTACCACCACCTTCTACATAATTCAAATTCAATTAGAAGTTCACATAAATTCAAGCTATTAATCATACATAAAGAAAACTTCTAAAAGTACTAGAGATGATTTAAATTAGGTTTCACATCACATTTAGTTTTGTAAGTCCTTCTTTAAAGTACCCAAGAAAGCGTGCTTTTCAGCTGGGGTTTGGAATCTACCCTTACCGAATCTGGAAGCAGTGTCAATCCATTTCAAGTCAACTTCTTCCAAGGCTCTTCTGGAGGTGTCAACGTATAAGGACTTTCTTAAGGTGACAACTCTCTTCTTGATACCTGGGATAGAACCCTTCAACAAGACGAAATCGTTCTTAACGTTACCGTATCTAACGAAACCACCCATTGGGTTAATGGTCTTCTTGGTTCTGTCGAATTCGGTAGCACCGTTGGATTCGTCAGCACCGGAACCAACTCTGTAAACCTTGTGGTTAATAGAGGTTCTGTGGTGGTAACCGTTTTGACCGGCTCTGGCAACAGTCCAGTTAACGTTAGCTGGATGCCAAGCACCGATACAAGCAACCTTTCTTAAACCTCTGTGGGTCTTTCTTGGCAACTTCTTGGTACCCCATCTGTGGGTAACACCTTCGAAACCGTGACCCTTGGTGACAGCAATGACATCAATCATTTCGTTTTGTTCGAAAACAGAAGAAACGGAAACTTCCTTTTCAAAGTGTTCTCTGGCCCAGTCAACCTTGTCAGAGACAGAACCACCGTTGATTTGGATTTCAGCTAAGTGAGCCTTCTTTTGAGCCAATGGGGTCTTCTTGATTTGGGTGTGAGCTAAAACTCTGACAACAGAAGCGTACTTCTTAATTCTAGCCAATTCAGTTTCAACTTGCTTAGCATCACCAGCGTACTTGGTGGAGTACTTGGTGAAAGCCTTCTTCTTGGACTTGAACCAGTTCTTGTAGAATCTTCTTCTAACTTCTTCGGACAAGTGTTCAGCCCAAACGGTGGTCAAGGATCTTAAACCTCTTGGGGTTTCAACGTAACCAACAACACCAACAACAACCATTGGTGGAGTGTCAACAACGGTAGCAGCTTCGACAACTTCCCTCTTGTGCATCTTGGAACCTGGACGGTCCAAGTCTCTGACAATGGTGGTCATACCAGCCTTGTAACCTAAGAAAGCAGTTAAAGCAACTGGCTTAGACTTAACATCCTTTGGGAAGGACTTAACTCTACCTCTTTGATTAGAGGCTCTCTTTCTTGGCAAGAAACCTAAGGAACCGTGACGTGGAGCTTCGTATTTTCTGTGAGACATCTCTGTACTTTAATGTTATTAACAACTGAAGAAAGAAAGAAATAAACAAAGTATGTAAAAAAATGGTTATGAAAAATTTTTTATATAGGCAAACCTTGCGCAAGATGAGAATTTTTCACCCGAGGTCGTGCGAGCACACAATTGAAGACAATAAATGTTCAGAATTTTGTGTGTTCTCATTATTACTCAGTCATGCTCATATTTACACAAACGAGTACATTTTTTGCAGCTTCTGGGTGTTGTGTAGTAAACCAAGCTGGGCTTGCCCCTCCTAGTTTACGTGGTAGTAACAGGTGATTTAATTCAAAAGCAGTTGACTAGGTTACATGGTCAACTGATTTAGATGGTTATTCTGTTTTAGGCTATTTGCAATAGTATGATTCTTGTACTATAGCTGCAAGTACCACCGCCCTCTAAAGAATACGAATAATAAAAGAGCCCCCCCCCCCTTGCATAACCAGAACAATGAGGCACAACTAGATTTCTACAAATTTAGAAAGCTCAACAACTTTAAGGAGTTGTGTATGTATTGAATCAGAGACCTGGCAGATACTCCTATTGGTACTACCTATCAGGATTGAACTAAACTTCACTAGCCTCATTTAGGATAAAAATACATTTCCAGGTTTAGTATTAGCCAAGAATTCGTCAAACAATTGGTAGTCGTGTAGTCAACAGTGCACTAGATCTGCCTTACAACATGGGAACAACCCTAAATAGGCATAACTCGTCATTGTCTACGATCTGAAGAATTTATAGATAATATAGTATTTAGAATAGTGAAAAAAAAAGAAAACTCGTTATAAGTCTAACAAATGTCGAAAGAGAATATAAAACGTAACAAAATGAGGGGGGGGGAGTACATTATGTGCTCGGGAAAGTACAATGAAATCATATAAATAAACAACCAAAAAGGTAATAAATCTTATTGAGACCTTCTTTTAACATGCATGACCTTCTTTAACGCCAACCTAGCGTCTCCCGAATCTTCTGACGAAGACCACCCTGATGTCTGGGCACCACCACCATTGCTGCTGCTACTGCTAGGCACGGAGTCATTAACTGCTTTTTCCTTCATAACAGTCTGACCCATCAACTCATTCATGGTTACAGTACTTGTTTCAAGTCTAGCTTCTTCTTCAAGTCCTTGTAATTGCAGTCTTTGTTCTTGTTGTTGACTGGAGAAAAAGTCAGGGGTAATCAAGTTGACGCCATTACCAGCACTACCGCCTCTCTTTGGAGAATTGATATTCATCATGGAATACATTAAGGAGTTAAACTGAGGAGTCAAGTTGAAAATTGGAGTCAATCCGGTGCCGAGGTTTGCTGCGTTGAAATAACTGTCTTTGGGTGTTTGTGGGATTATCGAGCTTTCACTTATTGATGAGAGAACTTGGTTTTGAAGAATTGTGGTGGTGGTAATGCCAGTCAAATCTGAGTTGTATCTTCTTAATGGTATCGAAGGGACCGGAATAGAAGTGGTATTCATCTTCGGAGTACCTTGTTCTTGTTCTTCTTCTTCTTGTTGTTGTTGGTGGTTCGATTTTTCTTCCTGTTGGTATACCGATTCAATCCCGATTACAGAATTAGAATGAACTAGTCTCGTTGACGTCATGACATTTTCAGCTTGTTCGTGTTTTACAGGTTCTTCTTCCTTTTTAATTGTCGAATCATCGCACTTTCCAAATGAGGCGAAGAAATCATTCGACAATACAGCTTTACCCAGATCATCAATCATTAATTTTAACAGGAAATCATTTGATTGGACCTTTTCATGCTGAATCACCACATCAGGCCTTGATTCCTGATCAGCTAAAGTAACGGCAGGCAACAAATTCGAAGATGGAGGGGTAGGTTCCCTAGCGTGCGAACTTATAACAGAAGAACATGAGCTACTGTTACTTCTATGCAGTTGTTGTTCTGCAGCCCGGGGAGGCGCAGAGTATATAACCAGACCACCGATCAGAGTAGCTGATGAAGTCAAGAAATTAGGGAATTCATTCTTTACATTGCCAGAAGGAGGGGTGTTATAATAAGTGACACCATTTTGGGTAATCATGGAGATGTTTTCCATCGCCTTGGAGTTGATAGCGGGGAATGGTGGTGACAGTCCTGAATTTGACGCCACCGCCGAAGATGAAGGGGTGATTAAAGAATGTCCGATATCACCAGTAGTTTTAGATCTTTTAGCAAGAGCAGGGGATCCAGCAAGGGAAGACGATGTTGAATTCTTACGTTTTCTTTTTGTCGATGACCTAGTACTAGGAGAGACTCTCATTAACGGAGTAAAGAAATCCGGAGCTCCTTGTTTCACCATCAGATTGGAGTTGGATTCAGCTGTAGGACTACTTGTCAAAGGAGAAGTATTGATGTTGATATTTAAAGTGGTGGTAATTCTGTTGGTTAATGAATCGGGCTTTGGTGGTCTACCCCTTTTCTTCTTCAATTGTGGTGTAGCCAAAATTGAATCAGTAGGGGAAGTCATGACATTAGGCAATACTTCATTACCCTTTTGCGACGAACTTGGTGTCGGCATAGTAGGTGATACATGCATATGATGGGGATTGGTGGTCATGCCTGGATATGTGGTGGTGGTTATCGTTGGTGGTGCGCGATTGTATACTAATACGGGATGATACGCTGGATCTAATCGACGATTGTCAATAGTGACGGCTTGTGATTGCATTAACAACGGGGGACCCCAATATTGATGGAATATACTTGAAAAGATGTATTGGATGATATATAGATCGTTAAAGGTTCAGTGGGCGAATCCAATAAAACCAGCTATTGGAAACCTTGGACGTATTCTAAGGAAGAACAAAATCCAAATGAATGAACAAAATGCTAAAGGGGGACTAGAATGATATTCAACAAAGGGGATAAACGAAAGTATCCACTCCAAGAGAATAACCAGATTTCGTGGCCCAATGGGAATGTTTGAAAATAATAAAAAAAAACTAAGTTAAATTGTCACACAACCAGTATATGCTTAACTAATGTCCACTGAACTTAGTCAATATAATGTGATAAAGAACGAATGTGAATTTTTTGGGGGGTAGTATTGCAACAAACCGGTAAAGGGGGAGGGGGAGATCAATATATATATATATATCTCAAAAGTATATTTTTTTTAGAGGGGTTATATAGGAAAACCCAGTTGTTGGTTAGTGCTATGGGAAAATAAATTAAAAGGCCACTTTGAAAAAAAAAAAAATCCGGGACAAGTTTTTTTTATATATATGTGTCTTATTTTTTTTTTTAAACGTTTCACAGTGATCGAGGACTAAAATCTTTTGATTGCTATTAAAAAGGGGGAGAAAGAATAAGGCCAATGTCGATTGTAACGTAATAGATAAATACTAACAATGCCAGGAGCAGACTTCGGGTGTGTGTACCAGGCCTAATTTACTGCAAGATTTAACGTTTTACAATGTGGTTAATTGTTCCCAAAAATAACAAGAAAAAATTCCAATAAAAAATAGTGAACAATCGTTTTCAAGTTACAATTATTAATTGTGGTGGGAAAATTTTCATAATTTGCAAGACTCATGTGCTGTCCGTTTATACTTTGAGTATTTAAATGCGGAATGAAGCTGGTTGAAGTTAAAAGCTTCTTCCTGCTGTTCCGATTCCGCTTTGAACTGTATCTCTTGGTTACCTTAAATCAAACTTCGAGCTAAATACGGTAAAAGAGAGCCGTGAAACATAACCGTAAATAGAAAACATCACCTAGCGAGGCTGTAGAACAAGTAATTAAATAAAATATTACACATAAAGTTATACCCGGCATACATCCAACCCCTAGGTAAGGTTTATCACAAGATAAAAAGGCAAAGCTTATTTGGTGTATGTGATTTTTAATTCTCAACTTCAAACAGGTGTAGAAAACGAGCAATTTTCCGTTCGAGGCGGAAACTTGGGCAAAATTGACTCCAAAAAACGCAAGCGATGTCCTTATCAAAGCTCAAGTCATCAAAAGTTTAAATCATAAAAAGTAACGTGGTTTCTCTGCCTTTTTTTTTTGTTTTAGCAGGTTGTTGCCTTTCGTCTAGACCTGAAAATTCCGAAAATAAACTAAATTGAAATTTCTGTGAATAATCGCCTCTCCACTCTCCTTCCCACCCCCTCCTCTGCACCCCTTTTCTCGCTAGATGCTAGGGCTCACTTTGAAATATTATCAATCTGAAATTATTTAGATGACGAATTCCACTCGAATATTCGTAATACTGCAAAAATTAAAGGTACATCGCTGGTTCCTATTTGCAACGGAATGTAATAAAGTCTGGGGAATGATAGGTTGGAATTGTTCCATTGTTACAATTTACACTTGTAAAGCATCACACCATCCTATAAAGTTCGCCTGCACGCGTTATGCACTACCGCTTAGATTCAAGGGTTTTGAAACTTGATCCAAAAATTTGATTCATTATCACTTGTACATAAAAAATATCTTGACAAAAAAAATAAAATTGACGTGTTTAATTTATACGCATATAATTTAACCCTTTTAGGAAATAAAAACACTTGATTGTTTTTTTTTCATGCGACAATCTGCCCCGTGAAAGTATTGAAACTTGTTTCAACCAGGATTTTCGTAGATTTAATGCATAAATGATTCGGTGTTGCATGCTGAAAACTGTGATTTAGACGGAAGTATGATATAAGCATCGAGTTGACATCTAAGAAGATCTGATTTACGAAATCTTTTATTTTTTGCATAACTTGGAAAAAATTTACCAGTAATGTTTGATCATGGTATGGATGTGAGATATTTAGCCCCACACTTCTAATATAACCTTTCTCATGTGTGGCTTAAACTACATGAATATAAAAATTAGACGGAGCATGATTCCATCAAGATACGAAATATAAGATATTCTAGAATTACCGAGCGCATTTTGTGCCACACTTAGACGCTTGTGTCTAAACCTAAGAGTAGCATACCGAAACTTCGCGTAATTCTAGAAAATCGCATAGCCTCGGTCCCAGAATTATAATTGCTACCCGATGTTCGGTATATACGATTTACCACAATACTGAACGGAAAAAGAATAAACTAGGAATGAATCACAAATCTCAATTTTCAATTATACAAATTAGAAAAAAAGAAATTTTTAATAAATAGATAACCAAAAAAAAAAAATACCATATATAATCACAAAATGTTACTGCAAAGGCGGAGGTTCTTATCATTAGACAAACAAAGGCGATAGATCGAAATAATCAAGCTAGCCATAATTTTTTAATATGAAAAACTGGAGAACACTCAAAACTAGCTATTCTAAACGCTACTTCCCTATATAATTACAAATTTACAGGAATGCTACAAAATAATACCAGTTCAGAAGAGAATTAATATATTTCAACATTCAACACTATTTTTATTGAAGAAAACAAATATAACAAACTAATCTATTAGTACCTTGGCCTTGGTTTCCTTCAAAGTAACAAGATAATCAATACTAAAAGTACAAAAAAGCAGCAAAACATTATGTTTCTGTTTAATATCTCTACTCTGATGTAACTGGTGAATAGCTTGGTTTCTAACCTCAAACTTTATTTGCTTAGTCAATATAAACAAACAAATGGTGGTTACTTGGAATAACGGTGATTGATAAAAAAATAAAGTATCCCCATACTTATATAGCTTTGCTCTTGCATAACATCGATGATTACATAAAACATATGAAATGATTCTAGAGAACAATGTTATGCCAGAAGTAGATAAACTAGAAGAATATTTTTTGCTATCTGACAAGTATAATTTTGCTTTATGATTACGACACGAACTTTGCTTATATTTCTCTCAATGTTAACTAAAGTACATTGGACTAGAGATTGTAATTAGCTTTTGATTATGGTCTAAAATGACTTACCAAACCCAAGCTCTAACTTACTTCTGATTATAAACTTTCGAAATAGCTCTGTGATTATTTAGATCAGTTTTCCAAACTAATGACTTTACAAGATGTATCCAAAAGATACAACAGTAAACAATCGATAATTGCTTAGTTTGATGAGGTTGCAACTATATGCACTCCTTTTACATACAAAATGCAACCATTTATTTTACGACGCGAGAAGGAAAAACAACATAAAAAAAAAAATTCCATACGATCGTATAACTGTTGGACTATATAATTGCTGAACCAAGACTTCTTTTGCTTAGTTCAAACAAACAACAAAACAAGCAATGTCATTAAATCCACCAACTACCCATAGAGAATTCTCTGGGTTACCAGGAGCAATAGGGATAACATTGGGATTACCTACCCTTATCACATTCTTTGCATTAATCACTAACCAAACATATTCAATCCAAGGAATAAATCTTGACATAAATGCAGTGCTCAATCAGCTTCCCAACAGCACCGAGGGTTGGATAGCGTTATGTTTTGATAAGCAATGTTGGTTAGCTTACCTTGCCTGGTTTGGAATATTAGTAGCGTTAGATTTCATTCTTCCTGGAACTGCTGCTCAAGGTGTTGAGTTACGTGATGGGCTGAAGTTGAATTACAAGATTAATGGTCCTGCTGTGTCTTCTGTATTTGTGGCTGTATTATTAGCTCGTGCATGGCAAGTGAAGGGTTACTTTTTGCCTGAATTACAATTTGTTTATGATCATCAATTAGAATTGACTCTTGTTACCACTATATTCTCGATGTTATTGGCTGTTTTCGTATATGTGTGTTCGTTCATCCCCTTGACCAAGCCCAATGGAAAGGGAACACATGAAAGAATTCTTTCTGTCAATGGGAACACTCGTAACCCAATTTATGATTGGTTTATTGGTCGTGAATTGAACCCTAGAATAGGTACTTGGGACATCAAGCTTTTCTGTGAATTAAGACCAGGAATGTTATTATGGTTACTCATAAACTTGTCATGCGTACACCAACAATATCACCAATTAGGAAAAGTTACCGATTCGTTAATATTGGTTAATCTTTTACAAGCATTCTATATTTTCGATGGTGTACTCAATGAAAATGGATTACTTACCATGATTGATGTCACCACCGATGGGTTTGGATTTATGTTAAGTTTTGGAGATTTAGCTTGGGTTCCATGGGCATATTCTTTACAATCCAGATACTTGAGTTGTCCTGGGAACGAAATTGAATTAGGCTGGACAAACTTATCTTTAATTGTATTGGTCAAGGTGGTTGGATTCTATATCTTCCGTAGTGCCAACAAACAAAAGTCAGACTTCAGACTGGGTAAGTTGGATCACTTGAAGAGCATTCAGACTAAAACCGGTTCAAAATTACTTATCGATGGTTGGTGGGGTCTTTCACAACATATAAACTACTTTGGTGATTGGTTAATCGGTTGGTCTTGGTGTTTGCCAACTGGGTTTCAAACCCCATTAACTTACTTCTATGTCATTTACTTTGGAACTTTGTTATTGCATAGACAAATTAGAGATGAGACTAAATGTAGAGGCAAATATGGCAAAGACTGGGAAAAATACGAAAAGTTGGTTCCTTATAAAATTATTCCATACATTTACTAGTGTATATATAAATCTATTCATTCTTTTTATCATAGTCAACTTGTTTTTCAAAAGAAGAATAAGTGACCTCTAATGAATTTAACCAATTTATACCCAAGTACAAGATGGTCAATAAGAAACCAGATACAATTATACCAGACCAAATTCCAGGAGTAAAGAACTGGTAATTTGTAAACAAACTTGTGTTGGTAGATTTCTTAGTATCATTGCTAGCTCTTGCTTCTTTAATCGATGCTTTAAAGACAGTGACAGTTTCATCATCAATCAAGGATTCAGCTTCTCTAAAGTCAGCTTCAACTTCCAGTTGAATATCGTCATAGTTAGAACCATCAGCCACATCTCTCTTTTCAACATCATCATGGAACATATCATTCACTTGTTCCACAATTTGGTTAACTTTATTCCTTTTATGGAAACTTGGAACTCCTTGAACAATTACATTTTCATGCTTCAAGAATTCATCAATTGAATGAACACCTTCCGAAACTTCAACTACAACAATATTTGATTGTGATTGGTTGCTGTCTTGTTCAGACACAATTTCCAATGAACAAGCAGCATCAATTGGGAATGACAAATCCAGAATTGAATTGTAATGGACATGGTTCAATAAAACACCATGATCTACTTGACTAGATTTTAATTGATTGACACGATAGATGTACAATTGTTTGTCATTTGCACATAACTGTTGAATATATTGTAACATGAATTGTGAAAGGTCTTTAGATTCAGTTATGTATTTGTGAGGAACTTCTAAATCGAAAGAAGAATACAACAATGCAGTATCTGCAAATGCATTGACTACGGATAATACCGATGCAATTAAACTTAATGATTGAACCTTCATTTCTGATAAGATGAGTTGTTAACAGTGGTTTGGTTGGTTAATTTCACATTTATTATGCGACTAAAATTTTCCCTGAGATTTTAAAACTAATTGACTATGTGGGAAAAATTGCGTGTCTTACTCAATCGGTGCTTACTATAGCGTAACTGTTAGCGTTTAGGTTTTCTAATTACTTGGTAGCGTCCAAGGACCAACTATAACAAACAATATATAAATTCACTTAATTAAGCCTATAAGAACAATTTTAACCACGTTTATACCGATATTTTTCAAAATTCAACCAGGAATATTGGCAATATTGACCGAAATTTATTAACAAATTTGAGCATAATAAATCAAACAAAAGCAGCAATGAATTCCCATAGAAGCTATTTTCGAGTCTTGATTTAAATCGATTGTTTCTTTGGATGATCTAAAAACTTGCATTTTTCTATGTCAAAAGATTGATATATATCCATTTCTTCAGAAAACTTTTTGTATTTTTCTCTATACTTAGTATAATTAGATGCTTTTAAACAGTTATACTCCAAATAATTAGATGCTTTTAAACAGTTATACTCCAAATAATTAGATGCTTTTAAACAGTTATACTCCAAATAATCAAGTGCTGGATAGTCTAAATAATTTAGATCGAAGTGATAAAATAACCCATAATATTTAAATAATGTACTCAACCTTTTGTCAATAGTCACATATGCAGACCATACATGATGATTAAAAGGTGTAAAATAACATTTAGGAAATGGTCTATGTTTAATATATAATTCCATGACTAAATATGCATCAACATTCATAAATCTTGATACGCAATAATCAATATGCATATTATTCTTAAAACAATATATAGCCAAAAGTGTGTTGTGTAATATGTCATTAACTTCAAACTTATCAAAACTTTTCCCATAGTATTCTCTATCTGTCAAAAAATTAAATAAATTTTCACAATCTATATTATGATAACAATCATCTAAAGACTCTGATGGTGAATAAATACCATAATAATTTAAAGGATATTCGGCTCTCATTTTAAAATTATTAATATCGATAGGATTATTCTCTCCATCACAGATTTCTGTTATATTTTTATCATAATAATCTGGATATCCTAATTTGATATACTGTTGTGTGAAAACAAATCTCTTGTTTAACTTCAATTTCTTGAAATTAATTTCATCATGATTTATAGTAAAATAAAAACTCAATATATTATGAAGTTTTTCATATTTAATCAACATTTCTGGATGTTTAGTATAAAACAAAGAACAATATTTATAATCCAATTTTTCTGAAAAATGTCCATTATTAAAATAAGCATAATTCACAGCGAGAGAGTTATAATTATATTTTTCATGCATATATTTAGCAAATTCAAAATTTTGAGTGCACCCATTATAAACCAAATCTGGTATCAATGGTGTTCCATCGTTTATATAAAGAATTTTATCAAATTTTAAAAAATCTTCTAAAATACCATAATAAAGCAGTAATTCATACTTTCCATAATTCATCTCGCCCGGTAATACTATTATACTTTCACATGTAATTCCATGAATTTTTAAGAGGTCTCTCGGACACCAATAATAGTTGAAATTTTTTGTTTCAAACCGAAGTTAAGTTTTTCTCATTCTTATTTAAAAAATCAAATAAAAACCACCTTCGTGGTATATGCAGGAGACCATTAACCAACCACTTTCAATCCTCAATAATAATATTGGACATATAAAGGCTAGTAATTGGATTTCTATATACCAGACTTATCTATGTGAGACAACTAGATAAATATTAAATAAACAACGATAAATCTATTGGTATACACATACAAATAGATACTAACTAAATAAACAAAACAATAGTAAACAAACATAAACAGAATTCAAAGATATCAACTGTAATACTAGTAGCCGAATCTCCAAATTGATCGATCAAACCTTGATTATCTGGATCAGATCCATATGATGCCAGAGTAGTAGAAGTTCCCATAACTTGAGGAGTAACTTCGGAAGCTCCATCGGGAACATTAGTGGTGTAGATAACTGGCGCCACTGATTGATAGGTCTTGCCATCAGAAACAAAAGCTGTTGTAACATCACTAGTGTATGTCAAAATATTGGATTTGAATATCAGATCTTGTTCATCCTGTTGCAAAACAGGAGCATCTGGTTTGCCCGATATACTAGGATCATTGGGGTTAACTGGAATATTCGAAGATGAACGACCTATTTGAGATCCAGTAGTGCCTTGTGGGTATCCTGGATAGATTGTTGTCACATAGGTAGTATCACTGTCTGAGATAGTGGTAATTATGCCTGAAGGGTTGAGTGTTCCTGTGATGGTTGTAGCATAAGTAGTATCGGGTCTTGTGATTGTAGTAATTCTAGCACCTGTTTCTGATGTAGGATTTGATAATTCACTAGATGATTTTGCTGTCCCAGACGACTCTGATGGAGTTTGAGTTCTGGAAGAACTTACACTTATTGATCCCAGTTGAGAGGTATCAAAAGAAGTTTGACCAGTTGGGTGGTCAGCACCTGAAGTAGCTGGTAGGTTAGAGCCCGGATTAGTTGAGCCACCAGTAGGTTGTGTAGTGGGTGATGTTGTATCTGTATCAGTAGGATTCTTGGTATCAGATTCAGTAGGATTTGTCGTAGCAGGAGAAGATGGGATAGTTGTTTCTGATTCTACTCGTTCCGGACTATGTGTTCCCTCGCTAGTTGGGGTACTTGGGTTTCCAGTTCCTGGATCTGTAGGATCTACTATTGATGATGTTGGCTTCTCGGATTCTGTTTCGTCTGAATGTTCAATTGAAGAAATAAGGGTTTCTCCGGCCGACTCTGATGATTCAGAAATTGGGAAAGTTATAGGTGTTGATTCTGTTTCAGTTGGTATGTCTGAATGAATCGTCTGTTCTACACTAGTAGTATCTTCAGGTCCGATAGTTGGATTCTCATTAGTCTTGCTAGTTCCATCTTGTTCAGTTGTTGAATCAAACTGAGTACTTTCTTCAATAGATTTAGTAGGGTCCTCTTCTGACTCAGTAGCTGGTGTTGGATTTGTTGTTTCTTCAATATTACTACTTTCTTCAGATTCAGAAGTTGTTTCAGCTCCTGTAGATCCGGTGGTACCTTCGAACTCAGTACTTTCATCAAGCAATTCAGTAGTAGTTTCATCAATTTCAGAACTTTCTTGAGTACTGTATTCTAGACCAGTAGTTTCCTCGGGTTCATTGGTTTCTTCTGAATCAGAAGTTGGCTCAATAGTGGTTGTTTCTTCATCCGCAGTAGTTTCTTCAACTGTTTCAAGTTCAGAAGATGATTCAGCAACAGTACTTGGCTCAGTATCAGATTCAGTACTTTCAACAATGTAAATTTGGTCCCAACATCTAAGAGGCAGGTCAGTCAATAGATCACATCCATGTTTATACTCAGCAAAATAAGTATCCCAATCATACATAATAGTAAATGGTGTGGTACAAATGTATTGATCAAGATCTTGTGCTTCCATTACCCAGGAGAAGAAGAAATGGAAGGGGGAGTTTCCAAGAAGATTAATATCTAATGATGCAACGTAAAGTTCAAGACTTTGGAGATAACCATCAGGAGTAACAAGATTGTAAATATAGATTGCCCTCAAATCAGACTCTGTATAGGAGTAACCGTCTATCTTGAATTCAATCATCACTTCATAGTAATTACCTTCTATCCAATTGATAGAGACAAAATCAAATATCTCCACTTCTGGTTTAGTTTGTTCATCATCTTGGGCTACACTGGTACTACAGATACTGTCACTATTCCACAGAGTTGGAACATCTGTTGTTGCTGATGGCAAATCAGTGTTTGGTCGAGTAACAGTAACAGGAACCGGATAATCGGATTCTGTAGTTTCTTCAGCTTCAGTAGTTTGTTCAATTGTAGTTAACTCTTCAGATTGAGAAGTTTCTTCAAATCCAGTGGTAGTTTCATCAGATGGTTCATCACAATCTCCCTCTTCCCAACACACAAGTCTCGAGTCTACACCATAATAATCAGGTTGATAGGGCACACAACCATGAGCATACCAAGGAGAAGGCTTAAGATTCCATCCAAAAAACACATAGAATGGTTTGGTACATGTATATTGATCAAACTTCTGGGTAGTCATCACAAATTTGAAATAAAAGTGACATGGGGAATCACCTAATAGATTAATATTTTGATCAGGATAGTATACTGAAAAGAAAGTTTCCATCCCACTAGGTACAGGAAGATCACCGATAGTGATAACTCCTAAGATATCTAATGGGTATACAGTACAGTCAACCTCAAACTCAACAATTCCCTCATACATATCGTCTTGTATCCATTTGATTGAAACAAATTCAAATTTCTTCACTTCTGGATATCCCATGTCACCTGTAGTTGGACCTGTATCGGTACCACAAATAATATCATCCCTCCACAGTTTTGGACAGGGGACTGGGTCTGGAAAATCAGATATACGACCAAGAGTAGCAGTCTGGGGTGGGAGTGTTTCGATAGTTGTTTGTACTTCAGGTTCAGTAGTGGTTACAATAGTAGTTTCTTCAGATTCAGTGGTGGTTTCAGCATCATCTCGGCTACATTGTTCTTCCCAACATACTAGTCCAAAATCATTATGTATAGTAGGATCAGTACCATCACAGCTGTGTCTGTATATACCAGTCAGACTACTACCTTCCCAAGAATAATATAGTTCGAATGGGGTGGTACAAATATATTGACCATAGCGCTTGGTCTTCATAGCAAACTTGAGATAGAAGTGATATGGTGAATTACCAAACATGTTCAAATTTGGATAACTATACCCAAGCATACTATAATCAAATCGAGTAATAAAGATCAGCCGCAAAGTGCTAACTGGGTATACATCATCACCAAGTTCGAACTCCACAAGTACTTCATAATAATCATCTTGCATCCACTTGATATAAATAAAATCAAATGTTTTCACTGATGGTGCGTTACTAAGAATTGCATGAGCACCAGGAATAACAGTACATATACTATCATCATTCCACAGAGTAGGACAAGCAATTGGATCAGGAGAGTCAGGTAATGGACTGAAAGTAACTGTTTCGGGGTAAGCTGGTATTGTATAAACTGGACCTTCTAGATCATCGGCATTAACAGCCGCTAGCATCAGTAATAGTAAATAGAAAATTAGCAAAAATTGTCGCATTATGAAATGTAAGTTGTATTTTGTTGCGAAAAATTGAAATATATCGAGCAAAACCACAAATTCCAAAGCATGGGAATTCAATCGGGGCTTTTATAGCACAACAAGGGGATTACAAGACAAGCTATGACTTTGTAAATCTTTCATCATGCTCTAGGATGACATAATGAACTTCTCTGTTTAATATTGCAAATGTCATGTATTATTTAATTAATTACCAAGATCTGGCGCACCTTAATGCAACCAAGATCCGTGATATAGAATTGCCGCAGTTGCAATTCAAATAAACATATAGTGGTATGATAAATGTGATAGTATATGCATGAGCGCAATGCATAACAAGAAAACAGGCCATTTTGGAAAGTTTAAAAAAAAGACCAAAACTATTTGCAGCTACCTCAGGGCCAATTTGTATATAGGGTTTAATACCATGATAGTGAAAGTTTTTGGTCTCTTTTGTTAACATCATTGACGGGGTAGTAATGTGGTATGATACAAGCTCACTGAATCACTCAATATATACATATAAACAAATAATGTACCATTTGAATACAAATGACAAGAACAGTTTAATTTAGAAGATTCTTGATGCAAAATTATGCAAAAGCAAAAAATTCTCACTCAAAATAAAAAAAAGAATAGTTTTTACGAGTTCTTGGCAGCATTAAGCACACAAATCAGGGTTATTTCAGATCTGGGTTATATCGCTTGAACTATCATACCCGGGGTTTGATATTGTGGCCCCGATCCATTCGTAGTCATATGCATTACATGAAATTAGTGTCATGATCAAGAAAACTTGGATATTCATTAAAATAAAACAGTATCCGTTTCATAAATGTTCTTGCCAAGTACTTTAACTGAATAAATTGAACCCTAATCAAATAAAAAATTATGAGATTATTCCCTGGCAAGGGATACTAAATTCCAAGACACCAAATTATATCGATAAAGGTGTGGGGAAAGTTCACATAACTATCATACACCTGCTATAACAATACCACAATCAAATGATTATGTCACGTAAAAACTAGAGCCATAAAAGCAGATTATATAGCGTCATCATGTTAACAGGTGACCCTTGCATTTAGTTCAGAGGCTGAGAAAAATAACGCAAACGTGATTTTTCTTTTTGCAGGCTATTTTTTTTTGCACCAGGGCTCAAAACTAGCTCATTCATTTTATTTTGCACCTGGCAAAAAAAAACATATTCACATTTACAGCATATACGATACTCAGGAACTAATAATAAACAGGCTATGTCTTCTAGGGGTTAGTGATATTAATGCAGATTTTTTTAAAAATTGTGCAAATCTAGTTTCGCCAGCGAATTGCAGAGGAAGAACAATAAGCCTAACCATTTACGGGCTCGCCTGCAACACAATGCAAGGAAGCATATGTATGCACAAAGATTCCGAAAGTGCAAATATGCATTATTGCGCTCCATGAATTACCCCGCTATCAGGAAAAAAGCAACTTTGCGCTATTTTATTTTGCTAGGCTTTCGTGATATCTTATTCTCTAGCCACACTCAGTTGAACATATTTAATTTAGAAATTAGATTTTGCAATTTCTGCACCAAAAAAATGTTTACAAAAAGGTGCTCAAAGATACAACGAGGTAGTAATATTGACACCAATACTGATTACATGAATACTTGACAACCAGTTTTATCGCAAAACACAATGCATCCGGTTTTTTTTGCAGCAAGAAATTATCATTTACAATGATACAGTTTTGGGTTTTTTCTGCAATTTATTAATGCTAGTGACTGTTAAAGCTGATCCCATTACTGTTGTTATACACAACTCTGATTTACCGGAACCAATAGATTGTCCTTCTCTGTGGAATAGCGATAGTGTTTGTACAGCTGTTGCTGAATACACAAGTGATATTCCTGCAGTAGAAGTATTCAAATTCTATCAAGTGGGTAGTAAGTGGTGGCAAAGTTTTGTTGCCTGGAGTACGCAAGAACAATGGGATAATGTCACATTTGTTCTTTGCAAAAAGTATAGAAAGAAATTATCTCTAGTTATGAAAGGTTTCGTAAAACTTCTCCTAGTGGGAGAATAGATCCAAGAAGAAAGGGATATCGTGCCAGACAGTACCCAAGGATTATAACTCCCGGGGTAGGTATCCTCTTTAGATAAAAAATAAATTACTGCAAAACATTTTCTTGGTTTTTATTTCTATTTTCTCACAATGATGTTATTCCAATTGCTCATATCTTTCTTAGTATACAATTCCAGATATTCAAAGCGATTGATTACAGTTAATCTGATCAATGAATATCTAATGGCAGAGCAAATTCCAAACCACACAACAATAACCAATGAGTTGTTTCAAGTATTCCCAAAATTTAATTTCTGGGCAGCTGTACATTACCTAAACAATTTGACATGTGGCGAATGCAACTATATGTTTCATTACATCCAAGTAGACCTGGAATCTGATCTAAACAGTTTCAAGTGTTGTTATGATTAGAAATAGATCTAGCTAACTAATTACCAGTTGCTATAAATTTTTGCCTAATGCCATATTTTCCAAAATCTTATTTTTCTCATAATAGAACTAATGTGAAATTCTCACTAATCATACCAGTAGCAAAGCATAAATAGCATTTTACGATTAAAATATCTGACAATCAAATCTTTGTTTAGTAAAGATTTAGTAGGTACGATGATCTAGACCAATGATTAGATCAAGTTGAATATCAAGAGTATTTTCTGACAACTATACAACTTTCTTTAATCACTTAGAAACTCGGAAAGTATGTATAGATTTTAATCCTAAACTATATCTCACTGTATACTACCAATTTGTTTTTAAAAGAAACTGAGTTTAGAATCATTTTGCTAAACTGCAAACCTTATCCAACAACAAAATACTTCTGATTAGTTAATTTTAACTGAAAAAAACATGAATATAATTTCAATTAATGTATTTATTCCGTCGAGTTTAACTGTAAACTAAAACATAAATTTTCTTACATTATTCTAATTAAAACTTTTTCTTTTCTTTAGCTTGCACATAACTTTTAATCAGACTGCTTTAATAAGATCCTGTCTACTTTGGTCAATTCTTGGAACATTTTGTAAAGTTCTAGAAATAAAAAAAAACCAACACGTGACTAAAATTAGTGGGATTCTCATTCAAAAAAATTATACTGATCTTGTTTAACAACCATATAATTCGAAGGGCAAACCAGGCAGTTGTCAATAAAGTTTATAAATCAAAATTGTCCAAGTCAATCAATAAAAATACAAGATGTCAGCTCCAGATATTCCAAAGTAAGTAGAATTTAGCAATTTTGTGTATACATATCAATTGCATACTAACACGCTTGATAGGTCAGTGATACAAAAATTGGTATTCTTTACTGGTGCCATGATAATATTACCAGTATTTACATTCTTTGTATGTCAATATTTATTCAATCATAATTCGATAATTAGTGGTGGAATTGCTGCATTAATTGCCAATGTGGTATTAATTGGATATGTTGTTGTTGCATTTACTGAAGATACTTCTAAATTGGAAGAAGAATCAAAGAAGGAAATATAGTGTGTGTATTCTGTATATATGTTAATATAATTATGAGTTGCGTGGGAACAAGAAAGTGTAGTAAACAACCAGTAGTAATGTGTGGTGAAACATTCTGTAAAGACACAACACTGTAGCACAATGTTCAAGGTTAGTGAAAAATAAAAAAAAAAAGTAGTAAACAACTTGCAAGTAGTCAAGAGATAACTGTGTATAACTCCACAGGTGAACTGGTGAAGACAACAAAACAACAAAGCAAATAGAACAAGTAAACCATGGTTCACCAATTGTCATTGGTATCGTCAATACCTCACAACAAATACCTTCAAACAATATCCACCTTACAAGCACTTACTGGACTTGTGCAACCACAACCAATATCAACATATACATTAATCAGTAAGCCATCCACGGTATTCAAACCGAAATTTGAACCAGGGAAAGTTAATCAAATTGAGCAATATTTTATGAAATGTATCACAAATTGGCGCGATGATTCCATAGACATAAGCAAACCTATTTTGAAGGATGGTGACATAGTAAGTGCCCGACGTTTATTTAGACCCGATGATAAAACTGAACGTGTTTGGACGTTGCAGATATCGGATATCCCCATTGCAGGTAAAAATCAAGGATGTTGTCAACAAACAGTGTATGAAAGTACTTTGGTTCATACCCATACAAGAATAGACTTGAACCTCGAAGATAAAGTAAAAGAGGGCAAAGATGACTTTGAAGATTTTATTGAAATTGATCCACCAGAAGATTCCGAAGTTGATAGTAAGAAAACAGAAGATGCACTTGCTGAACAACGTCGAGCTTCATTCTTGGTGTTTTTACAAGACTTGGGATACGAAGTTATAAATCAGTTTTGGATCAAAGGGATTCGATTCTTTCATGGTGATATAATAATCGAAATCTTTAAAGTATTGATTAGAGATGATACAACTGCTAACAACAGTACTGCCGAACGTATAAAGTTGAAACTCTTGGATGAATCAAATACATTTCAAATCAGGGTTTATATGAATGTCAGTAAATCTACTGATGTTGAGCAAATCAATCACGGGACAAAAGAGTTGATTAAATTACAAGAGTTCTTAAAGAACTTGTTTATATTGGAGATTCCCGATAGAATCTTTATGGATTCAAGAGTGACTCTAACTAAGTAACACTATTTAGTTTTGATAGTAAAAAAATGATCATTTCTTGAATTGATTTCCGTTATATCAAATCCATGTTCTCCTTTCTCAGAGTTGACTTCACTAGGAAGTTTTTCAATTTGTTCTAGCAAGGTGTCCAAAGTTAAAGGTGGATTAGCCTTGTGATCTGTAGCAATTAGTCTAAATATACTATCGTTGCTACTTTCAGTTTCTTGGTTCATTTCATTTTCGTTATATAAGTGTCCAATAAACGTCATTTGTGATTTCAATGCATTGATCAATTCTTGTTCTCTCTCTGGTGTTATATCCAGTTTTAGTCCTGACAATGCCAACATCTTTCGTATAACATTTGAGTCTATTGTTATTTTGTTTATGCTATCCTGATTTGGTTTCATTAGCTGTTTCACTGACCATGTTGGTTGTGATAAAAACTTGTCAATCTGCTGTTTAGTATTGAGATAGGAGGAGTTAAATCGTCTTAGTATTACTATTGGTCTAATCATGGATGTTGTAGTAAGCTGTTGTCATGTAGTGTATTGAAAAATCTGATTTTTTTTTGCTACTTATTTACCTACGATGCGGCTCTTTTATCTTGTCTATTATACAAACGACTTAAACTACTAACTAATTTAGTTTTTCTTGTTTAATTCACTAATAATCTTCTTTTTCTTCTTAGTTAATTCCTTTTGTCTGGTTTCTTTCTTTTCAATACCATATTGCATCTTCTTGTACAACTTACGTTGTTTATTGGTCATCATAATCTTCTTCAATTCCTTTTCTTCTTCTTCTTCAGTTGGTTGTTGTTTCTTCTTAGAAGACTTCTTGGTAGTGTCTTCCTTGATTTCAGAGAATTTAACACCACTGGCTTCTAATTCTAATTCCTTTTGAGCCTTGACATCTTCGTCTTCTTCTTCTTCTTCGGCTTCCTCTTCATCAGCTTCAACGTCTTCTTCGTCGACTTCTTCAGATTCTTCTTCTTGTTCACCTTCCTTGGCTTCAGCAGTTGGATCATATCCACCAGCATCTCCCCATGGTGATAAATGTGGAGGTAAGGTTTCACCAGCAGCATAAGCACTGACTGGTAATAATTCACTCTTATTTATACAGTCAAATACCCATTGAGGTTGAATATATGTTCTACCAGCAACCTTTTGTAAAATCTTTGGACGATCAATTATTTGATGAGTGATATTTGACAAGTTTAACTTGTTGAATTCTTCTGGATTGCTTAATTTTAACTCATCCATGGCAATTTCAGATATCACTTTACCACCACATGCTAAAATACAGAATTCCAAAATATCCAAGGACACTTCACGACCAATATAGAAGATGAAGTTGGAGAATAAGGTTGAAGTAGGAGTTGCGAATTTTGAAGGTTGCGATAATAAATCTCCAGTTGTCTTGTTAGTGGCTTGAAATTCATCAAGTTCAACTTCTTCAACGTTTTCTTCGGCTTCGTCAACATCTTCATTTTCTTCCTTATCAGCTTCAATAGCCTTGGTGATTTCATCTTGACTTAATTCCTTACCTTCTTCAGTTGACTCTTCTTGTTTCTTTTCAGGTAACAAAGCTTGTCCCTTGGTTTGGGCAACAAAACTTGATAATCCACCAATACCGGTTAATTTGTCAATAGTAGGAGGATAAACCAAATTAGCATCATTATACAATCTAAACAACACGAAATGAACCAAAGTGGAATAAAATTCCAAGAAAGTTAACATGATTCTAAAATCAACATCACTTGGAATATTAGTAGGAAACTTATATGGAATCAACCATCTAACTTCTTGACCCTTGACATTAGCTTGGTAATACACCCCCTTAATAGAAACAAAAACCTTGGTCATTAATCTTTCCTTGGCAATATATGCTAACCATTGGTTACACAATTTTTCAGCTTCACGTGTGACTTTAGTGCTTACACGATCAGTAGCTGGCATATTAGCAAACAAAAACAACATGTTTAATGGATCATCCAAATCACGTAATGCATCCAAGAAGGTAGGATACCTTTCCTTAATAATTTGGTTCAATTTATATTTTGGTCTATTTTGTTCCAACTTCATAGCATCGTTAACCTCACCTCTACCCAAAGCCCTTTGTAATTTCTTAGCAAAAGTCTTGTGTTCTCTAAACTTCATCAACACAGGTTCGTGTAAGAGATATTGGATATCCTTAGAATAATAAAAAGTGACAGGAGCAGTTGATCCTTTGTTAGCCTTCTTTTTATTACGTGGTTCACGAGGATAGATCCCCTTGAAGATACAAAGACGACGGAAATCAGCAAGAGACACTTGCAATTTACGCACAGCTTGTGTACGAGTAATGAAGTTCTTGGCACTTCCGGTTGTTCCTCTCTTCTTTATTCTACCCATGGTTGTTGTAACTGATGATAATAAATGAATAATACTAACTAGATTTTTTTGGGCAATTTTTTTTCAAAGGTCATCGTAGAATGCGATGCGATCATAATAGTAAATGCGCGCTACCAGGTTACAATAAAAATCTGGTAGCGGCCAAAAATATGGTAGCATCAGCCATAAAGGCACTAGGTGGAGATAAACTTCTCGAAGTTTAATTAAAGTGATGATAATATATACCAACCGGTCCTGTAAAGACAATACGTGGGTTAAAGTTCTAATTCAGTTACTTTTGTAGAGCAGAAACCAACACTTTTTATGCTGTAATGTCAGCTACTACATTTATCATGTTAGGGCGTTGAAAACTGATAGGATATAACCAGGATCATGTACCCACCAAGAAGAATCCATCATTTCGCCAGTTGGTAATGATTTCTTGGCTCAGGCGTAACTGCCAAAGAGCCAAGAAAAAAATAGTTGCAAAATATTTTCAAGATTTATTATATCTCATGGCGCAGTAAATTCGTAACCGTAATATATATTCTAATCTTAGGAACTATATTTGCTAAAAATAACAGGATATTTATAGATAGATTTACCATGATAAAAACAGTGCTCGTAATTCTCCTAATATATTGATACGAAATGGAGCCTCCTAATATTTTCCCAAGTATATAAAGCCTCTTTCCCCCCTCGTATTTGTTGCAATATACTACAGAATAATAATGATCTTAAAAGCAATCATTTACGGAATATTCCTTACAGGAATAGTTGCAATTGAAGTAACTCGTTCAGAGGTTTATACATCCAAAAGCATTTCAGATGATCTGATTGTCGTTGAATCAAACGGATCCTTGGCATTATCATACCCGGTTCGGCTTTCTATTAGTTCCTTGACTGTTAAACCTTCAGCCCAGTTTTTAACCAACACTGTTTCTGAAGGCATTATTTCTATTGGTTCTTTTAATAATGAGGGATATACTTTATTCGACGTATCACAGGTTCAGGAACCACTTGTGTGGTTTGGAAGTAACAATTATAATTCTGGCGAGTTAGTTATTCACGGCCGTCTGAAGCTTAATGTTCATATGGATCCGCTTGTGAATTGGGGATCAATGACTATATGGGGGGATGATGGAGTTCTGTATATAAATGGGCTGGCAAATTATGGGAACATGTGTTTTCATGGATCAATTGGAATAATGCCTTATGCAAGTGGAAATGGTTGTATTGCCCTTGCTGAAAGTACTGTTTTTGCAAACTATATCCGTCCTGATTTTTCCCCAACCATTGCATTTGGTTCTGGAGACAATGGGTTTTTGGTACAACGTGGACCCCATATTAAAAGTTTGTATTTGAATAACTTTGGAGGAAGTGGCAATTACGTCGGGATTGCTGACGATGGATATAGATATTATGAATATGATGGTACAGCGTTGTTCGTTTACATTGGCGATTATTATGTTTATATAGGAGTCGGTTCAGGTTATGATAAAAACGGATTTATCGTGACACAAGAATATGGAATGGTTTACATTCGATATCCACATCAAGTTCCCTCTCGTGCTAACAAAGGCAGGTGTTCATGTGTTTTAAATACCAGACCAGTTCCTGAAGTTACAACCACATTCGGTGCTACTACTCTTGCATCTATTCAAGTTACAACTACAAGTGATTCAGTCGAAACATCATTGGAGGCGTTTGGTTCATTTGTGGCAACACCTTTCCCAAAAACAACCTCGTCAATAGAAGGTGTCCCAACAGCAGAGGCTACAGGGATAGAAGAAGCCCCGGTAACAGAAGTGACCCCGATAGTAGAACAATCTCTGCCACTGGAAGAAGTGTCAGAAGTAGAAGAACCTGTTGTAGTAGAAAGAGTTTAGGTAAATTTGACCGACCCCATAAAATCTTAGAAGTTGACATCATAGATAGAAATTCTTATAACATTAGGTTTTAAATTATATTAAAGAATATCCATATAAAACTATCTATAAATCACTGTATAATATATCCACTACCTTGCTGTACTCTTGTTTCAACAAATAAGTAATAATCCACATTTCTGTAAACCGGCATTTATAACTCAAACGGAATTCACCACCACTTTTCTCAACAGGAACATAAAACAACTCTGGGAACTTTCTTGCTATTTCAAAACTAACAAACTCAACGTTAGTCATTGGGAATTCCCTCAATGTAGATAGCTTTGTATTAACATACAAATACCGTGCTGTCTTTCTCACCACATTGATCAAGCTGGCATATACCTCATTGTGAAGCGGTTCGCTCGAGTCTAGATTTAAGATATGCATTATTTGATGTTGACTTAGTGTTATTTGTGTTTGGATTGTGAATTTGGTTAATTTAGAAAGACTGATTGTATTGAATGCTGGGATTGCATTATTGAAGAATTTTGCAGTTACTTGAATAGTTGCATGATTTCTACGTTCAAGTTTTGCTTCAAATGGATCAAAATAACTCATGGTGGCATGATTTAGCAGAGTAATAGAATTATTCTTCACCAGTAAATTAGCTTACTAAATATGACAGTACTTGGTTATGCCATAATAGGCTCGCCAATAGAAATATATAATGATAAGATTTTTGTTATTTTGACTGCAAGTATTTTTTTTTTCTTTTTCGCAACTTCACATTACAACCAGGTTCACATAGCACAACAGAGCTGATAAAGTATGCCATCCATTAGATCCAACTGGGAACTTCATACTATCCAAGATACATACATAACCGACCAGAAATACCAATCAGTGATAAATCCAGAAGATCTAACTACAATATATGCCGAAAATAATTTCAATCGGTTATTTTTTGATCTTAACCGTGATCGAAACGTCAGTCCTCGAGAACTTGATCATGTATGTGCCGCCATCAAGGTGAAGGTGGCGATTAAACAAGAATTACAAATGCAAGATATAAGTTATGATGATTATAGACTTGGTGCAGGGGATAGACCGTGTTCGCATGAGAGTGACTGTGTCTCAGACACGAGCACGGTGTATCTCAACGAAGGCGACTTCTTGGATTTTTCTCTGGAGTTGGCCAATGAGTTGCGTTGGGGAGGGATATATCATGATTATGACTCGGTTACATTTGATCAGTTTGAGACTTGTCTTGTAAACGCTGCCAACAATGGAGGAGATCCACGTTTAACATATAGTCAATTAAATAGTGTATAGAAAAACGTGGGTAGATTTTTCTGGGGGGCATTATTTGGAATCGGTACCCCCCCCACCGCGATCTATCTCGTATAAAAAGAAATACAAAAAAATTTTGAAAGATCGAAAAATTTCTCTCTAAGTAACCATCTCAACTATGTCGTTTCAAGATGTACTTCGTCGAGGAGATGATTTCCTTGGGGAGTATCCTCGTCGATCTAAGCTTTGGAATTATATGTCCCATGCCACATGTTTGTTCATGATTGTTAACTCAAAGATTTTATTGAATGTTCTCTATAAACCTCATCTCCACAATATTGAGAAACTTGATAATGCCCTTGATAAAGCTAGGAAGGAGAAAAGGTCATTGCTTACAGTTATGAACCACATGTCTGTTGTGGATGATCCAGCATTTTACTCAGCATTGCCCATGAGGTTCCATTTAGATATTGATACCATCAGATGGGGCTTTGGTGCTCATAATGTGTGTTTTTCAACCATGTTCCAATCTTGGTTTTTCAACTTGGGTAAAATCCTCGGAACCAAAAGATTCGGGGAAGGACCTTTCCAAGGTTCTGTTGATGCCGCCATTAGAATCTTGAGTCCCGACGATACTCTTGATCTCGAATATACTCCACAATGTATCGATGTGCAAAAACCAATCGTTCTCCAAACAGTGAACAACCCAATCCAGGAAAATAAAGAGTTGGTCAAGTTTGTCAAACCAAGTCCGGAATCCACAAATGTTCTCATGTCTAAATCCCCATTCATTCGTACGAAAACTTCCTGGTTCCATGTGTTCCCTGAAGGTTTTGTCATGCAATTGGAAGAACCGCATAATAATTCCATGAGATATTTCAAATGGGGAGTGGCAAGATTAGTTCTTGAACCAACGCGGGCACCCGTCGTAGTCCCAATGTTCTCATTTGGATTTGAGAAGATTGCTCCTGAAGATTCTCCAGAAAAGGGTGTTTCTCGTTGGTTGCCAGCTAATTTCGGGGCAGAGATTCATGTATGTATAGGAGATGCTATCTCGGATGAAAAAATAGAAAGCTTTAGGCAAGAATGGAGACTGTTAGTAAAGAGGTACATTGACCCATTGAAGCCAAATGATCTTTCTGATGAATTGAAAGACGGAGAATGGGCTCGTGAATTGAGATCAAGAGTGGCAGCATATTTAAGGCAAGAAGTGTTGAATGTAAGAGAAGGATTGGGAATATTCAAACCTGAAGACCCGCGATTCAAAGACCCCAAGTTCTGGAAAGAGTTTACTTCTACCGAAGGTATGTCTGACCCTAGTGTCAAGTTCATTGGTAAGAACTGGGCCATCCGTAGATTTCAATCTCATTTGCCTGAGTATGACGGCAGTGCTAAACCAAATAAGCTTGAATAAACTTGTACATAGTTAACGCTTTCTATAGAACCGAAATAAAAAAAAAAAAGAATGTATTTATTTTTGCAAATTTTTTTTGGCAGCACTTTAGCTCCTTGATCTATACCAACCAATGAAAGGTGTATCCTCCGCCATGCGGTCAGTCCGTAATGCATCGTCTCCTATACGATCAATTCGAGCCAAGTCAACATTTGCAAAAGAATTCAAACAAGGGTTCCGGTCAAAGTACCTAGCACCACCACCACCAACTGAACCAGTCAAGAAATTTGCCAAACATGCCAATGCAATAAATCACTGTATATCCAACAATAAAGTGCCTGCTACAATACGATTTACGCATTTGGTAACTCAGATAGGTAAACTCTTAGAAGAGCCCGATCTTGATGAAGAGGCACTTGATATTCTTGAAGTTGCATTGGGACAAGTGGAACAAATGAAACGTGATGGGGTAAATTCAACCCTTTCGGTAGAGATCACTATAGATGTATTTGAACAATGCAGTGATGTGGTATTACGTAAATGTCGAGAAAGTAACCATCGTGTCGCCATACCGAAGTTTCTTCAGCGGTTAATTTCTACGTTAATGAAAGACGTCCCTAACTTACCTACTTCCACCATGGTACGACTTGTTGATCTTGGATCAAAGATTGATAATTTTAAACTTGCGTGGCAGAGTTTGGTTTATCGGTTAGGTGAACAAATCCCAACTGATTTAAGTTGTGCTATGATTGACTATTATGCACAGAGAAGTGTACCATTATTGGAAACATTTGAAGAAATTGCTTTACTTGGAGAAATCCGACCCATATTATTGAATGATGGAGTTATTGAAAGAGTCAACTTGTATATAGAAGCATTATTTAAAGATACTCCTCCTGTCACGCATTGTTATGAAAATTTAGAATATCACATGGATAGAATCCAAATGATGGTGAATAATTTAGCCAAGGGTTTACAATTTGAATTGGTAACTATTGAATCGGTAATTAAACTATTGAAATTAGTAAGTGAATTGGCAAGTGTTAATGAGCAGGAGCAAAGTCTTGTTCATGTGGAAAGGGTTTTAAAGTACCTTAGTGAAGATAAGTTAGATAAAGTTAATGAAGTGATTTTCCATGAATCAGTTGATGATGAATCCTTAGTGGAAACCTTGTTGTTTAACTCGTGGTCATTATCTTATAACACATTGGCACGATCAATTACAAAGTTTGTATTGACTAACCCAGTAAAATTTTCACCGATTTTACAATTCCAGGCTCAAGTGTACTCACAGTTGTCCGACTCGCAATCAGAAGAGACTTGTGTGGAAAAGGTTTCTGAACTTTTAGACTTATTTGAAGAAGATATCGACTTTGTAGAATGCTATACACGTATAATCCAGACTCTGATGGCATTCAATATATCACCAAATGGAGAGTTTATTAGATTACTCACTACCCATTTTCACAATAACTACCATACCCAACCACTGATTGAATCGTTTAAATATAGAATTGACAAAGCAATCAAAATCAAAGACCATGTACAAGCGATCAACATATTTGAAGACTCACTTGAAAATAATTCGTGGACAGAACACATATCCGACCCCACGATTTTCAAAACCTTGAATGATTTAATCGTGCTTATATGTTCTCAAATGGAGGATGTGTACATGGTCTTCCCGATTTTCCAAAAGATAAAAGCACAATTACAAACCCAAGTCAATATCGATGCCATAAACGCCATGGTCACAAAAATGATCCAGGCTAAACTTATCGGTGATGCTCTAGAATTACTCTCTCGAGAATTGCCCAAGATTGCTAAAACATCAGAAACAAGAATCGCACTTGTACAACCATACGCTTACAAGTATCGACAATTATTTAACAAGTTCCACAACTACGTTATTAATCACAATGATGATGGAACCTCCCTCGATATGAACTGGTTCGTATACATTCGCTTGCATGACTACTTCTACGTGCCATATGAGTGCATTCTCCCAACCATGAAATTCTTCTGTGAAAATGAAAGACTTAATGCGGCATTGGTTATCTTCCGCAAGACCAACGAGTTACATAAACAGTTGCAACATGCACCACCACTGCATGAAATGTATCGCTACTTGTTCAGTCAATTTGGGAACAACTTATACGAACAAGGTGTTCATGAGCTCCATGAGTGTCTCAAGATGGACACGGCATTTGTCAACCCACACGATAACTTATTGGACAATACTATCCTTAACGCCTATGCCAACCTCCAGGACACAAACCGTTGTCGTCGACTCTTTCTTTCCATGAGTGCCAAACCGAAGGAACTTGGTGGTGTCAATGAGGAATCTGCCGTGATCATGATCAAGGCGTACACTTACAGCGACTTGAGCTACGTCGAGCTGTTTTTCAATAATTTATCCAGTTTTGGGATTGTTCCCGATAAGGACATATTCAAACAGTATTTGATCGCTCATGTGTATCATGGCAGAGCAGACTTGGCGATTGAGCAGGCTGACGCGGTACATGATTATGATTTGGAAATTGATGGCGATATGTTGGTGGGTATGTATAACTATTGTGTTGGTAAAGAAGGGCAGAAATTGATTGAGACATGGGCTGAGGAGAAGTATCCGAGTGAATGGAATAAGGTGAAGCTGTTGTGTGTGGAGAGTGATGGGTACGAAAAGGAAATTACTAGTGGTATAGCTAGCGATAAGCAAATTAGTGATTAGAGCGTAAATAGATTTAATAATGATTAAAAGATAAGTAATTTATCATATTATATGGAAGTGTATTCTATCTCTCAGTGGGAGTAACCGCCCGAGTGCTATTTACCTTACTAGCAAACCTCAAGGAATTAACAGTTTCATTAACTTCATGAATACCCAGACCCACACAAACAAACATTAGGGTCTTATTTCCCAAACTATGCTTTAACAAATATGTCAATTTTGAATTTCTATATGGAACGTGTGCATCTCCTTGACGTAATGCGTGGATGACATCACCTAAGTTAGACAATGATTTGTTGATTGCTTGAGTTTCTCGAAGCCTGTCTCCTTCTGCTTTTGAAACTGCCAATCTTTCCGAACCTGCCAAGTCAATAAGGTTGAGTGTTCCGGAAGTTCTGCTATTGGTTCGGGTATTGTGACCGGTGATGGATAGTATAAAGATGGAATGTGATCGAGAGGATCGTTCATTGGCCTTGGTAGATGCTGTGGATCGATGTGTGTTGGCATGATTAAGCAAATCAATTGCCTGATGTTTTGAACTAATCTGTACTGTGGTTGCATTAGTGACTTTTGTAGTTTGGTTCGTATCATCATGTTTAATTTCGTGCTTTCCTTCATCGGACCCGAGTAGATCTATGATTGTATCATTGTAAATTTCAAGGAATTGTCCGTGAATGGTATATTCCCAGCCATGGGTTTTTAGTTCTTCTATATCGTTGAATATCTTGGTTATACTCAATGGAATCATCCCATCATTGGTATGTGACATAGTATAGGTCTTCCCAGATCCAGTTTGTCCATACGCAAACACACACACCTTGCTTCCATCCAATGAACATTGAATCAATTGAGATATCTCTTCAAATATAACGGTATTGTCAGAAGTCGTGGGAAACACTTTATCAAACAGAAATTTGAGTTTGTCACTCAGTTGTCTAGCTACGATGATTTCCTGTTTTGCATCTTCATCAAGTTCATCATCAGGAACTGTGATACTGGCTGGTGATTGGCCAGGGAGCAATGGTCGGATACGACAGAATACACGGATATTACCCTTGAGGTCTTGGAGCTTTGCGTGTAATTTCCGTCTAATCTGTTCGTGATCGAGCAAGTTCTGGTTGATATGGATGAGTTCAGATTGTATTTGCTTGGTTGAATCTGATCGTTTTTGGGATTTAGAAGCGAGATTGGCAATGGTTGACTTGTGGGTGTTGATTTTGTTGGTTATTTCAGTTAATTCTGGCTGTTTCAGTTTGTGTTTGGCCTTGAGTTGTTCAAGAATGGAAGTGTATCTGGTTTGTTGCGCTTCTAGGTCTTGTATGGCTGTTTGATTGTCAGATATTTCTTGTTCCATTAGTAAAACTTCCTTGTAAATTTCTTCCTTCTCCTCATTATTCCTGAAGATACTCTCTTGAATTTCTTTAGATAATTGTTGTTCCTTTTCTTTAACTTGTTGTTTCGCCTGCTCTAGCTTCTTCACAAACATCTTATCAACATTGGCAATCTCCTGTCTCATCAGTTTGATCGTCAGTTCCCGATCAGAAATCTCCCGTTCATAGAGCCTAGTCCTGGATTCAATTAGTTTCTCTACTTCATCACTAATTTCCTCCTTCTTGGCATTAACTCTACTCTCATGGTCCAAGATCATCTTGGAATATTCGATCAGAAACCGTTGGTTGATCTCATCCAAACTTGCTCGTTCATACCCCCGCAACTCCTCGATTTGGTTAGCTAGCTCACGTACAATTCGTTTAAGTTCATGGTACTTGTGTTCGATTTCGTAGCTCGAAAAAGTCAGGTTTTCAATCTGGGTCTTGAGGGTGGATACTGTTGTCTTGAGCGTGGTTAGTTCTGAAGATTTGTCGGCGACAAGAGAGGACCAGTTGGTAGTGGGTCGTTTCACTGGGGTGTTCATTTCTGATTGCGAGTCTTTGCGTTTGAGTCTTGCAAGGGAATTTGCAATTTGTGATGATTGGTTATTCATGGTGGGTTTGTTTTGGGTTTGTTTGGAAAATGTAAACAAGTTGAAATGTGTGGGTATGGCCTGTAACAAAACGTGAGTATACTGGTAAATACGTATTAACTTGATTGTACAGTAAATACTGACTATTATACAAGGTTGAGAACTGAATAGCAAATAGCACAAGTATATAGTAGACTACAGTGTAAATGGTAGACGTGAATGTTTGGTTGCCAAGTTTGATCGCAGTGCTGCGGCGGTCAACCCGCACAGATAAAAATAATTTTTCCTTTTTGCAAATTGATCTCATCTCATAGCACTTTAGCAATAACCATGGTTAAATCAATATTAAAAAAAACAACAGCAGAACCCGCTATACAGAAACAAGAACTTACTTTAGAAGATGTTGAATCTGATTTGGAATTAGATGATGAAGTAGATGTCGCTGATGTAAGCTCTTCCGAAAGTGAAGATGAACTGGGCTCATCAGAAGAATCAGACCAAGAACAAGCAGAAGAAGAAGAAGAAGACGACGACTTTCCTAAAAGAAAAAAGAGGAAGCAGGCAGACGACGGATCTACTGATTTTGCCCTGGCATTTACCTCTATTGTCAACTCGAAATTAAAAGCCCATTCCCGTACCGAACCAATTCTTGCTCGTAATAAAGTCACCTTGAAAAAACTCGAATCGGAAAAGTTAGAACAAAAGGCTAAACGAGCATTGCTTGCTGAAAAGCACCAATTACATGATCGTCAACGAGTAAAACTGTTGCTTCCAACGGATCCAGAACGTGTCCGTGAAGTATTGGATAAGGAAAAGAAGTTAAAGAAAACCGCCCAACGAGGTGTAGTCAAATTATTCAATGCGGTGTTATCCAGTCAAATCAAGACTGATCAAGAGATAAGCAAAGAAAAAGTCGGACAGCTGAGGAAAGAACAATTGATGAATGAAATTTCCAAAGAGAAGTTTTTAGATTTGGTTCAAGCCGCCGGTGAGTAAAGTAGCATAGCATAACATAGTGTATAATATTTAAGAATACAATCTTTAATTTTTTTTTTTTAATTATTTTTTTTTGTTTTGTTCTTTAACTTTCTTTGTTGTTCTCTTCTGCAACCAACACACACATAGGAGTATGGCCATTGAAATTGAAATCAAAAAGGGTGACGAGGCATCATCCAATAAGGATCATCTAACCGCGATTCATCACTATACCGTGGCATTGAATGAGAATCCCAAAACATTCAAGGCACTTCTAAAGCGGTCTTCCTCATACTTGAAGTTGAAGAATTTCGATAAGGCTAAGGAGGACATTTCCAGTGCATTCACAATTGCCCAAGAACGAGGGAAACGGAATGATCTTGGGTTGTGTTACTTCAAATTAAGTTTAGTTTACTATGCTGAGCACAAGTACAAATTGGCCTTGGGACAAATGCAAAAGGCCAAGGAGTATGACTGTTTGGAAAAGAGTGTGTCTGTCTGGTTAGATAAATTACAGTATGAAGTGAAAAATCATCCTGAGGAACAGAGTGATTCTGAACCAGAAGATGACATTGAAGAGGAGGAAGAGCCTGCACCAGCTCCTACAGTTACCGAAGGCACCAAGTCTACCAATATCGACGTGATTAACAAACTCGCGCCATTGAATATCAAAATCAGAGAAGACTGGTACCAACTGAATGAAGAAGTTATCATCACAATTTACGCCAAGAATGTTCCATCAGACAAGCTCAACATCCATTTCACACCAAACTCTGTATCGATTTCCTTCCCCAGCAGTGCCAGTTCGGAATACAATTACAATTTAGACCCATTGTTTGCCGACATAGATCCCGAAGCTTCAAGCTTCAAAGTGTTTTCTACCAAGCTTGAAATATACCTCAAGAAGAAGGCTCATGAAAAGTGGCACGGATTGGAACGCGAAGCTGAAGAAGCTGACGAAGCTGAAGATGCAACTGAGTACCCATCGAGTTCCAAGAAGAAGGTTGATTGGAATAAGTTTAAAGTTGGCGATGACGAAGTTGACAATGACGATCCTCAGGGTTTCTTTGGGAAGTTGTTTAAGGATGTCGATGATGATACGAGAAGAGCCATGATGAAGTCATATATTCAAAGTAACGGTACGGTGTTGACTACCAGTTGGGATGAAGCTAAGGATAAGGAGTTTGAAACTTATCCTCCCGAGGGAATGGAAGCAAAGAAGTGGGAGGAATAGTTGAGAGTAATTTCATAAAGTAAAAGCCAATAAAGTAACAAGCAATACCACTCTGTATCTAGAAATGTTTATGTTACTAATAAAAATTAATGTAGCAAAACTGGGAGGGTAAGTGGGCAGCAACCGTCTTAGTAATCGAGAAAAATTAATTGGGGAGGGTGGTGCGGTGGATATGCAAATTTCCTTTACGGAAAACGCAACCCCCCTCCACACTTTCTCTTTAGCTGTCAATCGACGTCCAGTTTATGTTTAGACAATTCATCCGAAACATGCAAATCAAATCAATTCCTATGCGCTGGGGTCGTGGTGACAACTATGCCTACCTCATTATCGACACCCCCACCAAACATGCCTGGATAATTGATCCTGCCCAACCCGAAGACATTTCCAAGTATCTCGACACAAACAAGACAGAGTTTGAACTCAAGGCAATTGTCAACACTCACCATCACTATGACCATTCTGATGGTAACAAGCACTACCATAAGCAATTCCCCGGATTGCCTGTGATTGCTGGGCGTGATTCTCCTCTAGTTACTTATACACCTCTCCATGGCGAAGTCATCGACCTTGGTGAGAATGTTCAAGTTACTGCGTTGTATACTCCATGCCACACGCAAGATTCTATTTGTTATTACGTTGAAGATAAAGAGACAAAGGAAAAAGCGGTGTTTACTGGTGATACCTTGTTTATTAGTGGATGTGGGAGATTCTTTGAGGGGGACGGTGTGCAAATGGACCATGCCTTGAACGGAGTATTGGCCCATTTACCCAAAGACACAAGAGTGTTTCCTGGACATGAATATACAAAGTCTAATGTTAAGTTTTCCAAGACGGTGTTGAATAATGATGCTATCGCTAGTTTGGAAAAGTTTGCTAATGAGAATGAATTCACCACGGGGAAATTCACTATTGCCGATGAATTAAAGTTCAATCCATTTATGATGTTGACAGATCCACAAGTTCAAAAGGCCACCGGCTTAACCAAGGCCAGTGACGTGATTACCAAACTTCGTGAAATGAAGAATAATTTCTAGTTTTTTATATGCGCACAAATTCAGGTTTATTTGTATCATCAACGTACAACTCTGGCTGCCATAATTCAATCAACTCTAAGTCGTATTCCGATTTACCCATGGCAAATTTCTCATATTCTTCAAAGATCCCACTAAGACACCAACCCTGGAGCAACTTCCTCATTAGCCCAACTACCAACCCCGTGCGGTGCTTCCCCTTGTTCAGATGTATCAACATGGGGAAATTCTCCTTGTTCAACATTAACTGTAATGCGATCGTCAAACTCTTTATCGTCTGCTCGTGTTCTTCTCGCTTATTGAACGGCTCCTGCAGGGACTCCACCAACAAGTTATGGAATGTTATATCGGTAGTATTCAACCAATCTTGGTAATTCTGCATGATCTCACCCGTGCCGTGCTTATCTTTCTTCTTTTCCTTCTTCTCATGGCCCAAGTCGCCCAAATATATGATCGTCTTTAGTTTTAATGTGTTAAGAAAGGGGTAGTTTATAGGCATGGGGAATCCCAGCCGATAGATTGTGTCTTCCACAAGTGAAAAGTTCAACGGAGGTACTAACACCGGTTTTATATCTTCATGATTTGTTGGCATGACACTGTCTTTCACTGTGGGATTGACTCAAGTTTTGGATTGCTGGACTATGTTGGATTTTCAATTTTTTTGTTTAGTAAGGGCTTGGTGGTATATGCAGGATGCTTGGATCGGTGATTCAACACACATCATGTAATAGATGGGATAGGTACAGGAGTATAAACCGTATCAGATACGAGACGATGAGTATATATCGCAACACGTTGTGCTCGGCATGATGCTTTCAGTTTTAAGCGGGAGGTATCAGCAATAGCTAGCTGATTTTTTTAACACAAACTATGCTACCATGTGAGCTGACTGATATGATCCCAAGTAATTATGGAACCCTGTTATAGGTCTTTTTCAATCATGCTCTGGTTATGATGAATTTAATATAATTATTTTGTCAGGCATTACTATACTCTTTGGTATTAGTAAGTTGTGGATCATTTACTGCGAAATAAATATATTGCCGATTGCGGGAATTACACAACTGAGCAGATGCTGCATTTAATATTCAAGCTCCACAATATGAAGATTTACAGAAACCATCCACAGTTGAGTCAGTTAAGCCAATCACTTCCTATGGTATATTTCTATTGAATTACAGTGATAATGTCTGTATGGATTTGGTTTGTGATCACCTGACTGCAACATGTAAAATGGTTTCCGGGTTCTCTCCGAGATTTGCAGGTTAAAACTTTTTTTTGTTCATGCAACAAAAATTTTCAAAAAGGCAAATCTGACATAGAAGACTTGGAAATACAACTCATAGAGACAGATACATATACACACACACACTCAATATGTCATGGTTATTTGGAAAATCAAGCAGTAGTCAAACAGATGATGCTTCTCTTAAACAAACCCTTGGCTTTGACCCTAAGGAAGTCACCGACGTCCACGCCATGATCCAATCACCTAACTTATACACAGCATCTCAACTTCACCCATTAGCAGGATTGGAAAAGGGAGTAGAATATCTTGATTTAGAAGACGAAAAACTTAACGCTGTTGAAGGCTCTCAAGGTATAATCCCTTCTCGATCATGGAGTGACGACTTATGTTACGGTACCGGGGCCGTTTACTTACTCGGTCTTGGACTTGGTGGTGCCTATGGTTTACAAGAAGGGGTCAAGAACATCCCTGCCAACGCCCCACCTAAATTAAAATTAAACACCGTGTTGAATCACATCACCAAGAGAGGACCGTTCTTGGGTAATAGTGCCGGTGTCTTGGCATTAACTTACAACTTGATTGACTCATCCATCGATGCCATAAGAGATAAACACGACGATTACAATTCTGTGGCTGCTGGTGCCCTTGCCGGTGCCTTGTTCAAGAGTAGTGCTGGTGTTAAGCCTATGTTTTATGCTTCTGCATTGATGGCATTGGGTGCTGGTGCTTGGTGTGGTATAAAGAGAGCATTTAATTCAAATACTGAACCTCAAGCTTTGGTATAGACTTGTATATATTGCTCACAAAATGAGCAGCCTTGCCGTAGCAAGTAAATATAAATTTCACGAAATCACCTTGTAGACTACGAAGTGGTAGTTTTTGTCTATTAATATTCTATCTAGCTCGCTATTTTAACCCGTTTATTAACATCAACCGAATTTACTTTAACCCTCTTAACTTCCTTCTTAGGATCATCATTCAATCTCTTCAACATTTCTTCTTCTCTCCAGTTATCAAAGAATTGGTGCATTAGCACCCCTCGTTTGTTCATATGTTCATTATACTCTTCCAACGTATAACTATTAAACTTTTGTGAATTTCGATTAGTAATTCTATTCATTTTTGCATCTTCAGTGTCGTCAATTATACGCTCAATCAATACCTCCATATCTGCAAATGTTTTTGTACGGCATAGTTCTTGATAGTACTTTGACTTTCCATGGACCATGTTTTGAATCAAGAACTTACTCCCACTGAATGAGTGATACTTTTTACACGCTTCGAAAACATCTTTCACTATTTGTTTTTGTAATCGAGGAGCTTCGGAAAATACAGAAGGATTAGCTTCTGCCGCTTCAGCTATCATAATTCCCACTTGGTCATTCTTCATAGCTGTTTGCAAACTAGCCAAATCCTTGACACCTTGCATGTTCCCGTTAATAATGACATTTACGCCAGAATCTTGAATTATAGGAATAAGCTTGGGCAAATAATTCCATATTGGATCTTGACGGTTTCTCATTATAGGTGTACGACAATGTATTGTTAAATTCAGGATACCGGTAGCACATATCCTCTCCACTAACGTCTTTGTCTCTTCAAATTCTGGCAATAACCTGATTTTACAACTTATAGGTTTATTGTTTGGACGGCCAACTTTCTCAACTAATGCTGTGAGAATTTCGCATAACACATCGGGTGTGCGTAACAAAGCAGCACCCATTCCTGAATGGATCGAGAAATGTTTGGGACATCCACAATTCAAATCAATCCCATCGACATCATTAATAACTTTCAACCCTGCTTCCACGGCTAGGTCGGCATTGCTTGAGCCAAGTTGCAACACTAACTTGCCATCTTCAAGCGGATGTTTCCTGAATGTCAAACTCTGATTCTTGGATTCGATATAGTCAATGGTGCCTAAACTCGGATTTACGGTTCTTACACAGGTGATGAGTTTCTTGTCGACAATTTCCGGAGTCCATACCAAATCGCATCCGTATTTCAAAGAGACTAACCGTATAGGCAACTCTCCACTACGGACCATAGGCGCAAGACATATTTTAGATGCATAATTTAACATGGTTGCCTGTGATGATTGGATTGCATTTAACAATTTTTCGCTTATTAATTTTTTTTTCAACTACATTCCGATGATAAATCATATGGTAGTGACACACGCGCATCACGTGCACTTCTTTTTACGATTCTGTCGCCAAGTAGCGTCGCTGGGCATAGCTATTCCACAAAATGGAGTATTAATGACATTTAACAAGTCATAGAAATGCAACAGCTAATAATTTGTTGTTTTTTTAGGGGGAGAAAAAAAAAAAAAAGAAAAAAGAAACGGGGTTTGCGATAATGGGCCGCTCCAGGCAAGTGGATTACTGCATTTAGAAATTAAGTGCACACGATTGCTTATCTCCGCTGCATGAACTAGATTAGTATGACTTTTAGTTGTTCGTTTGTAGCAATAAATTGGTCTAGATAAGACTGTTGCAAAGTGGGCGTAGTTGCCAGGTTGCCCCACGGGACAGGTAGATTTCCACATATCAACATGTAAAAATACATCTGTAGCAAAGTGCTCCCGCCCGGAAATATCCCGCCAAACAAATTAACTATTTTATTTTTACTTTTTTTTTTTGTTTTGTTTTGTTTTTCAAAATGAGCAAAAAAGAAACAAATAAAATTTTCAAGAATTTAAGAAAGGGTATCTTTGAAGTTAATCCACCCATCTACGCACTCCCGATTAGCCCCTCATCAAACCTGCTACATCTCGAGTAAAACGAATCTAGTATGACCTATCTCACCATGGCAATTGGTTTGTTTTGTGTTGCTACACAAAACCGAACAGTTGTCGCACTAGAAAAATAAAACGTTTGAATTGATCCGATGCGGTCAAGTGCCATACCCCATAAAATAAAACAAAAAACTTCCCTCATGCACAAAATCATAAAAAGGTTAAATTCCGTCGAGTGTTTGTCACGAACTGAAATTTATTAGTTTCACGACACCCAGACTCTCGTCTTAACTGCCACACCTCGGATTACTGCTTATGGTGTGATACGAAAAAGAAAGGAAAAAGAGAAACGTTATATGCATGCTTGGGCAAAAAAAAATAAATAATTAGACAATATGAAAAAAAGAAACGAAAAGATTATGAGTTCAAGAAAAAAAAAATTCCGTATGATATTTTTCGAGAAAGGCGACTTGAATGACTTGCAATTGTGCAAGTTGGACTCACGTTCTTGCACCACAAATAGCTCAATTGCATGCAATTGGTATGTGTCTACCCCGCTGTGTATTCTGATTGTAAAATAAGCTGCGATCATGTTCCCGCAAGTTACAAGAATCCATCACTATCGTAACAAGTTGAAACAAAGCTGAGTAAGAAAAAAAAAAAGAAATTTTCCGCACACAGAAAATATTCTCAACTTAGTAACAGAAAACAAATGACTGGGTAACAAAAAAAAAAAATAAAAATTATTTCTTTTTTACATCTTTATAATCATATCAATTTCCCAAAAACTGAGTTTTTAATTTTTTTTATACCTCTCTTTCTTAATTATCATTAGACACTATGTCATTATTGTATCAACCATTCACTAAAGCCATGATGCAACGAGATATACCAGGATGTCTTACCCCTGAACAACACCTGCAATTGAACATCACCAAGGGCAACACTGTAAACACAGACTTAATTGAGCCACCATTGTCACCACCATTATCGCCATACCAACGTAATGCAGTATTGCACACTGTGGCATTACCACCACCAGAATACAGCACCAGAAAGCTGTACATGTCGACCAACACCCCCTTCAGGATTGAAAACTACAAGGACTATAAATTAACCATTGCTACTTCAAACAACGACAAAAACAGTATTTTGAAGTTCATAGATAGATATTCTCTGAAGGTTAATGATGAACGCCAACGAGGCCTCGTCATGCCATTGCCTGTACGTAAATACAAACGAAGAGTATATGAATCAGACAATGACATGTCGGAAGAAACTACAAGAATGAGAACCAGAAGAGTCGGTGGTGGTCCTAAGTCTTTCGACACCGACGAAGAACTTGCTTCCACTCCATCGCCCAAGAAGAGGAGAAAGCCAGCTACACCAGGCTCACAATCTCCTTCATTGGCATTACAGCAGCAAATGCTCATTGATGAGTCTATCCCAGATTACTCACCAGATGCTAATGAAACTTTACCCCCAAACAACACCAAGTGTTTGAGGATAGAATGGAAGGGCCAACCCATGGACTTGAGTTCCGATCCAAACTTGTCAAAATTACATCCAGCTGAAGTTGTCCTTGCTAGTATTTTGAGATTGCCAGTTGCAGTATACCTTGATTCTAAACGCAGATTATTTTTCGAAAAAGTGGCCCGCTTAAAAACAGGCAAACAGTTCAGAAGAACCGACGCACAAAAGGCATGTCGTATTGATGTGAACAAAGCCTCAAGATTATTTGCCGCTTTCGAAAAAGTTGGTTGGTTGCAAGATGAATTATTCGAAAAGTATTTGTAAGGGAACATGTGTGTGGTGCAGTTTTTTTTTTTTTTTGCAACTGCAACAGACAAATTTTTTTTTTTTTTAATTTTGTGATTTTTCGGTTACTACAAAGAAGGAAGACAGACATTCTTTTGGGAGGGGAGAGAGAGAGAAATGTAAATTAATTAATATGATCATTGTTATCATTGGGTTAAAACGGATAGAAACGGTTACACGGTACTCGGTAAATATAGAAGTGAAATCAGGATTTGGGTTATAAACGGATAAAACATAGAAAAAATAGAGTATCACTTTTCTTCTTTCTTTATATATAGTTGTATAATTTGGTTATTTATTTATTATTATAAAAAGACAAACTTGTTAGTTTATTCAACCACCGGTTCGTTTTGTCGATATATGTAAAACTGTAAAAAGATTAAACTGTCTTCAAATATGGTTCCCAATGACCCTAACAACCAACTCAAATTCAATAAAATGTACTTGGAATCGGAACGATAAAACAAAATTTGTCCAGCATAGGTTAAATTACCCAACACAGAAAACAAAAAGAATAATAAGCTCAACCCATAAACACTCTTTCTTCGATAATTCTGAATGATTTGTGGGATTCTTGCTCCAAGGTATAATACCGCACTGCAATATCCCATAATTTGTGGACCAACGGCAATTGGTTCTTCACTAGGAGTATCGTCATTGGCTTTACTTCCACCAAGATAAAATCCCACAATTCCACATCCAAGCACAAACAAAATTGGTAAAACATATCTAACAAACACAGAATGATATTCAGGTTCGAGGGCAATATCAGTCAACGTAGAACTGCGTCTTCTATGCAATAAAGGTCTTTCTTCGCCTTCTGTGCTATTTGTTCTTCTTCTTTGTTTCTTGTGGTGATGTTTCTGGTAGATATAAGTATAGTAGAAATAACTGGCTATCATCATAAAATCAGCTATACAAAACCAAACAGCAAGGAATATAACTTCAGGCAACAACCCTGCCCACACTGCTCCTATTAAATTAAACACATCTCCCAAGAACCAAATCGATATAAATCCAATAGCAATACCATCAGCCGATTTCAACCGCCATTGTTCAATTAATTGTGGCATAAGTAATACTATCCAACATGCTAATGAAGTAGAACCCATAACCCCACTAATTTGGACCCGAAGTGGTATGGGTGTATCGGGCTGTGTTATCTCCTGTGATAACATGTGTAATAATGCTAGAACCATATTGGAGTTGTGGGAGTATCTATGACGTAGATAAAAAAAGAAGGATGATTAGGATGACCCGATTTGTTTTTGAAGAAAAAAAAAGATTAGCGGTGGACAAATTTCATTTTATCTTTTTTTTTTTGTGTAGTTTCAAATACCGCGGTAAATTTATAAGGTCGAGTCATAACCAGAAAATGCAAGAAACAATGACTCGGGATAATTACAGGGTATTATGGTCTGATTATAACTAACTTATTACCTCATTTAACCTTCATTCAATTATGACCTTGCTTTAACTTCTCTGTATCAATTTCACATAACATAATATAGGCCGTAATCTTAGAGATCAGCCACTAGCTCCTAACCGCATTCATAACCTCTTTATATTCTTACTTCTCTTCCATCTCTTCCTTAGTAGTCGCCTCGACTGCTTGATTAACAGTTTCAAGATCTGGTGAACTAGGTATACTGAAGTTAATCTCCTGTTCAGCTTGTGCATCTACGGTGGTGTCCATAGTGGCATCTTCTGCCTCTCCAAGAGATAAAGTCAGATCATCACTTGACCGTACTCCTGTTTTGTCTAATATTCTCACTGCTCTACCATCAATAAACTTATCATTATAATCTGGCTTGAATCTTTTGGTTTGCATATCAAGGTTAACTTTAGTAGCAAGTTGATCTAATTCCACTATAGACCTTTTTGTTTGTTTAATCAAAAACATTAAAGTTTGATCTAATGGGCTAATCAGCTTAAGGATTTCCTTAGCCTTGACTACTTCTTCGCTATCTTTATCTGATTTGGCTATGGTTAAAAATGCCACATTTTCGGCCAATCCACGTTGAAGTTTAATTAGTTTCTTAAGTCGGGCCAATTGCAATCGTAATACTTTTCTAATATGTAATTCCACTTGAATTTCCAGATTCAACTTGACAAGCTCTTGGTCTAGTTTCCGCTTCTTCTTACTTGAATCTTTGGAAAACTCTATTCCCTCGTGATGCTTTAATTTAATCCAACCTTCATTAACTAAACTTGGATCAATGTGAAAGATGTTTCTTAAAGTATACAACTCATATTTATCAAAATTAATATCAATCTGAGAAGCAATCAACGACTCTAATTGGGCAACCCCAGCTTTAATCTCATGATCGCTAACTTGTGCAAAGATATCATCCTCAATCGTGTCTTGTAATGCCCGCACTTTACAGCGGGCAAGATATTCTTGAAACCCAGGAAGACCTCGATACATGATTTCATTAGCGGCATTAATCACCTCATCAATTAATGTGATTGGTCTAAATCCAAGATGCTCTGTAAGTAGAGCATTGTTCCTCGAATCTAAGAAGTTTTCCGACTCGCCTATTGCGTCTGACATGTCTGCTGCTTGTTGTCTACTTTGTTTTGGTTTTTGGCAACAACTTGAATGTAAACAACAACTTGTTTGTGTGCGCCAAAAAAATTCTGTGCTATAAATCACGTGATATGTGTATCCTGCATAGATGCTGCTGTTTTTTTTTCCTCCCCCTACCCAATTACATCTTGAAGAAAGAAAATTAGAATATCATCCGTACTAACCAACGGTAAAGGGTTCATACAAATACAAGTACAAATCATGGCTAAGACATTAATTCCAGATATTGAATTTGAAAAGTTCAACAAGCTTAAAGAAACACAAGGTACTAGATTCCGATTAACTCCTAGAAACTCCGTTACCATATTAATATTTGCTGGTCTTATTCCAGCGGGATTGACTTATTTTGCTTACGCTACCGAAGGAAAATTCCATTGGAACAGATTATATAGAAAGGGTCCACTCAATCAAGTCAACTACGTTCCAAGAGATAAAGATTTGTAAATTAGTCTAGTTTGTCATGAATATACGTTTTAATTTATAACTTACACCATAATTGTGTACTAGTATAAAAAATACGTACTGAAAAAAAAAAAATACTCACATCTAATAATATAAAACCTATTCCTAATTAAAATCGAAAATCCTAAATAATCACAACATAACTATCGAAACATAAACAACAAAACGTAGAATTGAAGAAACCTCATCACTTTTTAGATCCTTTTAAATCAACTTTAAATTCAATTAATCCTGATTCTAAAGATTTAAGTTGATTTGAAGAACTCTTTTCAAAATTTGCATGATCAATCATAACATTGTTACTCGATTTAGACCGAGCTAAATGAGTCTCGCCGTCATTAATTGTATCAACATTCTCATAGACAAACGAATAGTGACTACTTAATGCAAATAAAGGGATCTTTTGCGAGCACTCATTAAAAGACAATTGATTGGCCTTGGAATAGGCTTCCAATTTCTTGGTTTGAATGTCACTATGAGATTTGTTCCAACGTTGATTTACAATAAATGTCGGCGAGGAAGAATTCCCCGTGAATGATGGTGATTTCTTTAATGTTTTCTTGGTTACTTTTGTGCTTGGTCCTGCTTTCTTCTTCTTGGACTTACCATCATGTTTCGGTTTGTCTTCAATGGCAAAATAGTCAGTAAATTCAAAATTCTTTTTCACTTGATCCAAGTCACTGCTAGATGAAGGATATCCATATTCCAAATCTACAAATTGACCCAAGAGATCTTCATTTTTAATATTCAATGGTGTGGAGATCTCATTAAATAAACGCTCTTCTTCTGTGATACTTTCACTAACGGCATTTGGAGACGATTGAGACGAAACTGCATCAATAGTAGTTGGACTAGCTCCGGCAAATGACTTGTCACCATCGGAATGACCAATGTCAGAAACTGGCGCAGTTATCACTTCATTACGTAGTTCCATTCTTCCATCATTGATTATTTCCAGGTGTTCTGGATGTGTGACATGACTCTCTTGTAGTTGGTTTTGTGTTTCCATTAATAACCGGTGGTATTCCTGTTGTTTTACTTGCTGTATATATCTTGATTTTACATCATCCACTTGACTCTGCTCAATCGATAATCCAAGACCAATAGCCTCAGTTGATTCTCGTAGTGGTGCAAAGTTCGACATTATGGGAGATTGGCCATCCCAGGAACTTGTACTAGGTAATGGTACCGACATTGGTGCTGCAGGTGGATAAACTTTCTTGGGAGTGTGATATTGATGACTATCTTGGTAATGCACAACTGGGGTATCATATGGGGCAGCAAATTCTGTAGTGTGATAAATCACCTGCAGTTGCAGTATCATATGACTCTCATTAGGGTTAGGGGTTTGAAATGTACCACCTTGTATTATTTGTGGTGTTAGTTCAATATGGTTATGACTTGGTGGAAATGCATCACCTGTCGTATTTGGAGATTCGAAATTAGGCATAACCATGGTATCGCCAGGAATCGGGCTTATATATTGATCGCTTATTGGTAGTGGTGGAGGTATCAACTGACCTGGATCCGTGCCTAATGGTAACTCTGTTGATATGGGCATGTGTGTAAATTTCTAGTTAATAGCGAAAGTAAGGGGGAGGTAGGGGTATAAACTCTGGGTTGAATGTTCTCAGCGATCGTAGTATACGTAGTATCAATATTTATAAGCGAATGTAAGAAGTTCTGAAGCAAAACACTGATTGTTGATAGTTATCTTGGTGGTGTCGTAAAAGTTGGTTGCGCGGGGTAAAAATCCCTTGTAAATTGAGCTGGCTTCAAACTTTATAAGCGAATGTAAGGTAAGTTGGAAATCACAGCCTGGTCTAAAACACAAACTCTCTCTTCGTTCTACTCTCTAGGTAACTCAAACAAGCGATTACTCTAATCTATTCAGATTGATTGACTTTATTATTGACGATAACTTTTGGTATTTCAGAAAGTGGTAAGAAAAGAACGATATGGAATTTCTTTTCAAAAGAAAAAAAAATAAATTAAGAAAGTTTCTGGCAGTTTACACATATTTTCCTGCAGACAACATGTGCAAACTGCATATAATATGCAAAATTTTGTTCCTGTCCATTGTTTTACCAACTTCCCTATTGTTCAATTAAATTTCTCGGAAACAAATCCGATCAAGTACCAGCATCTAGTGAACTATGGCTGTATAGGGGTAGACCTGTTTTTTTTTCGCATTTATAAAATACGCTTTAATACCATGTGTGGTTTTTTTACGATTCATGTGGGTTTCGTTCAACTAGCACTCGTGTTTAAACCAGCACAGTGAATTATTATTTTGTAATTATAATCAGTTGCGTTGCTGAACCACGTTGGTTTGTTCTCTATCGGATTTAAACGTTCATCTAAAAATATTACTAAGCATTGTTTTGAAATATTCTGCGCAAGTAGATCGGAGTTTGGATTTTTTGCATGTAGTTTACCACAGGTATGTATGAGGAACCAAAAAAATAAGAGACCATGTGAGTGCAATCCAACAGTCTGCCCTTTCTTTGGACATGCCTCTCCCTTTGGTTAATTTGATTGGTTAATATTGCACTTGCCACTGTTTGATATATCGGTTAAACTTCCCAATTTTCGCATAAGGTAAATTTTAAAATATTCATTTTAAAATTGCAGCATCTGATTTGAATTCAATTAATCATAACAGATCTTCAAAGTTTTCTCGAGTTTTATCGATGGTGGATACGCATCTTGAAAATCATAACTGTGTCAATGTTTAACAATGCGTGTCTTCAGGATAGATTATTCTTTCCTGAAATCACAAGTTGTTGATATCAATAAATCCCTAGACTCTCGAGATGATCTGCTCTCAACCATTCTACTTTTAATGCATGGGATTAACAGAAATATTGTACAAGAATACTTACTTTAGTCGATATCTATTCAGGGCACGGCTGATAATGTGGCGCGAAAGAAACTGATTAGGCAATTGGCTTAAACCTGGTCTTGGCAGCAGCGGGAAATTTATTCAATACACAATTTTGTTAATCGTGGAAATTAGTGGATGATTCAAAACTAGCAACCATGTCTTACAAAAACATACCTAATTCTATGCATGTTATCATCCTGACGAATTAAAATTTTCGCAGAAAATAACTATTCCGTTGATGCCATTTTGATTGATGTTTATTTGGTGGAAATTATATATACATGCTATTTAGAGAGCTGAATTTATTTCAAACAGCAAATAGGGGAGGGGAATAGAAATCGGCAAGCTTACATCTTTTCGATTAACATCATTTTAATTACCTCCCCCTGGTAAATTGTTAGGGGTTGCGCTCGGAATTTGTCTGATAAGAAATTTCCTAATTTGGATTGATCCGCTATCAACTCACATTAATTTTCTATCAATTAATATAAAATCAACACTATTATTCCCCCAGTTCATACATTAAATTGTGTATCAGACAACTACAAACATATGACCTTCTCGATTGATTCATTGATTACCCAAAAGGGTAGACTATTAGCCACTATCCATGAAACTGCCAAATGGGGTGCCAAGGGAGTATGGGGAACTCGAGAAACCGAAACCGGGGTGTGCAGATTAGCATTATCTGATCTTGATAAACAAGTACGTGATTGGTTTGTTAAAGAGACAAAATCATTAGGCTGTGAAGTGAAAATTGATCAAGTGGGAAATATTTTTGCTATTTTTCCAGGAAAGAATCAAGGTAAACCTACTGGTATTGGATCTCACTTGGACACTCAACCAAATGGTGGTAGGTATGATGGTATTTTAGGTGTTTTGTCTGGTTTAGAAGTTCTCAGAACTTTCAAGGAGAATAATTATGTTCCCAACTATCCAATTGCTTTGGTCAACTGGACTAATGAAGAAGGTGCCAGATTCCCAAAATCAATGGTTGCTTCAGGGGTATGGGCAAAGCAAATCCCATTACAAGAATGTTTAAACCTTAAATCATTGGATAAAGTTCCAGTTTCATTTGGTGCCGAATTGAAAAGAATTGGTTATGATGGACAAACCAAAGCTTCGTATCTAGAAAACCCACTCGCAGCCCATTTTGAGATCCATATTGAGCAAGGTCCAATTTTGGAAAATGAAGGTAAGAAAATTGGAGTTGTTACTGGAGTTCAAGCATTTGAGTGGAACTTGGTTACGGTCAAAGGTAGATCTTCGCATGCTGGTACAACCCCCATGAATACGAGATCGGATGCGATTTTAACTGCATCAAGAGTTATTGTTATGGCGGTCGAAACTGCACTTAAACACCAAGGTTTAGCAACTGTAGGTACCTTACAGTTAGAGCCAGGATCAGTCAATGTCATTCCTAATATCGTTAAATTTTCCTTAGATGTAAGACATGTTGAGGATGAGATTTTAGCTACGATAATGGCAGAAATCAAACAGAAAGCAGAGCAAATTGCCCAAGAAAACGTCGATTCCCCGCATGGAAAGCCATTACTGATTGACTTTGAAAATATTACCTCATCCAAGGCAATAAAATTCAACAATACAAACATTAAAACCGTCAAAGATGCAGCATCGCAAATATTCAAGCAAGATGAAATCCGAGAAATTACAAGTGGGGCAGGACATGATTCTTGTTTCACAAGCACAAGAGTCCCAACATCCATGATCTTTATTCCTTCCAAAAACGGCATTTCCCATAGTCCTGAAGAATATTCCTCACCTGAAGAGGTAGAAAATGGCTTTCAAGTATTGTTGAGAACTATTGTTCTTTTTGACGAAATGAGGGCTTTACAAAAAGCTTAAATAATAAATACAATGGCTGAATCGACATCTGACATATTATATAGTCTCAATACACTATTTTTTTTTGCTGCAATTTCTAAATAAAACAAATTTTTAGCCGCGCTACCACATCACATGGGTGACACTTCCTAATCGGGAAATTTTGTGAGATTCTATTTATACCGGTTCTGGGAATTTACGTCAGGAAAGCATCTTTGCTAATAATAAGATCGTAACAAAGCCATTTTGGTCATTGAAATCTATAAATATGGGGCTGTCTCAAAAGTGTATATATAAATACCCCCAGTAGTTACCCATCACTCTTTCTATTATAATTCAGTAGTATATCGAAAAATGAAATTATTTTATTCGTTATTATCCTTATTTTTTGCAACCTTTGCAATTGGTGCTGCCGTACAAGGTGATGCATTTCAACAAGAATTTAATGAATTCCTCGCGGTTCTTGAATCATACAATGATCCCCTGGTTTTTAAAAGAGACTATCCTCCACTTACTGCTGCTTTGACAGCATTGAATAAATCCGGACAAGGGGTTCAAATTGCCCACGCCATGTATAGTAATAAAGCCACCCAACCAACAGTTATAAATGCAGTTGAAAACTACATTAATGCAACCACGTTAACCCAAATCTTGAAAGATGCTGATGATTCAAACTTGGCTGTGGATATAGTTATGATCCTTTTCACCAATCCTAATATGATTCCTGGTTTAACTAACATCATTAAGACCCTTCATGATGATGGTGTTTTCTCGTTTTCATTAAAGAAGAGAGGGTTACTTGATGGTATCCTTGGAGGGTTGAATGGTGTAATTACTTCTATTCAAAACCAGAGTATCCAAACTATTGTCAAGTTAATGAATTCTGTAGCTGATTCGGAAGATATTTATGAATCGTTGGAAAAATCTGGACTTTTCATTTCTGTGTTTGAAGACATTGTCACTACCACCGATGGTCAAGCATTTGCAGTTAATTTAGTTACGGATATTATCAACGATGATGTTATCACTTGGTCCCTGTTGATAAGTGCTGTAAATGATTCGGCAATTATTGCAAGCACAGCCTCCAAAATATTCACCAATGCTACTAATAGACTGATTATTCTCCAATGGATCTTAACGAATGGTCTCAGTGTACTTCTTGAAATTATAGAAGCATTATTTTAACTAAATATGTTACTGTTTATACCATAGTGTTTTATATATATACCTACAACAACAACCTATACGAAGTCATTCAATGTGATAACATCAAATCTCTTTCTTGCTTCTTCCAAATTGAAATTTTCTTCAGCTTGATGCCATCTTTCATGTAATCTACCATGTACAAGTACTAACTTGGGTTCATCAGTTTTAGTGTCGTTGACTTTTTTCTTACCGAATAATCTTGCTTTTTCGTCATACCATTGTCCAAAAGTAATTTTTTCCCATTCCTCTGGTTTGGTAATACCCAAACGTTTCAACTTAGGTGAATTTAATTCATCAGGATCAATAATTGAGGAAAGCTTTGGTGTTGAAAAGTAAATCAATACCAATCTACGATATTGCTTTTGGTCATCTGGAGGAGAAACTACTCTGTGAATAGAACTCTTGAAATATCCACCAGTGATAAATTCCATACCATCAGCAACATTGACGATGAATGAGTTTGGTGTATGACCAACGTAACTCCATTCACCTGTAAAGTAATCTCTAATTTGTAATGATAAAATTGGTTGCGAAGTAATGAAGGTGAATCCACCACTATCTGAATGGCCTCTAAGCCAAGTATTGTCAACTTTCTTCATATCTTCAGGTTTCATGCCTTCGTATAACATAAATCTTCCTGCTCCACCTCCGGAATTTTCATGATCACCATCAGTAACGCTGTAGTACTTTTCCCATATGTGGCCCTCTGGAAGTTCCAAGACAATATCACATAAAATTGTAAGTTTTCTTAAAACTTCGTTATGTAAGTACCTGTAATAATCAGCAATATCTTGGATGAAAGCTCTGACAATATCAGGATAGTTGTTGGAATCATCAAAGAAATCAGAATGTTGCAAGTTTTGGAAATTATAATGAACAATAGAATCTTCAACACCATTCTTCATGGACCAGTATCCCTTAGGTTTGAACCCTGGCCCTCTTTCAGCACCAAGTGAGACTGATCTATCTTCGAGGTCAGACTTCATAGCACCAGCAAGATATTTCTTTTGTTCTTCTACAGGAAGTTCACAAAGAGATTGAGCAACCAGTTTAAGATGCTCTAATTCTTCTTGATCAATTCCATGATTAATAATAGAGATGAACCCATATGTGGAAAGCGATTTTTCAACCTTGTCAGCAAGTACTTGTCTAGCTTTTAAATGTTCAGGTCCTTCTTTGAAAAGAGACAAGTCTATACTTTCAAGCTCAATGGGCTTTATACCGGATTTGGATAATGGAGCTTCGACAAATGGTCTCAAGTTGAACTTGGCTTTGTTGTCTATTGGTTCTGGCATGTTTATTGTCTAACGGGAGCCAAATCCTATGAGGTTATTCGCAACGTACTTTGTCCATATTTATAATTGCTCAATCACCCCCACTCCTGATCCGATATCCGGTAAATTACTCTTGATTTAGGTTATTCTATGCGGGTCATGGAAGTGTGGCTGTCACGGGCATTCGTCAGAATAAAGAGAAAAGACAATAAGGATCCACAGTTTTTATATTCATAATATATAACGTCTAGTAAATTATCATAGTGAGAGAGAGAGAGAGAGCGAAAAACAAAAAAAAAAATTCATAGTCGGATTTAATTACCTAATTGGGCCTACTTTGATTTCTTAAATCGTTCTTCCAATGTCTTTTTCAACTTGACTTCAAATTCTTGCCGGGATTCACCAGCCCTCCATCTTAAATTGTAAGCTGGATGGTCTGATGGGAGATAGGTAGGTTCTTCTCGGTCTAAGCCATAAATGTTTTCTCTAAAGGTGAGTCCTTCTTTAGGATAGTCATCCCAAGCTAAACCTCTCCTTCTTAACTCTGGAATTAATAATTCAACAAGATCTTCAAATGAACCAGGAGTAATAGTATAAGTGAAATTAAACCCATCAACGCCAGAAACGTCGACCCATTCTTCAATTTCATCAGCAACTTCTTCAGGTGTACCAATGAATACAACACCAGAACCACCAATACGAACTCTATCAGCTATATAAGCACGAGTCTTTTTAAGATTTTCTGGATCCCCAGGGAATGGTTTGGTCCATGTATCAATCATACTTCTAATAGCATTACCTTCACCTTCAAGCTTATCTAATTCATCATTCCATCCATACTGTGCTAAATCAATCCCGGTCCAACCACCAAACAAAGCTTGTGCACCTTCAATATCACTTAATTCCTTGTATTCTTTGAATTTAGCCACAGCTTCTTCATGGGTAGGAGCAACAATAACAGTGACTAATTGAACAACTTTAACAGAGTTTGGATCTCTGCCAGCTTTTTTAACTTCTTCCTTTAATTGCTTAATCTTGTATCCCAAACCTTCTGGGGTCATACCAACAATGAAGACAGCCTCTGCGTTTTGAGCAGCATACTTCAACCCTTTCGAGGACGATCCAGCTTGTACTATGACTGGTAATCTTTGGGGAGTTGGTTCAGTGATGTTAGGACCTGGAACCTTGAAGAATTCACCCTGGTAATTAATTTCTCTGATTCTTTCGGGATCAGAAAAGATTCCTCTCTTCTTGTCTAATACAACAGCATCATCAGCCCATGATGACAAGAACAATTGATAAACAACTTCCAAATATTCTTGAGCACGGTCATATCTGGCATCATGGTCAGGTAATGGTTCTCCATTTAACAAGTTTCTGGCAGCACTGTCTAAATAACCAGAAACGATGTTCCACCCAATTCTACCCTTGGTTAAGTGGTCTAAAGTGGCTAATCTTCTGACCCAGTGATATGGTGCTTCACTTATTGTAGCACCAGTTACGGCAAAAGACAAATTCTTGGTTACTGCAGCCATGGCAGAAATAACAGCACTAGGTTCATTAACTGGCCATTGTGCTCCTGATTTAGCTGCTGCTGCTATATTCCCAGGGCCTTCGTAAACATCATATCCACCTAAAACATCAGGAATGAACAATGCATTGAACTTCCCTTTTTCAAGTAACTTGGCCAAGTTTGTCCAGTATTCAATTGTGTTGTAATCTCTAGATTTGTCATCTGGATGTTTCCAAAGACCTGGGGTTTGAAGACCTGGGCAAGCCATATCAAAGGCGTTAATAAGTAATGGTTTTCTTTGTTTCTTTTGTCCGTCGGTAGCAGAAGTCATTATGGATGTTGTTGTTGTTGGGATATATTGAAGATAAGCTTTTGAACACTTTCATGATAGCCTGGGGTTTTTATATGAAAGAGATTGAGCATTATCGAACCATATTCTCTCATCATCGTACCACCTCTGGTTAATATATTTGTTCTATAGTAGAACTATATTAATCAATAACTGTGGCGTATAACGAATTCTCTTGGATGCAAAAAATTGTAGTTCACAACAAATTAGCTACTTCCTGATTGGGAAACTGTTCGCGCTATTTGCTGTCAAAACGTGATAATCAGAAATCTATGCCAACGTTTCGGCGTAATTTAAAGGGGTTGCTGTAAACGAATGTATACTATTTATTTTATCGTCTGATTTTAAGCCACAGTATAAATTAAGTATTATATCGGTATTTGTTTGGTCTGAATAATTACATATATTTAAGGAGAATTAGTGTAGTTTGTGACGTAACCTTGATTTTATTACTGTCTCCTGTAGTATGGCCTGATCTAGATAGCTTCTGGTTGTGGTTCCTGAATTCCTTCTATGTCGTAATTGAATCTTCTTTTGTTGAAAATGGGATTTAATTTCCTGCTCCAGTGTAAAGTACGACTGATTTGCTGATATTTTATGCAAATTTTATAAAAAAATCGTCTAAACTGTCCATACCTAGAACCACAGGCAGATCAACTGGCGAATATTAAACTTGCAACGCAATTGTAGCTTAGTTTCAAGTTTATTCATATTAGATACATCACAATAGCATAGTTGTAAAAGAAACAACATTTTGTTGCAAAAAAAAAAAACACAAAAAAAAAAATCAAACTTCTTTAAAGTACTGATTAATTACTTTCTTTAACACTTGTAGTCTAAACATGCCTGCGATGTAAGTTTTACCAAATTGTTTCACCAATAAGACATAATAAGATCCTAATACAATAAGAAAACCAAGAATTAAGCGCCAACTTCTACGTGAAAGTAATAAATTTACCAATTCACTTATACCGCTCATCGAACTACCAGACAACAAATCTGTAAAGCTCAATCCGCAAATCATCAATCACCTATTCCATTTTGTTGACTCGTATCAAACAAAAGAAGAATTTAAAAGCCAAGGAAACCAGAAGAGTGACAGAACTGGGGACATACTATTACCAAAAGACGTAGTCACTACAAAAACAACCAGGCAACGTCGACCCCGCCAAGTTGACCTTGACTATACTGAATATAACAGCGATGCAACTGATGGCGAGGAAGTACAAATGAACTACAATGCATCAAATACACCTAAATTTCTTGGGAAGTTTGTCAATATTGCTGCTGGTAATAAAGTCAAAAGAAAATGCAAAACTTGTGGTTTGATTTATAATGATTTGAAAGGGTTCAATAGACATTACCAAAACAAACATCTACGGCATTGATCCATATCATAGAAATATAAATAAGGATAGTCCATAACACCAACAGTGTTGCTATTTATAAAGCCATAACTACGACGCCACTGAAGGGAAGTTTCTATTGTTAAAAATAAAAATAAAAAACCGTAAATACGTTATCTCCTAATATTAACTGCGGAACGGAAGGTAAAATTGTTTTTGTGCCCCAAGGCGAAGTCAAGTTGGGGATTGTTTCAAGGCGCAAAAAATATTATCGCTGGTAAAACATTTACCCGCTTACGTAAGCGGGAAGTGTCCCCGCCGTACTGATATGTTGTCAACTTAGCATCTAAAGGGATATCGTTTGGTTACATCATGTGGTTCTGTTACTGAACCTTGCATTGGGACGTCAGAATTACATAATCGGCTATGAGAATGACTTAGACACGTCAGAAATTACAAATCATGCCTCGCCGATAAGTCCGAGCTAACATTTTAAACTTTGCATTTGAAAAAACTTTTGTCCTAAAGTATTATTTGAAATATGGCTGTTAGATCAATAACGGGATTATGATGTGCCTATTGCAAGGAGCTAGCACGCATACGAAACACACTGATTAGTCATCAAAACAAAGAGACCAAAAATTTCCACACTGAAATAGCCACCTTTTTTGCGGATATAAAAGTCGGAATTATTTCCTAAAATGCGGACCTTGACTAATTCAATAAACCCGATGGGCTAAAAAATATCTAGTTTTACGTAACTTGTGTCTCAAATGGAATATTGCCACCTTTTGTCCAAGCATCTCCATGGTATTGTTGGTGACTCATGTTAACCCCCCCTGCAAGTCTTGTAAACAAGTTGCCATGCACTATAGTTGCCCCAATACTAAACAAAGGAACAAGTGAAACTGAACTGATAACGTCAAATTGTTGCTATTGTACTCTAAAATCAAGTACGAAAAATTATTTTGTGCCAACATTTAGCGGAGCGGCACAAAAAAAAATTCAAATGAGTATATATTAAGACTGAAGCCCCCCCTCAAATGAATCCATTTTCCACCTATTGATATTTGGTTTAACTATATTTAATTTCATTCTTAACGATATTCCGTTAAAACCTTATACACTAGTTTACTTGCTTATTAACTTGTTTTTTCTGCATCTACTGCACTGAACATACTTCGTAACTAGTTATTATTATGAGTGAAGACCCTCACTTCCTACAACAGAAACGTCTATTGACGTTCATGTTGTCCAAAAAAGTTCCTCCGATACCTACAGAAGAGGAAAGAGATCCTTACCCTGTGAAAAAGGCTAATATAATATCCAGAATTCTCTTTTGGTGGTTAGGTCCAGTTATGCATACTGGTTATAGAAGAACGTTACAACCAGAAGATTTATTCTATTTGACCGATGATATCAAGGTCCAAACTATGGCTGACAGATTCTACAACTACATGACCAATGATATTGAAAGGGCCCGTCAACAGCATATTGCTGAAAAATGTAAAGAGCGTGGTGAAACTCCAGAAACTTCTTCTGTGGACCGTGGAAAAGATTTGGCTGACTTTGAATTAAGTAAATTCTTGACTGTTTGGGCCCTTGCTAAGACTTACAAGTGGCAATACACTTGGGCATGTACTTTGTTGTGTTTGAGTTCTGTTGGTCAAACTACATTACCATTATTGACCAAAAAGTTGATTCGATATGTTGAATTGAAAAGTATGGGTGTTGAAACAGGTATCGGTAGAGGTATTGGTTATTCATTTGGATCAGCCATCATTATTTTCATTATTGGTGTTTTGATTAATCATTTCTTTTACCGTTCCATGTTGACTGGTGCTCAAGCCAAAGCTGTTTTAACAAAGGCATTGTTGGATAAGTCATTTAAATTGAATGCTGCAGCTAGACATAAGTACCCTGTTGGTAAAATCACTTCTATGTTGGGTACTGATTTATCTCGTATTGATTTTGCATTGGGTTTCCAACCATTCTTGATTTGTTTCCCTGTTCCTATCGGTATTGCCATTGGTATTTTGATTTGGAATATTGGTGTTGCTGCTTTAGTCGGGGTTGCCATTTTACTTGTGTTTATGGTTTGTATTGCTGTTTCCACTGGTGCCCTTTTCAAGTACAGAAAGAAGGCTAATAAATACACCGATTCCCGTGTTGACCATATCAAAGAAGCATTGAATAATTTGAAGATCATTAAATTCTATTCTTGGGAACCACCATATCATGAGAACATTTCTGAAATCAGAAAGAAGGAAATGAAGATTATTTATCGTATGCAAGTGTTGAGAAATGTTGTCACCTCATTTGCCTTTTCATTGACTTTATTTGCTTCCATGACTGCTTTCCTTGTTTTATATGCCATTGCTGCTAATAGAAAAGATCCCGCATCAATTTTCTCATCGCTTTCATTATATAATATCTTGACCCAACAAGTGTTCTTGTTACCTATGGCCTTGGCTACTGGTGCTGATGCATTTATGGGTATTTCCAGAGTTGGAGAATTTATGTCTCAAGGTGAAATTGACCCTGCTTTATCTAATATTGATGCTACTCCTGAAAAGAAACTTCTTATGGAGAACGATGAAACTGCTATTGAAGTAGATCATGCAAGTTTTGAATGGGAAGTATTTGGTAATGATGAAGACGACGAAGAAGAATCTGAATCCAAGAAAGGCGAGAAGAAGAGTATGGAAAAGAAGGTTCACAAGACTGAAGTTCATTATCATGAAAAGACTGGTTCGATTGAAAAGGATTCTTTAACAACTTCATCAAGTGGTAGAGGCGAAGAAGAGTCTCAATTCCCTGGTCTTAAAGATATCAATTTCAAGATCAAGAAAGGTGAATTTGTTGTTATCACCGGTTTAATTGGTTCGGGTAAGACTTCTTTGCTTAATGCTATTTCTGGTTTTATGAAGAGAGTCCATGGGGATGTTAGTACCAATGGTTCATTATTACTTTGTGGTTATCCATGGGTTCAAAACAGTACTGTTAAAGAAAACATTCTTTTTGGAGAACCATACGATGAAAAGAAGTATAAACAAGTTATCTATGCCTGTTCTTTAGAAGCTGATTTGGAAATTCTTCCAGCTGGTGACCGTACTGAAATTGGTGAAAGAGGTATTACTTTATCTGGTGGTCAAAAGGCAAGAATCAATTTGGCCAGAGCTGTTTATGCTAATAGAGATATTATCTTGTTGGATGATGTTTTAAGTGCTGTTGATGCTCGTGTCGGTAAGCATATTATGAACAACTGTATCATGGATTTGCTTAAGGATAAGACTAGAATTTTGGCTACCCATCAATTATCACTTATTGGTTCCGCTGATAGAGTTATCTTTTTGAATGGTGATGGTTCAGTCGATGTTGGTACTTTTGAAGAATTGTCCTCTTCTAACCCTGGATTTAGTAAATTGATGACTTTTAATAGCGAAGCTCACAATGATGAAGAAGAGGAAGAAGACGTTCCTGAATCCGAAGATGAATTAGAACAAGAAAGAGAAATGATTAAGCGTCAATTAACCAGACTCTCAACCAGAGCCTCAACCAAAGCAGACCCAGAAGATGAAGAAGCTAGACATCGTGAATTTAACACTGATGAATCTGCTGATGGTAAATTGATTGACGAAGAAGAAAGAGCTGTTAATGCCATTAGTATGCGTGTTTATGGTAGATATATTGAATTGGGTTCTGGTGCTGTTGGTCCTTATGTTTATGGTCCTTTGTTACTTATCTTCCTTATGTTTGCTACATTTTGCCTGATTTTCACTAATACTTGGTTATCATTCTGGGTTGAAAGGAGATTTCCTCTTGAAGACAAGGTTTACATTGGTGTTTATATCATGTTTACATTCTTGGCATTTATCTTTTTAACCATTGAATTCATTCTTTTGGTTTACTTGACCAATACCGCTTCGGTTAAATTGAATATTTTGGCCATGAAGAAGGTTTTGCATGCTCCTATGTCATTTATGGATACTACTCCTCTTGGTAGAATCTTGAATAGATTTACTAAGGATACTGACGTGTTGGACAATGAAATTGGTGATCAATTGAGATTCTTTTTATTCACATTGTCTAATATTATTGGGGTTTTAATCTTGTGTATTATCTACTTACCTTGGTTTGCTATTTCTATCCCATTCCTTGGATTCTTGTTTGTTGCCATTGCCAATTACTATCAAGCATCAGCCAGAGAAATCAAGCGTCTTGAAGCTATTCAAAGATCTTTTGTTTACAACAACTTCAATGAAACCTTGAGTGGTATGACCACCATTAAAGCATATCATGCTGTGCCTAGATTCCTTGAAAAGAACAATTTCTTGATTGATAGAATGAATGAAGCTTATTATCTTACCATTGCCAATCAACGTTGGTTAGCCATCCATATGGATATGGTTGCTTCCTTATTTGCATTATTGATTGCCTTGCTTTGTGTTAACCGTGTCTTCCGTATATCGGCTGCCTCAGTTGGTTTAATTGTTGCTTATGTTTTCCAAATCGCCGGTCAATTGTCTATGCTTATTAGAACTTTTACTCAGGTTGAAAATGAAATGAACTCTGTGGAAAGATTGGATAGTTATGCATCTAATTTACCAGAAGAAGCTCCTTATGTCATTACTGAAAAGACCCCACCTCCACAATGGCCAGATAAAGGTTCTATTGAATTCAGAAGTGCTTCATTAGCTTATAGACCTGGATTACCATTGGTGTTAAAGAATTTGAATTTCACCATTAAACCTCTGGAAAAAATTGGTATTTGTGGTAGAACTGGTGCTGGTAAATCTTCGATCATGACTGCATTGTACAGATTAAGTGAACTTGAATCAGGTAAGATATTTATTGATGATTTGGACATTGCCGAGTTAGGATTAAAGGATCTTCGTTCTAAACTTTCTATTATTCCGCAAGACCCTGTGTTGTTCCGTGGTACTATTAGAAAGAATTTAGATCCATTTAATCAATCTTCTGATGATAAATTATGGGATGCATTAAGAAGAACTGGTTTGATCGAAGAAGGTAGATTAGAGCAAGTCAAATTAACAAACAAGCCTAGTGATGGATCATCTGAAACCAACTTGCATAAGTTCCATTTGGATCAAAGTGTTGAAGATGAAGGTACCAATTTCTCACTTGGGGAACGTCAGTTGATTGCATTTGCCAGAGCCTTGGTTCGTGATTCCAAGATTTTAATTTTGGATGAAGCTACCTCTTCAGTTGATTACGAAACCGATTCTAAGATTCAACATACCATCATCAGAGAATTCAGTCATTGTACCATCTTGTGTATTGCTCATAGATTGAAGACAATTATCAACTATGATAGAATTTTGGTGTTGGACAAGGGTGAAATCAGAGAATTTGATACTCCTTGGAATTTGTTCAAGTCCAATGGTAGTATCTTCCAACAAATGTGTCAACGTTCCAATATCACTGATCAAGACTTTGAGAACATCACATCATTTTAGTTTATAGGCATGGTTTTTATATAATTTGTAATAATAAAAATAGATTTATTTAAAGAAAACGTGTAGTATTTCGCAGCCAATCATTGTAGTGGATGTGAGTCACTTTGGGTAAGCAACCAAAGCCGGGCGCTGAATCGAGCTTTTAATGCGAGATAGCCTAATAACTCCTGTTATATTTTGGATATATTACCGAGTTACAGTCGAGAGAGAATCTATTATTGCAACTCTAGTTGCGAACTGAACTTGATTCAATTAAGAAGCCGTGCATGGAATGTCACAACCATATTCTGATTAGGGAAATACACTGCTAATGGAAACATCAACTTGATTATACCTGACATTGGTTATGAACGAAAGCTTTTTTTTTGGTAGTAGCCGTGTTATTAATGGTCATGAATAGAATCGAATCAAATTACCTGCGTGGTCCCGGTTCATCCCGTATTGTTCACGTGGTGGTTACTCATTGGTAAATATATATTATATAAGCTCACTACCTATTACTTCCATTGTCATATCTCCTATCATAAAGATAAGATTTTATCTCTCTATTTCTTTATGCACTCTATTTATTAAAAAGTCAACTGTTCGTCAAATTTAAACTTTGTAGCTTTTTATTTACGGTTAAGGGGTGGGGGAATCGACGCAGACAGGCACGCAAAATAAAATTCGCACAGCCTGTTTAAAAATCTCAGGTGAAACAGAAACAGCAACCACTTTCTTATCAGATACAGACAACGTATACACCATGCAATTCAAAGCACAAACACCTCCGCTAGCAGCCACTGAGAAGCCCCAATCTCACAGCGATGGTGTTCAAATCAAGAAATTATTCAACAAATTAAGTGGACAACCTGAATCGTACTCTCGTAAATCAAACTACACATTTGGTAAAACTTTAGGAGCAGGATCATTTGGGATTGTCAGATACGCCAGGGACAATGGAACCAATGAAGAAGTTGCCGTTAAGATTATCTTGAAAAAAGCACTTAAGGGCAATGAAACTATGATTATTGACGAATTACACCTTTTACAACAATTGAATAACCCCCACATTGTTGGGTTTAGAGATTGGTTTGAAAGTAAGGATAAGTTCTATATTGTGACTCAATTGGCCACCGGTGGTGAACTTTTCGACCGTATTGTGAAAAAGGGTAGATTTACTGAACATGATGCCTCTTTAGTGGTTGTGCAAATGTTGGAAGCACTTGCCTACTTGCATTCCAAGGATATTGTTCATAGAGATATAAAACCTGAAAACGTCTTGTACTTGACCCCCGAAGAGAACTCGGAAATTGTGTTGGCTGACTTTGGAATTGCCAAACAGTTGCAAAGTCCTAATGAGAAATTGACTTCCCTGGCCGGTTCCTTCGGATACGCTGCTCCAGAAGTCATCTTAGGCACTGGTCATGGTAAGCCATGTGACATTTGGTCGTTGGGTGTTGTCACCTATACATTGTTGTGTGGATATTCTCCATTTAGATCAGAAAACGTTCAAGATTTTATTAATGAAGTCAAGCATAATAATGCGGTTATATTCCATGCTGATTACTGGAAAGATGTTTCCAAGGATGCTCGTAGATTCATTATCAAGGCGTTGCAATATAGTCCTGACAAACGACCCACTGCGGCTGAGTTATTGGATGATCCATGGATTGTTACAATTGCCGAGAAACACAAGGAATGCGACTTGTTACCACACTTGAAACAAGGTTTCGATGCCAAGGCCAAGTTTAGACAAGTTGTTGAAGTTGTTAAATTGAATAATAGAATCAAAAGATTGAAGCAAATTCAAAGTGAGGAGGATGATGATCCCAATGAAATTAATTTGTTTAATGATGCTGGATCTGTAATGTCTACTGCTTCCCGTGTACCTTCGGGAGTTGAACAATCACCGTTATTAACTTGGAAGAAGTTTTCTAATGTGTTGAATAACTTGGATCAAGACAGATCAAAGGCTTCATTGACTCCGCTCCCTGCATATGCCGAAGATGCAAAGCAAACCAAGAAGAAGGAAACCACCGCCGATGCTTTTGTTCAATTAGTTCACGCAGCTACTGAAAATAAGGAAAGAGTGGAAAACTTTGATGAAACTAAACATGAAGAAGAACAACAACAGAAGTAACACAACCAATATATAATCATACTATTTTGAAATATTTGTGTACTGTCAATTTTATGTATAATACAGTTTATATCTGCTTCGTAGGTCGTTGACTTCCTGATTGGGATAGAATGTGTACTCCGGCCGCATCATCTGTTAGTGTCTAATTTTTTTTTTTTTTCTTCAACTTTGAATTTCAACCAAAAGAAAATTTCTAATTATACAACATCATTTGAACGTCAACAAACTCAACAACTTGCATCCATTTATTGCATCAGACACTATTTTGATACAGGACATTCATTTCCAAATAGTTGTATTATATTAATATTAGATAGATCATTGTATGATGTCGGATCCATCACGAGAATCAACGCGGACACCGCCCATCAAACAACCAACACCTCAAATATTCCTTGATGCCGAAGACAAAACCGCTGAGGCTCTTTCCAAATTCACCGAACTTGAAGCTTGCACTTATGCCTCAAAACAACTTGGCTCGTCACAGATGCAAGAGTTCATGACTTGTGATTGTGAAGAAGAATGGGACGGGGAATTACAATTGAACTTAGCCTGTGGTGAGGATTCCCACTGTATTAACCGAGTTACATCCGTGGAATGTATGAATCGACATTGTTTATGTGGCAACGACTGTCAAAATCAGAGATTCCAGAAGAGAGAATATGCTGCTGTGTCTGTTTTCCAGACTGAATTGAAAGGATATGGATTGAGAGCCGATTTAGAAATCGGTGAAGGACAGTTCATATACGAATATACAGGTGAGGTTATTGATGAGGCTACATTCAGACAGAGAATGGTAGAGTATGATCAGAAAAGTTTCAAGCATTTCTATTTCATGATGCTTAAGTCAGACTCGTTCATTGATGCCACTGTGAGAGGGTCCCTTGCTCGGTTTGTGAATCACTCCTGTAACCCCAATGCCTATGTTGACAAATGGGTTGTCGGTGATAAACTTCGTATGGGTATATTCGCCAAGAGGAAAATTGCTCGTGGTGAAGAAATTACTTTTGACTATAATGTAGACAGATACGGAGCTCAGTCTCAACCATGTTATTGTGGTGAACCAAATTGTATAAAGTTCATGGGTGGTAAGACCCAAACTGATGCGGCATTATTACTTCCGGAAGGTATTGCCGATGCTCTTGGTGTTAGTTCCAAAGAGGAAAAGCAGTGGTTAAAGGAAAACAAGCATTTAAGACAACAACAATCTGATGATGCAGTGATAAATGAAATGTTTATCAAACAATTGGAAATCACACCATTAACAGAGTCAGATGTTTCGAAAGTGATGGGAGCATTGATGAAATCTCAAGATGCACTAATTATAGAATCATTAATTCAAAGAATATATTTGACAGATGATAAAAGTTTGAATGTGCTAATTATTAAATTTCATGGATACAAAACATTATCCAACATTCTTGAGAAAACCTCTGATGAAAAGCTTATTCAAACGATTCTTGAAATCTTATCCAAATGGCCAAAAGTCACACGAAACAAGATTTCTTCATCGCAAATTGAAGAGGTTATCAAGGAAATTGAACGCAAGTATGACAATGAAACTATAAAATCCTTGGCGTCTGACTTACTACACGAATGGTCAAAATTAAAAATGGCATACCGTATCCCTAAAGCAAAACCAAACGAGACACCTTCATATTCCCGAGTATCTCGATCGCCAGAACGTGAAGAAGAAACACCACAATCTCCTCTGTTAGATCCTACTCCTAGTGAAGAACCCTTGCCTGATGGCTGGGAAGTAGCTTATGATCCAAACACCAAGAATAACTACTATTACCATCGCGCATTGCAAATATCACGTTGGGATCGTCCAGTTTCTTCAGTTCCCCGTGGCCCTAAACCACCCACTGGTCCACGTCCACCCACTGGTCCCGGAGGATACAAGCGCGGTGGATCAAGTACCCCTACAAAATTCCTGGAGGCTGATTTGGCCGAGCGTGAAGAGCGCAGAATGCAAATGTTAAAGAATGAACAGTATCGGGCTCTACAGGAGAAGGAACGTCAATTACAAGAATTGATCGAACAAAGTCGTGAGCTTGAACGTAAGAAGCAAGAGGAACAACAACAATCACAACAAAAACCAGAGAAGAAACAAAAGACAGTCAAATCAAGTCACAAGCATGATGATGTTTCTGTGGAAGCTAAGTGGAAACACGTTCTTGCTAAACATGTACCAAATCTCATTAAGAAGTATGAAAAGGAAATAGGAAGAGATAATCTTAAAGGATGTGCTCGAGATTTAGTTAATAGTTTAGCTTCTAAAGAAGTCAAGATTGATCCAAAGAGTTCTCCACCAAAAGAATTAGACCATCACAAATTGAAAAAAATCAAGGAATTTTCAAAGACATTTATGGAAAAGTTTTTAGTAAAATATAGACAAAAGCACGACAAGAAGAGAAGTCGAGATTCGGATGAATCAGGTTCCGATTCCAAACGTACTAAAGTTGCTACTAATGGAGCATGAAAATTAATATATTAGAAATCTGCTTTTTGTGATATATATATTTGTATTAATAAGACAATTACTATTAAACTATTTCCACATACACAGATGTTAAATTGATGCAAACGGAAACAAAAAAAAACTACAAGTTTTTGCTTAATAAGTTTGGCAAGTTTTCAATAGACTCACTTCCAAATGTGATTTGGTATGTTGCTGCAAATAATGGGTATTCTTCCATTTTACCAACATGAGTCAATAACTCATGCACTTCCTTACAGGTGACAATTCCTTGAGAACTTTGCCCATTCAATAATGCACGTTCGGCATCATGAGCAGAAGCACCAGTTTCAGCCATGTATCTACCAACCTTAACATTTCTACCACCCAAACAAGTTGTAATTAAATCAGCCACTCCAGCAGATTCTCTTGTGAATGTACTTTGTTGAGATTTAGGGAAGAAGGTTTCTGAGAATTTAATAATTTCGAGTAATCCAACTCTCATAATTGCTGATTTGGCGTTATCACCCCATCCCAATCCGTCCACAAACCCGACAGCAAGAGCAACGACGTTCTTCAAGGCACCAGCAACAGAAACACCAGCGACATCGTCAATTATATTAACATGGAAATAAGGTCTATGGAAAGTTGCCTTCAATATAACTTCATCAATATCTCTTCCTGGACCACGGTAATCCTGAGGAATATTATAAGCAATGGTTGTTTCGGACCATTTTTCTCTGGCGATTTCAGGAGCTAAGTTTGCACCAGAAAGGGCGCCACATACAATACCCAATTCATCAGAAATATGTTCCGATAATAACTTACAACCATCTTTATTAACTTCCAACCCTTTCAAACAGGAAATTCCTCTCACAGTTGGTGGCACATGACCTTTCAATTGACTTAAAATGGATGATAAATGCTGATGAGGGAAATTAAACACAATTAAGTCAGCATCCTTGACAGTCTTTACAAGATCTGGGACAGCAACGATATTTCTAGGTAATTTAACCCCAGGTAAGTATTTAACATTTTCCCGTCTGGAATTTATGATTTCCGTTAAGTTTTCCCCATTGATCTTTTCTTCGAAAACCCACATATTGACATGGTGGCGGAAAAGACGGGGTCTGGCAAGACAATTCTCAGCAATGATTTTAGTTATGGTTGTCCCCCAACTACCACCACCAATAACACAGATCTTGTATGGATGTTCTGGTGTTAATTGGGAAATGGTGTCATGAGAGTGTTCAGTGCTGGCCAAGATACCAGCGCCTGACAAGTCAGGTTCTAAGATTTTGCCAAGTTGTTGTAATCTTTGATTAGCAGATGTTGAAGACATGTCTATAGGTTCTCTGGAATAAAATTAAAAACAAAAATTGTGTGGTTTGGCAAAAGTCTTTATATCTTCCCCAAAAATGACCCAACAAAATTTGGCAAAAAAAAAAATGAATTAGGTTTGGGGCGTAAAATGGAACCTGGAAAATATGGAGAAAGAAAAAAAAAGAAAAACTAAAAGATTTTGTGCTTTATTGTTCGTAGTCAGCGATTGTGATAAAGTCAAAGTCTAATTCCGAGGATGCAACTGCACAATAGGAGGATCTTTATAAATGAACTTAACCTAATTTAACGTATAATTAACCCAAATTAATAATAAAGGTAATGTGTGAATATATACATGGCCTAAGAAAAGAAAACAAAGAATTATTCGAATTGGAATAATCCCAGATTTTGGAGAGGCGATTGGCTAGTATTTATATTACACCTACACGAAAGTTCTCAATTGGTGACTAATCCAGTGCTTACTAACTACTGTCAAGATCATCGTGTATCAAATATGTATCACATGATGACAACCGTTATGATCGTCGTATCGTCTTCTGACTTAACTTTATTTTCTTAGGTTCATCGTAAGTTTCATTTTTTTTTCGGTGACTCTTATCGGAGTACATCAGACCTTAACTTGCAAGTGCTTTCAGCGTATTCCAAGAAATCTTCGTCCCCTTCTATTTCTTACATTTTATCATGAGTCATATGCTTGCTATAGTTGTTTGGTACATTGAACCCTATAACTATTAAGGTATGTATTTTATTATTGTGTACATTTTCCGCTTCTAAGCGACCTGCAAGGGAATTAAAAGAAACTAAAACTAATCTTCCCGAGAACAATCTAAATCTTAGATATTGACTCGGAAGACATTATTTTCACTTCTTGAGCTTTACTGCTGCAATACATGTGAAGTAGACCAAAATAGTTGAAACGGGGTTCATTAACTTATACTGCTTAAGTATTGAGTTAAAAGTAAAACTACTAAATGCGTTGGTACTGACTCTAAATTTTACCTTAGTTATAACCAAAGTATCTATTTATGACCAGGAAAATACCAGCAGAGTCTATTTTTAATAATTTATTACCTACATTTCTAGATTTTTCTTGTACCTGAATTCTTCCGTGGGAAGTCACTACCGAAAAAATTAATTGATCCGAGGCTTACGCTTTCAGTAACGAAACAGGACAACCCTGATTTCGACACATGACAGAGTAATCTACTGGTATGTTAACTTTTATGCATTACTAACTGGTTTGAACTTTCGTTGAGCGCTTCTATATCTTAGCTACTCTCAAATTCATGATCGAGGGTCTAAACTCTAAGTCTAAACCTAAAACCTAGCTGCAACTTCAGCTTATGATTTTATTCAGTAAATAATTGATAGCAATACTATGGACTTGTAAAACTAATGCAGTACCGATGACACTTCTTCTTTTATGCCTGGTAATTGTTATTGAAAATCTATCAAGGAATACGCTTGCTCGTATTTAATTGCCGTGAAAGTGTTGCATTATATGCAGTACAACTGAATTTTGGTGTGCCGATTTTTTATTGGTTAACTTAGAGCCTGGTTGTCAATGCCGTTTCAAAAGTACCATTACGTATTCAATTTTAAATATGTTAGATTATTAAAAGCTTCAATGACTGTGTCGTACATATTTTGAACTTCTGTTTCAGTTGTGAGAACATTGCTTGATACTTGAGAGCGTTTTGACAACCAGTACCATGGAAGCTCTCCTAGACAAAAGGCTCCGCAGCTGGAAGATGAATAAATTAATGGTGCCATCAATCTGCAAATCACTCCCTTCTATTGAATGCTGGTATTGAACTCCATTGGGTAATCCTTAAACCTTTTATCCAAAGCATGATTGAAGTTTAGGTACAAATATTCGAGAGAACACATAGAGTATTCGCCTTGACTCCCGTTTGAAAATGCATTCACATTTGTCATGTTCTGGTATTGATCGTTGTGTAATACGATACCAACTACCTTTATAACACCAGCTTTTCAGATTCATGGATTCCTAATCTTTTCTAAACACGTAATAGTTGGATTGATAACCAATAGCATCTAGTTTAGTGGTAATTAGAGCAAGCCAATGTGCCATTTGTTATCTAAATGTATAGATACTCAAGAGTCATTTGTAGATTTAATTAACTGTCGTATACATATAGTTCTTCTGAAGATTGAATTATTGATTATTTGAAAATTCTTTGTTACTTTGGACTGTTATTGATTAGAACATTGACCTCCTTCCGTTGAAACTTAAGCTGTCTTTACTTTGTTCATGTCTTAGGTTAGATAATTATGACGATTCCCTGTTTCTACTTTAAATGTTGAAATCCTGCAACTTCCCATCAATTTGCACACCAAGAAAGTACTCCAACTTGAATAATTAATTTAAATATGGCACTTGGGACACTTATGGAAGTTTTTAACTAAACAGTTCGAAATTAAACAAACGGGGAACGCCTAATTTCATCACATTTGATAAATAATTTGTAATATCTAGTGAAACAATTGCAAAAATTGTAAGTGAAACCTTACCATCTATGGTTATTTAATTTGCTAGGATTATATTCAATTAGTAAAGTATTATGCACGCCCCCCCCCCCCCCCCCCACCGCCATAGTCAGATTCATGACAGTGGTGTATTTGGTATTAAAGAAATCTTTCTTGGTTCTCTTGTTTAAAGAATTCTTGGGATATGGGTTGAACTGTGTTTCCTGGAAGATTCAAATCCCGAAACAATAAGACATTGGAATCTTGCGGCTAGTCTAGTAACCAAGGGATTGTGTGCTTAAGCAGGGAGGTTCATTATTGCAAATGAAGTGTGATATTTGTTAATCCGTTCATATAATTAGCTCAAATTCGCGTACATAGTTTCGTAAGTTCTTCAGATAAGCAAAATGCCACATTAATTTGCAACCTCCATTGTTGTAATATAGTTACTATCTTCCTAATTGTGATTAAATCTTTCGAAATTCGTGAGAATAATAAGGAATGACATTAGACAATCTGAAATTACATGGGTATTAGTATTCTCTCCACTAATTATTACCACCACACTTATCATCACATCCACAATTATCACTATGGAATCTCGTAGTTACTTGCCGTCTACATCACACACTCCCCTCACTCCAGTATCCAGAACAAAGGAACATTGTTTAGTTAGGTAGTGACGGTGTAGTTAATCTAAAGCAGTAATTCCACGCGCGGAATTGGTGGGAAAGCCACAGTTTTGGATGCAAAAAAAAAAAAAAAAAGAAATACAGAGGTGGTAACTTCACCCGTGGTGCTGACGGATTTTGACCAAACCCTGCCAAATTCGTCTGATGATCTCGGCTATACTTGTGTATCGTAATCTTCTTTGCAAATGTTGATTTACAACTAAGAAGGAAATGAATAGACAGGAGTTACTGTTCAACTACTACAAGAAACCAATTTCATGCACACCAAAAATAATTATACATTTCCAAAACTAAAAAATCAAGCTAAATAAATGAAGTGAAAGAAAAGCTAAATTGGCCAATCCAGTCTAGGATTATGAGGGTCATATCTGCTAAATTGATTAGAAGAACCTTCACGTCTATCTTCCTCGTTGTCTACCTCTTCTTCATTGTCATCATCATCGTCTTCTTCTTCCTCAATTTGACCACCTCGTTTGCCTAAGTAATTCAAGTTATCAATATACAACTTCTTTTCTGAATTTCTTTTACATGTCAAAGTACCCATGTGTCTTTTCAAGGCGTCTTTTCTGGCAAATCCCTTACCACATAACTCGCAAATATTCGGAGGAATACTCAAATGTTGCTTTTCGTGACGTTTCAAGTCAGAAGACCTTCTAAATGACATTGAGCATTTATCACAAAGGAATTTCCGAGCAGGATTGTCAGAGTCACCTGTAGTACTCAGTTTTCTCGAGATTGAAATCAGCTGTGATCGTGACCCAGAGCTAGTTTGTTCCATTAATGTGGAAGTTCTGGTAGAATCTCCAATAAGGAAATTCCACCCTTCTTCGTCCCCCAGGGGGTTGTGAACAGACTGTGGTTGGTGACCATAATTGTCTTCTTTTGGTCTATTAGGACTTCCAGTAAATATATCGTTACTTAAGTTAGGAAACTGGGAATAGAATCCCTGTATCATGAGTTTCCCTTCATTGTCTGCTCTAATTTTCTCCAGTTGAGAAATAGGATTACCATGGGGTGAGCTAGCATATTGTAATCTAGTTAACAAGTCTGAAATTGTAGGATCAACTAACTGGTTATTCTGACCCAGGACGCCTTGAGCAGTAGCTACAAGGGCATCCCTGGCTAATCTTAAGAATCTTTGGTCTTCATTCTCTGGCTCAGAAGATTGTTGCTGTTGCTGTTGCTGTTGTTGTGACTGGTGATCATTACCCGATCCTCGAGTATAACTCATGTTTGGTTGTGGTGAAGTGTATGAACTTTCCGACCTTGGTCGTTTGGTAGGTGGCGAAGATCCTAATATTGGTCCTGGTTGGAGTGTAGATGACGAATATGCGGGAGTAGTAGGATTAGCAAAGATACCCATGGAACGCATATCATAAGATCGCAAGAGCGGTGGTGGGGGCGCAGGAATAGAGGATGGTAGCGACGGTATTACTGGTGATGGAAGATCCAAATGTTGTGAGCGTAAAACAGGCGGCTGATTGTGATTAGTTACAACTGAATGTCTTTGCAGAGGTGAATACCGTGGGAATGTTGTGTGTTGTTGTTGTTGTTGTGACGGTTGCTGTTGCTGTTGTTGTTGTTGTTGTTGATCGGGTTCTAGTTTATGGTTAGTATTTGAATGACGTTGTTCCATATGAGATCTAATTTAATTCCCAAATGGTTATGATTTGGCAGTAATAATGGAGGTGGAATAGGTATGGTAGTGTGACGTGGTGATATAATCCTTGGTAATCAAGAACATATACGAAACTAAAAATGCTAGAAAATTAATTATGTCAAAAATGAAAGGTTGATTGTGGATATTTTTAAAACTGGAGTGTCACGTCGCTATATGTATACGATTAAAAAAATGTCTGTGTCCCTCAATGCAAATCAGTGTGGATTTAAGTCCATTATTTTTACTGTCAATTAATATGATGACATTTGTGCATGGTTCACAATCATATTTATTATAAAACGGCAAAAAAAAATTGGCATTTTTTGTGTGCATTTATTGTGGCCAGCCACAGTGATTTTCTCATACAAGAAAAACAAAGGAAATTGATCCGTGTGCCTCATGGATTTCTCAATGCCACTGGCTCCTCGGTCTCGGAACAAAAAATTGCTGTGGAATGTGGAGGAGGACTTCAATAACCTTATGCCATCACTGGTTTGAAGAAGGGACGATCAATTAAGACATCTTTTGTGTACACTCTAGCGGTCTGTAACATATATTTGATGAGCCGCCGATAAGGCAATAGTTCCAAAAAAAAAAAAATAAAACGTGCAATTAAATCATTTCGGGGAATGAAATCATAACTCAGACAAATGTTTACATACTTCAACGGTTCTCTTGGTAACAATGAAACAAATAGATGGTAGTAATGCAAAGGGGAGTAGTTTCGTTTAATGCATAAACTAGTAGGGAGTAATTTTCGAAACTCGATGTAAATGAATATTTCAAATAATAGAAAAATTGTGGATTTTTTTGGATTTATAAATACTTGAATCCTGAAAACTAAAATGACTGCCGCTTGATCAAGTGTATCCTAGGGAAAATTAGCAATTGCGGTTAGTTCTTCATAAATGGAACCTGATCCCCCTCGTTGTTTCTTTCTTTTTTTTATTTTTACCGTAGTTCTTTGTTTTAAATCTTTTAGGTTTATATTGCCATCAGGGGAACGGTATTAATTTTTTTGTCTTTGAAAAATCAGGAAATTATTGCAAAAAATTAGCACCAGTCATGTGACTTAAAATAATCCGAGCCTTCCACTACCTTTTAAATTTTAAACGAATCTAGATTACCTTCTTTTTACACAATATTGAATCTTGGATCTAGAAAGTAAAATCATATGCGCTTGTATGTCTTGTATTTTGGAGAGGTGATTAGATCCCGCTGGATGAAGTTGTTAACACAAGTCTGAAATTTTGTAGTTTGATGTAACGTCAACTTTGCCTTTTCATAAAAAAATCGCACCATTTGAAAATGAGCCAAGGCCAGATTTAAATAACGCCCTTAGAAGTTCGATCTTTTGCAGTATACCTGTCTTTTGCTTGTCAAAACTTGCAATTGAGGAACTTTTTTACTTTTCCCGTTCTTACGTTAAAAAAAAAGTACTTGTTGTGCCATTATCTCAATAGTAAATTTAAGCTAACTTGATTTACTCCAAATTTGAGCAAAATTTGAATAATTTTGTCCACTTTTCATAGGAGTTTATTTTCTTTGAATCGTCGACAAACTTTTATAAAAATTTGGCACAGAACTTAATGATATCCCACTCTTGACTAGCAATTAAACTGCTTCTGCAGTCTTTGTAATCATTCTACGACAAAACTTACTAGAGGTTGCAAAAAAAAAAAAAAAGACTATATGTAAATTACTTGTTAAGAACATTGCAGGTTACCCCTAACTTGCAATTGTCTCTATCAAACAGATAAAAAATATCAGTACTGCAAAAAAAAAAAAACTTCTTGAATAGAAAGGACTTCATTAATAATATTTAATACAAATAAAGGTAGGAAATTACATAGAGTTCTAAGAGTCTACAAATGATCATGTAAGTAAATACTTTAAACTAAATACTCGTATGTCAAATTGCAGTACATCTATTATTTTGTGGGATTTCCTAATCTTAAAGTACCATCTTTTTCAACCCTTGACTTGGTTTATAAGTTCTTCATTCGTTTTCTATACATTTTCTGAGTAAGAATTTAAGCAAATATATAGGAATCAATGACCATAACTATATTCCAAGATACAAGTCTTGACGACATTTCTAGTCGTTTTACTCAATGATGGCGAACCATTATTGGCACTTCTTGAGTTTGATTTCCAATTTTACTGTTACTTCACAGTCATCAAAGAGTTGAAAATTTTGATCATTATCTTAAAGAAATTGAAGTTTACTAGAGAAATTAGATTCCTCGAAGCTGAGTGTCGTAAAGCTTTGATTGAGTGTATTAAACGTTCATCCCCCAATATTAGGATAGTTGATGATGCGCGACTACTCATGCAAAAGTAATCTTTAAATAACTACAATAATTTACATCTCTAGAGACGAAAAATTGCCGTGTCTGGGTGTAAACAATCTATTGAGGAGTTAACTATGAGTTTCCTGTATGAGATTCAAAATTTTAAGGTTATAAAACATTTTACAAACTTAGAGTCATTGCGGATCAGAGATGTTAGAATTAACAAGCTTGAATAGTTGGGAAAATATGGTTAGTATAATATTAGCATTAATAAGTTATAATTAGGTTTGGAATTTGGGTATAAGAAGACACTTGTGACAGAAATGGGACAAATGTTCCAATTTCAAGAAATTTAATTGTTTGAGCTCGCTTTCAATACATTTGACCGGAGATCACATGAATGCTACTCCAAATTGGAAAAGTCAGTCCCTAAAATGCACACTGAAACATCTCTCATTAACCATCAAAGGTACCCTTTTTGATAAATCAAGTTAAAAGCAAATTCTCTAGAAAATTTACATATATTGATGTTTGAGAATGATTATTTTGATTGTAAAATCAAGGATATTATTAAAAGACAGAAAAAATTAACAGTAATATTCTACCAGAGTGCTACAACGTGTTTGATGTCTCAAGGAATAAAGAATAGTTTACAGGAATTTAAACAGCTTTACAAAAGGTTGATTGATTCAGAAAATGAATCACGCGAGGGTGTTTTCTACTTTAGTAACAAAATGGAGGTTTAATACTAGCAAACCAATCCCAATAGTTCAGGAATTGTTAGAAGGTGGTAAAAGGTTTATTAAGTTGGAATGCATTGATATGTATAAGAACTTATTTTAGTTAATCGTGCTGCATATGTAGTGAAATTGGAACCTTTGAATTAGAGGTTCCGTCTTTCTTTAGCGAAGACAATTACAAAACATCCAATTTGATAGTTACTCAAAACTTGTCAATAATATCTAACGGTACAAACATTCGTATAAATAATAATTTGAAGGACACTCTAGAACACAGCAGCTCCTGAGAATAACATAGCACCAAAGAGGTAAACCTCCAACAGGCAAAACAACGTATCTAATATATATTACACTCTTACAAGCACTCTTGAGCTACTAATATAGTTTGCAAGCTTACTTCTATTAATTTCGGTTGATGACCAAGAAGTTTCCTGGTGATCAAAATGTAAAAGAAAAATGGAACTATATCAAAACTTTATTATATGATTTAACCAAGGGTCCAGAGTAATCTGCCGAAGAACACTTACCAAATGTAGTATTAGATGTTTTATCCAGAGATTTTAAGTGGTGTAATATTTTACAAGGATACTGGTTTCTTTGTTGCTGATGACGACTGGGCAGATTTATATTCTTTGAAAGAAAGGGATGTTGCTCCTTTCAATCTTGAGCCCGATATGCTAGCCGAAGTTTCTCGAGCTGCTCATTATTTAAAAACGAACCACTAGTGAGATCCAGCAGTAAATCAATTGCAAAAAAAAAAAGATCAAAGGAAAACCTCCAGATGAACCGAGAATAATTTTTATGCTTGAAACTATTCTATAGAACCTAATGTTGAAACTGAAATTCTTTCAACGAATGGATGGGCTCTTCGTTAAAGTAAACAATTAAATAAATGACTGACGATTTATTAGTTTTAGAAAAATGTTTCTCAAAATCATATCGGGGAGCATATTTTTATCCTCAATAGTTATCTCTCATACTTTCCTTGAACTACTCCCCTACTTCCATTATTGTAATAGCTTGCAAGAACAGAAATAGTGCAAACTTGCATGTTACAATTTACATGTTAATCATATTGCAGTTTTATTATAACCTGCAATGTTCTAACCACTTGCATCAACCAGGAAAAAAAAACATACTAGAGGAGTTAGTTATAACCGCTCCACATCCAAACTCATCAACAACGTTTGAAACGTACACAGCCAAACATGACCTCGTATCAGGATCTTCCCTCGCGCCAGAAATCACAACGGATAATCAATCGAATGAAACAACAGCAACAGCAGCAGGATCAACATCGGGAGAAATTTCAGCCCTACAAGGGTCGAGCAAAAACTATTTCCAACATTCATGAATTATTACCTGGGTTGAATGATATAAGTGATGCCTTTGAGGCACTTCCCTTAGATATCATCAAGTATTTTACTTTGCTTAAGGAGATCGATGCAAAATGTATTAATACAGTTCCTCAGATCAACCATCATATCAAAACTTATATCGATACTCTTCACACTGACAAAGAAGCCGAACCAACGAGTTATAGTAGATTAAATTTGATCAAAGATAAGATTAATGAAATAATTCCTTGTTTAGAAGAGAAAATGCACGTTACTTCAGTGGCTTCTGATTTGCTTTATAAACATATGACACGAATCAACCAGGACTACAAATTGATTATTCAGAATAATGAGATTCCAGAAAGTATTAGGATTGGTCCATTGAACCACCCAGCCATGATTATGGACTCTAGTGCTGGATCAGGTGTTGGTTCCAGCACTGTGGACAGATCAATGCCCAGTCAAAGAAGTGAAAGCAGAAGAGAAGCATTGGCTGCCAAGAAGGCAAATAAAGAAACCGATGAAGATGTTAGGGGAAGTAACGGTCATTCTGGTGCTGGAAGAAAGAAAAAAAATAAAGAAGGTACACCTCTGGTACAACAGCTGAACCTGCAATCAGGACCTTCGACTCAAGTTGGGAACCCAGGTAATCCAAACAATGCAAGAGTTAATTCAGCTTCCTCCAATGCTTCCAGTGGTACCATGACTCATACTTCATTGGCAACCAGTAACTCCACCAACAAAAAGAGGGGTAGAGGTGATGATCGTAGTGCCACCCCAAACAACGGTCCTAAACGTGGTAAAAAGAGGAATGATTATGACGATGATGAAGTAGATGGGAAATCCTCCAGTCAAAGCAAAGGTCCTAGAAGTAATGAACCTACTTATTGTTATTGTAATCAAGTTTCATTTGGAGAAATGGTGGGTTGTGATGGAGAAGATTGTAAACGAGAATGGTTCCATTTACCATGTATCGGATTTAAAAATCCACCTAAGGGAAAATGGTATTGTGATGATTGTTCTGCGAAGATGAAAAAGGCAAAGAAATAATGATATATAGTTTGTGTGTAGTAATAACAAAAATACCATTACGAGATGTGAAATTTGCTGGGCTGATTAAAACCGAGCAAAACCGAGACCAATACATACATCATAATACGGGCAAAGAAAAAAAAAAATACGTCAATATAGTTGCATATTAGTGAGCCGAGGGAGTGAAAGGCTGTGTGTGTGTGTGTCAATCATAGCTATATAATCTATTGTTTCCGAAATAAGGTGATATTTCATAATTCAACTTGGAATTTAAACATCATGTGGATGTGAAATTTTTGCCGAGCATGTAATTGCTAAAACTAATTTGTGCTCTATTTAGTGGTAAAAATATGGAGTAAGACGAAACAAAGTGCACTCTTTATTCCTTCTACAATGGCTTAGACTGATAAGGAGATGTGTGTTATTGGTCCCAGATTAGACGAAGGAGAAGACGAAGAAAAGCAATTGTTTCAATGAATGATTATTTTTATCAATGTATGGGGGGTGGAGGCGGGGGGTGAATTCGTAGTGTAGAACAATGGACGTATTCCACCCATACTAAAATTTGTGCTCACGGAACTAGGCGGATGAACCGAAGGTGCAAGATCCATGCCAGACACAAAAAAAATACAAAGCCTCTGATTAAAAGGATAAGGAAGAAATTTCAATATTTGAAACTGGATATGTGACACACATACGGCAGGAGCTAAATGTTAGTGGCGTCATTTGGTTGAAATGTTGAATTAGTAAGTTTGCAACTATTCATGAACTCAAGCTTAATGTAGTGATAGTAACATTGCTGTTTATTCAATAAAAAAAGAATCATGTCGTAGTGACACTTTTCCTTGTCGCGCCTTACACTCAAGACAAAGGCACGACGAATCAACAAGGCGGCACGCACAGACAGCCAAAGGAAAATTTCACGGTCACTAATTTTTTTTTTTCTGTCTGCGTTGGTTTGGTGACTTTTTTTTTCTGGCTTTGTCCCCTTTGGTTTATTTTTTTTTCTCTTTGAATTTCCATACATAAAAACTTTGGTCTTCCATTTGAATTATTTTGGAATTCGCCTTCTTCCATTTTGAAAAAGGGATTCTTGTATAAAAAGACTGTAATTGACACGCGATACGCATATCAATTTACTATTTTCAAGTTAGAATCACGTCTGATTTAATCAAAACCAAAAGCAAATCTCACAAATCTACGAAGAGGTAAAAAAAAAAATAACATAGCCACTCAGTCATCACATAATTACAATCACAGATACTGCCATGTTAAGAGAATATAAATTAGTCGTTGTCGGTGGAGGTGGTGTTGGTAAGTCTGCACTTACTATCCAATTGATCCAATCACATTTTGTTGATGAATACGATCCGACAATTGAAGATTCCTACCGTAAGCAATGTACAATTGATGACGAACAAGTCATGTTGGATATTTTAGATACTGCTGGTCAAGAAGAATATTCAGCCATGAGAGAACAATATATGAGAACTGGTGAAGGGTTCCTTTTAGTTTATTCCATCAATTCCCGTAATTCAATGGAAGAATTGCAATCATTTTATGAACAAATTCTTCGAGTTAAAGATAGTGACAATGTCCCAGTTTTAGTTGTTGGAAACAAGTGTGATTTAGAAATTGAAAGACAAGTTAGTTATGAAGAAGGATTAGCCATGGCTAAATCCTTTGGTTGTCAATTTTTAGAAACCTCCGCAAAACAAAGAATCAATGTTGAAGAAGCATTTTACGATTTAGTAAGGTCAATTAGAGACCAAGATAAGATACAAGATGCGATCAAGAATAACGATTACTCAAGTAATGGTAATATACAACAGCAACAAACAAATCAGTTAGGAAGTCAACTACAACAACAGCAACAACAACAACATCAGCAACAACCTTCTCCACAATTACAACAAGGATATCCTTCTCCTTTGTCACAACAGGAAGAGGCACAGGGACAAAATGTTGTTGATGCATCCGCAAGAAGAAAGCAACAGGCCAAGCCACAAGCACAACCTGATGGGAAAGAAAAGTCAGGTTGTTGTGTGATAATGTAAGGTTAATTCAGCAAGTATACCGAGTGGGTCGTCCAAGTGATGCTAGACTCGACATGGCTTTAACATTAGCTTTATTACACATTTTATCCCTATTTATTTCATTTAACAGAAACGTGCAATCGCTCTGTTATACCACCCAAAAGTTTAATCATTCGCATTGGTAATGTTTACTTTTTATTCCATTAATTCCGATAATTTTGACTGGATTTCACCTTTTGTTTGCTTTTGTTTATTCGTGAATGCCGTTGTATTACGCATCCGAAAATCTATTCTTGATTCATCCCTTGTTGGCATTTCCTTGTTTTTACCTAATTTTGCTTTACGCATTTGTTAATCATTAAAGATTTCGCTGCAGGTTTTCAGCACAATATGTCAAATCTACAGTCTCGTGCGTTTTTATCCATAATTATTCATAATTATTCATTTTTTATATATATATATGTAATTTAAAACCTTATTTATCAAAATAAAAAAACTACACCACATCAAACTTTAACGTATATTTTTTTTCTATGTGATCTCAATTGATGAAATGAATAACTATATAATGCAAAATCAAACTGGCAAATATGTAATCTCCAAAAGCACGTTCTGGACTGATGAACTTGAACACCGTTTCTTCCTTTCCAGTTTCTTCTTCCTCATCTTCGTCTACAGTTTGCTTTTCTGATTGTTTATGTTTGTTCTTTTCGTTGATTTGTAATCTTAAACTTACAGTAAGGACAAATTGACCAACGCAACTTATGAACCCAGCTAAGAAGGCATTGAAGGGGAAATTACCCACGATTAAAACATAAACAAATTGCAAAACACCCAAAGCCACTAAAAACACAAGGAATGAATCAATCAATTTAAGACGAGGGGTAAGTGAATCGGTGTAGTCGGCTATGGTGGTATTGATTGCAGAATAAAGTTCGTTCAAGGTGGTGGTGACTGAAGAACTTGGAACAACTGGATGTGCTCCTGATTCACTACTTGCTGCCGCAGCTGCAGCAACTCTTTTCTTGATTTCTTGTTTACTCATTGTGATTGATGCAATTGAGTATGCTAGTGTTATACAACCAAAGTTTCTTGTACTGTTCGAAATCACTCACAAAATAACACGTTGAAATTTCCAGCACACTTTTTTCTTTTTTTTTGTTTGGTAGTAAAACCAAGGACGAATCCTAATATGCAAAAAAAGAAAATTCTATAGTGAACAAGCTTAACTATAGGTCAGTATTAACACACCACTCAACATGAACACAACAGTACCGAATAATTCTTTACCTTCCAACAATCTTCGTAAAATCACAAAACCTCCTGCCGTTCGAATAGTCCCACCCCTCAACTTTTGTCCAGTTGAACAACAACTTTATCGATCGGGTCAACCATCAATCATAAATCAAGCATTCCTTAACCAACTTAACTTACGCACAATTATCTGGCTAGCATCAGAAGAACCAAGTGACGAGTTTTTAGAATACTGTAATTCCCATCTGATAAATATCGAGTTTGTCAGTATGGTGGATGACGATTTCGACAAGCATATGAATCCCTGGGATTCCTTGAATGAGCCCACCATTAAACGTGCGCTCGAATTGATCGTCAATAAAGAGAATTATCCATGCTTAGTGTGTTGTGGGATGGGGAGACATCGTACTGGAACTGTGATTGGGTGTTTGCGAAGAATACAAGGTTGGAACTTGGCTAGTGTAAGTGAGGAATATCGTAGATTTACAGGATCTAGAGGAGGGAGAATTTTGGTGGAATTATTGATTGAAGGGTTTGATATATCATCGGTGCATATTGATAAAGATAAAGTTCCTGAATGGTTGAAGTAGGCCCTGATTATTGTCTGTGTTGAACATTTAGCTGGACGAATCCCAATCATGCTGGAACCGATCAAACCGAAAAATAGGGAACAGAAGTTAATTAGTGTGTAACTTCCAATCTTTTGTTAAGTAATTTATTTGTGGGTGTTGAACTGGTCATTATTGCATTGTAAAAGCAGCTGGAGTGTAACTACTACTTTTTACAAACATACAATTCTGTCTCGATTAGTTCAAATTGATATAATTACAGCTAGCCAGTGATGATACCAGTGATTGAATCACCAAGCTACTTTTCTCGGAATAGAAATAGGGTGAATCAATGTGTTTGTTGGTATATTCAGGACCGAGTTATGAATTCCATTTAGTAAGAGTATGCGCTATATATGCCCCTCAAAATAAGCTTATTAGTATCTATATAGATTCATACTTGTATAAGTATTATATTTTGAAAAGCTTTTGTAATACACATGGTTCAAGGCACATTTGATACTTCTTACCAAGTAGATGCCTTGACTCATTAATGTAAAAGAGAAGACCTTGATTATAATTTAGGAGATATTTGCAACCGAACAACCCGAGCAAGTAAGAAAACCTAAACTTTGAGTACCAGCAAAGGTTTTATATCAAACAGTATTCAAAGATAGTATTAAGACAAGCTAAAGTTAAGAATTTAATATTGGGAATTTCTTAGCAGAAATTATCCTTACCCTCTCCGTTTAGTACAGATTTAGACAATATTTACCGCCATAATTGGGCTCTCCTATGAGCATTTCCTTCTCGCAATTGCCTGTATAATTAGAGACCTAATTCGATTGCTATAGGTTATCTTCCCGGAGTTAAACAACCGTCCACGTGACCGGTCAAATCTAAATTTTTGCCATCAGTATTTTTTTTTTTCTTTTTTCTTTTTTTTTGCTGTCTGTGTGTTTCCCCTGGTAGTAAAGTTCGATTGTATTCTTCTCCTCCCTAACTACAATTACTTTTTTTTTTGAGGAGTGATTGATACTACAACTGTTATCGGTCTTTTTTATAGCATTTGAATAGTCGCCACATCTGTAAGGAAAGTTCAAGCAGAAAATATGGCTGGAACTTGTATCTCAACAATTAAATTATTAGGGTGGGGATCACTTGGTTTGTTAACCACATCTTTAACTTATCAATCTGCCTATCAAATCCCGCAGTTTATAACCAAGATTAAACGTGAAGTAACCTCTTCACTGACTTTCCAGACACAATTGAAAGACGTGGTATGTTCTATAGTTGGGTCGAGATTTGTCAATATTGCATTGGGGGTATTGGCCACTGGATTGTTCTCGTTGGCATACGAGTATAGTCCTCTTGATGAGAAACATCCATACTTGCTCTATTCAGCAATTGGTGCACCATTAACTATCATCGGTCTTTATGCAAGAGTATACAAGTATGAAAACAGAATGTTGAGCAAGAAGCAAACTTCAATTAAGAAACAAGAAAAGTCTAAACCGGAAGTTGTGCCTGAAGAGCAAGACGAGGAACCAGAATTAATTTCCAAGGTTTCTTCCCAAGATGACCAATTGGGTAAATCATATGTTCATCTTTCTGAAGACTCTGGTACTTCCACGCCAACCTCAATTTCATCTCCAGAAATAAGATCGATCTCTCCACAACCTGTCCCAGTAGCTGCAAAGTCTGAACCTGCTGAAGTAAGTATTGACGAAGAAGTGGAACAAGCATTGGCTAAGAAGGAAGTAATTCACGATTTGACTATCGTCAAGTCTGAATATACCATTGGTGTTTCCATTTCCGCTATTAGTTTATTGATTGCCTCCATTGGTATATTTGGAGATTTCTACTTGTTGTAAAGAAAGAGGCAAAACTACATTTGTCTGCTTCATTCCTGATAACATTGAATACTTAACAGCTGAGATATAATAATCATTCATGAAATTAACCTCTGTTGTTTCTCTTGGTACGTGTCTTTATGTTTATATCATTTTGTAACTTTTGAAAGCGTTTCAATGTTATAATACACATGATCGTTTTAACTATAGCTTGTGATCTGGGGTAACCCTTGCTCATAGGTACACGACCTCTTGCTCTATTTTTTTTTTTGTACATTTGCGCACGACTCTCATGATACATTTTGTGCCTCCCCAGAATACTTAAAAAAAACAGGTCACTCCTCATACACAAAATATAAACAAAACAAAACCAAAACATCAACACAATTATTTAACATCCAAACATCACCCAACCAAGACAACTTTTGCAACCGTTTTGAATTCACCAAAAACATACGAAACATGAGTTACGAATCACTTCATTATGATGATGCGGTGAGTCAAGCGGCAGCAGAAGCAGCAGAAGCAGCAGCAGCTGCTGCCATGAATGCCGCCACGCAACAACAGCGTATCAATCAGTACCATGAACATCAACAACGGAATTTGTTTATTGATCGTGATGGACGATCACTTTTATTCTACATCCCTAGAAATGAGCCCCATCGTTCTCACTATCGCCAATTGATTATTCTGTATGGTGGGGTTGTCACTGACAGACTCATCCCTTCTTGTTACTTTTTGAGTAATAACGCCGAAGAAGGACACGGTATTCAATTGAGATTCATTGATGAATGTATTAATCAAGGGAGATTGGTCAATTTAGACCTGTTCCGGTTTGGAGTTGAAGAATCGCGCGAGGCTGATGACGAAGAAGCTGAAGCCGAAGCGAAGCGACGTATGTCCAAACGTCATAATCGATTCACGCCCGAGAAGGACGAGTTTATTTTGAACCAAGTGAGAATGAATCCTCGATTCCGTCATTCCCATCGATTCTATGAAGATTTGGCTCACGAGGAAATGTTAAAGGGTCATACTGGGAACTCTATCCGAGCACGGTTCAGAAAGCATTTAGAACCAAAGTTGGGATTTGTTTATAAGGTGGACATCAATGACAAGCTAGTCAAGGATGATATGGGCCGGTACATTGAGCTAGGGGTCGATGATTTCCCGGATACTTTGAAACACAAGTATACTGCTATAGACGACTACGTTTTATGTGAGGCTGCTAAGGCGCACATTGAGCAAGCTTCGGAATCTTTAGGAGTTTCTCCTAACTTTGATGAAGCAATTGTTTTGCCTTATAGTTTCTATGACCGTTTGTATAGAAAACGGTCAAATCATAGTTTACATTCGTGGAGAGACAGATTTAGAAGATATATTACCCCCGGAATGATCCCTAGTTATATTGAATACTTTAAGGAATGCATCAAGACTGGAGAAGAGCCTGAAACTCTATTGCAGCTTAATCAGAGAAGACAAGGAAAAATCCCTACTTCTAGCACAAACAATATTCAAGTTCAAGAAGAAGAACCACTTGACTCTAGTCTCGTCAATGAAGAACCAAATATCGATGATGAATTGATTGTGAAGCAAGCAGGTAGTGATCATTTTGTTCAACCTATTGAAGTACCTCAATTAGTTACCGACTTGGAATATGAAGATGAAGAAGAAGAAGCAGCAGATGAAGCAGACGATGAAGAAGAAGAAGAAGAAGAAGAAGAAGAAGAAGAAGGTGAGGCAGGTCAAGTAGAAGAAGAATCTCAAGAACCTGAATCACAAGCTCCAATAGTATTGAAGTATGTTGGTGAATCAGTCACGTTTGCGGATATATTGGATGGAAAACCAGGAGATTATGATGCAAACAAGATGTATCTCTCAATCAATGCTGCCTTGAGTGATGTGACTGATATCCCAGGAATCTTTCATGCCTTGAATAAATTAGGATTGAAAGATCCATTAATCAGTCACGTAGTTTACGCCACTAGTGCTGATGTTCCGTTGATACCAACATACTGCCAAAGATTGTTCACGGCTCTCAATGCTGCTCGCCTTGAGCCAGGCATTCCCTTGTATAAACAGTTGAGAATCGTAGGTAGTGGTGATATATGGAGTCCCAAACATGATCAGATGTTGGGCACGGAATCTGAGCACGATCTTCAGCGTCCACATTCCTTGGATCTGATTATGAAGAGAAAGGAATTTCTTAGTCAATTTCACAGCCAAGTTTAAATTTTACTTCTATGTATATTAATATATGTTCTGTTGTTTTCATGTGGAGGTTTAATTCGGTTTCCTGATTACTCCTAAAATTGTTAACCTGATTAGGAAATCATATAACCATTCCAAACTTTAAACTCGGCTGATTCTGGTTGATTTACATCTCAAATAGTAATCATGCATTTGAAAGTCACGAGCTCGGACCTGGGTGTGCGCCTAAAGATGTTCTAAAATGTAAGCTCGTGTAAAATGTTGCACATGGATATGTCACTATATGTCACATGTTCTTATCCTGTACCACTTTTGCAGTGACACATTCTCGATAACGCTCTCATCTCTAGTTGCAACCTATATAGTTTACATTGTTGATAAGGGTATCAAAATGTATATGACAATACAAAAAAAAAACACAATTGTATGTATAAAACAAATTGTAGAGAGAGAGAAAAATAAACAAAAGTGTATATGAAAAAACGTAGCTAAAAGAAAAAGCAAGTTGCACTATTTCTAGACAACATTAGCTTTGAAATCAAAGAGAATGGATTTAGTTAGAGAAGATACCCCAGTATTTTTCAGCATTGAATGGACCATCAGTCTTCCATAAATCGTTGAAAGCAGTGAACAAAATAGAACTGTCACCACAAGTAGACTTGATGGAGTTAATAGCAGCTTCTTGGTTTGGCTTGGATGGGACGGCAACACCGTTGGCGTCACCTTGGGATGGCCAACCGGTTTCGGTGATGAAAACATTCTTAGCACCGTTACAAGCAGTCCAAACTCTTTGGATTTGTTGTAAAACCCATGGACCAGCATCTTCAGCAGTATAGTGACCATCAAAGAAACAGTGAGCGTTGACAGCAATGTAGTCGGAGTATTGACATAATTCTGGGTTGTTAATAACAGCAATGAAAGTATCAACGGATACAACTGGACCAGAGTAACCAGCAGAGGTTAAAGCAGATCTGGCAGTAGAAACGTATTGACCAATTTGAGATGGATTAGCTTGACCGGAGTTGACTAATTCGTTACCAACAGAAACAGTGTAGATGTCAGACCAAGAACCGTGAGCGTTGACGGCATCAGCAATGGCTTGGACACCAGCACCAATGTTGGAAACATCAAAGATACCAGCAAAGATCTTTTGGGAAGAAGACTTGGCTTGTAAGACTTGAGCGACTTGGTCACAGTCAACACCGTACAATCTGATGACATCGAAACCAGATAAGGATGCAATTTCAGAAGCAATTTGAGATCCAGATTTACAACCACCATCGTCAGAGTATGGGGTGTAAGTGATACCCTTGGCACCACCAGCACCAACAGAACCAGAATCTGGTTGGGAGGAACCGGTAGAAGCTGGAGCAGCAGCAGAGGAGGAGGTAGATTCTGCTGGTGGAGCTGGAGCAGTTGAGGTGGCAGCTTCTGGAGCGTTTTGAGGAGCGTCAGTGACGGCGGAGACTTTGACGTCAGCAGTTGGTTGTGGTAAGTCAACTGGAGCTAAGGTAACGGTGGCATCACCAGCACCAACGGTGACAACAACAACGTTGGTCTTGGTAACAACATGGACAGCTCTCTTGTCTTGGTGTTGGTGGTGTTGGTGTTGTTGGACAACTGGGGCAGCGAGGGCTTGAGCTAATAAGGCAGCTTTAACGAGAGTATTTAACAACATAGTAGCAATAAGGAATGTAAGTAGTTGGTTATTATAAATCTCTAAAGGAGTATGAAGGAATGACTGATAGAAACTTTATAAATTCGAACGACTATGAGGAAGAATAAAAGAACTGTCTTAAATTAAAAAAAAAACTGCCAACTTCGTTTAGTTTTATTTGGTGGACTAACTGGGAATCCAAAAAAAAAAAAAATAAAATAATCGAAGAAAAAAAAAAAAAATTGCACCAAAATTGTTTCATAAATTAAAAATATTTCTGCATATGATGCATTAATTGCAATCCTTGTATGCTTGGTTTAAAAGGGGGTTAATAAACAAAAATATTAGTAGTGCTGAAAAAATATTATTAACAGCGCTTACAAAATCTACCGAGAACATTGCTAAGTTCACTACTACATGTGGTAATTTCATTGTCTCCCTACTGGTGCGAGAATACTTCACGTTACGTAACTAACTTTTGATTTGAAACGTGAAACAATAGGTAATTGCAGAAAAACACAATATTTGTCAACACAAAGCACTAATGAAACAGGTTGTAATGTGGTGCAATATTGTTCTCGTAATAGAATCTTGAGAAAATAAATTCACATTTGAATTGTTTACAGACGATCTCACCGAAAAAATAGATTATTTTTTTCAATATTTACCTGTTGTCTTAATTGGGTTTGCAAATTGCTGTAGATTTCGCGATTTTTCTTTTTTTTTTTTTTTTTTCCTTTGTTCAAAGATCCGCGTTCAACCAAGCTAAGAAATTTTGTGGTTTTTCTTCCAAGAGATTGGTCTAGAACCAAGCGATTCCAGTATGTTTCATTATCAAGACTCACTAATTTCTTGGATAATTTCAGTGTATGCGATGAGCTGTAATCCGATCAAGGGTTGTCTTTTTTACGATGTCTAAATGTTTGTTCCATACGTATGAACTTACACTGACACGTAATTGTCGCCCCCTCGTCGTCATCACTTCCTTACACTGGATATGAAACAAAAAGGGGGAGGCTTCTAAAGTCTGTCAATATCGTGAAACCAGAAGCCTTCTTTATTATCGTGTTCTTGTTTTTTTTAACGCGGTGTTGTCAGAACCCCGTGCGGGTCGTGGGTCGTGTTGACGCTAAAATCTAATTAATTAATTCTATTGGCTGAGGCGTACCACACACAAAATCAATAGATAATGTATCTGATGACCTCATTATAAATTAGTAATTTGGTGTATGGTCGGCATATAGATGATTGATATCCGTTCCCGAGATGCTGATCCAGGAAGAATTTGGGAAGACGTACATTTTTGATGTAAAAGTTTTTCTTAGCTTCAACACAACCACAGATTCTAGAATGCACAAGCAATGCAAGTATTGGATTGGGTGGTTTATCGCTTGCAACACCCGATCCTGCTCATAAGATTGAAGTAATTACTTTCCCGATTTTGGTAATCTTGCGGTAATTAATCCAAGATTAATTCATTGTAAAGGTTTATTTTTTTGCAATATATTTTTACGCATCCCCCTTTTTGCACTCCCACATTTTCAACAGTTTTATTTTGTGACTCTTAAAACGTTTGCTAGTAGTCAAGTACGAGGGTAGAGCCGTTCTGGACCAATCGAAGATTTACCCCCCTAAAATGTGTTGCTACCCCTTTCGTTTTAGTAGGTTGTGTGGTTTTTTACGCCGTTAACTACTAGTTAGCTATTACAGTCACCTTTCTCTTGCAGCAACATCTAATGGTTTGATACAATTGAACATACAGACTTCCATAATTCGAGTACTAGTCGTGCATCTATTACTTCTTATTCTAAACACCAACGGCCAATAGTAACTACTTGGCTTAGCATATCTTGACAAATCCCCGCATTCAAGATTAGGCATACATGTATCCAAGTAGAATTGGGACTTAACTACCTATGCACTCTTGAAAGGGGGGAGGGATTTCCACATTTGAAATAAATTACACCTAGTTAGGTTAGACCTTTCCGATGATGGTCCGTCACCTGTTATTTGTCAACACGCCTCCGTAACACCTTCAATTGATTGCTACAAAAAAGCATTCTATTGTTAATAATAGTATTTTTTTTTTTCTTCTTTTGCTTGGATATTCTGACTGGTGGGACTAGCATTGTTGCAAAGAGTGCAGTATTTACATGTTTAGTTAAAACTCGACGTATGACCCCTTGCAGTATTTACTCAATAATTTAAATTTATTTTAACACTAATACAGTGTTCCATATTCATCGATTGAATAAAGCTGCGAATGGAATAGAGACTAAAGTATGAATGTTTATAGTAGCTATTCCGATAATTGAAGGGAATGGCAATTCCTATTAGAATGATCTGACTTTCATCTGGTAGCGGTGGGGTGATTAAGACGAGGGGTGCGTTCTAGTTCTGGCCGAGCCGCGAGTCATGCCACCAGGGGCCGACCCGTATCTGTAAACAATGCGTAAACGAGAGAGGGCGTCGGAACATGCAATTCGGACTAGGGTACCTAATATAGAAATCAAAGTATACTCACTAAATTATTGTTCCAATTGATAGCTGGACACTTTCTGGGTATATTTGGTTAGAGATGTATATCAGTATTTCTTTTAGTTTGGATAGAATATGCATGATCCCTGTTTCAAATCAACATTTAATTACAAGCTATGGACATTTATCTGATGGATCTAAAAATAGAAACTTCTTGGGTGAAAAACCTATGCTATTTGTAGTTCGAACTTGGCATTCTCAACTCCTTGTGTAGTTTGTCTATACTAACTTTAAAAATCATGACTGTTGTATAGAAGAATTCAAGTTTTTTTTGCAATAATTTTAGCACATAGTACTGCTACCTACATCGTGTTGCCAATCTATCTGAAATTGAATAGAAGGTAGTTTCTTTACTATCAATAAGAGACTCAACTTTCATCAGAACCTTTCCTTCTAGTAAAATAGAACTAAAAACATGATCTATTAGGTTTCTTATTAATTTATGCCACATTCATAATCTCACGTGACAAAGTATAGAGGGAGAAACTCAGCCTTCCATAACAGCTGAAACAATAACTGATTAGCGACATTGCTCTAGTAATTACGTAACGAATTTGTTGTATTGCTAAATGTGAAATCATCGATTTAGTATAAGTTACCGAGAATCTAACATCTGTGTTGTATTGTAGAAACCGATCTCCGGATCTCGTTTAGTAATCACCTCTGTTGTATAAAACCAACTTCTACGCCAGGCAAACAATAGTTTCTACAGATATTGAACATGTCTCTTCTACTTGTGATTAGCACTATATTGAGCAAGAATGTGAGTTATGCTATCTTACCCTAGTTTGTTCGTTGCCTGTCAAATTCTTAACCCCGCGTAGTCCGATCGTAGAAGGCAAAGCAACAAAAAAAAAAAAAAGAACACTACACACAATCAATCAAATTCAGTTGTTTAATCTACACAGCAAAGCTACAACATCAATACCAATACAACCCAAATACTTCCCAATCAACAAAAAAAGCAGCAGTTACTACCATTTACAATCACTGTTTGTTATTTTGAAAGACGATTGAGTTTAGAATCAAGGCATAGTTAGAAATTTGGCGTGATGATTTCAGGAAATCCCTTGATTGATGATCCCGCCATGGATGTAGATATCAACACCAAGAAACAATCAATTGAAGAACCAGGCAACGCCGATGTGGATGCGACTAGAGCTAATGGAATAGATGGCACCAATAGAGATATTTCTGATTTGATTGGTGCAGAAGAGCCCCTTGTGGTTGCAAGTCCAGAGGTTATTGACATTACTCAACAGGGTATTGAAGATGATGTAGAAATAATTGAGGACGACGATGACGACGAAGATGAGGACGATGAAGATGAAGGTGTGATTGTTGAACGTGGTGTTAGTGATAATGATGATGACGTGATCGTCATTGCTGATGATAGTGACACCGAGAATGGCAACAATAAAGATCCTGCTGCAGCAAAAGCCAATGATTTCGCTGCTATTGCTGCTAAAACCATGAAACCAGTACAGGACTACCCCATAAAAGACGAAACTCATTACGTTTGGGAAATTAAAGACTGGAATCTGTTGAAAGAAGAAAAAGTTAGATCGCCCAAATTCAAATGCGGCGGATATGAATGGAACATCTTGTTGTTTCCTCATGGGAACCAGAACAACAATTCTATTTCAATATATATGGAACCACATCCACCACTAGATGAAGAAGGCAAGCCCGTCGACGAGAATTGGTATGTATGTGCCCAATTTGCTTTAGATCTTTGGAACCCACATCATCCTGAAGCTCATATGTGCAATGGTTCTCATCATCGGTTCAATAAAGGTGAAACTGATTGGGGGTTCAGCTCATTGATAGAACTCAAGCAATTAACCCACGGTGTGAACAATTTACGAAATCCAACTCCTCATCCTATTTTGACAAATAATCAATTAAATATTACGGGGTATGTTAGAATAATTGATGATTCTTCTACTGGTGTATTATGGCATAATTTTATAGACTATGATTCAAAACTTGGATCTGGATATGTTGGATTGAATAATCAAGGTGCTACATGTTACTTGAACTCGTTATTACAAAGTTATTTCACCACTAAATGCTTCAGGAAATTAGTTTATGAAATTCCTACTCATTCAACTGGCGAGTTATCAAATGTGGCTTTATCATTGCAGAGAATTTTCTACTTATTATCGACTTCCAATGAACCTGTGGCTACGTTAGAATTGACCAAATCGTTTGGATGGGATTCTTCAGATGCATTTACTCAACATGACGTTCAAGAATTAAACAGAATCTTAATGGATAAATTGGAAACAGCTATGAAGGGAACTAAAATTGAAGGCAGATTGAATGATATATTTGTGGGGAAGATGAAATCTTATATTAAGTGTGTCAATGTTTCTTATGAATCATCGAGGGTAGAAGATTTCTGGGATATTCAATTAAACGTCAGAGGATTCCAAAATTTATCGGAATCATTCAAGAATTATATTGAAATTGAAATGTTGGATGGTGAAAACAAATATCAAGCTGGTGACCAGTATGGCTATCAGGATGCCAAGAAAGGTGTTGTATTTGAAGCATTCCCACCAGTATTGCATTTGCAATTGAAGCGATTTGAATATGACTTTGTTGTGGACGATTTGGTTAAGATTGATGATTTCTATGAATTCCCCGATAAAATTGACCTCAAACCTTATTTGGATGAAGATTTGAGTGATGAAATCAAGAACCAAAATTGGAATTATAAATTGCATGGTGTTTTAGTGCATCAAGGTAGTATTTCCAATGGGCATTATTATGCCATGATAAAACCATACGCCAACACCGAAACCTGGTTAAGATTTGATGATGATAAAGTATGGAAAGTTACCCCTACTCAAGTCTTCCAAGACAATTTCGGAGCTCGTGATTTGACCCAAACTGAATTGAGTAAAATGTCAAGAATTGAACAACAGGATCATTTAATGAGGAGAGTAACTTCAGCTTATATGTTGGTATATTACCGTGAAAGTGAATTGCCAAGTATCCTTCCTGACAATGACGAATCTATAGATGAATCTATCCCCAAACATATTCCGGCCCAAATAAAATTTGAAATTGAAGAACGTGAAAGAATCGAAAAACAAAAGCAAGAAGCATTATATTACATCAATGTCAAGTTAATAACCATCAATACTATGAATCACAATGCTGGATTTGATCTCGCCTTGGATTCCACTGTGGTTAAGTTTTATGATGAGTCGTTAAAGGGAACTTTGTGTGATCCGAAATCATTCAAGGTGAAGAAGGAAGATAACTTTAAGGTTTTGAATGAGCTTGCCCGAAATGAATTAGGATATGAAGACGCAAATGGATTCCGGTTGATTACTGTTTGTCATAGAAATAACCACACTAACCGTGTCGATGAACCTGTTCGTAATGAATTGGTAGACACCAATGTGAACAATGTATATTTCAAATCATTCAACCGGAAATTTGACGAGATGGTGTTTTTTGTCGAAGAGTTGAATAAAGATATTCGAGCAATAAACAAGTTGACGACCATTACTGAGAAAGTTACACCTGAAAGTTTTACTTTTGATTTTGTATTGAATAAAATTCAAGATGTGGGAACTCAGCAGGAATCAGACTTGAAATTTAAAAACATTGAAGAGTATTCAAAGAATATCCTCTTATTTATCAAGTACTTTGATCCTATTTCGCAAGAAGTTCGAGCATTGTCACACATTAATGTATCCAAGGATGATGTGATTGAAACTATAGTTGAGCCGATTAGAGAATTGCTTGGGTTTAACGAAGACGTTTCATTGGAATTGTATGAGGAAATATCTCCCATTAAAATCGAAAAGCTCGACCAAGGTGTTTCATTTGATAAACAAGAATTGAGTAATGGTGACATTATTACTGTCCAAGTATCCAATGTGAATGATCTTGCCGAGGGTAAAGTTTATCATAATTTGAAAGAATATTACCGATTCTTGTTGACTAGAATTCGTATTTCTGTGGAACCATTCAAAGCTGAGATTGATGAGGAAGATTTTGATTTTGTCGAAGGTGAAGGCAAAGAAAAGGAAGAAAGCGTCGATATTCAAATTGCCAAGAATTTAAGCAAAACTTTCCAAATTTGGGCATCAATGGATTATAGTTACCACCAATTGGCTGCTGAAATTGCATTACGATTAAATGTGGACCCTAACTATTTAAGAATATTTGTATTGAGCAACAAGGGACAGAGATATCCTTTGAAAACGACCAACCATTTATCACAATTGTTTCCTAAACATATCCCCGCCAACCAATTGATTCATTTCGAATATGAGATACTTAATATACCATTAAAGGATTATGAAAACTTGAAGGCAGTCAAGATTCATTGGTTGACTAGTTTATTACAATATCAAGTATTTGAAATCTTGATTTCCAAAACGGGAACTGTTCATGATTTGATTGAAAAGTTATTGCACAAGGTCAATATTCCAAAGAGTCATTTGAAACATTTATTATGTTGGGCAGGGAATAATCATATTTTTGCTGATTTGGTTAGATTTGATATTTCGTTAAACCAAATTCAAGATGGTTATGACTTATATTGCGGTGTTTTCCCTGTTGAAGTTGAAATATTGGCGGCACATAGTGTAGTAGCTAGATTTACCGATGATGAAGAAGTGAATGAAGATGATGATGTGTTTGACAATGAGACAGTGAAAGAGGAGTTCATATTGGCCAAGAAGGAGGTGAAGAACTTGAACTTGATACCTACGTTCCATTTCCACAAGAATACCACTTATCGCCACGGTGTTCCATTCTTGCTTACTGTTTATCGTGACGAAGTATTCAAAAACACCAAGGAAAGATTAAGAAAGAAGTTAGGGTTGGGCATACAAGCATTTGAAAAGCTTAAAATTGCCCTTGTTGACAATGATGAGACTTCTAGTGGTAGCTATGTAGAAGATGACGAGTTGGTTTTGTTTGATGAAATTGGAAAGGCATCAAATGGTGTATCGATTGCATTAGACCACCCTGACCGGATAAAACGCCTGAATCAATTCGACAAGGGGATATCTATAAAGTAAAAGAAAAAAAAACACAAAGAAAAGAAAAGAAAAATGTATATTCGCTAGATGGTATTTGGGTCTGCTTTTTATATTTTTATTTGTTACACATATATAGGAAATTATAACTGAAGTCTTTTAGCTTCTTGTTGTCTGATATCTGTAGAGCTTAACTTCCAAGTGGCGTAGTCGTTATTGTTTTCTTTGTCATCTCCATTACCAATGACTTGGATTATCACCGTTTCCAATTCTTTGAAACCACGAGATTTACGGTAGTCGTTAACATAATCGCCACCAGACAAAGTTTCATCGCTGAGAATCAAACAATTTATGTCTCTTACATAACCTGTTGGACCACACACATCATTAATTTCGTATAGCTCAAATTGAATATGACGCGAAGCCACAATCAAGTTTAAGAACGTCTGAACTGAAGCTTGACGTTCAGCAAATGGTTGTAACACTTCATGATATTTTTTATTTTTCAAGAGTTCATTACCCGTTATACCGATAATTAACTTGCGTTTCGTAAGGAAGGCGGAAACCGAGAGAAGGATCTTGTGTCCGTCGTGAATATGGTCAAAAGTTCCACCAACGGCGGCAACATCAAACTGTCCTCGCTCTTTTGATTGTCTGTCTGTAGTAGGATATGTCACCGGTGTTAGCTCTACTGATACAGGAACAATTGGTATATCATGAAGCTTCAATAATCCGGTCTCGTTAGTTGCCACAAAGGCCATGTTCCATGTCTGGATGAGCTTGAATAAACACAAGGGAGAATCAATGTTGAAAATGACATTAATATCGAACCTATAGTCATACCCTTTCACAATAGACAATTTCCTGGCAATGGAGTAGTAATGGAACAATATTGCGTTCAAGTCATTGGAGTTGGTGATTTCGTTTATGATATAAATATCAATCTTGTCTATGGACAGGGTTATGTCAAGAAGTACTTTGCTGATCAATTGGGTGTAGTCATTGGCAAGAGAATCTTTGATTATAATGACCAGGTGTGGCATGATTAAAATGTTTGGTTATTCTAGAAACATATTGATTTGTTGTTCTATATAGATCAGACTCGTAGGGGATAATACTTGGTGGGGGGACTGCGCACGACCTCCCCACAAAACCTCGGAAAGCAAAAAGGCATTAACCATAATTTCTTACATGTATAACAAAGCATGGTTAAAGTAATATTATGAGTTGATCAGAGATTTTTAGCATGTCTAAGTTTGAATTCTTGCAAGTAGAGTTGGTACAAGGAGTAGAGTGGTACTGGTTTCTTTTTTTTTTTGAAACTAAACATATATTCTGAATAACTAAAATCTGTAATATCCAACTACAGAGTAACAATTAAGCCAATTTCAAATCTTCTAATTTGTTACCTAAATATTCAGGACCTTCGAAAAGGTGACTTTCGGCAGGCTTGTTCAAGTCCTTGAGATCACCAATTGGACGTTCGGCTTGAGCAGAAGCTCTAGCAATCAATCTAGATTCAGTAGTGTCAAAGTCAACAATAGCAGAGTGGTTAACGATTCTGTTATCGAAAACAACAACAGTGTTCTTTTCCCAGTTAGCTCTGATTTGGAGATCATGGGCCTTGGCAACGTGGTCAAATAAGAAATCAAGGATAGCATCGGATTCTTCAACCTTTAACCCTTCGATTCTTCTAGTGAAACCTCTGTTGACAAACAAAACCTTCTTACCTAATGGGGTGGTTCTAACAATTGGGTGAGCATTTTCAACTGGGTGTCTTCTAACAACACTACCCTTGGAAAGAGCACCGTTGGCTTGGTTAACTGCACTGTGAATAGCCTTTAAACCTTCCAACTTTTCTCTGAAAATTGGAGATAAACGGTTATAAGCTTCAGCACTGTCAATGAAAACAGTGTCACCACCACCACCAGCTGGAAGGTTGGTAACAGTAAGGAATGAAATACCTGGTGGTTGTAATTCGTAAGAAACATCAGAGTGAAATCCAACTAAGTTAGTTCTAGCATTGTATGGATCTTCCTTGGTGTCACCGGATAAGACAACATGGATGTTGGCGATTTCTTGTGGACGACCAGAAGTTGGGTGGATGTGTGGGTTACCAAAGTACTTGACATAATCAACAAAGTGTTGTGGACCTTTGGAGACAAAGTCTTGGTCTCTAAAGACAAGAACACCTCTTTGGTGGACAAGCAAAGCCAATTCATCTCTACCAGCATCACTCAATTGAGATAATTGAACACCTTTAATTTCGGTACCTAACTTTGGAGAAATGTTCTTGGTTTCAGCATTAGCCAACAAGTTTGGGAAGCTTGGGTCAGCTCTGAGGGCTGGGTCATGGTATTCATGAAACTTGTATGGTTCATAATGTTCATCCTTGTTCCAGGTTGGTAAGTAAGCGTGAACTTCCTTGTTAACCTTGGAGGCAGATTCTGGAGCAACAACAACCCAACCTTTGGCAGTGGTTTCGAGCTTGCTTCCGGCATAGAGACCTCTTGGGCCTTGAGTGTAACGAACTGGAGCCATCTTTTGTAATTATATTTGATGATGATAATAATAAGGAAATATTTTCATTGATGGAATAAGTAGAATCACTGGTGAATTTATACCAATCCAAGGTAAGTTACCATGTGTATGCTTCGTTTATTACTCCCCCTCTCCCCACACTAGAGTTTTGCAATTTGGTACATGGAATACTCATTAGTGTGGCTGCGAAAAACTTGCATCGCACCACACTGGCAATCACGTCAACTCCGTGGCAGATTTCCTAAATGGGAAATCATATTATATATTACCGCAGCACCACGGAATCAGTCCGGTTTTGTTGTCTTATCGGATTAGTAATGATCCGCAATGTGGCGCCGTAGTTATTTGGAAACAATATAGATCTCTGGGCTAATTTTAGATAGGGATAATGACGTATTGGACCAGATCACACACTATTGCTAATGCATTGTGATTTGAAGTAGTTGTGGATCGGGGAATTGTCTTATTTTGGTCCGTAAACACTGTTGCAAGTTTCAGGGGGGGGTGCACTGCATCGGACTTATATCGTGTTTCCAGTGGCATCTATTCAAAATTACTGCATGAATTGCCTAATAGGATAAGCTCAATGTGAGTCGCTACTATATGTCCGCTACAACCACAATAACTGGGGCTTACAATTTGTGTGTGCATTTCTATTTACAAGGTTTGTCCCGGTGCATTATGACTAATTTTATACTACTACCTTTGGAACATCTGTGGCATCTGTGGTTAGCGAATCGTGTGATTTTTCGTTTGAATGACTAAGCACTTCTGCTTCAGTATTGTCCGGCTTAGCGACAACATTCTCAGATGAACTGATTTCGGTTGCATCATTTGTTGGTTGCTGCTGCGAATTTAATTCAATAATTTCGGCATTTTCATCTGCCATAGCTTCCACAGTTGATACAGTTCCCACTGGATCGATAACTACGGCATAATATACAGCCCTTGTAAGTTTTTCAAGCTCCTGCACATTCTCACCATTCTTATCCTTTCTCACTTTAACCAAATCTTTGATCTTACCTAACAACTTCTTATCTTGAGTGCTAATATCAGTCTTTTCTTTCAAGAGATTCATTGTTCTTCCCACAGATTCAGAAATCTTGATACTATGCTTGGGCAAGAACAATATGCCCGATTTAATGATTAATTTGTGAATGAGGAGTTCCTGCTCGGGCGTAAGGGTATTCCAGTTGTTGGAGTAGATTGTGGCATAAATCTCATTCAATTCATCAACGATTGTTGGATGTGTAGCTCTTTGTTTCCTCTGATTGAGCAACATGTACCCCTGGGTAAAGTTGTACAAGTTGGTATTGAATTCTCGTAACTGTTCAAAATGAAACCCTCTTGTTTTGTCTTCGTTGATATTGGCAGCCTTGTAGTATTTCAAGTCTTCTCTAAAGATAAAGAAGATCAACTTGACGTGATCATAACTGGGAACAATTCCATTAGGATTGTGCTTCGATGATGACAAGACATTAAATAATTCAACTATTAAGTGAGTGTAGGTTTCGCCTTTACCTCTGTTTGTTGAAATACGTAGTAAAATGTTCTTTAGAGTGATATCATCATATACATCCTGTACCACTGGACTAGAATTGGCCTCTGTCACCAACTCTTTCTCGGAATATCTTGGTAATTTATCAGATGGAATAACTCCCTTCAAAGCGTCGTGTTTGTTTGCAATTTCATCCAAGTCCAATTTAACCCCATTCCATTTGATTAAGGAATACCAAAGGGCAAACATAAACTCGTTGAATCTGCCTATGTTCATCAATCCATCAAACACCAAATTCAAAAGGAATTTATTGATGGGAAGTTTGATGGTTCCCGTCTTGTTACTATCTTTTTCTCTCGCAAAGTCTACCAATGGTCGGTCTCTGTATATGGTTTCAAATTTACCTTTCTTAGTTGGCACTTTAATTGGCATATTCACTATCGGGTTAACATTCTCGGGTTTCAAATCCGGCACCACTGCTTTAGGAAGGAAATCGAGAGGGGATTCATAATGTGAGAACTTGATGTCTTGAGGGGCCTGTTTGAGGAGTTTTTCTATATCTGAGTCTCTCTTTTTCATGAAGGATTTGGTTACTCTAGTAACATCTTCAATTTCAGCTGCACGTTGAACATATTCAAATATTTCATTCACAGAAGTAGAATATTGCGAGGCCATATAAAGTGCTTTTTCATTGTATCTGTATGGTGATCCAAATTTATCAATATAACATGATAAATAAGATACGATTAATTGGATACCCAAATTTATTCTCCCTGGGTTCTGGATAGCCAATGTCTTGATCTTTTCGAATGCCGCATCAACCATCTGGACTGCGTTTGCTTCGTTTTCCATGAGTTTCAATGCTCTTTCATAACGATTCATCTCAGGAACCGCTCTGATTAGCTCCTTGTTATGGTTCATGAAACGTTTCAATCCGTTAATCATAATCGTGAATGTGATGTCGTTAGGAAGGATCTCGCGCAAATTGTTCTCCTCATCGGGCAATAAATTAGTGAAAAAGGTCCAGGCTTTCAGTTGCTGATCATCAAAGTTCTTGATCAAGACGCTCAAACATGCATTGAATTCTTCAATGGTTCCCCCGGATTTTTCTCTACTGCTCTTGAATATCTCAATCACACGATCAGCCAACTTATTGTTTACCTGTCCCCATTCAGAAGCCTTGGCAATCCCATCGAATAATATAACTAGGGTATGCTTATTTGTGGGAACACCAAATTTACTTCTCTTGCTGAACATCCTTAACCCTTGTTCCACTTTACCTTTATCAAGAACCCACTTTGTTAATACATTCATACCCACGGCAGCACACGACTTATCGGCAATCTGTACCAAGTACAAGGCACGTTCCATATCATTATCGACAGTCAATAACTCCAACATGTTCTTGGTGATGAAGAACTCGTCTTTGAGTTGTTCTGAATTGGTGCCCAACAAACAAAGCATCAAATTCTGGTCAATGCGAGACTTTGTGATTTTCTTGATGTTGACCAAGTTGTCAAAAATGGTTCGTGCCTTGCTACTGTTGTACTTCAAATCGTATTCGTTGAGGCTGGAAATAGGGAATGGGTTGCCTTCCTTATCTATAAACTCGGCGGTATCGTATCTTTCCTTAAGGGTACGTAATCCCTTCTTAAGATCGTATCCATCAGATTTGGTATTACGGTACTTGGTGTTGATCTTGGCCATGCGATTCAAAACCCGTTGTGAACGCCTTACAATTTCACCGGTTTCAAGGAAGTACTGTAATTTGGTTTGAATTTTGGATTTATTGATTTGATGGAGTTCTTCTGAGGTTGGTATTGGTTTGGCATGTTTTCCATCACGTTGTCTATGAGGGTTGGCGTTGAATGCGCCAGTATCGTTCAGATTATGTTTGTATCTGTGATTCTTGTTGTATTTCTTGTTATTAAACTTATTGTCTTTGAATCCTTGATTGGAATCTCGGTTGGGCTTGTTGACTGATCCTGGTGGTAAACTCGTGGCTGTTGCTATAGAACTAGTGGATATACCTCTAACACGAGTTAAGTATCTAGCAGGTATCAGTCCCTGTCTAAGTAAGCTTAGTCTGATCATTATATGAGTTCTGTCTCTTTGTCTTCAGCCTTTTGCCCTTTAATTATGTTGGTTGCAAGTTTTTGTATGTATTTTTTTTTTTACTGGGATGAGATTACTACTTGAAAATAAACATCAGCACAAACACAACTCTCCACACTTGTCAACCACAGACAATGTCACTAGAACACCAAAGACAAACGTGGACGCTCCTCAAAACCAACATCAAGGCAGAGGTGGCCGAACTCACCCCTGAAACACTCAATCAATCTATATCTCTGCTTCTCCAGTTGAATCTCGTGCGTGGTCGAGGACTCCTCGTTCGCACAATCATGAAATGGATCTTGATTGATGACCGATATTCGGCTATGTTCTCCGACCTAATAGCTCAACTCAATGAGAAAATTCCTTCGATAGGCGAACTATGTGTCAATCGAGTGCTTATCCAATTCAAAAAGAACTATATCAGGAATAACAAAAGGATATGTATATCAAGCATCGTATTCCTCAGTCATCTCGTGGTTCAACGGGTCGTGAGCGATATTGTCCTTTTGCAAATCCTTCAGTTGCTTTTGGAAGATCCTAATCAAGACAAAATTGACATGAGTATCGAGATGTTGAAAGTATGTGGCAAGTATCTTGAAACACAAAGTCCAGCTGCTGCCACTATGATATTTGATAGGTTTAGAGATTTACTTCAGGAGGGCAACAATTCCCTGAAAACCATTGAATATTTGCTACTATTGCGCAGATCTGGATTTAAAAGATGTCCTTCTCCCAGGAAGGAATCTGAAAATGTACATATTATTGAGTTGGGAGAAGAGCTAGTCTCACACGACGAATTGAGTGTGTTTAGATATGATGAGAAATATGAAGCTCTAGAACAGGAATACAAACAGATGAAAGAATCCTGGCAGTTAGAAACACCCGAGAAACCACAAGAGACCAAGGAAGAAGAGAAACAGGAAGTGGTTGTTGATATGAGTCAAGCGGATCAAATTAACTTCCAAAAGACCGTCTATATTACAGTAATGTCGTCCATGTCAGCCAGTGAAGCAGTACATAAACTTCTTCGTCTTGCTGCAAAATCTGCCAATGATGAGGTTTTAATCGATACCATTATCAAATGTTGTTCACAAGAAAAGACCTATTCCAAGTTTTACGGTATAATTGGGGAGAAGATGTTGGATAGACCAAAATATCAAGCGATATTCACGACTCTTTTCCAAGACTATTACAACAATATTTCCAATTATGAAGTAAATGCTATTCGAAACATAGGTAAGTTCTTTGGATATTTATTCTCCACCGATTTACTAGAACTAAACAAAGTGTTTAACCATATAAGTTTGAATGAACGAGATACAAACTCTCAAGGAAGAATTCTTCTCAAGTTCATCTTCCAAGGGATGATTGAGGAACTAGGCATGGCTGAATTAAAGAAACGACTCAGTGAAGACTATATCAAACGAGACATCAATGGAATGTTCCCTGTGGTTGACATTACTTGGGACGATGCAGAAGATTTACGGTTCTCAATCAATTTTTTCACGGCCATTGGTCTTGGTGAGCTTACTGATGAAATGAGACTGGTATTACTGCAGTTGCATCCACCTGAGGAAAGGGGAAGAAGTCGAAGTAGAAGCACATCACGGTCAAGCAGTTATTCAAGAAGTTATTCCAGGAGCTATTCAAGAAGTGTATCATATTCCAGATCAAGATCTCGTTCGCAATCTCGTTCGCAATCTCGTTCTCCAAGACGCAGTTCGAGGGATCCTTCTCCAACTAGGTCTTTTTCTAGAACTCCTTCAAGGGAACCATTGAAACGAAGACAGCCTTCATTATCTCCGCCACCAAAACGTAGAAGATAGAGTGATTATAGAGTACATAATATTAATGAGTAATTTTGACCAGTGTCAACCTGTGCTTGAACCTAATGCTGTAGATGGTGGTTCCAGCGTTTTCAAGATGAACATGCAACTTGGTAGCACTAGTTTGCTGAGATTCACGCTTATCGTAGAAGACCCAAAGACATCAACCAGTAGATTGCAGGAATCAACAACAGTGTTTGCTTTAATTGGTATGGCTGGCAGATAGCTCTCACTTTGCGTCTGGGTTTGGAAATGAAATAGCTCAAACGAGACCACTCCCTCTTTGCCCACAATCTCCACATGTGGTCAAACCGGCATTTAACTCTAGCATTTGGGACGAACTAATTGTTGTCAGTTATTATCGGAAAAGCAACCCCATGGGGGATACGATCTTTCCAGCAATTTTGCAAAGCAATTGTCATGTAATTGACACATTAATTGACGTTTGCCGGAACAGCCATAGAGTTCAGTGCTGGAAACGTAGCAGCTTGGTCGTAATATACCTCTTAGGATCAGTAGCAGAAACTTCACATGAATAGAGAGACTTACTTAGTCAATGGCCAAGTCCAAAAATAAAAACATCAGACCATATCAACACGGTCCGGGGTTTGCACTTTCGAATGATCATATAACCTCGGACATATCGATTTTGGCGCTAATCATCTGAGCACAAAAACACTCTCAAACCGTTGGCAACAATCGCCCGAATATTTTTGCAGGTTCAGTCATGAGTGACCGGAATTTCACGGAAAGCAAGTTCACATTCCAATCCAAGATTTGACGTTTTAGTCAACTAAAAGCTGTCAAGTATTGCCACTGGATCCTGGTTATGGCCGAGATGAACAGTACAGCTATAAATTAAACTCAGTATCTAATAGGGAACATTTCCAGATATGTGGAAGTAAAAAAACAATAACAATCATTTACAGGTTAGGAATCTGTATCACTCATCCTGCATATACCCTGAAACTTTTTCCAAGCTGCTCCACCTCCAGCGGGAACTGAAAAATGTCCAGCCAATAAGGTTTCTGTAGTTGTTAATAGAACAAAAAAATAACGCTTTGCAATATTTACAAACCGCACACAAACTTGAATTGTGATTAATTTGACTATATAAACCTGACGAATCTATCAAAAATTTTTTTTTCCACTTGGTAAAATTTGTTTCTTTCTGTTTTCAAACAAAAAACTTTAATACTAATACACATACACAATGCCAGCTCCATACGAAAAAGGTTCCGAAGCTAAGGGTGCTACTTTATTCAAGACCAGATGTTTACAATGTCACACCGTTGAACAAGGTGGTCCACACAAGGTTGGTCCAAACTTGCACGGTGTCTTCGGTAGACAATCCGGTCAAGCTGCTGGTTACTCTTACACCGATGCCAACAAGAAGAAGGGTGTTACTTGGACCGAACAAACCATGTCTGACTACTTGGAAAACCCAAAGAAGTACATTCCAGGTACCAAGATGGCCTTCGGTGGTTTAAAGAAGCCAAAGGACAGAAACGATTTGGTTACCTACTTGGCTTCTGCTACTAAATAAGCTAACTTCAATTAGAATGTTCCCAAGGTTAGACGAGAAGGGGGGTGTTATAACCCTTTTTTTTTAAAAGGTTTTATTGAATGGATAGTTCAACTGTATATATAATTTTCAATAAATGAGAAAAAAAGGTCACTTTTGAATACATTGTAATTTGTAATATCATTCGGGGCACGTTGGTGATGATCTTGGTCATTCATGCATAAGTCCGGCTTTATGGATTTTCCAGAAACCCGATTTCGCTTATAGTGATGCAGAAATGTAAATGACATGTAATTCAGTCACGTGCATGACATGCTATAGACCCCAGTTGTAATTGCTAATGAATATTACATTAATTAGTCGATTACTTTTATGAACTCGGCATGGGCACCAGCCAACTGCACCTGCTTCATTGGCTTGAAAAATGCTAATTGTCGCGCGGATAGAGTTGCACCGGTGGAAACAATAACAATGCGTTTGGTTTCAACACAGTAAATATTTTTTTGCTGATTGGCTTTTTTTTTTTTTCACCAGTTAGTCAACACTATTGTTCCGCCACTAATATGAACAATAATATGAAAGTCCAAGTGGAGGTCGATCCCACAGAAGATACTGAATGGAATGACATATTGAGACTGCATGGTATCATACCTGAACGTCCCCCCTCTCCCACTGAAGAACTCGAACAGGCTCTTGAAGAGGCGGTTAGGAGACAACATGAGAATAGGTTGGACGGGAAAGATCTTGATGAATTGGATGAGTTAGAAGATGAAGAAGATGAAGAGTTTTTACAGTTCTACAAGAATAAAAGAATGCAGGAAATTAAAAAGTTACTGGAAAAGAAAAAGTTTGGATATGTTTTACCAATAAGTAAGAACGAGTATGAAGATGAAGTGACTAAATATTCCAAAGAAGGGTACGTGCTAGTTCACATGTCCTTACAGTCCAATTTGCAAAGTAGATTATTAGCATCCATATTGCTGACCATTGCTTCCAAGTTTCCGGAATTAAAAGTATGTGATATCCCAGCCCAAAGATGTATTGAGAATTATCCGGAAGCAAATTGTCCCACCTTGATAATATACCACAATACCAACGTTATCAAGCAGTATATAACTTTGACTCAATTAGGTGGCAATGCCGCTACTGTTAAGGATATTGAAAAGTTGTTAGTGGAAGTTAATGCTGTTGACGTTAATGATAAAAGGTTAACTATTAACCAAATGGATGACGATTTGGCCGAGGAGCGTAAAACCAGGTTTATTAAAAAGTCAGTCAGAGGAAGATCTAACGATTCTGGCGACGAAAGTGATGATTTTTACGATTAGGAATGTTGCAATTTTTATAGAGTAGACATTAATAGTTATATTAGATCTGGGGCTGGATCTATATTCACGTGATTTGTATTGTTTGTTTTTTTTTCTTTCTTTCTTTCTTTTTTGGCTGCGGAAATTTGCAATTGATAAACACCGACATTCTTGCAGCCCAAAAAAAGGGATCAACACTTCAAAATTTCCTTGTTTTTCTTTTTCACAAAACTACCCGCTGTCATTTACAAGAGTGTTAATTTGAATCAATAGATCAATTTCTATTATGTCACTGTTAACAACGTCAATTGACAATCTAATGACGGAAGCGAGTGATGTGTTTTCCAAAAACTCGCCCGCTAAGATTTTGATTGATGCTGCCAATTCAGAACAACGTTTACAATCAATCCCTGACAAACACAATGAATCAAATGAACAGGAATCAAACGTCGCCCATCCAGATAACTCGATTGACAAATCAAACCCGGTAAGTGTTGAAACTGATGATGGCGGTTATGACAACGAAGACGAACAAGAAAATCGTTCCGACACCGATTCTCACTTTCACAGAACCGTTCTTCAATCTCATGTTATCATCAATCGTCCTCAATCTAACCATAGTTTACTTGCTGAATTTGCTGTTGGTTCTTCTGCTGCTACTAATGAAAATGTTGACCCTGAATCGTTGTTTGGATTTCCTGATTCCGCTATTTTTAGAAAGAATCAAACCAGTGGTAATGCATTTAAGGTTCAAGACTTGAATGGTGAACCTATTGAATTAGAAACTGCTACTGGTTCTGAGGTTAAGGTTGAAGGACTTGATAGTGCTCTTGCAAACATGTCAGTTTCGTCAATTATTAAGGATGACTTCAACTCGCCGGTTAAGGAAGTTCTTGATGAAGTTGCTGTTACTGAAACTGCCGATCAATCTGTTATTACCAGCTCCACTGTTGAACCACCCTTGGAAAGCTCCACTCCCAAACAAAACCCAGTTGTTGAAGCTCTTCGTGTTGAGCCAAAAATGAAAGAATTCAAGCTTATCAGTCCTTCCAAGAACTTTATTGAAAATACTGCTATTGTCGCTAACTCCAAACTTGATGAATACTCTTGGATTTCTAATGATTATAATAATCTTTTCGGTAATAAGTCATTTACTCGGGAAATTAACTTGAGTAAATTATTACGTTTTGAAGAAAAGTTGCCCAATTTACTTGACGAAAATGATATCTATATTTCCACGAGGATTCTCAATCCAGGTAAGATTCTCTCTGGTTTTTTCAAGGACGGGAACAAACGTAATGTTTACATTGATTTGATTTTGAACAACAATGGGTTCACCATCTTTTCACAGATTTTGAAATACTTTTCTGAACATGAAAAGGAAGCTAATTCCAAGATTATTGATATCCTTGTTAGAATTCTGGCTACCACCGTGGAACAATTACGTTACTTTGTTGAGAAATTTCTGGAACTGAAGGTTTACCAAAAGGTTAAGTTGTTGGGATTATTTCTGGGTTTGCACGTTTATTCCGATAATAATTTTCCTATTGAGGTTAGTGATGAAAAGTTGAAATTGCCTGCTAAGTTAGAGAAGTTGTGTTTATCTGCTGGATTAAATGTAACTGATTTTGTTCAATTGCCTTATTCAATTAAACACATTGGATTATACAATGTTCCATCTTTGAATGTTTCCAAATTTAATAACAAGCGATTAGATTGTGTGCATATTAGCAGTGGTGATCCAATTGAGTTTATTGGAAGACAAGATAATTTTCCAAAATCTTTTTTAGATTTGAAAGATTTAAAGCTTGATTCATCGATTGTTGTCAATCCCCAATTTGATAAGTTTTCCCATTTGGTCAATTTAAGTATTAGGAATTTGGATTTTGCAACCACGAGACAATTGACTTTTCCTTCATGTTTAAAAAAGTTGGAGTTTATTGATTGTTGTATCTCGTCTCATATCTCATCTTTCCCTGACTCGTTAAAGACCTTGATTGTAAAAGGTGGCAAGTGGAATAAGAAACGGAATTGTAATTTGACTCGGGTTCAAAAATTAACGGTTGTTAAAGCTGATGTGAAGGATTTGCATGAAAAATTGGTCTCGGCTAGAAGTTTGTTGTATCTTGAAATTGTTGATGTTGAAGTTGATAAGTTGGAACTTCCTTCCGGGTTAAAGAATTTGAAATTATTATCGGTTAATTTAAGTTTGTTTGATGTTCGAAATTTCCCCAATGGTTTGGAAACTGTGGTGTTGGATGATAATAAAATTTCCTGGACTGATCATTTGGTCAAGTTAAAACAAGTTAAATCGTTGAAGATTACTAATAATGGTATTTATGGAAGAGTTAGTTTAAGTGAATGCCTGAAGTTGGAAGATGTCGCTGTTTATGATAATGACGGGTTATTGGCCATTAAACTTCCAAATTCAGTTAAATCATTAAATGTGGCCAATACCAAGGTACATGAAATTTGTGGAGATAATTTAACTAAATTGAATGTGAACGGATGTACCAAGATTGATTGGGAATCGTTTAATATCCCTGCATCAGTCACTCACTTAACTGCCCAGGGATGTGGATTAACCAGATTTGAATATGGAATCAGAAATGATGGTTTAAAGGTTTTAAATATTGCCAATAATAACATTGAACAACTTGATTTACACAAGTTCAATAGTATTCAAGATTTAGATTTGTCCAGCAACCAATTGAAGCGTCTTGTCAAGCTTCCCCTTAGTTTGAAATCTATTAATGCTGGAAACAACAGAATTTCTGAAGTTGATGTTGCAATGTTGGAAACCCTTGAATGGCTTGAATTGTCTAATAATCATATAACTAGTCTCACACGTGTTCACGTTCCAATTTGTTTGCGTACTCTCTTGTTGAATAATAACCAATTCGGTCGATTCGCCCAGCATGAATTTGATATCCCTTCTAAGTTGTGTCATTTAGAATTAAATGGATGTAATTTGTCTGAATTTGTTCAAGTATTACCTAGCAGCTTGTTGTCATTTTGTGCTTCTAATAATAAGTTAAACCGTCTTCGCTTCAGATTTGTTTTTGCTAGTGTTTCCAATTTAAAGTATGTTGATTTGCATCTGAATATTTTTGATCTGTTTGATTTTTCACTTTTCAAAGGAATTGAAATTGCGGAACTTAACTTAAGTGACAACTTATTTGCTGAAGCTCCCAATATCCCTGATAATATCCTTACTGCTTTGATTTAACTTAGATGTATTGGCTCGTATATAATTGCATATTTATCTATTTAATCTTGTATCGTGTGAGATGGTAACTGTAGTGCTACCATGTTTGATGAATCCTGGTTCAATTTTTTTTTTTTTGTTTGTTTGTTCCCTCCCTCCGCTTGAAACATTTTTGTACAGGTTTGACACTTTTTAGATTGTAAATTTACAACCAAGAAATTTCTCTCTTGCCAGATCTTACGGTTATTGCAAATCAGTCTAGAGCGGTCGAAGATACTCACTACTACTCAACAACCGGCGTGCCCAGATAAAATTTTGGACTGATTGCCCTTGAACCGTATCATTTTACTACCTTGAAAATTCCCATGTCCAAAAAATTGGTGCCTGCATCCTCTTCCAATGGAGGGGAAATGTATGACGACGACGACAGTTTCGAAGAAGAACAACATACAACTAACGTAAATGGAAACGGCAATGAGAACGGGTTCCATATACCCCCCACGGCCAGTCCCGTACCGGATAATTATTCCAGTATTGTTGCATGTCCCCATATAAAGTCCGTTTTGGAATCACGAGCTAAGGAAACTGTGTTTGTCACCTATCGTCAAGCAGTCACGATTTCACAACCATTAAACCCAACACAAACTTTTATCTCCAATAAAGACGGCCAGGAAGTGTCTTTTGACAAGTTGTTGGCGAAGCAGGTTGCCAGCTTGAAATGTACCGACTGTCACTTGAATCATTTCCAGAACTCCATGATCTGTTTGCAATGTCCTCATGTGGGGTGTTTTGGCAGTCATAACCATGCCATGTTGCATTACAAGTCTACCCAGCATTTGTTTGCCATAGATTCGAGATCAGGGTTGTTGTATTGTTTCCTGTGTGGGAACTATACCAATCATAGCGCCTTGGAAGAAATCAGACTGGAGATTATGGGCAATGGTGGTACTAATAATGTTGTTTACAACGAAGAGAATTATTCTGATCCTAATGAAGTTTCCATTAATGCATTAAAGGGGTTTGTTAATCTTGGTGCTACATGTTTCATGAGTTCCATTTTGCAAACTTTGATCCATAACCCTATTGTAAAATATCAGTTTTTCAACAATGATTTACATTATTTCAATTGCGAACGGAATCGACTTCAATATATGAATGGTGGTGTCATTGAAGAAAATAATGCATGTATTACATGTAGTGTTGATTCTATATTCCAGTATTTCTTTTCTAATTCAAGTACTGAAGGGTTTGGAATGACTAATTTGTTGACTACATCATGGTATAAAAAGAAATCATTGGCAGGATTCCAAGAACAGGATGCTCATGAATTCTGGCAATTCTTATTAAACGAGTTTCACTCGGATCTTCAAAGAGTTATGGGTCGTCCACTGTTACCAGCTTTGAATGATAATAATCAGTGTAAGTGTATTACTCATACTACCTTTTCATTTGAGTTGCAAAGTTCCATTAAGTGTGCCCTGTGCGATCAGATCACCGAAACTATAGACCCCATGATTGATTTATCTTTGGAGATCAAAAATTCCCAAAATAAGCAAATTGACATATATGATTGTCTCGATTTGTTCACCCTGGAAGAAAAGTTGGATATTTTGTACACATGCAACTTCTGTGGTGACAAAACTAAACCAACCAAGAGATTACGTCTTAAATCCATCCCTCCAGTATTGTCCATCCAATTGAAACGGTTCGAGCATAAGAATGACTCCACTTCAAAAATAGAAACTCCCGTGTCAATTCCATTGTTCCTTGACTTGACCAAATATTGTGATGGCGAAAATACTGATTCCATAGACGGAAATAAAGTGTTTGAATTGTTTGCCGTGGTTTGTCATATTGGGTCAGTCAATACTGGTCATTATATCGTGTATATCAAAGATGGTAATGGTCGTTGGTTCATGTATGATGATTCGGTGATTTCTTTGGTATCACAACAAGATGTCACTAACAAAAATGCATATTTATTATACTATATAACACATAAAATCTAGGTGAATGTGTTTCGGTTAAAGGTTTCATAGGGTATAGTTTAGTTTATACAAAAAAATATACAGGTATTTCCTATGCATATCATTCTCTTGATTACATATACTGACACATTGTAGATTTAAATTATTAAGGGGGGAGGGGGGTATATTTGATATGTATCAGTCTATACAAACTATGCGAAATCACTGAGATTAATATTAGCTTTGTCACACATTGATTTGAATACACCATCTTGTTTGTAAAGAAGTGAGGGTACACCCTTTTCGATAATCTTACCTTGATCCATTACGATAATCCTATCATACTTCAAAATTGTCTTTAAACGATGAGCAATGCATAGTATAGTGCAATGGTTGAATTCCTTGGCAATTGTTTGTTGAACCTTATAATCAGTTTCAAAATCCACTGACGAAGTAGCTTCATCAAGAACAAGAATCTTCAGTTGTTTAATTAATGATCGGGATAATGCAATAAGTTGTTTTTCACCGAGGGAGAAGTTGATTCCATCATCTTCCACTTTTTGATTCAAATGGAACTTGTGTTCTGGTTCAAACCGGGTATGGTGGTCAGTAAGTCCTGCTCGAGCTAATGCTGACCATAAGGCATCATCGTCGTATTCGTTGGTTGGATCAAGGTTACTTCTAATTGTACCTTGGAATAAGATCGGATCTTGTGGGATAATAGACAATCTAGATCTTAAATCATACAATCCCAATTTAGAAATATCCATTCCATCAATTTCAATACTACCGTTTTCCAATTCAACTAAACGATAAAGTGCTGTCATGATTGATGATTTACCAGCACCGGTCCTACCAACAATACCAACTTTTTCACCGGGGTAGAAACTCACATCAAGTCCATTTAAAACCAAAGGCAAGTTTGGTCTATATCTAAGTTGAACATTATTGAATTTGATGTATCCTGAACATGGCCAATCAATTGGTGGTATGCCTGGACGATCTACTTTATAGGGAGCTTCTTGGGGCAAGTTGAATGCATATTCATGTACTCTTTCCACAGAATTCATTTCATTTTCAACTTGAGTCATGGATCTAATTGTCAATGACAACAAACCAACAATTTGAATAACATAGGATAAAAGTAACCCTGTGGATGAAGCACTAATATTGAATTGTTCAGTAATGCACAACATGCAGATAATCAAAGCAAAGATCGAAGTAATGATATCCAAATGTACGCATAACCATCTTTGAGTGGCAATAGTCAAAAAGTAAGCTTCATTCATCTTGTTCAAATAATAGTCATTCTTGGCAATAAAATCAGCTTCAGCCAGGAAGGACTTGATCGTTGCCATACCAGTCAATGTTTCATTGAAGTTGTTGTACACCATTGATCTTTGTGTTGCCTCTAATCGTTTGATTTCTCTAGATGAACCTTGGTAGAAGTTAGCTAAAAATACAAATCCAAGGGTAAGGAATGGAACAGCAATGGCAAAATAAGGCAAGTAACAAGTACAAAGAATCATGATACCAATAATCAAAGCCAAGGGGAATATAAACAATCTCATTTGTTCACCAATCTCATTGTCCAAGGAATCGGTATCTTTAGTAAATCTGTTAAGGATTCTTCCCATTGGTGTCGTATCCAAATAACTCATTGGTGCATGCAAAACTTTAGCCACTGCTTTAACATTCAAAATTTGTGCCGATTGGTTTTGCATATATGCCAACATGGTGAATTCAATAGCAGTGAATATGACAGTTAAGACAGCAAACATGACGTAAATGGAGACATAGAAATTATCGGTTTTACCAGGGAACCTCTTTTCCACCCAGAAAGATAACCAGGTGTTGGTAAATACTTGACAGAAAGTAGCAATCACAACAAGGACTAAAAAGATTGGAATGGCAAACTTACCAAAGATACCTTGACCCAACTCGATATAACGTTTATAGATATTCCAAGAAATAGCATTAGTGGCGCGTTCTTCGTCAGTAGTTGTTCTGGCACCTTCATCTGAAGTAAATTGTTCCATTGAGCTGGTGGAGATTTGAGTTTCATTAGTTTCTTCATTCTTTTCACTGTTTGAATATTCAAGTAACTTATAAAATCCATGATTTCTAACTTTCAATTGTTCAATTGTACCAACGTCAATAGTACCATCGCCATTTAAAAACACAATTTTGTCAGCACATTCAAGTATACCTAATTGATGAGTAGCCAATACAATAGTCTTATCCTTTAACAATCCTTTAAACAAATGATTGACGATATGTCTACCCACACGGGAATCAACAGCAGAAATGACATCATCAAACAACAAAATTTCAGCATCGGTATAACAAGCTCTGGCCAAGTTGATTCTAGCCTTTTGACCACCAGATAATGTGACACCACGTTCACCAATTTCAGTATTGTCACCAGCAGGTAATGTTTTCAAATCGTCTTCCAAAGCACAAGCATGTATGACTTGACTGTATTTGATAGGATCAAATTCTTTACCAAACACAATATTTTCTCTTACAGTTGCATTCTGAATCCAAGGTGTAGCACAAAGTAAATGGTCTTTGGTGACGCTACGAACTCCACTGGTCAATTTCATTGTGCCTGCCAATGCATGCAAAAGGGATGTTTTACCGGAACCAATCACCCCGGTGACAATTATGAATTCATTTTGTTTGATGGAAAGATTGATATCGACTAAGCCCGGGAATATTACTTGACTGGAGAATATAGAAGTAGTATCCACAGACTCGGTATAAACGTTGACTGAATGGGCATCTTTTTCACCTGAAACTTCTTTTTTGTGGTCCTCCTTCTCCTTGTTATCTCCCCATAACTTGTCGTCTAATTCATTGTCATATGTTTCCCAAACAAAATTACCATGATTAATATTAACAACAGCATTATCATTGTCAAACCCAGTAAAGAACTTCTCTTCTTGTGCCAACAACTTATCGTGTAATGGCTGAGTAAATTCTTCAGCAGATAAGTATTCTTTGCAACGGGTGAACCCAATTAAAGCATCAGCACCAGTAGCTAAAGCAATTGGTAGCAACATAATAGCTTGAGCTAAAATTGAGTATAAACTTAACGATGAAAAAACTTGACCTGGTGATTTCATGGAATGGGTAGCCCACATGGTGACGAAAGAAATCATGGATGTTAAAACAGGTAAGGTAACGGCATAAGCAGTAATGAAGTTTCTTAATACTTTGATGGTAAATAAATATTTCATCTCTTGTTGACGGACTTTGGTGATGGCTAATTTGTATGCTAATTCCCAGGCATAGTATTTGATGATTTTCAAATTGTTCAATACTTGTCTCATGAGTGATACTCTCTTGTCAGTGTACTCAACTACTCTTTGTCTGGTCTTAAACAACTTTCTCGTCAACAAAACACAGACAATTAAGGAAACCACGAATAAAACAATACCGGTTAATGCAGGGGTGCCAATATTTGTTAACAATAATACAATTGAAAGCACCACTGGGATAGGGAAACATAAAATCAATGGTTGGAATCCAATAGCCAAATCAATTCTACTCAAATCTGTACTCATTAATGAAGTAATAGTCCCTACTGGAAACATGTGTCTGGATTTATTGGACAAATGAAATGATTTTAATAAAAGTGCCTTGGTTAAAATTGTCTTTGCTTGAGCACCACAAATCATAGCATTGTGAAAGAAATGGTTCAACAACAAACCATTGATAAAGATAAGCACAACTGAAGCTAAAGTGTACCCGACACCTTTGCCAATACTTGTTTCAAGGCCAAAATATTTGTATTCAACGTAATCAATTAGTCTTCTGGTAAGCAAGGGAGATAATGTGGTGCATACAAAAGCAAGAGAAAGACAAAGACTGGAAAATAAGTATTGCCATTTGAATGTCAAGAATAATGCATATGGAATGGCATAATGAGGCCATTTGAACCCAGATAAATCTGGATGCTTCATTTTATATGATGTTTCTGCTGATGTTATGATTTTCTCCAAATGTTGTTCCCATTGGCCATGTAATTGTTGAACTGTAAGTTCGGGTGTTAATTTGAATAAGTCATCGGGGTATAATGTACGAAGGTAACCTTTCTTCAATATTGGCCATATCCACCAGAATCCCATTCTCATGAATAGATTAGTGATTTTCCATGGATAAAACTGTCTTTCTTCTTCAATGGGAATAGGGGGTACTTTATTAGAGAACATCCATGAAAACCATCGTTTTTCATTCTGTAACTGTGCTTCCTGGCTTTCTAATTCAATCTCGTGCAGGACTTGGTGCAGCATTTCACTATATGGGTAAGAATATCTTGTAGCTTGGTCATGCTGCATGTGGTATGGTTTTTGTTGATGAAACATTGAGGGTGTTGACCAAATAGATCCTTCTTCTAAATGTGTTCCTACTGATACAAACTCGTCAGATCTGGACGAATAATGAGCTTGCTGGATAGAAGATTCCTGATCGAAATCATGGAATGGATTTTCGGGAATTTCTTCTCTAATATCAGGCAATCTTCTAAGGAAATATGGGTTGGACATAACTTTACCGCTGACTAGTAAAAAAAAAAAGGAAAGAATAAAAGGCGAAGCCAAGGTGCATAATATAAATAGCATCCCAAGTGAACTTGCTTTGTCTCGTGGGTCATACCTCGATTTAGTAAATCATAAGTGCTAAATTTATAATTTTTATGCTTATTGTTCCAAATTTCCTAAAGCAGCAACAAATTAGCTGCAACAATGCAAAAAAATATTTTTCTCTTGCATCAGTGCTTTGTGCAGCAATTACCTAAAACAGATATGATTTCTCTTCAATACACCCGCTGAAGTTTATGCGAAGTCGTATTTACGTGCTATACGTACAAGGACTTAATCAAAACAAACCAATCAGACCATTATAGAATCTCCTTGAATGCGGTGATTCGCCAGATTGGTGTCAAATTAAAAAAGCTTGTTTGGTGTCGAACATTCTGGTATCTATTGCCGAAATATGCTTCCATAGACTTGTATTCGTGTTTTCATCGGTAACTATGAGTGTTAAAAATACCTTTGACGGTTGTTATCAAAATCATAAACAATAAGGCGGTACTGTATTATACGAAAATGTTCCTTTGAACAATGGCCAGAATAGAGTTCAAGAATGCAGAAATTTAATGAAACTAAACATGGGGTATAAGTGAGAGTGGGGTATTTAGGTATAATAGACTAATTTAGCTAATTAATACACCGATAATAGAATTTCCTCGTTTGATTTATTTCTACCTATATACTAGAAAGCACACCAACCTATATAAAAAATACGAGGAACCAATAGAACCCAAATTTTTTCTTATTATTTTTTCCATTCTTGTATTCACAATCTACCAGCTCCTCTTCTAAGGAAAGGGAGGTCCCCCGGGATCGCCACCACCACCACCAAACATAAACCCAGGAGGCCCTCCAGGTCCTGAGCCTGGTCCGCCTCTACCTGGACCTCTTAAATTTCCAGGCAAACCCATGCCTAAATCATCCAAATTATCTTCTCCGTAAGGATCATCAAATCTGGCCCCTGGAGGAACACCTCTCCTGGATGAATTACCCAGTTGTGGCTGTCCAAAAAGGGGATGGTGGGGTGTGGGATACATTCCCCCACTGGTGCCGGCAGAACCGGCTGCTAATGGATCAATAAATGGTTTCAATTCTGGATGGCGTGGAAGTCCTGGAGGGTTTAAATCGTCATCTCCTATAGAAGGGACAATATTTGGTTGGATTGGCTGTCTGTGGTCCTTGATTTCATATTCATCTTCAAAGTCAGGCATGTCTGGTGGACGCGTGGTGGGTGGGGGCACTCTTATATCACCCGTTGTAGCCTTTGGAACTTGTGGTGCTTGGGGTGCAGGGGGCAATTCTTCAGTATCAGTTTCTTCTTCAATTGTAGGTCCCCCTTCGTCAACACGACTTGGTCTTTCGAAAATAGATGATGTTTTTTGTTCATCAATAAGTAATCTAAACTTGGTATTGAACTTGTCAATCAAATCTTGAGGAATCTTGTCTTTCTTTATAGGAAACTTTAATTCATCCAAATCAAACCATTCCCAGTTAATCAACGCATTGTCTAATCTGCCCTCGGCATTTATGAGATTAACTAATGATTGGTATTTGGTTATTTCTGTAAAACTACAAATTAGAATTCTTTCCTCGTTGTGGTATAATTCTGATTGTTTTAATTTCCCTTCATTGGTGGTGTGTTTAAGACTGTAATTGGAACCAGTTGGGAATATTGAGTTTATATATTCGGAAACCAAATGAAATGTAAGTTGGAAGTAATTATCCACCGTCATTCTTGATTAATGAGATATGAACAAATAGTAATTGATTTTAAGGGTTAACTCACTCCAGCAAGCAATGGTTAACTTTTGTTATATCAAGGGGGGGTTGGGGGAGGGGGGAGGCAACGGAAAAAATGGCAGATGAATGTGATGGTAATTACTCTGGGGAAAATTTTGTATGCGGCTCAGCATGTTTTTTTTTTTGGCAGCACGGTGGGTAATCTCATAGCTTATCCTGAAATTAATCCATATAGAGGTTTGAGATATTCTAAGGTTATCGAAGGTTATAGTTGTATGGTCAACTGTAGGTTTAGTCCCATGAGTTAGCTGTTTCTTATTAGCTAAGTTCGGAACAAATCCGTATAAGCCCCTCTTCCTATTTCAGAAATGACGGGTTGGTGTCACTAAAACAAGAATAAAATCTGCCTTCGAATATTCTGCTTATATTTGATTGCTTGTAGAAACTAATAGATTAAATTGTATGCTTGGTAATTGGATAAGTATAATATTGGCAAATTTTTGAAGATTTTTTGTGTATTTTTTGCAACAAGGTGTCAATGTATACTTTTACATGAAGGTTAAAATAAATGGATGAAGAAGTTGAGATTTCAATTACAAATATCACAATACAAACTAGACAGTTGGTATCTCAATTACGAGCCAAAACCTAAGCCTAGTTGACGTGGTTAGGAAGTTCTTTTGGTTGTCATGAGATAGACAATGGGGGTTGCCCCCCTATATTTACCCCTTGATACGTATCCCTCTCGTATAGCCCACTTAAGAATGAACTAATTTCTTCTTCATTGCTGACGGTTATTTCTAATTTGCAACAGGAATGGAGAAGGGTTACGAATACTCCTTATCTATTTAGAAACTCGTTATCGTAGTTCACGTGAAAAAAAGTGGCTTTTTCGGACTTTGGTGGCCTATCTACATACCAAGCATTACATCACATATTGCCAAGAACGGGTCAAAAAAAAACAGCATAATTTAACGTACAATAGTCGCGTGTGTACAAAATAAAAGCCAAGACGGTAAAAGTTCAGGGGAACTTCTTTGTTTTGCACCACATACGGTTGGTGGTTCTAACACCAAGGGGGGAGAGGGGGGGAGATGTGAATAGAAACCGAACGAAAAAAAAAGAAAAAAATAAAAGAATTTTCTATTCGGATTTTAACTCACGCATATTTTTAGTGTGGGCAGTTTTGTCCACTACTGCACGACTTTTTACTACTTTTTTTTTTTACACACACATTTTTCCAACTGTCATAATAAAAATAAAAAAAAACGCTTTAAAACTAAAAAAGACGTAGATTTCCCTTGCTAATTACTGCAGTTTAAACGAATCTTTGCAACAACCAAAACAAAAATCGTGATACATCGAACCCACACAGACATAATCGATAGATTGAATCATTGCTTGCTTAATTAGTTCATCTTGCTATTTTGTCATTCCGTGTCTGTCCCTCCTTTCCGTGTCCCCCTATTACTAAAAAAACATTTGGTGTTGAACAATTCGGCAACAACGGCAATAGTCAACAACATATAGCAACGCGCGTCCCCTTGAACAACACTTACCCCTCAATTATTATAATACGTAGAATTAATCCACGTCATCATGACCACAACTGTTCCTTTAATCTATTCCTTTCCTGAATTCTTGGGTGTGGCCGATGCAGTAGCCGATCATGTTATTTCTGCCCAAAACCAAACATTATACAACACTACTGACCCAAAACAAATAGAACTAATCAAGCTGCGTCCAGCTCTATTGAAATCTTCCAGTGGTATCTCTGTAACACAACAATCACCTAGTCATAGTCCAAGTCAAAGTCAAAATGGTATAAGCAATAACGTCACCAATGGCGGCAGCAAGGCTAAAAAGGATAAGAAGATTCACAAGAAACAAGAAGTTAGATTTAAAATAGCCATATCTGGAGGTTCCTTAATCAAGATCTTACACCAGGGGTTATTGCCAAGACAAGAGTATATCGAATGGGATAAATGGGATATCTACTTCGCCGATGAAAGATTAGTGCCGTTTGATTCTCCTGATTCCAACTATGGCCAAGCTAAACGAGAAATTTTCGATTTGATTGAAGGTGACAAGAAACCAAACATTTACCATATCGATGAAGAACTAATTGATGATAATCAAGAAGCTGCCGATGATTACGAAAAACAATTGATTCGAAATTTCGCCAAGAAGGATAGTGTTAAATTACCAATGTTTGATTTGTTATTATTAGGTTGTGCTCCCGATGGACACATTGCCTCATTATTCCCCAATTTCGGAGAACAATTACGTGAAAAATTAGCTTGGTGTTTACCAGTGGAGAATGCTCCTTCAGGACCAAAGAATAGAATAACTCTTTCCATCCCTGTTATTTGTCATGCTGCAAGAGTAACGTTTGTGGTTGAAGGTAAAACCAAGGCACCAATTATTAGAACCATCATGGAAAGACCAGAAAAGGGATTGCCAAGTTCAATTGTCAATGAAGGAGCAGCCGGAAGAGTCAGTTGGTTTGTTGACGATGCCGCATTAAATGATTTATATGACATTACTAAAAAGAAGTATAAGTTCTTATCGTTCCCTGAACCAGCCACTGCTACTTAATCTTAATCTACAATTACACAAAAAATTTTACAAAAAATATATTTCTTGTGAATATTTCAAATGCATTTCCCCCATCCCCCCCATGTCATATTCTTTTTCAGTCATTTATAACTTTTTGCTTTTTATATTCATTGTGCTTTTGTTTGGTTTTTTTCAAGTATATTTCACATTGGTATTAACACTTTATATCTTTTTATCTGTCTGTTTGTCTTTGCTAATCCTTTTTCTTTTTTTTCTTTTTACATCTCCCATATATATATTTTTATTATTTATATTGTTTAATTCTGGTTATAATATATATATATTTATATCTATCCATTGCTCTTGACTATGAATTCCTTAGGAGCTCTTTGGGCCCATTCGGTCCAACTTCCATCGTAAACACGAACGGGAACATCCAAGCCTAAGATGGAAGTTAAGGCAAATCTTAAAATAACAGCAGTGACACCAGTACCACACATGACAATGATTCCCTTGGGGTATCTTTCCTTCCAGGCGTCGTTTGAAAGATCAATGTTCAAATCATGAGCAATCACTTGCAAGATTTCTTGTTTTGACTTGTACTGTTTGTTGGCATCAAGAACCTTGGGGAATGGTAAACATTTGGCACCGGGGATATGACCTGAACTTAACCCTGCTCTTGGTTCGTCGGCTTCACCGGTGAACCTGCCTAAAGCACGGGCATCCAAGACAAGATAATCTTTGGCTAATTGGTTTGATTTAACCAAGTCTAACAATTCTTCATACTCGATCACTTGTTGGTTGTACCTGGTCTTGAATTCCAGTTCAGGAATTGCAGTATTTGAAGTAGCTTCGCTTGATAAGGGTGTTTTGAAGCTGTCAATCTTGGTAGTGTCCAAAGGGAACAGGCTCTTTTTATAATTCAAGTAATTGTCAAGTAAATAAACTTGACGGTGGCCAAATAATGAAAAAGTCCATGCTGCTCTAGGACTAGAGAAGTTGCCCTCGGTGTCATAAACCACAATTGAATCGGTGCTTTTCAACCCTAAGTCATTCAAGGCTTCATTGAAGGTGGATTGAGTAGGGAGCATATGTGGATAGGGTGAATCGCCACAATACTTGTCTAAATCGAAGAAGGCAGCATTTGGGATCCGTTCAACTTCAAGGAATTCCTTGGCCGGTGTTCGGGGAACATTGGGCATCACCCAAGTGGCATCAATGGGGACCACACGATTGATTCCATTGGCGCGCGAGAGCAATGCCCGATATGCTGTTGGAGTTATAGTTGATAAAATTGGTTTAGCCATGACTGGAGAGTACAAAGTGTAAGGGTATGATTTCGAAATAAGTCCGAAATTTCTTTGGGCCGACGAACATAAAATCTACCCCACGCGGTAGTGGTGGGTAGCACCATTTGGAATTACCGCAAAAAAAAAAAAAGTAAAATCTTATTGTTATTATATACACTTATTGTTTATACATAGAATCACTCATTCTGGAAGTATCAATCCTCATGAATTCACGAAGTGCCATCGTGGCATATGAGCTGACACCCAATTGCATCTTTAAAACCACAGCGATTTTCGACCCTTGCGAATCAACAATTCTTTTTGGTTCAACTTCGCCTTGTTTCTTCAATTGCAAGATTTCATGATCGGTACGAATAAGTGGAGCTTCATTCAGTTCGTAATTTACAATCTCATAGGTCAAGTTCTCAGCTTTGGCTAAGATGCTTCTGTATGATCCAGGAAGTGAGAATTCCTTGATACGTCTAGCCATTTTGAATGGATCCAATCCGTCCTGGGCCATGGTGTCTACATAAACTTGTCTCAATGTTTCGTTTTCAGGATATGTAACTTTGAATCCAGGAGTAGGGAGAACCACATCAAATATGGTGTATTTGCCCGATTCAATGTCTTCTTTAGTCAATGCCTTTACTTTGGTGTCGGTGCTTACAGCCACATCTTCTTCGAAATCGTCATCTTCGTCAGTCTTAGGTTTTGGTTCGTTATCGACAATTACTAAATCGCCCTCTTGTAATTCCAATCCAAACAACTCAATTCTCTTGGATGCAACGATATTCCAAATGTACGATTGGTATGAATGGCCATATAACATTCTAAGGTTACGAGGGATGGCCATGATTGCTTTGAAATATGCATTTCTGTTATAATCACCGTCTTCCTTGACTTTTTCCTTTTCCAACACTTTCAAAATTGAGGTTTCAGCACTAAAGAAATGAGGCAATTTCTTTAAAGTTTCTGAAGGGTCTCTAGTCTCAGCCCACACCTTTCTGGCTTCTACTGATGCAGGAGCAATCAGTTCTTGTTCGGAAAGTAATAAGTCAATACATGATTTCCAATCTTCTTTTAAACAGTGGACACCTAAAGTATGAGAGGAAATAGAGAACGTTCCAAATCTTTGCATTCCAAAATAGTTGATATATCCGTGGTCTCTTAATGATTGGAAACATCTGTCAATGACTTTGGCCACTTCTTCTCCGGAGTCACTGGCCACGTCTCTAATGGTGATTAAGAATTCGTTCCCCTTTAAATCACCAAGTTTTAATCCCGTGTCTTCGTAGGCAAATCCTCCAAGAACAATATTTGTTAACCCTTTGTTTAACGAGTTAACTCTAAGCACTTTACCTCTATGAATGCTTACTCGTTGGCAAGTAGCACCTCGTCTATCTTTGGTTCCAGCATAACTTATTGCCTTGCTTGGAATTCTTAACAATCTAGCAATTGAAGCACCAGCATCCATAGTATCTCTATTTTGCTTAAACAATGTGAAATGCAAATATGGCTTGAATGGGCCCAAACCATAATTCATAATTCCATTTTCGTCAACATGATGCATGCTATCCATGGGGTTTTGATTGTGGCCCCGAGATTTCTTGGTTGCGATTTTGATTCTGAATGTGTTTTCTGGGGTAGTTACGGTTTCTAATTTACCTTGGAATGCTTTTCTAAACAACTGGTGCAAGTTTCCTCTTTGTTGTTTATCATCGAAGGAGGACTTGGTTTCAAAGTTGTTACCGGTGGTGAATAACTCTTCAACCTGGCTCAACTCTTCTTCGGTTATGAGAGTTAACAATTCGGTTTTGTCTTCATCGCTCAATGTATACTTTGGCAATTGTTCTTGTTCCTTTTCTTTGGCTTCCGCTTCGGCTCTTCTCGTAGCTAAGATTTCGGCTATTTCTTCTTCGGATTTCCCTTCTAATTCTTCCCGCTCTTTCGCTCTTTGCTCGAGACGCCTTTCCTTTTTAGATTTACCCACGTCAATACCGTCATCTTCCAAATGGACGACTTTTCCCGTCATGTCTATTTCATTGACTTGGAAATCGGAATATAAAGTCTTGATGGACCCCGTGAATCCAACAACATTAGGGTTGAGGAACTGGGTAATCCCCACCTCTGGTTCAGTTAACCCTTGTGTAACTTTACTTTTCTTGGAAAAATCATTTGATTGAGTAGATGCAGCTCTCTTTAACGTGTTAGCCATCATGATTAACCTTGTGAAAGCTGAAGATCTGAAGGTTAGCATTAAAGTATCTGGACTCATCGAATTATTTTTTTTTTTTTTTTCACTGAGCATTTTTTCTGATGTTGCAAAGAATGTTTGGGGCAAAAAGTTGCAAATTTGTTATTTCATATCGAGATAGCGAATTTGTTATTTCATACCACAAGAAGAAATTACATATATATGGTAGATAAAAATAGTTTATTCAATGCCAGCTGAAATCTTGGTAGGAGTCAAAAAATGTTTAAGTCAATGGTGCAGACAGATTCGTCTTCTTCCATTAGATTTCCCTCGTTTTCCCGTGCCGGGTTGGTTTCCGATGAACAAAAGTACAGTGGGCATACCGTTGGAAGTAGGAGAAGCAACTTTTTAAAAGTGTGCTCGTGGCCCTTTAGTAGACTGGAACAAGAGTCTACAAGCACAGTCAATAATACAGGATATGATCAATCAGATGAAGAGGACAGGGCCGCTACCATCACTCCGAGGAGAAAGGGTAGGTTCCAAAATCCTTTAGTTGGCATTAACCCTTCAGTGGAAAATATTAACCAGAATAACCACTCGGAAAAATTACTCAAAACATTGACGAGAAAACCACATGAGTCCTCCCATAGGAAGCGAGTGGTTGTTTTGACCAATGTCGATTCGTCCATGGGCATTAACAGTATTTTACAGCAAGTTTGTGGTGGTCCACTTGAAAAAGTTGTCCAGTTGAACAATGGCCATATTGAATTATACTTTATATTCCCTGAACATGCCAAGCAGTTTTACACTTACGGAAGAGCTACGGGATTGTTAATGGTCAATGGTCAGAGATTACGGGTCGAATGGTGGATGAATGAAAATGAAAACGTCAATTACCACCCACCTATTTCTAAACCTTTGTTGATGGAAATCATCCAACATGGATGTAGAAGATGCCTCATCCTCGCCAAGGAAGTTAGAGGGAAACAGTTGCGCAGTGGAGACAAGATGTTTTACCCAGAACCTACCATCCATTACTCTCAAGATTTGAACATTGAAGATGTCAAAGCAGATTTTGGCAGATTTGGCAAGATTTTAGATATTGGATCGGTGATTTCCAGGAAGTTGTGTTTTAGTATCTTCTACTCTGATGTCAGATCAGCTATATTTGCCATGAATGAAATTGAAACTGGTGGATCGGATTTAAACAAAAAATATAGGGATTGGTTTATTTGGTATGGCAAAGATGTTACTGATCGTGCTTGTTTTGTATTATAGATTAATGTGTAATTCGTATATATTTCACGTGCTTATTGTCTAAGATCACAAGTATCAAATCTTTACATAAAAAAAAAAAAATTTGCAGTAAATCCCAATTGGGACAAAAGGTAAACACATAAAAAAAAGCAGCCAAAAATTTAGAACAGACGAATATAGGGGTTGTCAATAGATGTCTAAACCCATTTAGCACATTCCGTTCGCTGCTGTAAATTCAATAAATCCATACAACCCTTACACAAATGCACAACAATAGATCAATAAGACCAGGTTCAGCTATGGGGATGTCTCTAGCTTCACTAGGCACCCCTAGCAAACCACCGCAATTATCCGATTTCAAACGCCCACCATCAAGATACCACCAACTGAATTCACCATCTCAGCCAAGAGTACGTCCTGGTTCTGCTATGGGAAGACTAGGAAGTTCTTCCTCATCATGCAGCACTATCAGCAGCAGCAGCAGCAGTATAAGTAGACCCTCAACCCCTACGTATAGAGTAGAACCATACACTGGTACAATTAACGTTTCCATCAGGCCCAATCCTCAAACTGTTAACCAAAATCAACTGAAAACTTGGGAAATTGACCCTCATACTAATACTATATCTAATTTAATAGATGGGTCTAGTTTCCCCTTTGACAATGTATTTGAGGCCGATCCTAATGTTTCAAATCGACAAGTTTACCAGCGTGCTTGTTCAGATCTTGTTCAGAAATTCGTTAGTGATGGATATAATGCAACTGTTTTTGCTTATGGTATGACTGGTTCCGGTAAGACCTTTTCCATCAAAGGTGTTGAAAGCGACCCCGGGTTTGTGGAATTGGCCATTAATGATATCTTTGCCAAGATCGAAGAAAATAAATTGACAGCATACAATATCAACATATCATATCTTGAGATATACAATGAGAAAATCATCGACTTATTGTCTACCAGTCCTGCAAGTACCGATTTGAAAATACGAGATGATCCCGAGTTTGGGACTAAAGTTATTGGGTTATCTTCACCCATAATAACATCCAAAGACCAGTTGTTACAGTTGATCAAGAAGGGAGATATCAATAGGAAAACCAGTGCCACTGATTTCAACTCGCACTCCTCTCGTTCCCATTCAATCTTACAAATAAAGTTAACTGTGACTGATTTGGTGAAGAATACCGAAACTAAAACAACCCTTTCCTTGTGTGACTTAGCCGGGTCAGAACGAGCAGCTTCCAGTCTTGAAAGAAGAAAAGAAGGTTCTTATATTAACAAGTCGTTGTTGGCCTTATCTAATGTTATCAACAGGTTATCTTCCTCCTCCTTGGAACATGTTCCCTATAGAGATTCGAAATTGACGAGATTATTACAACCAGCATTAAGTGGATCTTCTTTAGTGCTGATTCTTTGTACGATACACATGGGATCCGTCACAAACAATCAACTGCAGTTTGCTGCGGAAACTTACAAAACCTTGAGATTTGCAGCTAGAGCCAAGAACATAGTGATAAACGTCGACAGAAACAAATCCACCATGCTTTCCAACGGTGAAACAGCCAAGTTAATTCAAGATTTGAATATGATTATCGCGAGACAGAAAGGTGAAATTGATATATTGAAGAATGCACAAGCCAATGGCATATCGTACGCAGGTGACGATTCAAGAATTCTTGAATTAGAAGCCGAGAATAAGATCTTGCTTGAAAGAATTGACCATTTTACAAGATTGACTGACTTGCAAAGAACAGAAACGGTGATTGTAAAAAACGATGTGTTGAATGATATATTGGGTTCCGGAATTGACCAACTGCAGCTTATAATGGGTAACATTGAAGAATTTTACAAACGAACTCAATATGAAATCAATGAATACAAAGTATACATAAGCCAATTGGAAGACAAGCTCAAGATGGCTTATCAATCTCCCCAGCAATATACGGATCCATACAGTGTCAACAGCCTCGCCGATAGTGAAACTCTGCAATTGTTGAAAGATCAAGAAGAAGAAATCTACCAATTGAAAGAGCAATTAAAGGATAAAGACCAGATCATTAAAGGATTATCCAAAACTTCAAGATTGCGCCGATTAGTAGAATCTTCTAATACTTCAAACATCACCAAGGAATCAGACTTTATCAGGCAGTCAACTCCAGGAACTGTGGACAAGGAAAATGAACCCGAATTACGGGCATTCAAAATAAGTCCCAAAAAAACCAGACAACTGCGGGATTTGCCTCTTGGTGAAAGTCCCAGATTTGAATTCTAGAAATAAGCCTCTCTCTATAGACCTCTTACCCTATGTATTACTAAGTAAATGACTCAATCTGTTTGGCCGCGCCCTGTTTTCATCTGTGTGTGTGCAGGAAGGATCGAATCGTCTCCCCATACAAGAAAAATCTCGTATCGTAAATTTTGATCACAAATTTAACTTTAACAATAACAACAGATCTTAACCCAGAAGTTAATACATATATCAAAAGTTTAATTATATTTATATATAATCAAAAGATTTATGTAATTCGTGTATCTTCTGATTCTCCAAAGATGAAGAACATTTTCAGAAAACATAGATCTCATTCGCTGGTTTCCAGTGATAGTTGCAAGAAACAGGAGACTGAACAAGAACACCACCATATCCATTTGAAATCGAGACGGTACACTCTACCCATCGATATTGGATGTCCTCAGTTCAAATATGAAGTACTTCACCTGGCTGACTGTGCTGTTGATTCAGAAGGCGAACATCAAGACAATCACGAGACTACTCCCCTGACCCTGCGGCATCAACAAAATAATGGTACACCAACTAACGAAGGGGATAACCAATCGGTTGCTCTTTCAGAAGCAGATACTTTGATGGTGGAAACTGGACACCGCTTGGAGTTACAGGAAACCTACACCGATAATTTCACATTATATCTCCCTTACCTATTGCGGCAGATGAGAATAATGGAGCAACAACGAATGGATAGACTAGAGGAAATACTACATCCTGCCCCAATTGAAAGTGGAACGTTTCAAGAATACGATGACGATCTATCTACAATAGTCAGTGAATCTATTGCTGGCGAAGCGGGACCAGCTGCTCGGATTTTAAATAAATCACTATCTAAATTCAACTTGAAGCGACTGTTTGTGTTTGCTGAAGTCATGCTCGGGAGTAATACGTTTATCTTCCCCAGTCAAAAGTCATTCCAATTGTTTAAACGACTACGCCATGAGGTTAAGCGGGAACGAAAACATCTGATTATATTATACGATTCCAAGGGGACCATTAAACGAATATCAAACGTTAAACGGGAGGAAGTCGACATTTTAGAAGATATAATTGACGACCGGCCCCATATCATTCCATTGGACTATAAAATCAAAGGTTTAGGGTTACCACTTTTGAGAATGCAAACACCAGTAATGTCGGCGTTTAGAAAGAGTTCCCCTTATGCTATATTCAGACGATTCAGGGAAATTCCTTTGCCACCAGATCCAAAGTCAACCAGCGACAAACATGACGACTTTGAATTTGAATCGTACGTTATGTGCAAAGTATATTCCAAGTTCTTTCCCAATTTCCGAAGATTGATCTTTGAGTTCAATATTCCTGATGTACCTCCTTTTAATATTCTTATGTTCCACAGCAGTTTACGTCCATTTGCTGACTTCAACTATAAATCCACCCGGTTTAGAATAATTGGTGCAACACCCACCCTGGGCTTACTCCTGCTGTACAATCCCCATATCAGACTCTTGGTTCTTGATGACGATCAAGAGTCATTGTGTGATAAAGTGATAAACAGAAAGCAAGGATTTGAGTTGCTGCACATAATCAAAAAACGAGACACCACATCATCATCAGCTTCGTCATTGTCATTTGATGAACTGATTCCCTTGTCATATATAAATCCCTTTCCTGTTAATGACTTGGCACATGAAGATATTACTGATGTGATCACCCAACAGAGAAGAACAAGGTACATTTCAAACAACCTTCCTCCATTTGGCGAATGCAAAGACTCAATTCTTTACAAGATGGACGAACCATCCTTACTCCCCAAGAAATATTCAGAAACTGCCCGATTGGATGTTTATCAAGATAACTCAAACTTGAACCAAGACATTGATAGTACATTATCTGTTGACGTTGATTCCTTGGTCATGGCATGCATACTTGCTACAATAAGAGACATCTCCATTAGAAACGCTGGCAAAATTGGAAATTCCAATATTGCAGCCATGGGAATAGCAGGAAGAATGATTTCGTTTGGTTATACTGGCTATGCCTTTGGATAACTATACACTTCTACTTATGGTTAAATATACAACGCGATTCTAGAATTATGTATATATATATATATATATTTTTCTATTTCTAAGGGGTTGTTTCTAGAAACTTTTTTGCTTTTATGAATCGTAAAAAGAAAACAAAAACAACTAGCGTGCTTCCTTAGTAACGTTCTGGGGATCTAGATCTTTCTCTTCTGGATGGAGATCGGGAAGGAGATCTAGAGTATTTACCTCGGCCATAGTCATCACCTCCTCTTCCTCCGTCAGATCCACGACGTTCTTCACCTCTGCCTTCACGTTCATCTCTATATCTGTCACCTCTGTTGTCATAGGTAGGACCACGGGTACGGAAATCACGATCACCACCATATCCACCACGGCCACCACGGTAAGAACGGTCGTCGCCACGGTAACCTCCGTATCCACCACGGCCACCACCATAACCACGGTCTTCGCCACGGAATCCTCCATATCCACCTCTATATCCATTATCTCCACGGAAACCGCCGCGTGGAGGACCACGGTGGGCATAACGGTCATCATCATAGCCATAACCGCGGTCGTATCCGCCACGGTATCCTCCTCTTGGAGCACCACCGTAACCGTAGCCACCACGGCCGCCTCGGAATCCACCTCGACTTCTGACACTATAAGGATCGGATCTGGCGATCTGAACGACTAATCCATCTTTCAAGGAGTAGGGCAAGGTTTTTCCGTCCAATTCTAACGCCTTTTCACAACTTTCGGCATCTTTGTATTCGACAAATGCATACTTTTGACCATCATCTGTTCTTGGAGGAGGAATATCTAATCTGACTAATTCACCAAATCTATTCAATATTATGTTAGTTTTCTTGTGGTTGTTTTAATGACTCTTGTATTTCTGTTGTAACTTATTTGTTGACCTGATGTTAGGAAAGGGAAGGGATTAAAAAGAAATGGAATGGGATTTGAAATGAGTTCAAGGATGGGATATTGGGAAGGGAATATCATGAGAAAGGGGGGGAGGAGGGTTTGAAGGACTCTGGAAAAGGTGAAATGGAACATGGGACTTGGAAGATGAAGGGAAGGTGATGCCATGGTAAACTTTTTCAATAGGAATTGGATAAATATATCTCGTGGATTGATTGCTAGAAGAGAGATTGTAAACAATAAAGAGAATCCAATGTGAGCCCAAAATGTCACTCATTCACGAGTGCAAAGAAGAAAGAATAGAACAAAAAGATGCAAAGAAATATCAAGTGATTCTCATACATACTTTTCAAAATCTGGTGCTAAATCGGCAGCCTTTGATTCTCTGGAAAATCCAGTGACATATAATGTATTCTTTGGCATGTTGTTGAATGGATTATGCTGGGGATTGGACAAGAAGCAAGCGAGTAGCGATTTTCAACGTTTGAATCGAAGAAAAATGATTGTCATAACTAGCACGGGTGCACGACCTTTCATATTCACGTGATATGGATTTTTGAGCTTTGTCACTCATGATGACTTTAACTAGTGTTGTGAATCCATTTATATGGGTTCGAGATATAACTTGAATTATAATTTGTCATTAGATTCACGCTTGATTTTGCTTTTGGTTCATAAAAGCTTTACTACTTGTTAAGAAATACGAATCAAATTTACTCTGAATATGGGAAATTACATACTATTAACTTGGACGACAACTATCCCTCAATTCCTGAGTGCTTAGTGAGTCATATTCGTGGTTTGTAGAAAGGTATCCTGGTAGAAAATCCTCTAATCGTTCGGTTATCTGGGGTGGTTACGGAAAAATTTCTTCTGCAAAATTGCTGCGATATACGGAGAAGCCATTGCTTTATATTAGGCTTAGCCATGGATATAGGGGCAACAGTAAGAGATATTTGACGTTCTAGGGATGTTTACTTGACAAAGGCATCACTTCCGGGAAACTGCAGGCTGTAAAAAACGGTATTTGCCACATTTTGCATCAAGATACATAACAATGGCAACCCACCTTATCTAACAGTTGCAGTAGCAACCATAGATATAAAAAAAAAGATAAAAACAGATGTGGGAAGGTCGTTTTATTTTCTTAATATGTTTGAATATTTTGATACTAATTTACTAAAATACCGTTTCCTTTCTACGCTTTGTTACCGTGTCTGTAGGAAAATGCAGGTCAAATGTGGTCAAATACGTCAATATGGAGATAACCATTCGAATCTCAGAAGCAGAATGAATTTTTTTACTAAGTCCGAAATTGTTGGATTCTCCGAAATGAATTATTTGACATAACAAAAGATCTAGAAGGTAGATATTCTGGCTGTACGTCATCCCTATCATGTTTGTTGAGGTTGGGTAGAACTCGGAGTCATACCTGTTGCTCCTGTGGGTCTTGAGTCATGTGTATTTGGTCACATGATTTACCCAACATTTTTATCGTCTGATTATTTTTTAGGTGTTCTCGTGTGTTCCTGTCATACAAATTAGATTTGTTGAGTTGGTGCTTCCTGCATACAAGAATAGTTTAAATCCGCTTTTTTTTCTATGATGTTCTTTTGTTTTTTTTTGCACCCCTCCATTTAAATCAAGATCAGAAATATGCCATTACCCGAGGCACAGTCGAAGACCAACAAAACTATGCAAGCGAACGTAAAATATTACCAATCAGGCAAGCAGTGTTTTTTTTCTCTCTGAAAGCATGACATATGTTAAGGACAGCACATGTTTTTGTGTGACCCCTTTTTTTTTAATAAGTTCTGATGGGTCTATAATTACGTTAGGGTTGCGAAATTGAGAACAATGACAAAGGACATAAATCCCAAAAATAAATTCTGCAGTAAAGTTAGATCAAGATTATTTGCCATCACATTGCTCAACGTTTTCACGTTCACCCTTTCGTGATATTTGATATCAATTGGAAAAATATGTGCTTTCTCTTCATTGTATATATAGACAACAACAACACGCGTGAATTTCTTTTGTAATCAAAAGTTTACTCTACTATAATTTAAACCAATTGAGTGTTTTTCTTTAGTTGATCTACCACATCTAAAGAAAACTTACCCCTTACCCTTTTGGTGCCAAGTTTCTACCGCATTTTAGCGCAGTTGGCCCCCTTTGGTGGTAAAGTGATAGCCCGAACATTCTGATCCAATTTCTTTTTTTTTTTTTAAATTACTTTTTCAAGAAAAAAAAAATTTTCTGTGTCTCACAGCAGAACTCGTTTCAGTCAAAACAAAATTTATTTACAACCAAGCCAAAAGGCAAATACCCTTGTTTACAATACAGCAAGATATTACATATACCCACCAGTTTTATTCACATTCTACTTATTCCATTCACTTATTTAACTTTCAACATAGTTAGGGACACTGCACAACTTCAGTATTACATCTCGTTTTGAACACGTAATCAACTGATTAATATCTTACTATTTTTTTACTGACTGTATTCCCGGTACTTACAACGCCACAACGTTCAACCGATTTCAGTTATGATCATGTCTTCCATTGCCAATGATGGTGGACACCTATTAGACAATAATAACCCCAGTTTTATGTCTGAAGAACAAGATATATTGGACGAATTCTTGGACCAAAGAGTTTACGACTCCTTAGGAACAACCACACCCGTTTCAGGTGGAAACAACGACAATAATGGGACAAGTTCGAAATTAGAACAACAGCATGGTGTTTTAATGGATAGTTTATACACGGCTGCAAACTCTAATGCCCACAGAAGCTTTCCCCAATTGAATAACATGGATCCAATTTCTAGTAATAAGGACTATTTATATATGGATATGTCCGGAAGCAACAACTTTTCACATATACAGAGTGTCAAACATGAAGAATCGCCTATTTACAATAATAATGATAGTCCAAATTCCCAAGGTTCTGCTGAGGAATCTCCAGTATTGAAGCATCAAGTTCAACAACAGTTTGCTCACCTTCAAACAATGTCACAATTGTCGGATTTCGATTTTGTAAGAGATGAATTAAGTAAATTGAAGTTTGGCAATTATTTCATGAACCCATGTCCTGATACTGTTGATATACCCGACCCATCATACCTTGATTTTTCGTCAGAAGCAATGGCTAAATTACCATATAAATTACAAGTTGACAATTTACCAAACTATTCCCGGGTTGAAACTCAAATCAAATTGAAAGTTTCCTTAAGTCCACCACCATCCCAGCTATTACTTCACATTCCCCAAGACTTAATTTCCAAGAACAAGTTCTGCCTTTCGGAGCCTATCTCAAGTTTAAACCCAAAGTTAAAAGACAATTTATTGTATTTGGATGCTTATGTTTTCACTTCGGATTTATCTAAATCATGTAATATCTGCCCAAGATGTATCAAAAGAGAACAAAAGAGAGCATCAAGAAGAAAGATTGGTCAATTTAATGATAATGGCGAACCAATATTAGAACACAGTTATTCTGAACCAATAGCACAAAGTACCTCTGCCAATGGAATGGTAAAGAACAATCCAAACAGTTGGGCTAATGATAAAATGATGAAGAAAGCTTTAATTTTCAATTGTAAGGAAATTGTGTCATTCCCATCACCTACTGGATTAAATAACGATGCCACCAAGTCCATTGAATTATCGGCAAGAATAATATGTTACTGTAGACATCATAAAGAGTCAGATGGTTTCAAATTGTTGTTTGTGATTAGGAATAATAACGGAGAAGTAGTTGCCAAACATTTAACCAATTCAATTATGATTATGGATAGAAAGAAGACTAGTATGTCGATTAAAGATTCTTCATTACCAAACTCGATTGCTGGATCTTCTACTAATTTGCTGGGCATGACTGAAAATTCTCCAAATCAAATCAATGGAAATAAGAAGACAAATTCTGATTCTGAAGGCGATCAAGGAGGAATGCATCAATTATCTCCAAACTCAGTGTTGGATGAATCTGCATCGGAAGCTTTTACAAATACCGATATTGAATCGAGAGCACCTAAGCGAAAGAAACTTTCTGTTGATGACTCGTTGAATAACTCGTCAAATCCAATGTATAATGGAAGCATTAACGGATACTCGCCCGTCAGCAATAGTGATACAAATACTTCAGGCGTTACTAATATGTTTAAACCGCTTCAACAGCAAGCACTTCTAGGATCACAATCATTTGCCAATATAAGTACTTCAGCAGGTATTTCACCATTCAGCCAGGGACAAACCCAAACTCATGTACCCCCACAACATTCCCTCCCATCCATCCAAAGAATTATTCCCTCCCAAGGTCCAATTAGAGGTGGTATAGAAGTAACATTGCTCGGATTTAATTTCCGTCCTGGATTGCTGGTTAAATTCGGGGTTAATTCAGCTTTGGCTACTCATTGTTGGTCAGAAACTACCATTGTTACCTATTTACCTCCTGCTGCTATGCCTGGACAAGTATTGGTTAGTTTTGAAGACCTCGACAATATAATGTTGGGAGGACACCAACCACAGCAAGTTTTCACCTATACTGATGACACTGATCGTCAATTGATTGAATTGGCATTACAAATTGTTGGATTGAAGATGAATGGTAAATTGGAAGATGCCAAGAATATTGCCAAAAGAATTGTTGGTACTGATAGTAACAGTAATACCACTGGTATGAATACACCTACTCATAATCCATCATCGTCATCAAATCAACAAATGAAGATGTCGAATGATTCTTGGTTTGATAGCGCTCATAAGTCGTTGGAACAATTGACTAAATCTGGATTATCGACACAAGAAATCTTGATTAGTTTGCTTTCATTGGTTGATTTGCCAAATTGTCCAATTGTTATTCCTAACTGGCAATTGTCTAATAAAGAAGGTCAATCGTTGTTACATTTGGCTACTTTGAAGAATTATTCTAATTTGATTAGATTCTTGATCACCCACGGTTGTAAGATTGACTTACAAGACAATCAAGGTATAACTCCATTGTTCTTGGCTGGTATGTGTGGTCATCGTGATTTAATCAAGGTTTTCATTGACTGTAAATCTAATTTGAATTTGAAGTTGTCTAATGACAAGTATTTGAAGGATTATGCTGATTTGAATGTTTTGGATATGTTCCCTGATGGACCAAGATCACATGGGTTTGATGTCATGAAGAAATCTGTTAGTGTTGATTCATTGAATTCCATGTTTGAAAATGACTACGGAAGGCATGTTTCCAAGATGGTTTTGCTGGATGATTTGAATGATTTGGACAAGTCTGAGTATCCTCAACTGGATATTATAACTTCTGTGGAAGATTATTCATCGGAATTTGCCGATTCAGAGTATGAGTCTGATGATCATGATGATGAACCTGAGGAAGAAGAGTATGAAATTTATGAAGACGACTACTCAGAAGAGGAAGGTGTAGAGCATGATTACGACAGTGAAATTGAAACTATCATTGGCACATCTTCAACTGCAGCTACATCCGTAGCAACAAGTCCTGCAGATGCAACTACACCTACATCGCCTGGATTATGGCAAAAAGTGATGAATGTGTTCCATAGTGATGATGAAAGAGGTGAACGCGAATCCTTACCTTCCTATGATGATTTATTCCCATTGGGTCCGTCATCTTCTACTTCCAAACCAAAGTCATCTATCGAACGTTTGTTGAATCGGGTCGACTCTCAACAAGATTCCGATGCGGTGCCTTCTGATTCTTCAGAAGACATGGTGGTTTCCTATATCAATCATCCTCGAAAGACGGTTGAGAATGATAAGATGTTGTTCTTTTTCTGGTTGCCTGCATTGATGTGTATTTTAGGATTATTCTTTATGATCCATGTCATGGGATACAAGATTGAAATTATAGAACGTGCCAAGGATATAATCCGAGGTGTGGTTGGTAATGCAATGGTAGGTGATGAAAGAATCGGAAGATTGTTTAACCGTGGTGATCAGGGAGTTCTTCTGGTATGACGATGCTGATGATTTATATATATAAACTAGTTTGGTTTTTTTTTATTATTATGATTTGCTATAGTTCTTAGTTTTTGACATTGTCTAAAAATGGGTTATTTTAATATTTGTGTGTACAGTTTATCTTAATTTAATATATTTTCTAGTTATACTTCTTTAAGACCAAGCTATAAATTTTTCTTTTTTTGTATAGTGAAAAGTGATACGTAGAATTCTCTAGTTCTAAAACGATGACAAACATTGTACTTTTAAAGAATCCAAGCATACCGACCGACCCTTATGACATTAAATTCCTGTCAGAAAACTATACACCTCGGTTCATTCCTCTTTTAACACATGGACATGTTGACAAACAATCAACGATAGCCTATCTTCAATCAAGGGAATTCTCCCAGGTTGGCATTTTTATAATCACGTCACAACGGGCAGTGGAAATACTCCGTGAGTGCATTGATGAACTTGACGAATCTACTAAGGTGGAGATTTTCAAAAAAACAGGATACACTGTTGGGCCAGCCACGTTCAAGATCCTACGTGAGGTTGGGTTTTCTGATGTCCGTGGTGGTGAAGACGCAGGAAATGGTGCCAAATTGGCCGGGATAGTTATGGAAGATGTTCAGGATAAGTCTGAACCGATGATATTCTTCACGGGCGAGATACGAAAGGATATTATTCCACGAGCATTGATTGGACAGGGGTATAATTTGAGCGAAAGGGTGATTTATAAAACTAGTGGTCGTGATGATGTTGTGGAAAAGTTTAATACTGTAAAGAATCAAGGTGGATGGTTGGTGTTTTTCAGCCCGCAAGGCACAGAAACGTTTGTAGACTATTTAAAAGAGGGACAGAATAGACAAAAGTGGAAGATTGCTTCGATAGGGCCGACTACTGAGACATACCTTTTAGAGAATGGAATAACACCTGAGGTGGTTGCAGCAAAGCCTGCGCCAAATTCTTTATTTGATGCAATTGTCAAGATTGACAATAGTATAGAAAATGTATGTAGCTTTTAAAAAAAAAAGGTGTTTACGATGCAGCTTCTACATAGATGTAATTTAAACAAAGTTTTATCAAGAGTATTCAGTACAATATATTAAATAAATAATCATTCTAAACAAACAAAAGCTAAGAGAATAAAACAAGCTTACTTTCTGCTGGTCTTGACAACATCAATGATTTGAGAGACAGCTTGTGGGTTAGACAAAGTGGAGATATCACCCAAGGAGTCTTCTTCACCAGCCAATACCTTTCTCAAGATTCTTCTCATAATCTTACCAGATCTGGTCTTTGGTAAATCATCAACAAACAAGACGGTCTTTGGAGCGGCAAATGGACCAATTTCCTTTCTGACAGTCAAGATCAATTCCTTCTTGATAGCTTCCAAATCAGCATCGGCTGGAAGCTTGTGCTTCTTCAAGGAGACATAAGCAGCAATGGCTTGACCAGTCAAGTCATCAGCATAACCAACAACAGCAGATTCACCAACCAAGTCATGTTCAATCAAGGCAGCTTCAACTTCAGCAGTGGATAATCTGTGACCGGAAACGTTAACGACATCATCAACACGACCCAAGATCCAGTAGAAACCGTCAAGATCTCTAGCAGCACCATCACCGGAGAAGTAGTGGTCAGCATAAGGTCTCAAATAGGTGTCAATATATCTGTTGTAATCACCAAAAATACCTCTGGTAATAGATGGCCAAGCAGACTTAATAGCCAAAACACCTTCAACGTCATTGCCCTTTAATTCTTCACCAGTAGTTGGGTCCAAAATCTTTGGTTCAATACCAAAGAATGGCAAGGAAGCAGAACCTGGCTTGGTTGGGGTGACACCAGCAAGTGGACACAACAAGTGGGAACCAGATTCAGTTTGCCAGTAGGTATCGACAACATGAGCCTTGTTTCTACCAACATTTTCACTGTACCAGTGCCAAACTTCAGCAGCAATTGGTTCACCAACAGAACCCAAAACTCTCAAGGAGGACAAGTCATATGGTTCAACATACTTGTGACCAGCTCTCTTCAATAATCTCAAAGCAGTTGGTGCAACGTAGAATTGGTTAACCTTGTACTTGTCAACAATTTCCCAGTATCTGGAGAAGTTTGGATAAGCTGGAGTACCTTCAAAGACAACACTGGTAGCACCGTTCAATAATGGACCGTAAACACAGTAGGTATGACCAGTAATCCAACCAATATCACCAGCAGTAAAAAGAACATCATCTTCATGAACATCAAAAGTGTACTTGGTAGTTAAAAGAGCACCCAACAAGTAACCAGCAGTGTTGTGTTGAACACCCTTTGGCTTACCAGTAGAACCAGAAGTATACAACAAGAACATTGGGTCTTCAGAGTCAACTGGAGTAGGTGGGAAGTAGTTACCATACTTGGCCAATTCATCATGCCACCACAAATCTCTACCTGGAGAGAATGGGACATGAGAGTTACCAGTTCTCTTAAAAACAATAACGTTTCTGACATCAGGACAATCCTTCAAAGCGTCATCAACAATCTTCTTGGTTTCAATAGTCTTACCACCTCTCTTGGATTCATCGGCAGTGATAACAATTCTGGAATCAGCATCCAAAATTCTGTCCTTCAAGGAAGTAGAAGAGAAACCAGCAAAAACAACAGAGTGCATAGCACCAATTCTAACAATAGCTAAAAGAGTAACAACAGCTTCTGGAATCATAGGCAAGTAAACAGCAACAGAATCACCCTTCTTAACTCCCAACTTGGTTAAAGCTTGAGCCAATTTACAGACATCCTTTAATAATTCACCATAAGTGATTTTTCTACCGGAGTCTGGTTCGTCACCTTCATAAATAATGGCAACCTTGTTTGGGTCCTTGGCAGCCCATCTGTCAACACAATTGTAGGCGGCATTGATTTGACCACCGACAAACCAAGCTGGCAAGTCACCATTCTTGAAGTCATCCTTTTTGTCAGCTGGGAATCTTGGTTGATCAAAAGGTCTGATCCAGTCTAAGGTTTGTTTGGCTTGTTCACCGAAAAATGTGGCCGGGTCCTGGATGGATTGGTCATACATTTTTTGGTAAGTTGCAAAATCAGCCAAGTTTGGCTTGGAAGTAGAACGTTCAAAGAATCCTTCTGGAGGAGCGTGCATCTTTTCGTGGTCTAAAGAAATATGTGATTTCTGAGTTTGTTCAACCATTTTGAATTTGAATTTTTCTTTAAAAAAGTGGCGACGGTACTATATAGATAATAATTTGGGCGGGTGGGGTAGTTTTTTCTGAAAAATTTATTGTTCTTTAAGTCAATTAAAAAATATAAATCTTTTTGGAATTTCTGCTTGGTAAAATAAAAACTTTTAACTGCCGATTGTAAGTCAATTAAACCGAATAGTGAAAAGGTTGTGTAGTTGTAATAAATAAAATTGGGGACGACGCTTAACAAAAGAGTTTGGGTTTCTTCCAATTGATGATAAGAGAAAAGAAGGGAAGAAAGAAGAAAGGAATTGAAATAAAAAACGAGAGACCACGGGGAAATCTGTTCATATTTATAGTGGGCCACTGCGGAAACCCCCTCCTCCCCTCTATTAGATATCGATATTCCTCCGCAATTATTATTCCAAACTTAATTCGAGAGATGTGGGGGTTAGGGGCAAATGCATGCTTCTGTATATCTGCATTTAATTAAATTTCTTGTTCGTCCCCAAATCTATTTGGATTATTTTTTTGTCAGTTATTTTCCTGAGTAAAACCAGAAAATCTTACGAATGTACCCGACAAAAATCTTAAATCCAGACAATTTTTTTGTTTCTTTTTTGTAGTTTAAGGTTTCTGTTGACCGAGAATGCCCCACTTGTCCGGAGGGTTTTTTTTTTGTTAAAAGTCGGAATTTATGGGTTTGATTCGTGCTCAATGGTTAATACTTTGGTCTGATTAGTTGATGGCTGCGACAGTAAACAGGTTGCGATGCTGACGAGTGGCCATCTTCGCTAATCTTGAAAGGAACTACATTCGTCAAGTTACTATTTTCTATTAAAATTATCGTTTTTCAATTGAGTCGCAAGTTACATCTCGGACTTTGACCCTCAAAAATATTTATCCTTTTTTTCAGACATTTTTCTTGGTTCTTAATCTTTGAAGAGAACACACTTACGACCGAATGATTGTTCATTGTGCTAAGCGTGATTCTCTAGTCAATAGCCTCTTGCTTCCTTTTGAACGATAGCTTTTGTGGCTTTGCTGGCGAACTTGATATATAATGCGCGATTTGTAGGAACTAGCTGTCCGAGCGCATCCATTATTCCTTTCGGAGTTTTTTTGTGGTTTTTTTTTGAACACATTTATTTTCCGTGTCTGACCTTTTTTTTTTGTTGTGTGTGTGTGTTTTTCATGCACATAGGATGAACTCAAATTTTGTGGGGTTGGTTTCCCTGGTCTTTGAACCAGAAAAAATCTTGGCTTGCATTCTTAAAGTAAACAATGAAAATTTTTGTTGAGCTGTAATTGTTAAATTGGAAAACTAGCCAAGTCCTTTTCAACAAAACTCGAGGAGACATGTGGATTATCTCGGTTAAGCTTACTGTTTACAAGTGTGCTAATGGATGAATCTTGTAAAAAGAAAAAACTAGAGATAATAATGCACAAAGGGATTTTTCGGAGTTGAGTGTGGAATCTGCATGATAAACAGAGTTGGTTCAATAAATTTGGAACTCCGAACTCAAACGAAAACATGAAATGTACCCCACTCGATAACAATATACGTAACTAAAAAAAAAAAAGGAAAATAATATCTAGTGACAAGACCGGTTGAACGCGTGAATATCTCAAGAAATATCTTGTTCACAAAAAGGTACCTTCCGCTAGATGGGGCAAGGCGTACACGAGCAATATTTATGTAATCGTTTACAGAGGTTCGTATGTGGGGAACAGCCCTATTTGCTAGAAATTCAATGTGAAATTCTTCAGTTTAATTTTCAAGTAAATCATCCAATCTTTACAAACGCATTTGAAATTTGTGGTTATCCATACAAAAGTAAGATTGCTTCTTGCCAGATTCTAACATAAATTGTAAAAAAAAATGTCTGAAATATGGGGAAAATAAAATATAAAAAAATAAAAAAAAAATCTGCACAACAAGTTAAAATTATTTTCCCCCGTTCATCATTGCCCCACTAATGTTTCGATATTTCATTCTACTGCAAGTTAACCCCAAAGAAACGCTCAACGTGGAATCAACCCTACAAAATAAAGTTGAAATATATTTTCTTGCGGGCGAGGGGCAGTCACATTTAAATCTCGGAGTAGGTTCGGAGTTCGTCAATCTCATTAAGTATGTATATCCCCAAGTTTATAAATATTAAGAAAAATTCTTGATTGTTACAACTCAAGCAAAACTCTACAATCAATGCGGGGTCAATAATATAGCCGTAACCTTTTAGGTTGATTCACTTTTAGCTTTTTAAAATTCGGTAAAAAAAACCAAAATAAGACTTTCGTTCAATTTTTACGACTGGAATAGTCACCACATGCTGTTAAGACTCATATATCACGATTATTAGCATTGGGACTACCGCTAGTACATTCTACTATAAAACTATTCATCTGATTCGGACTTATTTTGACATATTTACTACAACATAACATAATACTATTGTAATGCCATACAGAGTAAATTTCATTAAATTTTGTATGCTCGAGCTATGTACATGGTCTAAAAGCAGAATATGAAAAATTACGTCATTAGAACTATTAAACTTCAGTTGGACGAACATTAATATTTCTTGTCAAGTCAATTCTTTCCAAAATGTCCTTTCCACCTTGTTTCTTCAACAAGTTTCCCAATTCGATACCGAGTTCTTCACAATCCTCGGCACTGTTAATTTTCTTTGTAGCTTCAGCTTCAACATATTCACTGCCGTCTGGACTGACAACTATAGCTTTTAAGTTTAATTCTCTAGTTTCTTCGTTATATTCACTCTTGACTCCCAAAGGAATTGAACATCCACCTTCCAAATATCTCATTAATGATCTTTCAGCAAGACAACAAATAGTAGCTACTGGATCTTCAATTTCTTTTAAAATTTTCTTTATTTTTTCATCTCCGTTCCTGATCTCAACCCCTAATGCACCTTGGCCAACGGCATAATACATATCATCTAAATTAGCCGTTATTCTGTCACCAAGTCCTACTCTGACTAATCCAGCACTGGCTAATATAAGACAACAATATTCATTTTCAGGATCATCCAATTTCCCCAATCTGGTTTGAAGGTTTCCTCTCACTGATTCAAATTTTAACTTTGGATAATTCTTGACTAACTGAGACAGTCTTCTAATCGAAGATGTACCGACAATAGAACCGTCTGGTAATTCTGCCAACAGCTTGTAGGGAGATCCTGCCTTCATGACGATTGCATCCCGAGGATCTTCTCTATGGAAAATACATCCTAACTCAAACTCTTCGGGTAAATTGGTAGGCATGTCCTTAAGTGAATGTACAATAATATCTAGTTGAGGGTATTCATCGATGCTTTGAAGTAATAAAACTTCTAACTCCTTGGTCCATAAACTCTTACCGCCAAAAGCATAAAGTGGTAGGGATTGGACTTTATCACCAAGGGTAGAAAGAGCTAATATTGAGCATGAAATCGAGGGAAACTTGGCTTCAATAGCAGCTTTCACTGCTTCTGACTGTACCACAGCAAGCTTAGATTTACGGCCTCCTATTTGTATGTGTGTTGGTGCTACTGACATTGGGTTCTGGCTCATCTAGTGGGAACGGCTATTAAGATTTTTTTTTTTTCAAGATGAAAAATTGTTTTTATACCTCTGACTCGACTCGACTCGTGTGTTGACTCTGTGAACTAGGTTGTTGTTTATCTAATTTTTGATATCCTGAGTAGGAAATTGACTGGAAGAAGAATGTTGAAAAATGTAAATTTATATATTTATATATATATATCGTAGTAACTACCTTTGCAATCGGTATGTTGCCAATGGCTGAAAATTTTTCTTGTTATCATGCCGGAAATATTGTCCCAATTAGGAAATTAGACACTCTTGGCTGCAACGGTTGAATGATTTGATTTTGATTTGAAACACATCTACCATGTGAAGTTATCTTCTTGTGACAATTCCAACTGATTCTAATCATAAGATACCAACTCTAGCTATGTCTTTTCTAGTTCTTGGTCAACTTTAGCTCTCCTTCTCCTTCCTCGGGAAAGGTGTATGAGTAATTCGCGCACAATTATTGGACAGAAAATCGTAAATTGATCCATTGTTGCATGTGCCATTTGCAGCAAATGAGAGATTCTGATTTCAAAGCAAGGTGTTTGACAACATCTACATAGGTAAATCAATAATATTACATAAATTATTAATTATAAGATAGTTACCAAATGTTCTTGACTACTCAACTAAGTTTCCGGTTGATAAAACTGTATGCCTTTCTCCCATTCTCCTCTCCTAAGATGTTCATAAATTCATTTTTGGATAATTGTACCAACTGTTCGATATTTCTCACCTTCTGTATAAGTATGTGATAATTCATGGCGTTTATTCCTGGAATATTCTGAATGAAATCAATTGGATCATCATTAAAAATTGGAGGCCCGCCATCTTCAGTGACAACCGATCTGTTTACCCCTTTATCCATAGCACTGCCAACCAGCGGTTCTTCTTGGTTTGCCTTTAATTCCAAAAATATTTGTGCTGTTTCATAGGGAGATGATGACCAAATAATTTTCAATTTAGGAAAGGCTACTAACAACAGCAATAATTTCGATTGGATATTTTGTTGTATCTTATTAGTGACAGTTGGGTTTCTTGGTGCTCCTGCTCGTTGAAATTTCGACTCTGAAAATGGCTCCAATGAGAAAGACTTATTCTCGTCAAACTCGATAAGTAAAGTAGGTAATTCATAATATTTAAACATTTGTTCACATTGGTGAAATAATCTACCGCTCTTGAAACTTCCAATTAAATCAGGAATGGATTTTCTCTCTACACATATCTTAGGGGACACAATATAATCACCAACAGTAATCATACAAGGGACAACTTTTATCCCGATTCGATAAAGCAAGTTCGGAAGTGAAGAGCGGAATTCTCTTACATCAACAACTACTCTCATCTCATCAGCTTCAGTTCTAAATCTGGCACCGCCGGCAATACGTGTGTTGACCACTTGATTTCGTTGGATTTGGAATCGATAGTTGTCTTCGGCAGTTTCAAAATGTTGACCAAGATTACCTTTTTCCTTGATCAATTTAGTAAATGCTTCTTTTTCTTTCTTTATTCGAATCAAGTGTTTTTGTTCTTCGATTGAATTTCCATAGTATAACAAAAAGACCTTGGCAGGATTATCGTGATTAATCGCTTGAAAGATTTCAACTCTTCTCATAAACGTTAGATTAGGTTCATACATGATAATATGCGATGGTGATAATTCTTGAAGTAGAGATAAATCATTATCTTCGTTATAGGCTTGTATTAATATCTGGGTATCATTATCGATACAGGAAAACTGAATCAGTCGAACTTCTTCCACTTCCTCGTCATTATCTTCGCTTTCTATAAATTCACCTTCTTCTTCCTTTCTGTCTTCCTCCTCCTCAAGTTTCTTTAATTCTTCTTCGTCAACATCAGCTGTATCTGTAGTTGATGAATACATTTTAGATACTCTGGCGGTTACGCTATCACCTCTGGTTCGTCTTCTCTTACTTATTGGTTGACCATTCCTGGTGAATGTCTTGGAAACCGAGATTGCCTCTTCAGAGTTTTCTTCCCCTTCGATACCTTCTTCTTTATTCAATTCAGCACTAACTTTCTTGACGAATGAATTAATTTCTTTCCAATCTAGATATTCGTGAACTTTTCCAATCATGTATTTCCGGGCACTAAACCTTTTCAAATCAGCAACCTGTTCAAGCTTCATAGTTTCTAATAACCTATTTAATTGCTTGGCTATTCTACTTGAGGAGCACATGATTAATATTGGTCCCTGATCTTTCAAACTACTCATGCTCTTTTCGTATAATATATCGTCTATAAGCATTCCTAATTCACTCCATTTTGGCAACTCTTCCAAAATATACTCATTGTCGTATTTTCCTAGTGCTCTTTCCTTGGCATAACTTATAATGGTATTCGATTCATTCAAATTAAGCCAGGGACTCATAGTCGCATTCATTGAGGATGATTGATGTTTAATATTGGCATCAACTATACCTTGAACTGCTTGATAGTACGAGACTGAGTCAAGCGTAAGCAACCCGTTGAGTAGATTGAGTAATGTACCTAAGTCAACCACTAATATCTTGGTGGTATATGTTACTCGATGCCATTGCGACTCTAATGAAAGTCGAATATTTCGAACAAAGTCAGGATCATGGACATTTTCCATATCCCAATATTCAGTAGCCAATTCAGCATTATGTCTTTTCAATTCCCCTAAACATGCTTGAATACATGAAAGAATGGCCGACTGAATCTTATTCATTTTATATGATAGTTTTGTATTTATCTCAATTACGTTTTTTCGTGTTTCTCCCTTTTTAACTATGTTAAAGGATTGCGAAATAGTGAGATGATATCGTGGCCAAAGGAAAACATTTGATAATCGCAACACTTTCAATTTTGTAGCTAAAGGTGTAAAACCAACAAATGATTCTGGGCTATCGGAAAATGCCTTGATAAACCCCCATTCGTTTTGATCTCGATATAGACTAACAATAAATGATTCATTAGATGTTTCCTTTATCCTTTCAGCATGAAGAATGAACAATCCGGTTATGTCATGAGGGGATATCATCCCTGACAATAAATCAACCACAAGAACTCGTGACGTGATTGAAATGATACCTCCTTCTGAATATATTGTCTTTCTCTTACCAGATTGAGAGTCACCTGTAATTTCCATAAATGGGGTTGGAGTGGAACCACTTTCATCTAGCCAACTCAAGTAACTCAATTCTTCTCGTAGCTGAATAATTTCTTCTTTTCTCATATTCAATACAAATATTAACCCCCGCTTCTTCACTTGGTTGTTGTCTAATGTCACCGTAGGTGAACTTAATGCATGTAACAAATTGGAAGTAATTAGATCCCACCCCAATCCATGGCCAAGGATTAATAATCCGTCCTTTGTAAGCATATCCTCCACGATTTCCTGTTGGTAAGGTAATGGCAATGTACAATGAACTTCACGATCAGGATAGATTGGGACAATTTCAGGTTCTTGGAACACCACTGGGATCGAGCTTTGCTCAACTTCAGGAACTAAAGATGCATCTTCTGGAGGTAGGTCATCTTGTACAAACAAGGAAGACATTTGGTTGTTAAATGTTCTATAGCAAAGAGTAGCAATATACAAAAAAAGTTAGATATGTGAAAAAAAAAAAAAAAACAAAGTATAAACTTGCAACACTTTTTTAAACAGCAGAATTCACCAGGTAAGTTTACCACCATGAACAAAACTACGTTTAAAGCATCTGACTTTGCGAGAATTGAACGTGCAGAGTTGAATCAATCAACTTTGTTCAATATCATGCGTATAGAGAACATATCTAAGTCAAAGCTAAACCAAATGGAGGACTGGCAACACTATCACGACCCAAATAGCGTGTCAGTGGATAGGATAAAGAATTCCAATAGAACAATCATTAGGGAAATCAAAGACAGCAGTGATGACAATGGACCAAGAGACGCGAATACAAATGTCAACGTCACTTACAAGCTCTTGCTTCGTGATTTCCACAACAACTACACTTTTGCATATGAACAAGAACCATTGAACTTTCTTCGGTCACACCGAAGTAATGCTACTCCATTAGGGATTGATCTTGGTGGCAGATTATTAGTTAAACAAGGTGCTACAATACTGAGAGGTGTTATCTTTCTAGATCACAAGAATTGCGATTATCAAGGACTGCATCCTGAAGATGAACAGTTGACCAGAACTTTAAATGATGGGTTGGTTCAAAAGGAAATAGATATATTAAAGAGTGAATTGGGGTTATAATAGTATACACTCTAGAAACAAGCGAGCGGAAACAAAGTTTAGAGCTTCCACTCAGCCACTAGTTATTCACCTAATAAAGTATCCCATAACGCGCTTTCTTCAGGGAAGTCATGATGAATTAAACTAACAAGAACATAATCAGTATAGACTGAATTCAATAATTGGAAAGATTTCGAACTCATCTTATAACATCTTGCCCATTGCAACCACAAAGAGAATGCTTCTTCATTCCAGGCTCTAAATGATTCGTAATCAATAATAGTGGGTTGAATAACTTCCTTCAGTGGGAACACCCCCCAGGTAACAGCATTCTTGGTGTAACGTGCATCTGGTTCATTTAATAAACTAGATTGGATCTTGCCATCTTTATCTCCCGCATAAAAGGTGATGGTCTTTTTCTCAATACTTGATTGTATTCTTGGTAGCAATACAGATTCCCATTCCAGTTTAGGAATAAATAATTCAACAAATGCCTTTTGATATATAATACCATTTCTTGGTCCCCACCCAAAAATTCTGTCTGTAGATTTACATCCGTTAACTGCTGGTTGAGAAGCTAATGAAAACCATCCCTTTTTATTCAATTCAAATAATTCTTCTTGAATCAAAGCGGTTTCGGGGGATAACGGAGTATCAGTCCATGGTAAAACATCTATTTTTCCTGATAAATAGTCAGTAAATACTTGGGTCAAATCTTGCTTTGTTTCTGGCGTGCCCCATTTCAATGATGCTTCTGCTGGAGTATGAATCTTCAAGTTTGGTCCGTAACCATCAATTTCACCATAAGCTGGAGAATTGGAATCACCAAATCTACCATTAGGGAAATCATCCCAAGTAGCATCCTTACCTAATGCACCTTTACCAGTACTGATGTCCACCACGACTTGTCTATCTTTCAAGAGAGCTTTGCTGATTAATTCCTTGGTTGCAGGAGAAATGGCGACTTCATTGTCGTTTATTAAGGAAGACTTCCTTCTATTGATTCCATTCTTAGTAGAACTCGCCGGTATCGCTTGCTCTTCATCCTCCGACTCGGAAGCAATTGCATCGTCGTGTTCAGCTGATACTTGAGGCATATCCAAAATTGGTTTCAATACTTCAGATTGGTCCACAATCGAAGCCACGGCTTTTTCTAAATTCAAACAATAGAAATGGTACCCTTTGATTTTCGAGCCAATTGTAGAGTCAATCTTTTTAACTATATCACTCAAAATTTCAACACCAAGAGTCTTGACTGCATCGTCGTCATTGCTCACTTTTTCAAGTTCATCTAGTATTTCCCTGGGAATGGAGGCATGAGATAATTTACTGGCTCTAGTAAAGACTCTGTATGTGGTAATTGGCATCAAACCAGGAATTAAAGGAATATCTTTCAATTCTTCATATTCTTGTAACAATTGTTCGTAAGAAATAAACTTGTCAACATCAAAGAATAGTTGAGTGATGATAAAGTCTGCACCTGCCTTAACTTTTTCAACTAAATAAGGCATGTCCTTCTTAGGATCTTGGCCAGAGGCGTCAGATCCATCAACATGCCCTTCGGGGTATCCCGCAACCCCAACACAGAAATAATCACCGTATTGTTCTCTGATATACTTAACCAAGTCAACGGCGCCATTGAATTCACAATTTGGGGTCCAGTATTCTTGAGTTCTTGGAGGGTCACCTCTCAATGCCAATATATTTCTAATTCCATTACGTTTAGCCCTGGCTAAGGCATCATCAATAATTTCCTTGTTGGTATTGGTACAAGTTAAATGTAACACTGTGGTTAATCCCAAGTCATTTTGACAAGTTGCAGCCAAATCCAAGGATTTTTCACTGGTTGAACCACCAGCTCCCCAAGTGACTGTTATAAATAACGGATTAAGAGCCAGCATACGGTTCAATCTGGCGAGTAAATTCCTGAACCCAGAATCGGTTTTAGGAGGGAAAAATTCAAAGGAGATAAATTTTTCATTAGGCTTTAACGACTGTATCTTCTCTTTAACTGTGGTCATATTTGTAATGATTTTAAATACGTGATAAACAATGTGGAGAAAGTGTCGGTTGTAATGGTGAATTTGTTCAACAAAGTTAGGAACGATCGATGAGTAACTTTTAGGTCACGTGCAAGGTTACCTTATTTTTTTGACTCGGTTATTACACACCCACAGTTACAAAATTAGACATTATTGAATTCTATATAACGATACTACAGCATATACACAGGAACCTATTAAATGACTGTACCAGAGGTGATTACAGTGCCTCTATACGTACTTAAACAGCACTATAGTCACCTCTGCTTCTATTACCAGTGAATCTTTCAATGATTTCTCTACAGAAACCTGGCAAGCCTCTTAACAAATCAATAAAGTTTTCCAAAACCTCCTTTAATGCACTTTGGAAATCTATAGCATTTCCCTTGTTATATTGAAACCAGGCACCACCAACAATGTAAATACTTAAAAACAATACCAAAAAGATAAAGATCCAGGTGAACCAACCCCAAGATTCACCGTTATCTGGTTTCTTTTTATTGTCATCTGGCTTGTTCTTCTTTTTATCCTTGTCATTGGTTATACATGCCGCTTTGGTAGACATGGTAAGTTTCAACTTAGTGCCATCCCACTTATCCAACTTAAACTTATCGTCTTCGGCCTTTTTATCACAAATAAACTTCAATTCAGCATCCACTAAAGAATCTCCCCAGTTCACTCCACTATACAGAATTATGATTCCATCTGAGTCTGAATCCTTATCGTCCTTAGAGAACGGTTTATAAGTCTTTTGTAAATTTGCATTGAAACTGACAATTTCGGAGATAATTGGCTTATCCTTGTTGTCACTAAGTATAATTGATGTAATCCCACACAAATCTGAGTTCTTAGGACAATCTTCAATTGAATTAATTGGTTCACAAATACCTATATTCCAAGTTATGTTTGTTTGGGAAGGAGGCGTATTCTTCAACGTAGTCAAAGTATGAACACCCTTGATACTTTCAAAATTATAAGGTTTGAGTTCTTTAACAGAACAATCGATACCTGCACATGTGGCCACTAATGTGGTTAGTATACTAAAAGCTGTGATGGATAACATGTGTTTAAGAATTAAATATATAACCAGAGAAGTGGTGGTTAAGACCGGGTCTCTATCTGGGTTTTTTTTTTTTTTTCTTCGTTGCTTGTCGTCATTTCCTTGCAAATGCATCAACCTGTAAATTAAATTAAAACTGTAAACTGGATGGATTTACATGTTCTGGTCATGTGAGTTTGGTCATGTGATGTGACTATCTGCCCCACCTTTGGAAATCATCCGAGGAGCTTTTTTTTCGGCATGTGCTGCCTTTGTTGCATGCCACGGTAAAATTTAGTCTCCTCGATATAACCCCACGTCAAATTATTCATTTAAATATGTTTATTCTTCTTGTCAAATTTTTGAATTAGAAATATTCTTCCATTTCTATACTCTTCGTCAATAACTTATTATAGAAATAGAATATCAATCACATCATGGTCAAAGTAACTGTTGCCGGAGCTGCTGGAGGTATCGGACAGCCATTGTCCTTGCTCTTGAAATTAAACCCACTTGTCACTGAGTTAGCCCTTTATGATATTGTCAACGCTCATGGTGTTGCAGCTGACTTATCACATATTAACACCCCTGCTGTTGTGACTGGACACCAGCCATCTGGTAAGGAAGACAACTCTGCTATTACTGCAGCCTTGAAAAACACCGATTTGGTTGTCATACCAGCTGGTGTTCCAAGAAAGCCAGGTATGACTAGAGCCGATTTATTCAATATCAATGCTTCTATTGTCAGAGATTTGGTTGCAAACATTGCAAGAACAGCCCCAAATGCTGCGATTTTGATTATTTCCAACCCAGTCAACTCAACCGTTCCTATTGCTGCTGAAGTATTAAAGAAGTTGGGTGTATTCAACCCACGTAAATTGTTTGGTGTTACTACTTTAGATGTTGTCAGAGCAGAAACCTTCTTGGGTGGATTATTAGACGTTGATCCAAGCAAGCTTAGAGGTAAGATTTCTGTTGTTGGTGGACACTCGGGTGATACCATTGTTCCTTTGATCAATTATGATTCGGAAATTTCCAATAAAGCCAAATCTCGTTTGAGCACTTCCGACTATGAAAAGTTTGTTAACCGGGTTCAATTTGGAGGTGATGAAGTTGTCAAGGCCAAGAACGGTGCTGGTTCAGCAACTTTGTCAATGGCTCTTGCCGGATACAGATTTGCCGAAAATATCTTGGAATCATTAAATGGAAGAAACCAACCTGTGTTGATTCCTGATTCAGCCTACATTTACTTGCCAGGAATTCCTTATGGTAAGATCTTTTCTGATAAGCATTTGAATGGAGTTGAGTTCTTTTCCGTGCCTGTACGTTTACAAAATGGCCGTATTGAAAGCTTTATTGATCCATTTGAAGGTTTAGTTAAAACTGATGAAGAACAGAAATTAATTGAAGTTGCTTTAAAGGGATTAACTGGTTCAATTAAACAAGGTACCGAATTTGTTAAAGGATCTAAGTTATAATCACTTTTTGATGTAAAGAACTTTGATGTATAGTGTAATTTATTTATTTAACCATATTCCGATATAGCCATATTGCTATTATAGATAGAATTTGCAAAAAAAAAAAAACGAAATGTTTGATCTAGCCGAGGATCGAACTCGGGGCCTTTTCGGAACTTACTGTGAACCTCACATGTAAACGAAACGTGATAGCCGCTACACCACTAAACCAAAATTTTTTTAAATTTTTCTTATCGTTTTTGTGGTTGAAACTTGCATTGTACACGTGACCTAGTCTTTAAAATTCCTCTCAGGTGAAGTTAACAAGTCAATTGAAGTGCTAAATATAGTTGGTTCGTGTGTTTAACACTTGAAATTTCATCATGTCTATTCTAATTCGGATTTTTTTGAATCTTTGGCGTTCTAAAACCATCATTTAAAATTGTTGCAATTTCTGCAAATTTTTGTAAATTTTTTCGGAAACATAGTAATATAAAGTTATATTAATTTAAACATTGTTGAAAAATACAGTAAAATGACAACTTGAATTTCTCAATACTCCTAAATTGGTTAATACAATCTCAAAATTATAATATCTCTTGTGAAATGACAGAATAAAAGGAAACCTTGGTGACAAGACCTTATTACGTTGGAATTAGCAGCAAAATTAAACAAACAGATAAATGTAAAGATATCTAGACCAATTCATGTTGTTAATTGAAAGAGATCAGAAAATGATACTCTCACGACAAGATGATTTTCCTTTCACTGAAGTAGCTTTAATAAAACAGAAATTTACTCGATAATTTCAACCCAACTACGTTTTAATACACCTCAACACGGAATCCACTTTTTTTTTAGTCAGAACGATACTAGTACAAGTATTTAGTATTTGTGGCAGTAAATGTTAAGTGAATTTTCCCTATTGTACTCCTAAAATTTCAATTTCTTAAAGCCTATAATGTTTCAAGAGAAGGCTGGATACTATAAGCATGTTTTCTAATGAACACATTTTACTTTTGTTGGTCACATGTAAAAACAAGATTATTGGCCGGAAGCTGGAAAACCTAAGTTTCTTGAAGACAAAATAAGTTGGAAGAAGATATAAATCTTTATCCATCTTCCCACAATTTGAAGACGTGAGGTTTGTCTTGCTTTCTAAATTTTGTTCCAAAATAAATTTTTTTTTCTCAAAACCATTTCAAAAGGTTGCAAAATTTTCGTGTGAATTAAATTTCCACTTTTTTACGTTTAACGCCTGTCACAATAAATTCACTAAAAGGAACGGGTTAGATTTTAAAATATTGGCATTATCTATTAGAGTTTATTAACTTAGGTAAACCTTGAGGACGTTCAGGAAACATTATAAGAATGGACCAAATTTTGAAAAAAAAAGCGGTTAGCAAATGTTAGCTAGTACAACTTATAGATTTACAATTTCCTCGAGCCCTAAGGGTGTAATATGATAGAAAGGTATCAAAAGGTTAATTAATGTTGAATGGTTTGGCAACAACAAACAAAGAAGGAAGAAGCAACAAAGTGTGGATATAAATATCTTTTTGAGAAATTGTTATGGCTATCCTTAGAAATGTAAATAAAAAAAGAGTTAAATTATGAGAAAATGAATGAAGTGATATATTAGTCGATAGGAAAACCTAATTACTGGAATGTAGCAATTAGAAAGCAAAAATTGTCTGCCATTTCTGTTTTCAACAATATCTCTCTAGTTTGGTATAAATAATGACTAGACAAGTTCACAGATAGTCAGTAACAAGATCAAAGTTCTTTGAAATTGACGACACCTTTAAAACTCAATTAACCTGGCTGTAAAAAACAGTTATTGAACCTCCTTTGCAGCAAATATTCATCAATAAATAGTCTAACTTTTGGACCCCAAAAAATTATAAAACAGAAATATTTGTTAATTTATGTGATTGACTAGATATTTTTCATTACAGAAAAACTTTTAATAGGTGTTTAAAAACTGTTAAGTCCACGTATGACTACCCTTGAAGATAATCAAAACTATTAAATATAGGCACGTGACTATAATCCCGGCACAAAAAACTTGAAAAATTTTAAGAAAAAATCAGCCTGCGTAGCGTAATGGTTAACGCGTTTGACTTCTAATCAAAAGATTCCGGGTTCGACTCCCGGCGTGGGTTGTCTTTGCGGTTTTAGCTCAGTTGGGAGAGCGTCAGACTGAAGAAATTCAGTCACAGTTTAATCTGAAGGTCCTGTGTTCGATCCACAGAAATCGCATTTGTTTTTTTTTTTTTTGCTAGTTCGAACTAGATGACAAGAAGTAGTTGTAATCTAAGTCAAGATTGATTATACTATCCATTTTTTTTTTTGAGTTGCATCGGTCCTTTATTTTAAGTAGAAGAATTAGTACATTTTTTCTATACTTTACAAACAACTGCAATCTATACATCTATTATTTTATACTTGCACATGGGTGGAGACTGAAAAAAGACCTCGGTCTCTGTTTGCCCAACTTACATAGTTAGGACTGTAATGTAACAATTCTCTATAAGCAGGAATTGCCGAGCTAGATTCCTTGCCTCCATCAACAGGAGTCATATCTGCCCAGAAACACTCTATTGAAATCCCCAACTTGTTTATTTCATCGTCTGGTGAATCGATTATGTTTGGTAACCACTGTATACCAATACGGAAATTCTTTTTCCAATCTAATTTGTTAAGGTATAAGTTGTCTATACCAGCAACATCTTTGAATAAGTAATTACCATCCTCATCTCGGGAGAAGCCTTCCGGAAGCATTCTAGTATTGTGGGCAACACTTGAGACGTTCTTGGGTTCGTCCGCAAATACAATAACTGTTTTAGCAGGTGAATCCTTGAACTTGTCTCTTCCAGAATGACTAGCCTTTTTATCGAATTGTAAATTGCACATTCGGTTTTCAGGAGCTTTAATTATAATTTCTCCGTACAATAATCCATAAGGTAACCTAGAAGAAGAGTCTTCAACTATTTCAATTTGAAGATAATCACGGAAATCCTTTGCTCCAGGAATGATTTCCGGTTGAAGAGTACTCTTGTATGAACAAACTTGATTTCCATCAACAATGTTCTCACAGGCAACACTAACTTTGGATTCCTTGACAGAAGGAATATCAGCAAGAATGTCATAGAAAATACCTTCTCTTCCAAACACTTGAACAATACTATCTTGTTCTGATTGTGTCAAGTCAACCTTTTGAATGAATCTTAATTTTAATGGATTTGCGATATTGAATGGTTCAAGGAAGGAGATCAATACAACACCCAGAGCAGCAAATAAAGTGAGTCCCCAGACAATTATTCTGTTCAATTTAAACACAAATGGCAAGTATGGCAAGACCCAGAAGAATGCAAAAAGTTGAATGATTTTGTAGATTAAATTCTCAGCGGCAAGCGATTCTTGAATCGATTTATTCACACCATCTAATACTAACCAACCTGAATTGTACACAATCAAAGAAGTAAGTGGAACAATAATTAAGAATTGAAGTGACCAATCATATCCAAGATACTTTACCAAACCTTTAAATCCATCTTCATCTCCTAAAAGACTGGACTGGGGAGTCAAATCATCAGGATCTTCAGTACCATAACTTTCTTGATTCCCTTCCAACAAAGGTTGTGATGCTTCTTCGTCAGTTGTTTGTGGAGTAGTAAATGACCATCCAAGTAAACCAAGGAAAGCTGCTACTGATTGCACAATAAACAAGATCGTGATGGGGAATTCTCCGGTGTGGTCATTACCTATCCTGTTATAAGAAAGGCTCCTGGAAATATAAACTAAAGCAATCCAATAGAACAACGAGATTTCTATGATGACAATTAATTTCTCATCATGATTCAAAACCTTTTGACTTCTAAAAAGCAAGTTTATTCCATTCAAAAAGACGTAAAACAACAACAACAAGATAGCGACAGAAGTGTACACCAATAATAATGGATAAGTAGTGGGCAAATATTGATTCAATTTTTGGAAACCATCAGAGACAAGTAAATTCATAACTACACCAGAAGCAATGGCTGCGAGTGGGAACTTCAAAACATTAACTGTAGTCACTTGCCAAGTTTTCTTGTATTTGAAAATAATCAAAAGTAAAGCAAGACTGATAAGTGGAACCAAAACAAGCAAACTAGTGTTTACAACAATCAACGTGGAGACAGGGACCGAGAAGAAGTAATTCAAGAAACTGGCATATGATGCAAAGTCTTGACTAGACTTTTCCAGTTCATCAGCTGACTCATTATCCAAATCAATCACTTGCCCAGCGACGAACTTGGAAAAATCAATTGAATTAGACAACATGTGCCATAACGATTTGATATTATTGTTCTTGATGCTGTCACTTGCAGTGTGATAGATATCTCTGGGTTTATAAAAGGCCAAGTCCAAACCTCTCAAACCTCCCATTTCCTTGTAAATCTTGTAATCAGTTTCACTATGGATCAAATGGTTATTGAAACCTTCTTGGAAAATTGAAGTTGCATATGGATACCTTACATTCTTGAAATATTTGACGATTCCAAAATCAGTACCTCTGAATAAGATTGCCTTACCACCAGCACCAGTACCTTCCAAGTTCAAAAAATACTTGATTTGTTCAAACCAAGGATGTGATAAAAAGGCAGTAGCCCCATAAAGACCAAACTCCTCATCATTATTAAAATTAAATATCACTGTACGTTTTGGTCGTTGTGTGGATTTGTCGCTAAAGTAAGACAAGACCCCTAATAAACTTGCAATTCCCATACCGTCATCAGTTACACCAAAGGAAGAAGGAACAGAATCATAATGGGCACTTAGTAACAAAGCAGGAAGGTTTTTGTCGGTACCATTGATTCTAACCAACAAATTATTACTTTCGTAGTAAGAAATTGTCGTTTGCTCTCCTGAAGCTGACTTGAACAATATTTTGTTATCCCCATTCAAGTCATTTTCATACTCAATATAAGATTTTTCTTTAATTATATCACGAATTCTTGTTTGTAAATAGTCGTGAACACGATCGTTGGCATGGGAACCATACGTGTGTTCATGTTTGGCTATGTTTTGTAAATCCAACCATGAGGAGTCTAGAATATCAACTTCTAGTCTATCGGTGGGTAAACTAACAGTCAAATCGAGATTATTATCAATATATGACAACAATATAGTGAATGCAATTGTCAAAATCACAAATAAGGTCAATGAAGTCTTTCTGTAGCCAAATACTGCACGGATAAAGCGTATGAAAATGTTGGGAGAATTGTTGTTGCCTTTTACAACAGCCACATGGTTGCTAGCAACCCCGTCACTAGACGAAGCAGTTCCACGAGTTGCGGGTGGTGTTGATTCATTGAGCTCAGACATGATGTTCTAACCTCAATTGGTGTTTGTTTGTCAATTGATTAGTCAGGATTATGTGTCGATAATGCCTGATAAAAACGGTTGTTGTTTCATGGGGCTAAGCTAATTCAGCTTGTATTGCAAGCAGAACCGGAATTGGCCAGAATAGCACGTGATTATGGAAAGTCCGAGCAAATATTCACCAGAAACAGAAAAAAGCTCCCGCGGAATATTTTTCAATTATCTTTACCAGATTTGATCGAATTATAAAAAGGCAAGATCTCTCCAGCAATTCTCTCTTTCATACTGCTATATTGAATCCCAACAATGCCAGAATTTGCTCCTTTGAAGAATGATTTGATTCTTAGAGCAGCTAAGGGAGAAAAAGTCGAAAGACCTCCAATTTGGATTATGGTATGTCTGGTTCTATCCATGTGAAAAATTTGCAGCGAATAGCAATGAGTCCCTCTTTTACTAACACTCCATTTAGAGACAAGCAGGTCGTTACTTACCAGAGTACCATGAAGTCAAAGGAAAAAGAGATTTTTTTGAAACCTGCAGGGACCCAGAAATTGCATCTGAGATTACTATCCAACCCATTGACCATTTTGATGGGTTGATTGATGCGGCTATTATTTTCAGTGATATTTTGGTTATCCCACAGGCCATGGGTTTTGAAATTGATATGGTCGAGGGAAAAGGCCCGGTCTTTGCATCTCCATTAAGATCCCCAGAAGATTTATCCAGAATCGATTTAAATCCTGATATCAAGTCCAAGTTGGATTGGGCATTCAAGTCGATTACCTTGACCAGAACCAAGTTGAATGGTAGAGTACCACTTTTAGGGTTCGTCGGAGCACCATGGACTTTGTTGGTATACATGACAGAAGGTCAAGGTTCCAAGATGTTTAGATTTGCCAAAGAGTGGATCTTCAAATATCCCGAGGCAGCCCATAAGCTTTTACAGGCTACTTGTGACGCTTGTATTGAATTTTTAGCCTTACAAGTTGTTGCTGGTGCTCAGATGTTACAAATCTTCGAATCATGGGCAGGTGAGTTAGGCCCAGATGACTTCAATGAATTTTCCTTACCTTATTTAAAACAAATTGCTGAAAAATTACCTAAGAGATTAAAGGAGTTGGGTGTTGAAGAATATATCCCATTGACCGTGTTCGCAAAAGGGGCATGGTATGCATTGGATGACTTATGTAATGCGGGTTACGATACTGTTTCTCTCGATTGGTTGTACAGACCAGAAGATGCCGTCAAAGTAGTCAATGGTAGAAGAATAACTTTACAAGGTAATATAGATCCTGGTGTTATGTATGGATCGGACGAAGTCATTGCGAAAAAAGTTGAAAAAATGATTCATGGTTTTGGTGGTGGAAAGCAAAACTATATTATTAACTTTGGTCATGGTACTCATCCCTTCATGAAGCCAGAAAGAATAGAATACTTCTTGAAACAATGTCATAAATATGGTTCTGCATAAACTATATTAGTCAGACCCATATGACTCACTGTGTTTTTGTTTTTGTATATGCTCTTTTGTTTGATTCCATAATTTGCCATCATATAAATTAGTGCGAAAAATCTTGCGACAGAATAAAAATACTTGATCCGTACATAGCCAACTACTCTCTAAGTCCACAATGCCGGAAGCACCTATAAGACCGAGCGAACTCTACATATATGACTTGCCAAGTAAAGTATTGGACTCTCTAGAGTTACTCTACTTCGACTCCAATACACTGGCAAACATAGATGTTAGTGCATTGTCCACCAAAGAACCTGAGGTTGTGGCAGAGAAAACTGCCAACAAAGACACCGACTTCTACAAGTCTGACTTTTACAGATACAATTTGAAAAGATCGCTTCAAAATTTGCCTGCTATAACTGAAGACGAGTTTGAAGAATTGATTGAAAGAACCTCGATTGAAAGTTTATCTGGTTCAGATTCCGAATCCAATACCGATGACGACGACGAAGAAGAAGAAGAAGAGCAGGACGAGCTGAATCCAAGAGAGGACAGGCTTCAAACTTTAATGAAGAGACTAGAGTTGGAAAATGCAAACGATGACGAAAACGAATCAACTGTGAGCTTTTTAAACACCAAATCAGCATACTTATTGTTCAAGTCACCGTATGTGTCCTCATCCGAGAAGGCATACGGAATCTACAAATCCTTATTCACCCAAGAACAGCTACTCAATGCAAATCCAATGACAGAACTCAAGCAATTTTCACAACTCAAGACCAAAAAGTCTGCTCTTTTCATGATTGGAGGTGGTCATTTCGCAGGTGCAATAATATCTCATACCCCTAAAAACACTCGCGGTAACGCTCCAACAGCTAAGGAATCAATACTAGAGCAAGGAGTCAATATTGTCATATCAAAAACATTCCATAGGTATACCACTAGAAGAAAACAAGGTGGGTCTCAAAGTGCAAGTGATAATGCTCGAGGCAAAGCCAACTCCGCTGGGTCGAGTATAAGAAGATATAACGAACAGGCCTTAATACAAGAAGTCAGAGAATTGTTACAAGAATGGAAATCCCATTTGAACGAATGTGTTAGTATATTCATACGAGCTAATGGTGCTTCAAATAAGAAAATTTTGGTTGGGTATGAAGGCGCCGTTCTTCAAAACAACGACCCTAGAATTAGAAGTTTCCCATTCACAACAAAAAGAGCAACCACGTCTGAATTAAAGAGGGCTTGGGTAGAATTAGCATACTTGAAGGAAGTCCCCATTCCTAAAGCCCTGTTAAAGACACCAGAAGTCAAGAGAGCCAAGAGCCCAAGCCCTGCCAAGATTGAGAAACCAAAGGAACAAATAAGAGCCGAAGAGGTTTCTGCAGAGTTGATTTCATTGTTGAAGAAACAAAAAGCACCCAAGCTCATCAGTTTCATTAAACAAAACAAAATCGACGTGGATTCATTTCGTCTTCAACCGGAGGATCGATTCACACATAGCCCAACATTATTGCATTATGCCTCAGTCAACAGTTTAAACCACATGGTTCAAATCCTTGTGGTTAACCTCAAGGCCAATCCTACGGTTTTAAATAAGGCTGGTAGAACTCCGGCTGAAGTGGCCAGTGATGCTGAAACCAGAAAGGTGTTCCAAATTGTCAGACATAAACTTGGGGAATCGTATTGTGATTGGAAATTGGCCAAAGTTGGGCCAGCCAAATCCAAAGAAGAATTTGATCGTGAAGAACAAGAAAAGAACGAACAGATTAAACTTGAACAACAAAAATTGATTCAAGAAGAATTGGCTAAAAAGACCGAGATGGAATTGCGAAAACCTAAGATTCAATCTTCAGGAAGCTTGGCGACTCCAGGTGCCGATGCTCTTAATATGAGCGGTCTTTCAGAGCAGCAAAAGATGAGAATAATGAGAGAGCAAAGAGCAAGGGCCGCTGAAGCTAGAATGAAGATGTTACAAGGTAAATAGATATGTATTTAATAGACTTAATTTTCCTTTTCACTTTCAGGATCTTCTGTATCCTGATTTTCGATATCCGTATCACTCTTTTGCTCATTGGATACCCTCAGCATAATGAAGGTAATTGGCAATTTTGTGCTATCATCAAAGGACTTGTTATTAACAATCTTATTCAATACTGGATCAAAATCTAATTCAGTGATTACTCTAGGATCATAGTGATGATAATCATTCAAAGCAAATTTAATCAGTCTTTTGTGTAGCACGTCACCATTATCTTCCATATTCTGTTGCAAAACTCTAGCTGAGACATACTGAGTTCTTACAGCCTGTGATTCCTCCTCATCCTCCTCTTTTTCAGATTCGGGTTCCTGAGTTGTAACTGTTCCATCTCCACCGCATCCACATTCCAATAAATCATGAGTATTTGAATTTGTCTCTATATCAACTTCAAACAAATTCTTAAGATCTTGATAATCGAATCCATCAGATTTAGCTGAATTATCATCATCCAAAAACTTATCACTCAACTTATTCTTGACTAATTGACGTTGAAAGATCTTTTCGTCAATACACCCGGTGGTGAATATTCTATAAATAAAACATGGTTTCAATTGACCGTCACGATGTATTCTTGACATGGATTGAAGGTCATTTGATGGATTCCAATCATTGTCGAAAAGGATTAATCGAGACGCGCCAACCAAGTTTATCCCCATCCCTCCTGATTTCGAGGAAAGAAGGAATACTTGAATTTGGGAAGATTTGTTGAATTGATTGACTAATTTGTTTCGAAGGTTATTCGCAGTTGAACCATCAAGTCTTAGAAATGTCAAGTTCAATTTACGAAGAATTGTCTCAAGTAAATTAAGCGTTTTCGTATAGTTTGAAATCAAGACTATTTTCTCATTCATGGCTACCATTTCTAATAATAATGGTACCAAAACGTTAATTTTTCCAGAAGCTGTTGATAATGTGGTGTTATTCAAGAATGACCTGTCTTGTGCAAGTATATTCTTATTGAAATAGTCGTCATGTTGTAACAAACTTGGAGAGTTGCAGATCTTCTTGTATAAGTTAATTAAAGTGAATGCAACAGCATTGGAACAGTCCTGGTTGGAGTATTTGGAAATGAAATCAAATAATTTTAGCTGTAATTCAGTGGGAGGAACAAACAAGAGAACATCTGTCTTTGTGGTTAAATAATTGTCCAAGATAGCCTGAGTTCTTCTCAAAAGAAACTTTTTAGTCAATTCAATCAATTGATTAGATATTTCTTCACCTTGACGCTTCACCTCGGAATCAAAACAATTTATATCTCTTGCTCGCAATATTGGATTTATGAACTTTCGTTGGAATACCTTTAATTCAGGTAGCACTCCAGGATTAAGAAATGATATCAAGGTGTGAAATTCCACAAGATAATTTTGGATAGGTGTACCTGTAAGTACAACTTTCCGAGGAATATTCAATTTTATTAAATGATTCAAGACTTTATTGGAACTATTCTTCAATCTATGTCCTTCATCACATACCAACAAGTCGAAATCGATTGTAGATAGTTCCTGGAAATGAGCAGAAACCTTTTCATAATTAACAATTAAAACCTGGTATACATTTAACTTACCAAAGCTTAGAATCTCTTGCTTTTCATTAGAGGTATTTCCCAAGGTCAAGATATTGACTCTATTAAGACCCAACCATTTTCTAAACTCTGCTTTCCAATTGTTGATTAAGGTAACTGGACAAACGATAAGAACTTTTTTAACTAATGAGTGGTTTTCATGAGGGAAAGGATTTTGTTTAAGCAAAGTCCAGATTGTCGTGATTGTCATTAAAGTCTTGCCTAATCCCATTTCGTCAGCTAGTAAACATCCATTTCCTTTGTATTCTCGATATCCTAATAGACATTCATACATAAACTTAACCCCTTCTATCTGGTGAGGCCTTAGTTTAGTTGCAAGTTGGGGATCAATAGAAACTTTAATAAATTCAGATAAATGTGGTGGATCAGGAAGTTCAATCGCATCAGGATTCCCTTCATAAAGAGGTTTTCTGAAATTAGAAGCTTCAGTATAATTTTCAGGAGCTACCTTTTTAAAATTTGCTGTTACTGGTGTCGGTGAAGAAGTGCAAACAACGGGTCTGCCAGGAGCACGTTTAGGTACAACAACAGCAGCAGCATCAGGAGAAGGAGGCGATTGACTTTGAACTGGGGCTATATTTAAAGTACCAGCATCATGTGTAGATATTTTCTCATCTAGACTTAGTTCAAAGCCACCTATAGCTATTTCCTCATCTAATTTTGGCAACACATTAAAGGTCTTTTTACCTAATTGTTTCATATCACTATTCTTCAACACCATAACCGTAGTTGTTTCATTGATGTAAGTTATTGTAGCATAACCATCACCATCCCAGGTCTTGTTCTTTTTGTTGGTTCGTTTACGCCATTGAACCAGGTACTTTTCTGTGGTTGCAAGTTGCCCACCATTAGTTTCTTCTTCTTCCAGCCTTTGCTTTTTCAATGGTGGTGTTGCTACAAAAGGTGTCGAAAAGGCCCTTATCCTGCTTGGAAGCTTCCTACCTAAAGTGGATGCACCGGAAGCATGATCTTTGCTAGGGTTTAAAGTGGCAGCCAGATCAGAAGAGACCGATGCGGGTCTGCCTGTTGGTGCACGAGAAACAGTATTACCAGTAGAAGATGACCTTGAAGAAACAGATGAATCAGATGACTCTACCTTCCTTATCACCCGCGGGGGCTTGAAAGGAGCATTGGGCTTACTTTTGTACATTTCGGTATCAGATCAACATTTAACTTTGGTACTAAATATTATAGCAACGCGTCAAAAACTTTTGGCGCGTGCCGCAGTAACTTCAAAAACCGTAGGCAGAAAAATTGAGAGTTTTTTTTGGCAGGCTTCCGTCTAAGTTAACGGTTCGCGGTGGTATCGGCGGAGAACAAATAGAAAACTGTAGGCGAACCAAATAAGTTTCCAAAAGGATCGACTCAGCCTCATCAGGCTTCGCTGGACAAAAATTTTTTTTTATTTAGAATGCGCGGATGCGTGTTGTTGTGTATACCACACCCTTCTTCTTCAACTGGGTAGGTTTACTCAGCAACCCAGTGAATCTTCTACATAAACGTATTAAACGACGTAAAAAGTATATTAAAACCAAAATCAATATATAAATAAAAAAAGACGTTACACATAATTTTTTTTGTGGATCCTGCTGCTATTTGTTCCCCTATTATTCATATTTATTAGACTCCGTAATGTAGACCCACAATTAAATTAAATAACCAAAGAGCGAAATATTTTAGGAAAGCAACTTTAAAAAAGACCCCAAATATCAGTCAATGCAAAGGCCAAGACAAAAAAATAATAACACTACTAGTAATCATCAATACTGAAGTGTATTTGCTCCCAACGTGTTACTCTCACCAAACAAATAGTATGATGCTCGGGATATGGAAAACATTATTGTAGCTGGCAAATATGAATATATACCATATGCAATAAACATTGCAAATATTAAGATGCTGGTATGAAGGAACACAGCTTCAGTTGTAGTCAACATAACAAAAGGAAAGTGGTGGAAGTATAATCCAAACAATCGCTTAACTGCAGGTGGTTGTTTCATTTCGTCAGATGTGTCGAGTTGTCTTATTTTGGAAAAAAAAAGTGTGGTTAGAAGTTGGTGGTTAAAATAAATATGTTTTTAGGTCGTTATCGAAAGCTTTCCTATTAACGAATGTATGATAAAGCTTCCTTTTTAATCTGTAATTAATGAAAAAGAAATGAGTGTAATCAAATTCTAAACGACAAAAAAAAAGTATCTCGAAGTGCTTGTAAGAACAGACAAACAAAAAAAAAAAGAAACAAAATACGAATTTCTAGTACGCGCCGCGGAGTTAAGGTCCGAACTTTGGATTATTATCTTCCCTTGAATGGTTGCTTAGTAAGCTATTGGTGAATTTTATCACTCTGTGTATTTTCAAATACTGATATACATTGGCCTTATGCAATAAAATGGTTTAGAGAATAGAGAAGAAAACAACAATTTCCAATACTGCAAAGAGACGTGCGAGGCTGAACAGGTCTTACACGTAGACAAACTTTTGCACCTATTTGCAGGATTTCAAACTAAAACCATAGTACTTAAAAGAAGATTTAAATTGAATTTACACCAATTCAAATAGGCACGTTGTCAACATATCAAATGGATTACAGTTCTTATCATTGTCTTAGTCACCACATATGCGCAAGTTGGGTATAAATTAATAGATAAGGATTTGCTTGACATTTTTACATAGTTTTTTCAAACAGTCTCGATTCAAAATGAGCTAGAAACATGATGTAGATATAGAAACAAAAGAGGTTATGTTTCTGAAGAATAATCTAAACACCCAAGATATAAAATTAAACAAACACCAAATAAAATATTATTATTATCGCAACTGATAGCAGGAGACTATTACAATAAAAACAATCTCATTGTTTTGGTCCTTGGGATGAACCTTGTGTGCAGGTCCATTACTTCCATGGTTAAGACTTTAACCGAAAGTGGTTAACCGATATAGAGAAATTCCAAGACTTATCAGGACCCCTGACAAGTTTCTAACATAGTCCAGGTATGTTTCAACAAGGATAGAACAAGCTAAATGCATCTCGAAACGCTACCAAATTGAAACACAATCACGTGATAAAATCCATCAATTTTTTTTTTCAGTATTTTTGTAGAATCTGATGGCTGCTAACTAAAACAATTAGTTTCTCCATATTCTTTTTGCAAAATCTCCATTGGGATCTCCAGTTTTTCCACCTTGTACATAATGAGCATGTCCGCATCATCACTTAATGATGCATCATTTATTGAAACAACCCAACTTCAGCAAATGAAGCAAGACTTAATCAAAACCAAGCCACCAAATCAAACTCAAATAGATGAATACTACAGTCGATTAATATCCCAATTACAAATCATAAAGACTAAAGGAGCTGATGATGATAAGTATGTTGTATTATTGAATGATGTGTTATCAATTTGTTTGTTGAGATTGAATGCATTGGCCACAGATCGATTCCAGGATTCCAACTTGATATTTGACTACATCTTTCAGTTTATCAATCACCCTTTTCCTCCATTGCAAAACTCATTACAGTCATTGTTGCTGAAATTGTTAATGTTTAAACAAGCAGAATCAGAAATACCGCATTGGATTGACACAATAATGGCAAAATCTGGGTCCCTCTCCAAAAACTTGTACTTATTGTTGGAACTACTACTCAAGAAAATTCAAGATAAACAATATTTTTACAATCGATATCCTGAATACCCTATAGATAGCATCTTATTATTCGACGATAAAGTCGCCAATGCGATTAGTAAAACCATACATGTGATATATGATGGATTGTATCCAGAGGACCCACAACAATGGTACCTAGTTTGGAAAGATTTAGTCCGAATCGGGTTAACCAACACTACAAAGAGAAGATATGTCATCACGTATTTACTACCAAATTTAGTAAAGAAAGACAGTGGATGTTTCAAATTTTTGGTTAATGACTATGCCAATGATCTTGAAATATTGTTGAGTCTTTTGAATATGGGACACAAGTTAGAAGTTATTGATGAAGATTTAGAGAAAGTTATGGATTCCGATATTTTAACAAACTGTTTAGTTAGCGTGGATCCACAACTAAGATTGAACTCACTTCAATTAATCTTAGGAGTAGATTTCCGACGTTTAAACAATATTGCTATCTCCAAGTCAACATTCGACTTAATAAAGACGAATTACGTTATTGAAATAAACTTGAACGATTCTGAAAATCAAGACAAATTTATGAGCATTTTCTATAGATTTATAACAGGAAGACTTAAAACAAGTTTGGGGGAGAAAAACAGCACAGATTCAATCCAGCATGCTGAAGAATTCATCTCATGGCTATTAATTTTATTACAAAACTATTTACAACCAGGAAGTAACTTCCAACAAACAATGGGCTCCATTGGAATCTTAGGATATATCTGCGAAAAGTTACCAGTTGATATTTTTGAGATTTCACCACTAATCAAACTATTAATCAAGTTATTGTTTTCTGATTTTAAGGCTGTCAGAAATTCAAGTTTGGAGTTGTTAACTCATTGTAACCCAACTCATTTGTCTAAATTTCTTAAAAATGAAGAACTGGAACTAGTATCTTATTCATTATCATTACTTGCAAGTTTAACAGGAAGAGTAAGTGAAGGGGGAGCTAAGGCACTACAATTTTTAAGCATATATTATTTTCAGAATGAAAAGGAGAAACTATCAGATTTACTCAACAAGCTAATCAAGATGATTGATTTAGATGAAACTTATATCCATGGCCATTTTGCTGCATTGAACTTGATCGTTACTAGTGTAGACATCCCTATAGCAGTTTGTCAAGAACTTCTCCAGAAAGTTATCCAGGTTTGGGATAAACAAAGAATAACATTGTCACAAGAAGCAACCGGATATGAGGATGAAGAGGAAGGAGACGAGGAAGGAATAGATGTCATTGATCAAGGTGCTATTAAGAGGAATTATTCCTGGAAATTAGTAAAATATTCAAATGAGTTAATGATTACAATTTTAGGAAAATATGCAGATACTATAGGAACAGACACAATATCACAGTGTTCTGAACTAGTTATGGATCAATTAAGTTCAATTAAGCATAAGGGAGCATTTACTTCAATATATCCTTCATTCATTAGACTATGCCAACTTTGCTTGAATAGCGACCTCCAAAATTTGCCCAGAGTATGGCTCGATAATAACTTACAATTGATTCAATCCACAACCCAATTGATATCACGTAGATCAGGAGGAATACCTTATTTGATAACAGGTATTTTGATTGCCAGCAAACAGGATCTAACCATTATTGAATACTCCTTCATCCAACTTTTACAAATTGCAAATGAATCATGTGATGAAAAATTGCAAACTAAACAAGATTTGCCACAAGTTCACGCTTACAATACCCTTAAGCAGATATTTACCGAGAGTACCTTGGCAAATGAGAGTGTCAGATTCATTCAAGATTCACTTATACTTTGTTTGGATAACTTCTCATCGAGCAATTGGTCCATTAGGAATTGTGCTGTGATGCTATTTGGAAGTATTAAACAAAGAATTTTTGGGAACATTGACAAATATTCGGCAAAACTATTCTTTTCCAGATTTCCTAAATTGAAGAATGTACTTTTGAGTTATTTACGAAAGTTTAGAAAGAATCAAGTAAGCAACCAATCAATATTTCCGATTATGATGATATTGGCCCAGTTAGACTTTAATGATACGGAATCGACTGAATTCATTAAGTTATTGAAACCATGCTTAGGTGAGCCAGCATGGAAGATCAGAGAATTAGCAGCCCGTGCTTTGGAAAATATTTTCAGCGAGGAAGAGTTATGTGGTTTTGCGGAGCGAATATTGGAAGAACTTCCCAAAGGATCCAATTTGATTCATGGATTCTTTCTTTGTTTGCTATATGGAACTCTGAAAATCAGTAATAACATAGCCACAAAATTGCAACAAATTTTACCCAATTTCGTTACTAACCAACCTTATGTGGTCATAAATGCATTAATTAATATTCTTGCCAAACTACGTGTGAAAATAGATTGCGAGAATCTCATAATTTTAAAAAGTTTCTTCAACAAAAGGATAACCAGTTCCGAAGATCGCTTGGATGGAGGATTGCAACTACTTTTAAACACCCTTGCGACATTTTTGTTGCAACAATATGTTGATACCAAAGAAATAACACACCATGTACAACTATCTTTGCAGTCGAGATTTTTTAATGTACGTGTTGCAGTACTAGAGTATATTGAGCAAGATGGTGTGAAAGTTGACATAGCAGATATTATCTGGGATTTAATCTTACAGGAAGAGTTTTCTTATGTCTTGTCAAGAGCATTGAGATTGTATTCAAAGATCAATAAAGATAGAGCTCAAGATAAGATTACCGTGCTATCGTCATTTTTATGCAACATCAACGAAAGTGTAAGATTCTCGGCATTGGAATGTCTTGGAAGTTGTATTCAAGAGGAAAGTACATTTTGCGGTGAGTTCTTAGAATTATGTACAAATCTTTCAAAAGAGGAAAACCTGTTGGATTGTAGGAAAAGTGCAAATAATGCTATGGTTTCCTACATAAGTTCCAGTGGAGATAGAGGTAATTTATATTATAGCTGTTTGTTGCTTCTTTTCGAACATGGTATTTGTGATGATGATGAAGACATTAGAACATTATCAACAAACTGTTTATCAAAATTATGCGGTAGGAAATCCGTACCTGATTCTTATTTCATGTCTCAATATTTACCTTTGGTTGCTAGTGTGATTATTCCTGACAAGCACTACTCCCAGGCTACTTTCAATATGTTTATGAGGAACACACTTGACCAAGATGCGTTACGAGCTATTGTTGAGAAAAAGAAGAAGTTCTCATTATATGCTCATGAAAAGGATTCATTGCACAAGAATGAATTAGAGCTCATTTCAAATATAAGCAAGTTTCCGATGGTTTTTGACAAACAACAATTGGAAAAATTTGCCAGCAAAGTCAATGCAGATATTGAATTTGTTCATGAATTGAAGGCATTATATGGTGATAATTATTGGATGTATGACTATGTTTTACATGAAGCCGAGTTCAGAACAATTGCCAATGCAAAATTGCTCTTGCTGGTTAAAGACAACAAGGAATTAAGACATGCTGTTGAGTTGCTCATGGTTGCAAATAAACCTGAATAGGAACAAATGCGGGTAACCTTTTATAGCATCAACATAAAAATAGCCAAGTTAAGTGAAGGAAAAAAATTTTCTTACTTGTCAGAACAACCAGCTTTTTCTTAAGTACGAGTTAATTCAATACCTATAAAATGTATGTTATATGATATAGTCACTGAATTAATTGGAAAGAAAGGAAATGTGAACCTGTTTATTTTTAGATGATGAATAATTATATTAACTACAACGAATTTCTTCAGCTGAATAACCATGAGGAACAAACATAATTTCAGAGCTTTTTAACCCTGATTAAAAATAAATAGGTTTACTCCTTTTTTTTTACAATTAATATTTGATATAAGTAAGACCTTTACTAACAGTCGAATAGTGTTTGCAATCCATCTTGTTTTTTTTTTTGTAATTCTACCTATGGGTCATGATGTTAGTGATCAGTCTTCCATAGTCTATAGTGGGAAGCAAAGTTTATTAATGTGGCCAGTTGTGTACTCAGACAACGCCTGATTAACACGCGGCAAGTCTATGTAGTTGGCTCACCTGTATCGCCTTAAAATCTCCATCTAAAGACCTTTGTCGATGCTCATCTCTAGATTTTTTTTCTACTACTCAAAGACAACAAAAACATTTTTACTCTACTTAATAGATCGCGCCACTAAAACAACCATGAGCGAAGAAGAGTCATTCTCCGTATGCCCAACATGTTTAGGCAACGACAAGCACATTCGAATGATCAAACAGGATAATGGAGCTGAATGTAAACAGTGCACTCGACCTTTCACAGTTTACCGATGGGGTAATCGATCAGCATCAAATAAATTGAATAAAACCTTGATATGTTTGACTTGTGCCCGAGCCAAAAACTGTTGTCAATCATGTATGCTAGATATCAACTATGGCATACCCACTGAGCTAAGGGATACTGCATTGAAGTTAGCTGGGCTTGAACCATTGTCTGTATTGAAGTCCCTGACTAATCGTGAAGTGAAGGCAATTATGGCTGACAAATTACAAGAATCATTTAGTAAACAAGGCAAAACGGGCGAGGACGACAATCAAACTAAAGCCAGAGATATTTTAATGAAACTCGCACAAAAACTTAATTCAACACCCAAAGCCATCGAAGGACCAAATACCAACCCCGAAGTGGCTGATCCAGCCAATGTCTCCAAACTTTCAAAGAAATTGCCATTTGGAAATCTGTTAGAATCAGACAAACACCAAGATATCACTACATTTTTCATATTTGGATTCCCTAAAGATCTCCCTCAGTATTTAGTAGCAAAAGCTTCTGAAGAGTATGGAAAAGTGAAGGGGATTGTCCTCAATCATGACAGTCGATGTGGATTCATACTGTTTGAAAAGCGAGAATCAGCAGAAGCATTTGCGAAATCAATCGATGAGAATGGGTTGAATAAGAACAAGAAAACAGCAGGATTGTTAGTACTAGAAGGTAATCCTATGAGGGTGTGTTGGGGTAAACAGAAACCATTGGCAAAAACCAGCCATGAAAACAAACAAATCAGTTTGGTAGTGGCGAAAGTAATGAAGCAGCTAGCCGAAAAGGATAGGGATTTTGCAAGGACAAAGGCCACAACAAGTTCTAGTAAGAGCAATACCAAATCGCTGTCGCACAGTGATAAGTCCTCATCTAAACGCAATAAGCCCCTGCAGGTAAAATATAAGGCGTTGAAAGACGATTTTGAGATCTGATTTTCTCAACGTTCCAGGATTTTTTTTTTCCTCCTATGTATAATTATCAACTAAGACAACAGTTTCTCTTTTGTAGCAGCATTAGATACAACAATAATGGATTTTGAATCACTAATATGTGTGACTATAGGTCTAATCCTATTTCCGATTCTTCTTCTCTTACTTAGGTTAATTTGGATACTTCCCGGATTGAGACTGCTGCCATTGGCCACAAAAGAACTTAAACTAACCGATTTACCTAATGACATCGTCGGTTCCAATATAATGATATTATTAGGATCAGGTGGACATACTGGAGAAATGATGAGAATTGTTTCTAAACTTAACTTATCGAAATTATCCAGAACTTGGGTTTATTCTTCTGGAGATAGCACATCAATTTTGAAAGCTAGGCGATACGAAGAAGAAAACAACAACAATTTCCCGACTAAATATTTATGTATTCCTAGAGCAAGAAAAGTTGGCGAACCAATCTTACTGTCAATTATTAGCACATTAAATTCATTTATAGTGTCAGGATTAAGTTTATTGACACTTAGACAGAAACCATCCGTGTTACTTTTGAATGGTCCAGGAACAAGTGTTCCAATTGCCTACATTTTATTTGCGTTGAAATTCTTAGGATTATGTAATACCAAGATAATCTACATTGAGAGTTTGGCCAGGGTGAACAAGTTGAGTCTCAGTGGGTTATTATTGTTACCTATATGTGATCGATTCATTGTTCAATGGCAGCCCTTGTTTTATAAATACAAGCGGGCAGAATGTTATGGGATTTTGATTTAGAGGGGGGTTCTTCATTTTTTTGCGGAGGGGAGGGGTGGTTTAAGGTGGGGAAGGGAAGGGTGATTTTTAGTGCGCGTAAAGAATTACCCCTAGAGGTTACCAAAAAAGACCATGGTGATAACAATCAGGCATGTGACTACCTTCCATATTATTGATTTTACTGTCTCTTGTCTTCTTAAACCTATCGAGGAAGTCAACAAAAGTGAATCAAGACTTTTACAGGAGACAACAACAAGACAAAAGCTTCATGAATTCGAAGGAAGAACTTAGCTTTTGGCCAATCAAGGGATAAAACCACTACAAGCTAATATATAACTACTATTTTCACCACATTCATCGTATGAAGAAAGTATACATTTGATTAACTTATTAAAACCGAATCTGGTACATCTATGCATTGAATCACGACAAATATGGTTGAACGGGTTCATAATGGGATAAATATCTGGAAATTATTGTGACAATACAAAACTCAATCACAAATTTGATATAAAACTATTTAAATTATAAGGAAATCCTATAAAAGAAGTTATGTAAAGACCAGTTTGTTCAATTGATCATTGGTCGTTCTCACAGTGTGTTGAGGAAGTTAATGTTGTGAATGATATGCAACAAGAAATTCTATTCAAGGGGAAGGTGAAGCTAATTGCAACCGATCCGTTTGTGCAAAAACAAGAAACCATAGTGCACATGATGTATGGCTACTGGGATTTTGTTTGCAAGGAATAATTGTAGCCAGAGAAAGAAGAAATACAAGAGAATTATAAAGTATCAGCAAGAATTAAGGGAATGACAGTTGTATGAGATAGGAAGTGAAGAACATTCTAATAGTATTATCAGTGGTTCTTATTTTGAAAGCAGTCATGACTGCACTGCTGACACAGTCTTGTCGGATAAAAAAGATGAACCAAGTTCCATGGTTCCAGATATTTTCCACTCTAGTTTCAACTCGATAGAGAATTCATCTACAGAAGGAAGCTTATCATGTTCCAAGCTTAGTATATCTGTCGCTCTATTTTTAAATACTGAGAGAGTCTAAGAGGTAAAGAAAAGTCTACAGAAAGACAGACGAGATTGGTGTAAATTCACCTTGAAATCTTTGACTAAAAACAACCAAAAGTCTATAAATAAATAATATACACACTAATATACAACAATAACAAAAACTTTTCTCTAATTTTCCTTCCATCTGTGACCACATTTAACACATTTATAGAATGTAGTCATTGGTTCATCGGCCGATCTAATTTGTAATTGGAAGAAATAAGCCTTCATACCACCACAAGAATCAATAGGACATTGAGCAGCAGTTTGATCAACATCATCCCAGGTTCCTTCACCACCTAGAACATCATCGACTTCCTTTCGAGATAATTTCTTTCGTTCATACATTTGTAATCCATTGATTTTGAATTCGTAGGGACAAGTGGAACAGTAGAACTTGTTACAACCGTCGTCTCCCGGTGCTATAAGTAGCATGTTTGAGCAGTTTGGACAGAATGTCAACATGTCTGGTTTGTGTGTGTGTGTATATGGTTAGAACGTAGTTGGTAAAAATAACACCAGATCTAGGAAGTCAGTTTATGCCATCTCTAATTTTTCAGCTTGAATCCAAAACGGAAATTTCGTCGCGCGAAATTAATTCTTGTGTTTTGGCTGTAAGTCAACACTGTCTCCCCTCAACAACACAGCAACAACATGATCCAACTCAATGAGGATGAAGGTCTGATATCTCCCAGAAAAAATGGGAATAAATTAAATCCTTATGGTTTGAGTCCAATGAGGAGTCCCACGCCTGGTCGTGCTGGGTTAAGATCGCCCAAGAAAAGAACACCAGTGGAGTACGACAACATAGCTAGGAAGAGTGCCAAGGGTCATTCTCGATTATTTACTAGGATGGTGCTGGCATATCTTGACAGCGAAGATGAACAGGAGGAAAAAGTAGCTGAGCGAATCATTAAAGAATCCCGCGGGGAAGACGTTGATGATGATCGGAATTACGGAAGTGATGTGGAATTGGAAGAGGATTTAACTGAAGCCAGGCGCACTAGAAGGAAACCTCAAAAGAAATACGTGTCTGATGATGAAAATGACGATGAAGAGGTGTTTGAAGTTGAAAATGAAGATGAAGATGACGAAGTAGACGAAATATCAAGTGAAGAGTTTGATGATAGCTCGGATAACGACCTTGAGATGAGCACTGCTCCTACAACTCCGTCAAAGGCAACTGTGCGTCGTACCCCTAGTGAGCGTCGTAAACAAAGAGCAGAACAAAAGCCAACAAACAGATCACCTCGTAAAGCAGGTAGACCTACAAAGTCAGAGGGGGTTATTGGTAAAATCAAGAGTATTTTCCAGCAAGACGACGAATTACTTTACCTGGACAGGAAAACAAGCAGAAGTCTGAGCCCAGTGAAGGCTACCAAAAAAACAAAGAGTTCCAACAGTTTTGTCAACTCAGTATTTGACAAGAACATGGAACGGAGTTCAATCCCGATAATCAGCGGGATTGCTGAAACTGAATCGAATGTAGATGCCGAACACCAATACACATTTGAACCTTTGCCAATTCCTAAGCAAGACGCAGAAGGTAATATAATCGACCAGGAATACCTCGACAAACACTTCAATGGTGTTGACATAACCAAGGGTAAATCGGGGAGATTTTTAGATGACCGGGCTTTGTTTTTAGAAGGTGCCGAAGGATACTTTGAACAACACAGTGTTAGAGTGAACGGGGCTGGGAAATCTTTAGCTGACCTTGCTCCACAGTTAGATTATCAGGAATTTAATTCATACATTAAATTGTCAGACTCGCTTTCTCAGGACCGTAAGGGCATACTACATTCTTTACACAAATACTTGCATAACCAGTGGTGTTTTCAACTATCCCAGGGGTTCAACATCAATTTTTATGGGATTGGGTCAAAAATTGATTTAATTAATGATTTCGCTCAAGAATATTTGGGGACGTGGTTGAAGAACGTTATCTCCGAGCACCCAGTTCCTAAGATGTTGGTGGTTAATGGATACAACCCAACATTGAAATTCAAGAAATTAGCGTTGGAAATTGCATCATGTCTTATTCCGAGCGAACTTAGAGCTCAAGAAGGAATTAAACTTCCCCAGCATATTTCAGAAACAATTCCGTTCATAGTCAATCATATGAATGAGCGACGCAAGGAGAAAACCACCAGCTTTATCATGCCGGAACTTATTTTAATTATTCATAATTTAGACGGAGAGACGTTTAGAGACGATAAAATCCAAGGGTATTTGTCATTGCTCAGTTCAATACCTGAATTATGGTTGATTTCATCCACCGATAACATCAATGCTCCGCTTTTATGGGATCTGTTTAAAATGAAGAACTTTAACTTTATATGGCACGACCTAACGACCTATTCTAGTTATATAAACGAACTGTCATTTAGAGACGTGTTAAACCTTGGTAAGTCCAAGAAGTTTGTTGGCAACAGTGGTGCGAAATTCGTGTTGAGATCACTTACCGATAATCATAGAAACTTATACCGAATATTACTCGAAACCCAGCTTGAGAATATGAAGAAGATAGCCACTACGAAGACATCGAGAGCTGGATTGAAGGGAACGATGAAGTTTGGAGTTGAATTGAAATCCTTGTACGATAAATGTTTAGATGAATTCATCACCTCCAACGAAATAACGTTCCGAACATTTTTGACTGAATATATTGAACACAAAATGTGTCAACTAGTGAAAGACCTGGCTGGGATTGAAATTGTATTTATCCCATTTAGTTTCGACGAGATGCAAAAAGTATACCGACAGGAATTTGCAGCCGATAGCTGAAAAAAAAATGGCTCAGCCCATAAATCACGTGAGAAGTGACTACTTTTTTTTTTTTTTTTCCTTTTCTTTCTTCTGCCTGCATTGACGTAATAAGTCGGTGGCCCAGAAATCGCCGCTTATTACACACGTACATAAAATTGTATATTTACAAACCACACTTTATAGATACACCAATTAGCATTTTCAAACTTATCACAGGTATCTGTAATACATCATTCACATACAATGGGTAACTTTCCAAAACTACCTGAAGGCACTAAGCTCCAAGTGGGTAGTCACAAAGTCACAGTCATTGAATACTTATCAGAAGGTGGATTCGCTCATATATACAAGGTGTCAATTGATCCAATAGAGGAAGATTCAAATATAGCCTGTTTGAAGCGGGTTATACTCAAGGACAAGAGTGGATTGAACAATATGCGCCGAGAAGTCGATGTCATGAAAACGTTACGTCACGCTAGAAATATCGTCAGGTACTACGATTCCCATGCTGAGCGATTACCCGACGGAACATACCAGGTGTTGGTATTGATGGAATTGTGTCCTAACAAGTCCCTTTTAGATTACATGAATGTTCATATCAAGACGAAGTTGAAGGAGTTTGAGATCCTTAATATCATATTGGATATCTCTCAAGGTATTTATGGAATGCACCAATTGAAGTTGATCCATCGCGATATCAAGATCGAAAACGTTCTTATTGATTCAAAACACCGATTCAAGCTTTGTGATTTTGGATCAACCACTGGTCCAGTAATGCCACCGCACGACCAACAACAATTCAATTTTATAAGCCACGATATTCTTTACCATACAACCCCTCAGTATCGTGCCCCAGAAATGATTGACTTGTATCGAGGATTCCCCATTGATGAAAAAGCAGATATCTGGGCTTTGGGATGTTTCTTGTATAAATTGTGTTACTATACCACTCCGTTTGAAGCTCAAGGTGATATTGCCATTCTTCATGCCTCGTTTCAATTTTTACCGGAGCCACATTACTCGGGCGATCTCAAGAATTTGATTATTATTATGCTTCAAGAGAACCCCATGTTCAGACCAAACATTGTTCAAGTGTTGATGTTGATTTCTAAAATGATGGGATTTGAATTCAAGAGTTTAGGCTTGGAAGATATTTACAAGTTGGGTCCATACAATTTCCAGGCATTGCATGACTTCCAAGTACATAAACAAAATGAATACATGAGACAAAAACAAGCATACTACCAACAGCAGCTTATTGCCAGTTCAAGAAACCAAAGCAATGTCAGTTTGGCGGGCAATTCTCCAATTCCGACTGCACCTGCTCAGGACTTGAGAGCTCAAGTCACTCCTAATCCAACTATACCACCTAGAGGGAGAACCTCGCTTGAAGTTCCTGTTCCAGACGGAAGTTTGTCCAAGCAGCATAGTATGAATAGTGTGTCATCTTCAGCCTCGCCTATTCCTGCAACTTTGGTTCCAGCAGTACCCCCAACAGCATCTGCAACTCTTGAGATTCCTGCCATCAAGAAAGAAACAAGTAGAAGTTCTCTGGCTGGATCCCGTTTGAGTCAAGTGGTGCAACCAGAGAAAGAGGAAGAAGAAGAAGAAGAAGAGTTAGATGGAAGTTTTATTGAAGATTTGGAAGATGCTGAAGAAAAGTATCCTTCCTTGGATGAATTGGATAAAACTGAATTAGAAGGAGCCGAACAAAGATATCCTGCTCTTGATGACTTGATTAAGGCAGGTAATACAAAAGGAGAATCCAGTCCAAATCTCGAGCTTTCGCCCAAGAAATCGACCCTCAGTATCTCCCCTGCTATTAGTAAGAAACATTCCAAGAGCTCAGATGATGTTCCGACTGCTCGAAATGAATATCATAGTATCGAAGCATGGCAAAAGCAACAGCTGAATTTTATCATTGACCAAGAAGCTGAACGTTTAATGGATGATATTTTTTCAGGATCGCCAGCCAAACAGGAAACTAAGCCAGCTCAGCAGGGTAACATTGATGTTGAAAAGTTGACTGAAAAGGTTGAAAATATCCAATTAGAACCATCAAAGCCAGAACCAGTTAAACCAGACGAACCTGCCAAGGCAAAACCACTGTTAGATGTAGATCTACTTGATCTTTCAGATAAGCCAATGCAACAAGAAGCTACACCAGAACCAGCCGAGTTTACATCTCCCATCCTGTTGAAATCCAGTAAGCGGATCAATCCGTTCCCATTCCCCACAACTGATATGTCAGCAATTGATAGCGTACAATCTGATATAAGTATTTCCACCCCGGGTAGAAATCCATGGGGCGATTATAGAGTGGGTGATATTCCATCACAGCATCCTTCAAAAGTGAATGTCGCAAATATACAACCATCCGAGAGCACTGCCACGGAATTAGTTGCTACAAAGAATAGTGCTGTCCTTACAAACCCGCCTACAGAAAACATTATACCTGAACATCACCCTTTAGAAGGTGTAGCACAGAGTAAACTTCACAGTGAAATAATTGAGCCAAATTTAATAGATTTGGAAGTTGGCTTAAATTCATCCAATTCTTCATCGTCAGTGCTGTTGTTGAATACTCAATCTCAACAACAACCAAATGACGATCCATCACAAGTTTCCTTGATTGACTTGGAAATCGAGGAACAGAAAGTGAATGCTGGTGCTCTTCCAGGTGCCGCAGCTGCTGCCGCAGTAGCAGTTTCAGGCGAGCCCAAACCGCAATTTAAGAAGCGTATAAATTCAATTCAAAGTTCTTCCAGGTTAAGTTTTCAAGAGGAAATTATTGATTTTGAGTCTGATGACGAGAACAATGAGTCTTATATGAATAGATTGAATATTAGGAAGTCGTTGAAGAAGTCAAGGAAAACCAGTGATCACGGGAGAAGATCTGCTGAGCTTGTTAGGAGATCGGGAGAACATAAACGATCTGAGAGTTTGGTTAGTGAAACAAGAAAGAGACTTTCTTTCTTTGGAGGAAATTAGTTAGACAAATATGCATATAGATATTTATAAATGTCGTTAAAAGAGAAACCTAGTGTGAACTAGTAGGAGTTACATGCTGGCATTCTCGTAGTGTAAAGTATAACTCAAATATCTTGCCATAACAATAGGAGTATGGGTTTGCATATAGGCAGTCAGTCTAGAACATTCGAAGAGCATCGACGGAAAAAAAAAGGTTCATAAATTTTTTTTATATTTGCAACACTGGATCAACCCACAGAAAGCAACCAACAATGGATACATTAAGAAACCAATTGGCACAGTTGGTCTTGTTAGTACCACCTGAATCATTCAAGGTCAATGCCGACGATAGCGTTGGTTCTGCAATCTTGCAAATCTTAAACGGAGATTATACAGACTTACTTGAACATGATTATTTCTTTCACCAACTTTTAAGTGTGCCCGAATTAGCCGAAATAACAAGCAAATACCCCAATACCAGTTTAATTGAAGTATTGGTTGAGTATGTAGGTGCTTTGGACAAGTTGTTAAACGATAAAGTTAAACTACACCTTTTAGCTGTCTGTTTCTTGCAACTATTCATTCAATCCAATTATACTGGTCCTTCAGTTAAAATCAGCGTGCAAAAGGAATTGTTTGGTGGTTCCGAACAGGTACATTCAGATGCAGTCAGACTTTTGAGCTTAGAAGGACAACAGGCCTACGACTTGATGCAAGAACCATTATATTTGGTTTTAGCAGAGTTGATCTTTGAAAACTTGGTGGGTACACCATTTGAATTATCGTTGTTTAATAAAGATGTCACTAAAAATACTGAAAAATTGGTCGATTTTACCCAAGAGACACAGGCTCAACATAAAGATGATGCAGTTTATGCTTCAATTTTCTGGTGGAAAGTAAGAACATTGCAGGTCCACCTTTCAGTAGTATCTGAGCCTCCAAGTTTAATCTCCACCGTTTCGGGAATACTATTGCATAATACAATTGCAACTGCGCTTGCGCCTAGTGGTACCTCCGATCCTGAATTACAAAGACTTGTACAAATTGAATTATTGTTAGAACGTGCTAGAATTCACATTCATGCTCAAACCGAACACTCTTCAATATCACCATTGGCCCAGGTCAAACGAATTTCCGAATTCAACTTTTTGTTATCGGGGGCAAAGGCAAAGAGAACCAAATTTCAAAAGTATCACAATTCAGTATTGTTAGTATTGGCCAAGAGTAACAGAACTTCAGTTTACGATACAGAAAGTACCAAGGAATCACCAGAGAGTTTCAATTTAGATTCTGATTTATTATTAGAAAGACCACAATTTGAATCGCTTGACGATTTAGAAATGAAACTCGAGCCAGATGTAAAAAGAATCAAATTTGATACCGCAGAGCAAGAAAGTCAAGAAGATAAATTATTACCTATAGCTATTAGACAGGATGATATTCCTGCCGATTTAAAATCACTTGATCCAAACAACCAACCTGGTTTGAGCAATATTGACAACTTGCAATTATTATTAAGATTAACAGTGTTGAAACAAACGTCACCAGCTAAAGATCCTTTAGTTGAAGAAGAATTAATGGCATTGGTAAGTAGAGTATTGTATTCTACTGAAGGCAATGTCAACTGGTTGATTTTCTCACGAGCACTTTGGGAAAGATCTTTGTTAGAAACTGAAAAATCAAGAACTGTAGAAAGAGGTATATTACAAATGACTTCGTTAATTGAAGAAATTGGTCTTAAGATTAAAACCAAAATGATTCCTGAAGCAATGACTGACGATCCAAATGCCATTACTGCCCAAAGATTAAGATTTATTCATCAATTGCCATTATTACCCCAATGGTCTATGGATGTTAAACTTGCTGAAAAGTATATGTCTCTTGGTATTTTGAAATCCGCTCTTGATATTTATGAAAGATTACAATTACCAGTTGAAGCTGCTTTATGTTATGCTGCTGTAAACAACGAGGCTGAAGCTGAAAGAATCTTGATTGAAAGAATCAAAACCCATCCAGATGATGCTCGTGCAATCTCAATTCTTGGTGATATAAAGCAAGATCCAGAATTATGGTTGATGGCTTGGGAGATTGGCAGATACGCCAAAGCAAAGGCATCATTATCCAAATACTACCATGATCCACCAGCAAGCGCGGGAATTCCCCGTAACATTGATTTGTCCATTCAACACATGCATGATTCTCTTTCTGCGTACCCATTAAGTTATGAAAATTGGTTCTTTTATGGATGCTGTGGATTAGAATCTCAACAATTTGAATTAGCGTCGGAAGCATTCACCAGATGTGTTGCATTGGACGATACTAATTCATACGCTTGGTCGAATTTAGCTAGTGCTTTATTAAAACTCGATAAAACCAAACCGGCATTTAATGCATTGCAACGTGCAGTTAGATGTAGTGGAGAAAATAGAAAATCATGGAGAATTTACGAAAATTATATGATAGTGGCTGCAAAATTACACGAATGGAACGATGTATTGATTGCCGCTCGAGAAATGATTGATATTAAAAAGGGTGAAGGTGATGCCGCCATCGATATTCCTGTCATGGAAAAATTGGTGGAAATTCTTGTCTCGTCTGAATTTGACCCTAACGCCAGATTAACTCATTATCAAAGTTCATGTATTGATTTAATTTGTAATATTTTACCAAAAGTTATCACTGCATCTGCTAGATGTTGGAGAATTGTCGCCAGGGTTGAATTATGGAGAAGACGTCCATGGGAAGCCTTGGAGTGTCACGAAAGAGCATATCGTGCTGTCATGCACAATCCTGAATTAGAATCGAATGAATCAGTCTGGAATGAAGTGGTGGATGCATGTGCTGACTTGGTTAGTGCGTATGAATCGCTTGGGGAATTGCCTGGTAGACATGGTGCCGATGATTTGGTCTGTAAGGATTGGAAATATAAGGCAAGAACTACGGTTAGATCATTGATGTCTAAAGGTAAGGATATGTGGGAAGATTCACCTGGTTGGGATAGATTACAAGAAATGAAACAGGATTTAAGTAATAATTAATTTAGCAATAGATTATTGGTTAAAATATACAAATAAATAGACTTGATAGGTTATAAAGACGTTAACCATCAATGAATGTCACTAATAATACTAAAAGTATCAAATCCAAACGAAGTCAATCTTTTGAATTCCTGAATAGCCGATTTCTCAATTGGAACTGGAGCTTGTAATGGCTGACTTTCATTTAACTTGTTTTGGCGAAGTTGACGAATATAAGACTTTATATTTTTGGCTATTTGATTCGTTCTTGAATCTTCCCATCTTAATGAATAACACACAGTGAACAATAAAGCTTTGTCAAAGCCATGTTTTAAGGTCTCAAGCCAAAATACACCCATTACTAAAATCTCAACCATGCAAAATGAAAACAAAAGTAGTCCTTTTAAAGGAGCTATGAACGAGACAGGTGCCTTATTGTGTGAACATTCTATTAGTCCCAATAGCATAAGCACAGAATGAAATACCAAGAAAGCTATCTTGTATGAATTTGTTGTGGATTCAAGGATTAGCTCGGTAATGATTAACATGAATGTCGTTTCTGATTTCAAGAACGCAACAACTGAATTGCTAGGCTTTGACCATGCCATCTTTGGCTGTGACTTCTTGAAAATGGAATTGAGTTGAGATATTGAAGTGGTAAAGTATCCAATTAGGGCCGTCCATGTAGTGATATCATAAGCATAGAATCTTTTGTAATTGTTTTGCCATTGCAAATAAAACCAAATGCTTCCACAAACAATGGTAATTAAATTACACGCAAACCAAACATCAGATAAAGTACCTTCTCTTTTGTAGATTGATGTCAATGAGGGAATCAAATTTGATTTGATGCTGATCAGCTTATTAATGAACCTGTTAGTGATGGTCACGAGGAAGTTGTTTAATTTGATGTATAAATATGTGAAATACTGAACGTAAAATTTAAAAATGGAATAAAACACTTGAAGTAATAATAATTCGGGTACTAGTTGGATAAGCTTGTCTGAAATGACTTTAAGGGATATTGATTTGCCTCTAATCATGATGGTGGTGAAGAAGAGGTTGGTGCAATTGGGTGCAAATTTTATTTTGCAAAAAAAAATGTTGAATATGCAACAAAAGTTGCGAACTCAACACAAAAACCAATTGACAAGATCTACACAGATAGAATAAAATAATATATTAATTTTATACCTCTGATTTTCTTTACAATTTGCAGTACTCAGTTTGCAAGTGACGTTGAATGGGTTACTCTATACTTCTTTGTAATGAAAGTTATCTTTCGTATTACTTGTTTAGCGTACTAGATATTTTCTTATTCCTAACAAACTGTGCGGGGAGAATAGTTTTAGTCTAACTTGATGCGATAAGAGATCCGGTTCGAGATACCAAAACAAGATATAAAAAAAAAGATTTACATTTTAGCGGAAATTGCCTAGATCAGAAGTATGATAGTTCTTCGGAGATAAGATTAATATGGCATATAAATAGCAAAGGGGAAAGCTGTAATTTTCTGACTTTCACGAAGCAATTCAAACATGCCAGTAATATTAAGGCCAATTGAAGCTAACGATAAGGAAAGATGGATTGAACTTTGGACCGGACCAGGAGGATATATCGAGTTTTACAAATCACTTGATAAGATAACTCCAGAAATCTCTAATGAAACATTCAGAAGATTTCTTGATCCTAGTGAACCAGTATATTCTGTGGTTGCCATTGACGATTCAACCGGGACCATTATTGGATTCGCCAATTATTTAACTCATAGAAACACCTGGACAATTGAAAATTCGCTTTATTTGAATGACTTGTTTGTAAGTGCTGACAATAGATTACGTGGTGTTGGAAGGAAATTAATTGAATATATTTATGGTGAAACTGATAGGTTGAATTGCAAGGCTTGCTATTGGGCTACTCAATTTGGTAACCATCGTGCACAATTGTTGTATACTAAAGTTGGTGTAAAGAGTGGATTTTTGTTATATAACAGACCAGAATAGTCTTTTTATATTATACATGTCAGAATTAAGTTTGTAGATTAATTAGTACGTCAAAGCATACCCCCCGAATAAATTGGTTGCTACCATGCATCAACGACTAAATAACCTCCAAGATACTGCGCCTCATGGCTGATTGATCAACACCAGTTTCTGATTCAATTACTGACTATAATTGTCACTTCATTGAAAATAGAAACTATGTTACTTTTGATTCGTAGTGATTTCCACCAGTTTATATATTGAATAAACAACTGATTCTTCAAAAACACTGCCCTATCGAGTAATAATGCTTGAGAAATGTACCTGCATATAGATCCCAAAAATAGAAAAAGGCGTTTTATTATTCGATTTTTTTTTCTTTTTTTTTTTTAGAAACAAAATTGGAAAAAAAAAAATAAATCGAAACACACACGTCATGTGGGCATAACTCCTATTCATAAAAAAAAGGAAAAACCGTGATTCTCTCCTTGATATTGACGAACGGACTCTTCCTATAACTACTCAATATCAAATACACAATCATGATGGAAGACAAATATATCGGGCTTGCACTTGCAATGTCCTCGTCCTTAGCTATAGGTACTTCCTTTATCATCACCAAGAAAGGGTTAATGGACGCATCTGCCCGTAATGGTAACAATCAAGTACAAGGACACGAATATTTACAGAATCCCATATGGTGGGGTGGTATGATTACCATGGCTATTGGGGAAATTGCCAACTTCGCCGCCTATACTTTTGCTCCTGCAATTTTAGTCACTCCCTTGGGGGCCTTATCGGTGATTATTGGAGCTGTATTAGCCGCGATTTTCCTTAAAGAAGAATTAGGTACTTTAGGTAAAATGGGATGTGCAATTTGTCTCATGGGATCAGTTATCATTATTCTACACGCTCCTCCTGACAAGGAAGTGGAAACCGTCGATGAAATCTTGGGATATGCTACCCAACCCGGGTTTTTGTTTTACTGTACTTTGGTTGCATTATATTCGTTGTTCATGATCTACAAAATTGTTCCAAAATACGGAAATACTAATCCAATGATTTATCTTTCCATTTGTTCTTCAGTTGGGTCCATTTCAGTTATGTCTATCAAAGCATTTGGTATTGCCCTTAAGTTAACTTTAGGAGGTAATAATCAATTTACTCATGTTTCAACTTATTTATTTTTACTTGTTGTTGTTGGTTGTATTATCACTCAAATGAATTATTTCAACAAGGCCTTGGATCAATTTGATACATCTATTGTCAATCCATTATATTATGTCACATTTACCACTTTTACATTAGCTGCTTCGTTTATTTTATTTAGAGGATTCAATACTTCGTCAGCAGTGGACATTATTTCTTTATTGATTGGATTTTTGATTATTTTCAGTGGAGTTTATTTATTAAATATTGCCAGAAAGGAAGATCCTAGTAAAAACAGAGAAATCTTTGGAGTACATGCATCAAAAGATATGGCACCTATGGACAATGGTGTTGGTGGATTCACTACCGTGAGAAGATCTATGCAAATCAACAGAGCTGAATATGATACCGAAGAAACCGTGGGACTTCGAAGATTTGATAGTTTTGAATTAAGTGATTCAGACTCCGAAGGTTCTCGCAGACGTTAAAAATGCAAACAAAAAAGTAAGGGATAGACATGTATAGATAGTTTCATAGATACAAAATAACATTATCTAGTTGAACCTAGTTGTATGGGTTGAGCAATATGGAATTAGTGCGTGTTTTTGTGCGCGTTTGTTGGTCCTTTGCACAGCTCGGGTTGGAACCAGTATTTTCCGGTTTACGTCTAAACTATGCCAAAGCTAACATTAGTACCCCAAATACCGTTGTAAAGTGGTTGGTGTTAAACTCGGAGTACAGCCAAAAAATATAGATCGTGGACTTGTCCCTTGAATGAACGCATACCGGAAAACCAATGACTCTATGACTCACAGGGAACAAACATACAAACTGGCTGCATTTAACAGACAACAACCAGAGACAGTAAATCAAGATTATCTTATGGACTAGAGTTAGCATATCAACATCATCTTACAGAAACTCTGGATAATATACCACTTTTTTTTTACATTTATTTGTCTATATAAATTACTGTATATTCTGTTACCTAGATATCATCAATATCTAATTCATCATCTTCTTCGTCTTCATCGTCTTCAGCACCGAATTCGAAGTTAACATCTTCATCTTCATCACCACCGAAAGTATCAGTTTCATTAATCTTGGCAGTTTCTGGCAATTCACCCATATTTTTTAAAGTTCTGGCTTCATCGGAGTTATATTTGTGAACAACATCACATTGGTCATCTTGGAAATCTCTTAAAGAAACCAAAATGATATCACCTTGACCCATCCAGACCTTCTTTCTTAATTTACCTCTGATGTGTCCCATTCTTTTGTTTCCATCAAAACAACTGACTTCGATTCTACCGTTACCTAACATCTTGGTAATTTGACCGTATGCTTGACCTTCTTCCACGAGAATTAATTCTCTCTTTTGGCCACTGTTATCGTTCTTTCCTCTTCTTCTATTTTTACCTCCTTTACCTTTACCAGTTTTACCCATGATGTATTTGCGTAGTGTTGCTAGAAATAACTAAAAAGAAAAACTTTTTCACACAAATTTTTTTTTTCTTTATGTCTGATGACAAAAAAAAACGCTTTTATGCAGGTCACTAAGTTACACTAGAAAAGGTAGAGAGAAGTAGCTAACATAAAATCTAATAGCAACAACATACAACTGTATTATCATGGACTCGTTTGAAGCAGCAACACAATTATCACAGATTCTTCGAAATCTAACTCCATCAATCCAAAATCTCAATCGAGCAGCTCGATTTGCCTTGGTAAATTCCGACAAGGAGGACTATTTATTACCGACAATCCTAGACATTATCAATGATTCAAAGATGGTGCTCAACACCAAATCGACCATATTTCAATTCATAGATGTATTAATATCAGAATCATTCCAATATTCACTTCAAAACAAGTACTCATATCCTTATATTCAAGGCTTGAAAAGTGCATTACCAGAAATCATCCAACAAGTCTTACCTCAGGCTAATAACTCAAATTTATACAACACATATGTATGTCTTCGCAACATTTCTAAACATTTCAAGATCGATTGCCTGGAATATATCGATAAGTTTCAATGTAATTTATTGACTGAGGAAGATATCAGCAAAATCGAAGGCAATAAAGAGTTTATACCAGAAAAATACGAACCCAGTGGCGATCCTTTAGTGACCGCCTGGAAAATCCTCTTGGAAAAGAAAAGGCAGAGTCAATTTGAACGAGCAAGGTTATTAAAGCATTCAAATCCACTTGATGAAATTGTCGATGAAGACGAAATGTTTAACATAAGAGTAAAATCGGACAAGTCAAATAACTTGCTTTCCAAAAGACAAATATTATCAAGAATGGAAGATGATAGAGAAGCACACAAACGATCAAAGGAGAACCTTTGGGTAGTAAATCGAGATAAAAACTCTAGTTTTATTACTGAGCAAGAATTCCTCGACAATTATTGGAATAAATATCATCAACTAAATAAAAGTGACCATGAAGAATTTTTGAATTCTTTGCTGGGGTTAAATAAATTAGTAGCTGATAGTTATAAAGATAAACAGTTTTAAATATACAATAGAGTAGAAGACTTAATGTAGCAACTGCATAGGGAGCACCCAAAGTCAATACATAATGAACGCGAGATCAGTTGGATTCTAGCCAGCTAGTTCTGCAGAACCATTCTCTGAATCTGTTTGCACCATGAATCCATCATCTTCGTTAGTTGGAGAGTTTCATTTCTCTGGCATCAAATGTAAACCAAAGACTTGTATATTCCACCTTAAGTTCAATAAATAAAGTTAAACGTTTTTTTATATATATATATAAAATCTATATAATTATCCTATGTTAAGTTCGCTCTTGCAAATATACGAAGCAATTCATTGATACCACTGACTTCATAGCCGGCACCTGTTTTAACATCTTCACCATCAGTTGCCATAACTGTCACAGTTAATGCATTTTTAACAGCACGAATATCCTTCAAGTGATTAATATATTCATAATTTGCTTCATCGATAGTAGTCAATCCACCACTGTAAAGAATAGCGCTTATGTAATGTTCATCTCTATTAAAAAAGTCAATAGTTTCACTCTTTGGACTTAAGGGCTTTTGAAACTCTTTAATATTTTCCCCAATGAAGCTTTCAGACTGGTTATATAAACTTGTATTATAATAAGATACCAAGAATCTCAAAGCCTTCAAGTTAATTTGGTTCTTTTGAACAATAACCAGATTTCTAACAAGAGTAGCATGAATGCCTCCAAGTTCCTCACTTAAACTGTTAATATGTTGAATGGTATCACCCATAGCATCCAAGCTTCTTTCTCTATCATCAATAAATGACCTACCAGCATGGAATCTAACGGTACTATCTTGAACCTGACAGAACGATCCAGGCAATCTTTCAACTTTAGATTCAATCAATTGAGTGATTTGTGGCATCCATGATGATTCTTCCCCTTCATCAACTATAGTAATCCATTCTTTTGATCCAATAAGTTTTACATAACTACCATTTTCAGCAATTAAACCAATCTTGGGGTATCTTTTGAACATAATATCCAAATCATGTCTACTTAAGAAACTCATTAAATAAACATATGTATTTGGATTTTCAATTAAATCAACAAGTAATCCAACAAGTCTAGTTGGTTCGGAAATATTAACTTTCCCAGCAGAACCAGTACGAATATTTCTGCTTGAATTGACACTAGTTGATGAAATTTCCAAACCTAATATAACAATTTTCTTTCCATTTTTACCACTTAACCTAATAAAATTTTCAAATACCTTTTGAGTGAATGGGACCAAATGTCTTGATTTTTTGCGATCAAGATTACATGCTTCAAGAATGCTGTTCAAACAATTAGCGACCCAATGTTTGGAATCACGAGTAAGGACAAATTCGAAACAACTTCCCCAACGAAGATTCTTTTCTTGTTCCGACATTTCCAACAGTTCTTTGAAAACTTCCGAAAATCTCTTGGTATCCCATGGGTTTATAAGCAACGCACCTTTACCGCCGCAATCTAACAATGCTGAAGATCCAGTAAATTCAGACAAGATTAATGGTGATTTCCGTTCGCTAGTTGCTATAATAAATTCATGACAAGTTAAATTCAAACCTTCTCTCATTGAAGAAACAACAAATACATCAGCTTCACATTCCAATGCTAAATACTGATCAAATTCAATATCTCTTTGCAAGAAAACAACTGGCTGGGTTACTGAAATATTATCAGGTAACGAGTTAATCCTTGAAACAATCTTCATTACTTCAGCTTCATAGTCGGCATCATGTGATTCACCAATACAAATTTGAATTAAAACAGTGGAATCAATATATTCGGGATTATCCTTGAGGAACCGTTCATAAGCTAATAACTTATGTTTAACCCCTCTTAGTTTGTCCAATTTATCTCTAGAAACAATAAGTTTATGATCTTTCCATTTTTCTTTAATCATTGCTCTCCATTCATTAACCAGTTCACTGGTAACTTTATGCATAAGCGAAGCAGCATCAATACCAACCGGGGTTGTGTTGGTTACAGTCAAGTTTCCTTCATAACTAACCCCATATTCATTAGTATCAGCCAATAATAAACGGTTACAAGTTTGAAGAAAATGGCGAACATATTCATCTGTTTGGAAACCAATGCAATTTGCCCCAAGCATACCTTCAAGTAATTGCTTTCTTTGAGCAAAACATCTAAATACTTCTGATGAAGGAAATGAAACATGAAGAAAGAACCCAATCTTAACATTTGGTAATTTTTCTCTAATCATTTTAGGAACCAATAACAAATGATAATCGTGCACCCAAATCATATTTTCAGGATTATAAGGATCATCGGCATCACCATTGACTTCTTTATAAGTTTCAACTAATTTATCAGCGATTAACCTATTCATCAACACATAATGGCCCCAAGAATGTTCTTCAAATGCTTTGGATTTTGGATCATCAGGAATTTGATAATGTAAAGTTGGCCACAAGATCTGTTTACAGAAGGACTTGTAATGACCTTCAAATGTCAAATCATCAGGAAAAACAACTTCACAATCATAATTACTACTCAATTCTTTGGAAATATTCTCCTTAACATTTTCAGGAACATCATCACTGGGCATGGACAAAATCCCAACCCATTTATTTCTCTTCATAACTCCAGTTTGTACTGATAATTGAACCGCATTAATTAAAGAGCCATTACCACTTTCAGTTGGAACAATATTCCAAGGAGCAGTTTCAAAAATATTTTCTTCATTGAGAATACTATGCTTGATACTTGGATCGGAAAAGCCCCCAAATGGAGCTAATTTGCTATGGTTTCTTCCCATTATCATATCCTTGAACCCTTCTTTCCATGGTTCATCATCTTCTCTATGGTAACTAGGAACATATGATTGTTGTTGATGTTGTGGAGTTGAAGAGGTTGAAGGAAATGGAACCTCATCTGAAAATAATGAACTCGCACTATGATTGGAGTGTAAAGTGATACCTCTGCCACTAAGAACAGATCTGGCTCTTTCAAAGTTATCGGTAGGAGCCAATGAAACAAGGTTTGGACTTGAGTTATTCCTTGTTAATGTTGAAGATTGGGATCTGGTAGTTATACTTGGTAATCCACTATTATCAAAATGTTTTTTAGGTTCTACGATTGAACTATCGATTTTAAGATTGCTATAACGTGACTTTGGCTGAATGTAGGTGCTACCACCACCACCACCAGCAGCAGCAGCATTTGCAGTCGATGGAGGTGGTGCAACAACTATACCTGGTGTTCCAGAAGTTGACGCCTCACCAGAAGATTCATTAGTACCTGCACGTCTTGGTCTTCTAGCATAAAAGAATCCTTCTGGAGTATCTGCTCTTGTTTCATTGCTAATTTTAGGTCTATTCAATTCACGGCCTCTTAACACGGGAGAACGAGGAATTTGGGGAGTTTGGCTTAGAGCAGGCAAAATTGATGGAATTGGAGAACCAGATTTGGTAAAATCATTTATGGTTTCCTTAACTGATTCGGTATCACTGCCATTGGTAGCAGCATCAATTTTGAACTTTACAGTATAAGGTAGGAACAACGAGCCGATAATAACAGTCATGCTTGATTAATTGGGTGATTGTGGATTTAGACGAAAAGAAGATCAAGAAATTTGTGTCTATTATATTCAAGTGAAAATATGAGGTAATTAAAAAAAATTGTGTGTATGTGTATATATGTGTGTGTAAGTGATGGGGGAGGGATGTGTATGTGTGAGTCTATTATATAACCCTATGCGTGTGTGAAAATACCTTAATGAGGAGGAGGAGGAGGGGGGAGATTCTTTGTGGAGGACAGTGTGAATGTGTTTAGATTGGTCTATACATTTTCTTTAGACCCTCAAGTCTATATAAATCCTTTGCTATTAGAGTTGAAATTGTGTTGCTCCCCACCCCCCTTAGTTTCCACCGCTTTCTCTTGCTTTCTATAACTAACACAAAACAAGACACACACAAACACAAAAAATAAAAATAAAATATTATACAATAACACATCACGTGTTCCTATTATTCCCCCCTTGTTTCATTTTTACAATTATTCGCTTGATTACAGACAGGCGTTGCTTATACAGTGGCTACGAAACGAGTGGGGTAGTTTATCTTGCTACAACGTTGTCAGAGGATTTAATAGGAGGAGGAGGAATTGTGGAATTCTCATTGCTATCTAAAACTTTATAGTGTTACATTATTCCTTACAAAATATCTTCCATGTCATCATCACTGTCTTCATCCGAGGATTTAAGCGCTGATGCAGGAAGGTCGGTACTTCCGGGCAATTGCTGTTCATGGGCAACCTCAGCCTCTAGTAAAGCCTCCATGTCCTCCATATCGTCATCCAGTGATTCGTCGTCGTCTGCTTCTATATCTGCAAATGATATAGCATTGGTTGTCTCAGTGGTTTCGGTTGGTGGTTCAGTTTTATTCTCGCCGCCAATCACAACAATATTTGGTTCAGATTCCGGCTCTTTGTCTTCTTCAAACATAAACTCAAGTACTTTTTCAGATTCGGCCTCATCTTCCAGCAGTGAAGATGATGAATCATCCATTCTATTAAAGTTGATTGAAATTTCATTGGCTTTTCTTTGAGCTTCCAACTCCCGTTCTCGTTTCGTGCGTTCTTCAAGTAATTTCTGAGTGCGTTCCTGCTTTTCTCGTTCAGCTTTCCTAACTGATGTAATAACATCTTTAAATCCATCAGTTATAACATTTTTGAAATAGCTTTCAATTTCAGGTGTTGGTCTAATAGTTGAATAAGGAGAATAATATAGTTCTGCCTTCATGAATAAATTTGTTTCCCGAGCTTTAATTCTATTGTCGAGGTCTTGTTTTTGCTTCTCGGCAATCAGTTTCCTCTTTTGAGCATATGCTATAAAATCAAATGATTTAGTTTCTGGTACATGCTCTTCGGGTTTCGGTTCTTCATCTTTATTTGGTTGTGGTTCTATATCTTTCTTTTCTCGTGGGGTATCGTCAATAGGGACATGAACTGTACCTTCCACTTTCTTATCTTGCTTTTCCCGTTCAAATTCCAGTAATTCTTCTTCAAATTTGGCCCTCCACTTCTTATCATCGCTTTCAATCAAATTATATAATGGTTTTTCAATCATTCTTGATTCCAGTACTAACTTCAACCGCAATTCTTTCAAATCAGTAATAGTTTCCATATATTTTGGTGTAGATTGATAGGTAAAATCAGGTGGGAAATCAGGTAAATATCCAGGAACATAGCTAGGCTTTGTATTAAGTCTAGGAACAAGATTTGTAATTTCATACTGTTCATTGATTATGAATGGAAGAGAGGGGCTGTTTTCTTCAACCTCGGTGTTATTCCTCTCAGACTGTGCTTGTATTATTTGGTTTTCAACTCGTTTCATCTCCGTTACTAAGCTCTGTGACTTTTTAAAGTTTCTACAAAGACTAATCTCCTCAGCTATTTCATTAAAATCAATTCCTTTCAAATTGAACAACAATTTCATATCAGAAAGAGCTGGTTTTTGTCGTCTTTGTAATCTCGTGTATTCTGATAAACTGCCTACCAAATCATTCAAAAATCGAATAGTTAAATCGGTCAATTCATCAAGAAAATCTCGTGAACAGTGAAATTGTTTTGATTGAAGTATTATGGCAATCACTTTTTCAAATGCAAAATCCATTGCCGAAGACTCTTCCTGGACATTCACTCCATCCAACTCTATATTAACTCGTGATTCATCCTGAAGATTATTACTTGTTTCTATATTTGACATACTCTGTTTATAATACTAGACAGCACTTTTTTACAAGATTAACTTGTTTTTTTTTCTATATTACTTTGAACAAACTAAAAAAAAAAAAAACAACATAAAGCGCATATACAAAACTAATTAACTAAATCTAGTTACCACCTAATAAATATTCAATTGCACCTTGAACACTACCACCAGTTCTTCTAAGAGCCTCAACATTTCTATCAAAATCAAAGAAACCCATATCATTCAATTGTCTCAATTGACTTTCATATCTTTCTTCTGGTGGTCTGTTATCTACTGGTGCAGGAGCAGCAGGTGGAGCACCACCAAATAAAACCAGTGGATCTATTGGTGGAAGACCATTTGGGAATAAACTGGCAAATGGATTGGCAGCAGCAGAAGCAGCACCTGCGCCTAAGCCTGGAGTAGAACCAGCTCCAGGAGTAGTACCGGCACTAGCATCAGTAGTGTTTCCAGTGCTGGCATCGCCTGTAGCTGGACCTTCAAAGTTTGGGTTGGCACCTGGAGCAGGGAATGCACTAGCCCCACCGGCACCAGCACCACCAAATGCGCCACCTCTTCCACCTAATTGCAGCATCATTCTCAACATTTCTGGATTACTAAACATTTGTCTAAACATAGGACTTTGCAATAATTCTCTAGCTTGTGGACCCATGGCTCTTAATTGAGGATTTTGTTGAATCATAAAGTCTAACATCTGTGGATCAGATAACATGGCATTCATTTGTTGTTGTACTAATGGGTTGGACAACATTTGACTCAATTGATCTGGATCTGGTAAGTTTGCATTCATTCCTCCATCTGGCCCAAACATAGAGGCAGAAGGTAATTGAGTATATCCGGCATATCTAGCACCAGTCAAATCAGCCAATGGGTTGAATGTACCTTGACCAGCAGCAATGTTGGAAGGAACACTTTGTGGTGGTGGCACTGGTGAGGAGGTAGAAGTGGAGCCAGAAGTGTTGGCAGCGGCTCCACTTGAAGCACCTGTTCGAGCAGTAACACTCTTGACTAAATGAATGGTGTGTCCATCTTGTACTTTGTATGAACTGACAGTTTCATTGTCTTTTAAAACCTTACCTGAGTAGATCAATCTTTGGCTTTCGGCTGGTATATCTGACTCTGCAGCAATTAATTGTTTTAATTCTAATACAGTGATGGATGTATCAAAAGTTACTTCATATTTCTTATCACCTGAAGATTTGATAGTTACTTTGATTTGTTCGGACATGGCAGCGTGTGGCTATGTATATGGTTTGTTAATTGGCTAAAGTGACGAACGTAATCTGTCCCCTCTTTATCACGACAGAAAAGTGTTGGCCATTTTTCTTTTGCCTTCCATGCGACATTTCACAGACAGCCAAAGAAAAAAAAGTGTTGCCAAAAATAAATAAATTAACAAAAGCGTTTAATATAGTACCTCTTATTTAATTAGTAATACATAAAGGACACAAGATTAATACATAATGAAACAATAGAAATAGAAGTGACAATCAACACCAAAACTATTTTGAACTGAAAAGTAAAAAAGCACACCGACCAACACATAAAAATGCAAAATAATATATAAATAACCATTAAATCCAAATTCCATACTTTTTTTAAGAGTACTCAGGAAGAAGTAACGCCAACTCCATACTTTTAAAATCAAGATGGAGGTGTGACTTCTTCTCTATAACCTTTTTTATTTTTTAACTTCAACTCTCCAACCACATTCTAAACAGCTATACCCTTCAATACCATCACCGAATGCGATCTTACCTTTGCTTTGCATTAAGGACCATTCACCTTTGGCAGGGATTTTTCTACAAGATTCATTAAGACATCTAGCACTTGTTTTCTTGTATCTTAATCCACATGAGTTACAGAGTTGTCCTTCTTTGATTGACCATGAAGGTCTCCAACATGGTGATTGGTCTGAGCCACAAGAGATACACACTCTTGGGGTGTTATGATGATGATGGTGACTATGTTGTCTTGGTGGGGATTTGATCAAATCTGAACGAGAAGCAACTTTTGTTTGTCCTCCTGAGGATGGTGGTGAGAATGGAATTAATTTGTGATTGAGTTGTTGTTGTTGAGGTGTAACTGGAGATTTCTGAGATATGGACATAAGCGAAGGAAGATTGTTTGAATAACCGTTGTTGTAGTTGTTTATAGGTGAAGATACAACATAAGATGAATTGGAGTAATTTTGGTGAGATGCACTACCATTCACAGTATAATAAGTCACTGGAGGTGATGACATCGAAGGTTGTGGGAATGAATGATTCTTAACTAATGGTGTTTTATCAGCAGCTGAAGTTGACGAGGAAAAACTGGAACTGTTGAGAGAACTGTATTGTTCTGGTTGTGATAAGCTCATTAATGATTGGGCCAATTCCAAATATTCAGGATACTTTTTAACGTCATTTAAATAAGTTTTATTTAAATAAGTATAATTTGATTCATAAGGGAAGTTGATTTTACGCTCACCGTCAGAGTGAAGTTTTGGTAGCATGGTTGTGGTTATTTTTGAGCTTATTCTTGAATCAAAATTTGGTTTTCCTGGTGAAATAGCCGAGGATCGGGTTATATTGGGAAGCGATTCAGTAGCATGCTTGTTGAGGTAATTGTATTGATTTAAATTGAAAAGTTTTGATTCTTTAGTGATCTTATCTAATAATTCATATCTCCAGTTTTCATCATTTGGTTTATAAGTGTCAAAATAGTCCAAGGAAACAGTTGGAGTAATTGGTTTTAATTTCATTGTTTGCTTGAATTTTTCTGCAGTACCTAAAACAGCTGATATACTTGGCAATGTGATTTTTTCAGTAGATGGTGGAACCACTTGTGGTTGTTCTTGTTGCTGTTTCTCGTTTGTATCTTCTTCCTTTTGTATTTCTGGTGTTTCCTTTGGAGTAATTATTGGAGAGGATCTGGGAGAATTAGAAGGTGATAAAGGGTTGAAGAATCTTTTGACTGGGGAAAGGGATCTGGATCGTAAGCTTTTCAAATTTGTAGATGATTTTTCATCAGCAGAAGGTGATTCGGAAGTTAATTGAGTAGAAGAAGAAAATGATGAATCATTTGATGGTGGTGGAGAAGGTGGGGCAGTTCTCGATCTCTTTTTCTTGTGGGTACTATCTATTACATCATCACTTAAAGATCTTCTTTTGTTGTTAAATCTAGTGGTAGTAGTAGTGTTCAAATTGGCAGATATAGATCCATTAAGTTGAATCAATTCGTTGTGGCTGCGAGACTTAATAAGATTATTATCACTATGGTGGCCCAATTGTTTCAATTGGTCCTTAAACATGGCTGTCTGCACTAAACTCATAATAGGATGATAAATTTCCTGGGTGATAAATTTTTGATCTGAACTTGACAAAAATTTGAAGTTTGATTTTGAATTCGGATAATTTTAGTAATAATAACACAAAAAAGAACTCGTATTAGGAACAATTAATAAACCCCTGTTGATTTTGCAACTTAAAACAGTTTAGTTTTACCTATTTTTGGAAATGTAATTAAAGCGTATTTAGGTTGCCACTTGGTTACCTGGAACAACAAAAAAATGTGGAACAAAACAAGTAATTCGGAAAAAACTCAAAAAAGCCAAATCGAAAGAAAAAATCGGAGCAAAAAATTAACTTTATAAATCCTAGTCTTTTTTCCTTGCCAGAAAAACAACTGATGCTGAAATTGGGGAAATTAGGATTAATTAAATTGGATCAGTGCAACAAACTGCTAAAATGATATCTAATAGTAACCGGTTGGGAGCAAAAGTGGTCTGGAATTAGAATATGCACTAATGTTATAGTGGGAAAAAAAGGAAAAATGCTAAAGTATGTAGTAAGATTATGAACCACGGTTATATTTTTGGGGCGGATGTAGTATTTGTAGGAACTAAAAACCCCAGTGCGAATGGTATATGCAATAATTTTTTCTATTCTAAGAAAAATCAAGGATAAGGAAAATGTAGTGAGGGTGAGTGGGGGAGGAGGACACAGTTTTAAGGACAAGTTATGGGTCCAACAGCGAATGATAAGTTGTGTGTGTGTGTGGTGGTGGGAAAAGGGGGTGGGCTAATGGTAGCGATTAAAGCGATTGTGAAATTTGTTATATCTTTTTAAAGAAAAACTACAAAACAGATCAGATGGAATACGGTAAAAGTTATATATACTTAAGGAGGCTGGTCAGTAATCGCTCATTATTGCGACGTAATTATTATTTTATTTTAAGCATTTGATTTAGCTGACATTCTTGTTTGTAAGTACGAATTTTAATCTTAAGGTACTGTTTCAAGAACACAAAGAGAATGAGATTTATGCGATTTCATGTTAAGATCCGTGTGAATTGAAGCTAAATTTAGGATGAATTTCACCAAATTGGGATAAGAATCCAGCACACATCAATTGTAGGAACCGTTCGAAAAAATAAAAAAATAATAGAAACCTTGCACAAAATTGAATTTTATTTTTGAGCCAGCACAAATCTGGTTTTTTTTTTTTTTAGAAATATTATTATATGATTTAGATCAAGTCTATGGCTGATTTGTGCTGGGATTGACTAAATAAAGAACGGGGGTATGAGACACAGTTAAAAATAATTGCGGTTAAAAATATTATCACAGTTTTGAGATTGTTAGTTTTAAGGGAGGCCACGTAACACTACGAACTCTACTAACCCTCTTTATTGTTTATATGTCGACTCACTCCCTATTTACCCGCATTTATCTCGCTATCTGTACGTTTGTCTTGCTACTGTAACCCCCCCCCTCCAATTTCATTTTTTTTCTTTTGTGCATGCTCTCTCTCCTCCAGCCCCCTAAAATAAATGCAACCAGACCAAGTAAAAAAAATTTTTTTTTCCTTTTGCTGGTTGATAGCCCTATCTTTGTCTCAATTCCCTATGGAACTGGATTGGAACAAATTCTATTTTTTCATGTCGATTGATTTAAAGGAAGCTAAATTTAGTGCGCCGGTGATTCCTATTGATCCGGGTTTTCTGGAAAGCGGCTAAAGCTGAAATCCTGCTTTCAGGGGAGGTAGAGATTATCTAACAGTAAAATAAAATATTTGCTGCAATCATACTCTGGACGGAAAAGAAGTTCCCAATGGTGTATTGTTTCTTTTAGAATATCACCATAGGTCAATATAAAGCTAATTGATTGAATATAATGTAGTACAACTGCGGGATTTTATTTCTTCACAAGAGCTCATACTGGTTACATAAGGTAAAATCCTCAGAAGTATAGGAGTAATACTTCAACCAAAGTTTTTAGTTATGATGCCGTGATTCCGCAGGTTAGAAGTCCGAATTGGTCTAACTATATGCATTAATTTCTTTGGCATTTCTTAGGTTCTTGACCATTGCTCTTGGTACAAATGTTTTCACTCTTGTTGGATTGCGCCACTTCTGGTTCAACATATTCGTACGTGAATTCTCTGAATCTCGGGTTTGGAGTTGAATGAATAGCGGGATTGAAAAGATTGAGTTAAAGTTGTGGCAAAAGGAAATGAATAAATATTTCATAGAAAATTTAGAAAAATCACCAAAAACACCAAACATACAAACATTACCATTGTACATTATTTTTCAATTAAAGTTAATTGGCCATGTATCATCTGCAAGTTTATATATGAGTTTAAACTATTTGGACCATTGTTTTGTAGAATTGTTGTGTTTTCGCAGCTTTCTCTGTATGTAGCACGATTTCGCCAGTACTGTTTTTTTTTCTTTTCCCAGTAACAATGCAAAAATTTTAAGATCTAGTAACGGTGAACATTACAAAAGTTGAATCAAGTACCATACCACATTAATACAGCATGAATCAACAAGATCCAAGTAAGTAAATACAGAAGTATATTTACACAAATAATAGTCAAACTAACAATACTCTTTCCAGCCCAACCAATAGAGCCATTTCTTAAAGATTTATTAGCATCACTAGACGCACAATATGCATCACCAACCCAATCATTCCCTAACGTTGAAGCCTACGCCACCCAATTTGCCTCAAACGTCAAGCGAGACTGTGCTATAATTGTCAATGGCAAACCAATAATCCCTACTCCACAAGAAGATGCTCGATTACAATTCCAAAAGAAATGGTTAGCTACCCCATTATCATCACATCAATTAACGAGTTTTGATTGCCATTTAATTCCAGGAACTGGTACTTTCATAGTTAACTTCTGCGCTAAAGTCAAGTTCGATCAAAGTGGTAGAAATAGATTGGGTGAATCAGCCGATTTAATAACTGATAATTCCATTGGTAGAACTGTGAGACCAATTTGGGGGTCAAATTTCGGACTCAATGTTAATTTAGTTGTCGATGAATCGGTCATTAACAATTCAAAGGGAGAAATAATAAGCAGTTTAAATTATAGATTTACGTATATACCAGAAGATACAATTTTAAAAATATAGCTAACTAAATAATAAATTGTTGAATATATTCAGTTAAAAGATCACCCAAGTACTTTGACGAGTAAAGCGAAGGAGACTTGTTAAAATTGGTGTAATTCAATTCATTTAATGCCCAAACTATATTAGGGGTAATAAAATCGTAGAAAATCAAATCAATGTCTTCCTCAGAATCGGAGTGTATCTGCACACTTTCAACAACATTAGGTATAGGGAAGTTAACAACAGGCTTATGCAATGTATCGTCACCATCGTTACCAAAGTCGTCAAAAGTTACATATCCCTTGGATAGCTTTTTCCTCTCCACTTCAGAAAGTATCAAAGGAGTTTGATCACGTTTAGTTCTCTCTGAAGAGTAGTAATGATGTGGAGGCAAAAGTCTTCTATTATCTATAGCATCAGCTTGCCCCTTTGCATAAATATATCCATTATCATTAAGCTTGGCTGCTACTTGAGTTGCGATTGATTTAGGAACTGTAAGTTTAACCCATAAATTTTCAAATGGTGACACAATATACTGCGAATCAATAGTATATGGACCCTTATACAAGTCATACCTGATAGATCCTGTATTAATGATAATAATTCTATCGGAGGTACTAGTTGTATTAGTATGTCCCTCAGGAACTAAAGTAGTCAATACTTTACTGGTCAAAAGATCAAAGATATTATTTTTATGATCAATTGGAACATAATCAATATAGTAGTTACTACCATTAACATATCCCAATGCGCGATTCAAGTTCAACTTGTTTCTGGTCTCGGTTATCAACAGGGAAACGTGCTTACCTTTGTCAGTATCAAATTCGTGAATCGATTTGTTTGTATGATGTAAAAATGAATGCAAATTAAAGTCCAAATATGATCGTGCAAATCTCTCATGTAAACTGACATTGCCCTTGACATTTACACTGGTCCATCCTATAGTTTCACAATATCTACCACTTTGCAACCCAGTAGATAATTCATCAAACACAGTAAAGTCACGAATGTGACTGTGGCCTCCAAAGTATTGGATAATCGTATCTGGGAAATATTGACGCAAGTGTGAGTGCAAATTATATAATTCAGGGTAATCATGAGATATTGGAGTATGTGCCACAATAACAATCAAATCAACTTTATCTTTATGTTGTTGTAACACCTCGTTAAACCAATCTTGCGTAATAACCTCTGCTATTGGAATAACCCTAGTTCCATTGTTAAACCTATTGAAATCAAACAAGAACCCAAGGGCTAATGTCCGTATTTGTTGCACTGGAGTAGTGAAATACTTGTACTTTTGCCCAAATGGAGCAAATGTCCCATTCTCAAATTTATATTCCACATTTGAACTTATATATTTATCCCCAAAATAATCAGCAACAAGTTCATATTCTTGTCTTGAATTTTCCCACACGTACAATTCGTGATTTCCAATGGTCAACAAATCATAATTCTGTTTCATGAAAATAGGGGTACTAACCAATCCATTTGGATAGGTGATGTCTGAAAACCCATTTCCATCATGACGATCCCCGCTATCAATCAACAACAAATCTTGGCCCTGCTCAAGAGCTTGTTGTCTGAGATGGGAAGTAAATGATATAAAATCACCCCAGTTAGCATTATACTGCTTTTGATTCAAATGACCGGAATACCATCCATGAGTATCTGTTGTATGAACAAAATTTATGTCATTCCAAGTAAGATTTCTATATGTGGGGGCGGTGTCAGAGCTGCGGATCCTGGTGGTAAGATCAGCTAGTTTTTTCTTGTTATGCTGATCGTAACACAACAAGATGCCCATTAGGGCATAGTTTGCCAAGAGGAAGGCAAATTGGAACGATTTCATGGTGTTACTACCTCTTGATTACCACGCGTTGGTCTATAAGAAATCTGTCAAGTTAAAAAAAAAAAGATAAGGGAGATCTGAAGGCAAAGCCTAAAAAAAGGCGATAGCCACACATAAATTATACTAATTTATAAATGCGCACTTGGTTGCGCATGGTTCATATTAAAGTACAAGTGTTCTATATTTTTATTCTATAAATATAAAGGTGCTTATAAACCTTGTTGAGTTCTTCTTCTGTCTCTTTCTTCTGAGATGGATAACTTAATACCCTTACCCTTTGGTAAAGAAACCCATGGCTTACCAGCTTCGGTACCAATAACGAAAACGTTAGATAATCTGGTAACGAAAGTGTTGTCTAAGGAATCCTTGATGTGGACTAAATCGAAACCACCTTCGTGCTTTTCTCTGTGGACAATGACACCAACTCTACCCAAGTTTCTACCACCAGTGACCATAACTAATCTACCGGTATCGAACTTGATGAAGTCAGAAATCTTACCAGTAGCCAAGTCAATCTTAACGGTATCGTTAGCCTTGATCAATGGGTCTGGGTATCTGATGGTTCTACCGTCGTGGGTAACAACGTATGGAACACCTCTCTTACCTAATTGAACCTTCTTGACCTTACCTAACTTGTAAGAAGCTTCTTCAGCAGAAATTCTGTGAACAGCGAATCTACCCTTGACATCGTAGATTAATCTGAAGTGTTCGTTGGTAGCTTCCAAGGTGATGACATCCATGAAACCAGCTGGGAAAGTAGAGTCAGTTCTAACCTTGGCATCAACCTTGACGTGTTGTTGCATCAAGATAGCCTTGACTTCTCTACCGTTAAGAGCATACTTAAGTCTGTTTCTTAAGAAAACAACCAATGGTAAAGATTCTCTCAACTTGTGTGGACCAGCGGATGGTCTTGGGGCGTAAGTACCGGACAATTTGTCCAACATCCAGTGGGATGGAGCTGCCAATCTCTTCAAGTGCTTCTTTGGTCCTCTAGCCATTTTTGATGTTAACTATGGGGTTTGATTGATTAAACGTTAGAAAAGTAGATTGAAAAGTATATGGAATTTTTTTTCAGCCATCGTCACTGTTAGTGTGAGAAACATACAAGCAAAAAAAAAAAAAAAGTAGTGCTACCACAGCAAAAAAAAAAAAGAAACTCTAGGGTTGAAGCCCTTGGTGTCGCACTTTCACACGTGATACAATTTCTAGTACATTACTGGTATATATAAACATCTATGCCTTTTTACCCCAACTAAACCAACCACCACTCTTGCTATATTTCTTCAATTCTTGTTCAAGAGTGTTTTGCTCTTCTAATAAAGTCAGTAGTTCTTCTTCTAAATTAACTGCTCGTTCAGTTTCTTCAGCATTGACTTTTAATAATTCTTGAATATTATTTTCAATTTCAACTGGTAATGCCTTTGAATTGATATCGCTGGTTGATGTAGATGGACTTTCCAGCATTTTCGATTCTAATGCTTGTATATCACATTTTAATTGCTCTATACTATTAGTTAAATCTTCGTTATCGTTAATTACATCTGGTAATGTAACTTTCAAATCAACCATTTCTTGAACAATTTCAATATGGTCCATATTAAGTTTAGCGTAGTTAGTTTCAAGTTCTTTTATTTTATGTCTCAAGTTCCCATTCTCGAGCTTGATTTGTTTGATATCGTCAACCTTTGATTTTTCATTGTTGTATATATTTTCAAATTCGTTTTCATACTTTGTTAATTCAACTGGATCAAGATTAATCTTCATTGAATCTTGAACCAAAGAATCTAATTTGTAATATTGTCCTTTTATCGCCGATCCAGTAGTAGTTGTCGAATTTGAACTCTTTGAACTTGGTAATAACGAGAATCTAGAACCTGAACTTCGTTTGGTCGAATCATCTTTAAAGTTAATAAACTCTTCATGAACGTAAATATTAAACAATTTATCCTTTAAAAATTCCAATAAATTGTCAAACGAAAGTGACAAAAGACTAGCTTCATTCTTTAACATTAAATTGACGGCAAATTTCAAGATCGATTCCATTCCTTGAGTTACTATAATATCATAAATTCTCAAGACAATATCAAGTGGAAATTTATAGGCAAAGAAGGTAAGGAACCATTGGGAAGCATACATTGAAGATTTAATCCCCTGTTTGACCAAATGATTATACAATACTGGTGAGTATGATTCCAATAACCTATCAAATTCATAAAGCATTAAATGTAACCCCTTCATTTCAGGACAAAACAAATCTCGAAGCCTATATTCTTTCATTAAAGTAACTAATAATGAAAAACATTCAGCTTCACTCATATTCATAATTAAAGGAATGGCAATGAAAATCATTCCTTGAGTATATCCAACATCGGGATCAAACAAACTGTAAGATTTGATAACATTAAACAATTCTTGAGCTTTATTAACTTGTTCAACATTAGTAAAGAAACTGGTTCTTGACAAATCTCTCTTGATTGCCTTTTCATGAATTGAAGATTCACTCTTCAAATGAAGGTAAAATTCCTCTAGTTGAAAATTCTTGGATTTAGAAACTAATTGCCAGATAATCCCTCTAAATTCCTTAGGGATACCAGACATAATTAATTCATTGAGTCTATTCAGTTCATGATTAATCACATAGTCATAGTCGTTAACAATTTGAGTCCAGAAATCCCAATCAATTTTATATTCAAAAGCTTCACTGAATCCACCGACAGTATTCTTAATATCATTAAAGGTTTTCTTGATATTTTCTGTTCCAGTATTTACTGCCTCTTGAACCTGATTATTCTTTTCATGAAACTTTAAATTCAATTGGTTGAACTTGGATTGTAATAAATAATTAGAACTGGATTTATCATAAGTAGTCAGAATAGTCGATAACATTTCAATAGACTCTTGTTGAGATTGGAAATTTTGACCTAATGGTGATCCAGGTTCGTCCAATCTGATACAAACTTGAATGGATTTGCGATTAGGCAATGGTGGAACATCACTAGCGGTACCATTACTATTGGATTCATCATGGTTTTCTCCTTTGTCATCTAGATTTTCCTGAATGTCAGCTTCAGTATCTCCATTAGGTTCATGTTGTTCTTTCTCCTCAAGGTTGCTGTTTTGGTTATCTTGTTCTTCTATATGGTCTTTTGCGTCTTCGAATTCGTCGCCTGACATTATATCTGTGTGTATTATTAGTATCAGAGAAATATGCTATGTAAATATCTATCAATTAAAATTAAGCAACAACACAGTACAAACAGAGCCAAGTTGACACCGGCAAAAAAAATGTGTATGTGTCAGTTTTGGGCGCGTATATCTCCCCCCCCCCTAGTTTTGTGTGTGGTAGCGTGATCCTTGAAGATCTCGTCGCGATAAGAATAGGGCAGATTTCTCGAGCTTTACTCTATTTGCTCTAACTACAAGGGAATTACTATCAATGTCGTTCATTATACTAATCACGTTTAAAATTAATGATATAGTTAGACGCTCTCTCGGTAACTTTTCCCAAATTTGATTCCAAATAATCGTAGAATTCTTGGAAATGCTCAGGACTCTTTTGACCTGTAAGGATTGGATTATTCTCAAGATTCAAATGCGACAAACAGCTTTTACAATTGTCATTTTCAAATACAATCGATGTCAAGAAGTTGTTCGACAAATCCAAATGAAGCAACCTTTTGAATGCTGATGGAAACAAAAATGTCAGCGATAATTTATTCCTCGAAAGATTTACTTTCGTTAAACTAGTTGGAATATAATCTATTTGTATTTTTTTTATTTTACATTGACCTAAGTTTAAGTCAACGATGTTAAAATCATAGTGCTTGTTAAACAAGGGAAATCCTTTTGATAAAGTGGATATCCTGTTTCCCCGTAGATCTAATTTATTAAGATTGGGGGGAATGAACCACTTATTCAAACTGGTTATGCGGTTTGACCAAAGACCAAAGGTGTGTAGCTTATCAAGTTTACCCCAATCTCGATATGATAATATATTGCGGATTTGGTTGCCGGGTAAATTCAATTGCTCAAGTGATGATGGAAATTCTAGATATTGTATATCATCAATTACACATCCAGACATTTCTAAAAATTTCAATTGGCTAGAAAATTGGAAATTTTCTGTTACTCGTATGTGCCTATTGTTTGATAAGTTTAGCCATTGTAAACCAAATGGTAGATTGGATAAATTGTTAATGTTTGTGAATTTATTCAAGCTGAGATCCAACTTGATCAAGTTCAGCGGCCATCCGATATTGTCATTGATCATTTCCAACACATTATCATCTAACCCACTACAACTTAATATTAATTTCTCTAGTGTAACTGGCCATGTTGCCTCCGGATCATCGCAGGTGATGCTTTTAACTGAAGAATTGAAGGATAAATCTAATACACGTAAACGAGGTGGTAAATCGTCGATTAATACCCTTTCCAATCTATTTAAATTTAATTGAAGATCTGTTAAGCATCCGGAAATCCTATGTTTTAGGTGTGACAAATCTCTAATATCAAGCCTGTTGATACTAAGCTGCTGGATTGTTATAGGAAAGCTTACTATCGAAGTATTCGTACCATTGAGGAAGTTTCCAAAGGATAGACTTTTCAATGTTTCAGGTAATTTAATCCTTGACCAATCATTATCTTCAGCATGAGAAATAACGATCTTTCTAAGTTTGGGATGATTTATCAAGTTTAGATTATCAATTAGTCTTGTGAATATTGGAGTCAAAACCAAACCACAAAAGTATAACTCCGTTAAATTCTGTAATGATAATACATAATCAACATCTTCAATGGTAATTGGACATTTCAGAAAATAAATTCCTATTTCATCAATATTATAGATTCGATTGTGAAACTTCTTCAACACTTCATTTACTGGATTATACTGCACGTCTTCACTAGCTACAAATAATCGCCTGGGTACGATTTCAGGAAATTCGTCCATAAATCGAAATACTTCCTTGTTTTGAAAATTGGACCCTTCATAGGTACGACGATTGAAAATTTTGCCAAAGCGGAAATTGATCGTTGACAAAAAGAAATGGGCCTTGGACCAAACGAAATGGACTTGCTGGGAGTAATAGTGAATAATTAAATTTCGAATATTATCATCAGGAAAATATAGGAAAAAATTACGTAAATAACCAAATGGTAGTAAGTTGAATATTTGGATTAAGACTTCATCGGGAATACGAGGTAAATAGATCCTTACGAACGATAGTATCCAGTTGTCATTTTCGGTTTGCATGATTTCGTGGATAATGTATGGAAGCTATGCTTATTTTTTTTTTTTTGCGGGGCATAATGTTTGCTAGTTTCTGCTACTTCTAATCAACTACAGTAAAACATACAAGTACAGTCAATACATAATATGAATAATTCAACTATTTAAACACTATAAACATGTAATCCCAGATCCTATTCTCATAACCTTTAATCTCATAACCTCATACAAATATTCGCAAACTTAATGACTTGATGATATCCAATAATATTCATCACAATCACTAATAACTGGGTCCATATTGATTGGCATTGTACCCATGGCAAATTCGGGACGAACAATATCATCTTCCGAAAGAGGATGAAATTCTTCACTAGTTGAAAATAAATCACTTTGAGATTCACAAGAACTCTCAGATTCATTAGTACCATAATAACAACTTAAAATATCAGATTCACCTACACTACCGCTTGAAGAAGGGGCCATCATCATAGCTGGTTCAGGATAATTTTCACAATCTTCTTCAAATATAATGCCACCAGTAACATTCTTCTCCTTACATAAATTTTCCAACTTTTCTCGATCACAATTGGGGAAATAAATTCGCAAGACATTCTTATCGGAGATATACTTTATAGGTAACTCACCCAATTCAAATAAGTTAGTTAAATCCTTCTTCAAATCTTTCAATTTTTGTTCAAACATTTTTATGTTAAACATCATTTCTTCAAAAGTCTCTTCTGTCAAAATTGTTTCTTGGGGAATATTCAAATTAAAATTGATTGGGAAATCAATATAACAGCCAACATTAAGTTGATTACATTCTAATTTTTCTTGAGTGGTAGCTGAAGAATCACTTCTTGCTAATTGAAGAGTAATTTTATGATGTTGTGGAGTTAAAGACAAATTCAATCTAATGGTAGGGTTAAATTTTTGCTTATAATTAAAAGTATGGTTGGTGCCAGCAAATACATTAGCTTGAGTTAATCCACCATAAATTTGATATTTTTCACGTAATCTGTTAAATATTGTCCGATAAGTTAATCTGACATTTTGTTGATATAATTTCAACCGGAAATTACTTTGATATGCTTGGGAAAAATTATGAAACATAAAACTATGATCTAAGGATTGCAATATCCTTGAACCACCAACAGCTCGTTTCCCAGCAAAACTGTAAAATCTTTGAAAGATATTATATTTACCAAACCAGGTTTTACCTCTTCCAGGAAAATTTGAGTTCATTTGATGATAAGTCCAATTTGGGTTACCACCAGTAAACGAACAAAAGAATCTCCTTATTTGTAAACCAGGACAAGCAAAATTTGAACGGTGTGGTATACCATGTGGACCCCTAGGTCTCCCTCTAACTGGAACAGGTACTCTGACAGGAATAGGGACAGGTTGAAGCTGATGAGGATGGGCCAATCGTTCAGCAATTTCTTCCAACACCCTTTGGATTCTCTTTGATATATTTCTTGTTAATCTTTGCATACTCATTCTCGGAAATGATCGGTAAACTTAAATCTCTATAAAAGGTATCTAAATACCAAACTTGTATATGAATAATTTAATGTTGGGTGTACAAGGAGGGTTATTCCCTCTCGTCTTCTAATGCTGTCCCTTGTGTGTTTTAAAAAAAAAAGACTCACAGGGGAAATCAGAAAAACAACTTTGTGGAGGAAAATCGTTTTTTCATGCGCGGTTTTTTTTTTTAACTTACCCAAAATTTCTTTTGTTCGTAATTCCGTCTCATTTTTGAATGTGTTATTTCCGTAGACTTCCCAATCAAGTAGCATCTCGTGGCTGCAAAGATTTGTCTGATTACGATTTACTATATTTCCAAATGGAGACAAAACCAAGTCAGTCGCGAATTGTTTATTCTTATAATGCCTTCAGGCGTTTTTATAAATAGCTCCAAGCTTATAGCATATGCTACTCTCCTAATTATCATACCATCTTACGAAACGTTAGCACACACAGCCTTGATTTTATGTACCCTTATGCAGTGGTGATTTGCAACCTTTTAACATTTGCATACTTTTTATTGCACACACACACACACACACAACTAGAATATCGTTAACATTAATACACCGTTAACATCAGTACACCGTTAACATCTTTTTACTTCAAATACTATGTATAAAGTGATATAGCTAAACATATGAAAACAAAGTAACAAAAAAAATACAAACATATATAAAAATTGCCAAATTATTTTAGCAAAGGAACATTAAATATTTTAAACATTAATAAGGGAAGTATCATCCATGACATCATTAAAAATCAAATCAAAACTAGTGGTTACATCACCAGGAAATAAACCAAGTTCTTGAGGAGCAGAAGATTGTTGCAATTGCAGTTGCGGCAGTTGTTGCAACTGACTTTGTTGTATTTGGTGGGCCTGAGTAAGAATTTGTTGGGGTAATTGTTGTTGTTGTTGCTGTTGTTGGAGTTGGTATTGCAGGTACTGAGGCATTAAAATTGGTTGTCTCTGTAAAAGGTCTGGCTTATATTTCTTGGTACTTGGTTGTTCCAACAAGAATTCTTCCGCATCTTCAATTCCAGTATCATCACCACCAAAATCTCCTGAATTAATCGACAAGATTGATGAAGGTGAAGTTAGTGATGAATTTTCAGTAGATTCATAATGATTGAAAACTGCTGGTGCAACAAACTTGAATTCAGATTTTACTGGCATTGAAGCTATTTGTTGCGGTGTTTGTACTTGCCGAAGTTGTTGGTTTTGTGGAAAGCTGAAATTGGATGTAGGAATATTATTTAGTATAAAATCATCGATGATTTCTTGTTTTATTTTGGAATTGTCGATTTTGGAATTGTATTTGGATGTTGCTGTGGAACTAGGAATTGGATTTGACTTGGATTGGCGTAATGGGTAGCTATTAAAGTCGATATCGTCATTTGGATTGAATGCTGGAGTCTGAATTTCAGATTGAACTGCCATTGGTATGACTGATTTCATTCTAGGGGATAAGTTAACTGGAGTAGGCAAGGGAGAAGCTGTTGTTGGACGTCCTATTAATCCCATAGCATTGGATTCTTCAATTTTTTGTTTCAATGGAGCTAAAACCAGTTCATATGTTTCCATTAATTCATCAATATCATAATATGTAGTGGAAGGTAATAAATAATAAATAATATCTTCTAGCTTTTTAACTTTGTTTTCTACCTCAGTTAAATGAGCTCTGGTCAAAGGAGATCTCACTGTTCTTGGACTGTACGAACAATTCCAATTGTGTTGAGTACATTTCGTACATCGAGGGAAATCCTTGGAACATTTTAATTTCCGTTTTCTGCATGAATCACACGCTTGTTCAATTGCTGGATTTGAAGATTTGGTTACTTTTGGTGCAATGATTTCAACTTCTCCCGATTCAATGTCTTTTTCTGTCATTTCTTGTTCTTGTTGTGATTGCAATTGAGGTGATTGAGTTTCTGATTCTAATTTCACTGGCAATGGCAGTTCTTGATCTGGATGGTTGGATTGCTGCGAAGTTTGTGTCTCTTTTATATTTTCGGGCTTTTCTGAGCAAGTACTTTTTGTGTTTGATTGAGATGACATATTAGTGGTGGTAATTAGCAATTCAAGTAAAGATTTGGAAAAATTAGTAGTTTATTACCTCGAATTTCGTTTGGAATTTTTGAACTGAAATAATGATTCCTTTTTATAACCGTTTAACCTTTTTAGGGGGGGGGGGGGGGGGGACGAAAGATCAATTACAAATTACCCACAAAAAAAATATTATACTTGTTAACCCACAGTTTCGTTTTTCAATTGCAATCAAATGTACAATTGAGCAGTGAATAAATTTGCTTGGAAATTGTCTGGTCAAACGAATCGGTCGAAATGGAACACTTTATTAATTTTGCAAAAATAATAATTGAAAATGTCCCGAAAAATAATACCTAAATGAGGGGGGGTGTAAACAAGGGGGGAGGGGGGGGTGGTGGGTCACTATTATTAGTTGGTACTGTATAGATAAAAATGCTGCCCGTGTGGTCTAATTCTCTCCTATCAGCAGCAGAAAAAAAAATTTTTAGTTCAGTTTAAAATTTCAACTGTTTGGAATTTCTTGTTCTCTTTCTTTGACAATAGAAAAAAAACGTTGTGTCTCGATGAACTTTGCTATCAAAGGAGGTCTAAAATTCTATGCAATAAACACACAATTAGGTAACTTTTTCAAGCTGGAGGGAATTGTCCGAGATTTGGTTAACTAGGACAATTATGGACTTTGAAAATGGTTTAATTCACCTCTAATGTGTTCTCTGATCCCGTTATTTTGTAATTATCGGGAAAAAAAAAGAAAAATCACAACAAAAGCTTAATTCTTGGAAAGAACTGTACAGATGTATACTTTGATAATAAGGTGATTCTTTTTAAATCAGCCAAAAAGCGCAATGGAGTAGGTATACCCTTACTTGTTGAGTCCAATTGCTGCAAAATCAATCTCAAACGAAGAAAAATTCTTAAACTCGAATTTTTATACCCTTCGCGTAGTTTCGGTGATATTTGATTTAGTAAAACTCGAATCGGCAACGAATCTTGAATGGGTTGGGAAATTCGTAATGATTGACCGAAAGGGAAATGTGTATGTATGTGCAATTGCCCTGTTTAGAAAGATGTTCTTGAATCTAGGCTTGGATTGAGCGTTGGTGTTTGATCAAGATGATCCTTTGATCTATTGTTAGTTTGTTTACGTTGTTGTCTACAAAGAGCAAAAAGAGAAAAAGAGAAAGAGTAAATTCTTTCTTTCATACAATTTTATTTATCAATTTGATTTATGGAAATTTGTTGATGCCTTTATACGAAACCACACATCAAAATTTGAAATTGTGTTTAATGAAGACTGAAACAAAAATAATAAAAAAAAAAATAAAAATAAATTAAAAAAAAAAATGACGGATGAGAAAATATAGTAACAAAACAACTCATCTTCGTTTTTTTAAGAGCTTTTTTTTTGCGCTCATGCCGTCACTTGCACCATTACAATCAGTTATAAATTCCTATATTTTCGACAAGCAAAAATATCAGTAATGCTACTATTCTTGTAAACCAAGCATAACATACAGCTTGATTTGATTACTAAATGTAGGTATATAATATATAAAATGTCATCTAAAATTCCCTGACGGGTTATTCAAGGATGCATAACTAATGTGTTACATGACCCGCCCCCCTCAACAAACTACCAGGTAAGGGAGGGACCAAATGCCTTTAGTTGCCGAAGAGGGGTAATTGGATCTCCCTATTTGAAATGTGTAACAAAATTAGTTTGGAAAATGTGTCTGGCAATATTTTTTTATGCATTTTTTTCACTATTTTTTTTTTTTTTGGAAATTTTTTTTTTCGTTGTTTGGCTGTTCTATTTAACAGTTTGCTGCATATTTTTTTAGACCTTTTTGTAATACTTCGATTCTCGGAAAAACTCCTAGTGCATAAAAAAAAGCAGCAACTGACGGTTTTCTTAATATATAAGCAAGATGCAAACCTGGTGACTTGACGATTATACGTAGTGTTGCTAAGGCACAAGCCACGTATATGTGATCATCCCATATTAGGTTCCAACAAACAGATTACTTAGATACACAACGTTAAATTTTCTTAACTTTCCCTTTTCAGAAGTAACTGCCAAACACACCCATATTTGGAACTTTTTGTGTCAAGAACATAAACTGATGCCGGGTTCGGACTTTATTTTTTCCTAAGGCTTTAGTTAAATGTTTTGCAAAAAAAAAAATTAAAAAAAAAAACAAAAGACAAAATCACGTAATGCTAAACATGTTTAGAGATGTCATAGACTGTTGGGCTGATTCTAAGAAGTATATTCTACCTATGTTCTAGACACGTCCAAAATTGGTCATGTGTTGCTACAGATTCACGTATGGTCGTTTTATTCTTGCTGAATCTACAATATTCAAGATTGATCCCGTTGTCCCCGAGAGCTTTGGTAGTCATATCCCCTTTTGTAGATCATTGGTCCTGACAAAGGAAATAATATCGGCAATGTTAACACCAGATCAATATGTAAAAAAAAAAAAAAAAAAAAAATAAAAATAGAATTTTTGAAAAAAAAAAACCGTTGGAATTCTTGCGGGTTTTTTTTTTTGTATGATTTTTACTAATGCAAATGTCATCGGGTTTGTATCCCGAACTGCAAACAACGGAATCATATCCCTTGAGATCTCCATCAAAATGTATAAGAAGCTCTGGGTACCCCGGGACAAGACTATAAAACAATATACCGCCGATACTATTCTCATTCTCTGCAACTCCCCCGAGTTTGAAATGTGGGAATACCCGGCAACTAAGACCGGGCATACTGGCAGAATTAATTTGCCTTATCAAAGAATGACCTCAAACCAATTAAAAATTTAAATACCTCGCTCATTTACTCGCTTTTGCAGACAACACAAAATTTTCATTTGTCAGATAAAAAAAAAAACTGAAATTTTGTAGCACAGTTAGGACATACATCACCGAATATAGAAGAGGGGTAACGTATAGGCGTTTTTTTGTTGAATATTGTTTGGCTTTGTGATCTATTAAGCCCTATCGACTAAAAGTTCGACTAAAATAGTCATGTTTTCTTATCCACGTGACTTATATAAACAGAATTTGAATTGTTTACTGACACAGTTTTAAGTTATGACCTCATTTCTATACACATAAGCCATATTATATAAATAAAAAACTCCACCTCCCTATTATACGTTGTCATCATGATAAACAAATCTACTTCTTTTTGGATCTAATGGGGCATGCTTGATGTACAGATCGTTATCAGGAGGACGTTCCAATTTATCATTTGTATTAAGCATGCTTTGAATACTTAACAAAATCGATTCGATTGAACAAGCAGGAGTCCAATCTTCTCCTAAAAGATTTAGACATATGTGACCATTACTATAGATATGAGGATGAATTGGGATTTTGGATTTTTCAATAATCTCAATTGAATCTGAATCTTCTTTATCGTCGTCTACTGATTCATATATGATAAACTTAACTTGGGGACAATCGACGGGATAATCTTGAGTTATGTTGATACTTAAGTAGTATCGTTCGTAATCAGGGTATAAATTATGATTAGCAATTCTGATTTGGAATATAAAATTAGTCAAGTTCTCGTCATTACTAACGAGTTTTATTCCAGGGAGCGTAGCTTGGGATAATGACTGGTATTCCTTTAGTAATCGCCTATGGAAGGGGTGCCTGGACATGATTTCTGTACTACAGGTAGTAGGTTGGGTATCTATCTAAGGGGTGGGATCAAAAATGATACGTTGTTCGCGTTTCAATTTTTTTTTTTAATGACATTATTGCTAACGTATATTTGTTATGGTTGCCTACTACTACAAAAAAAAATCAAACTGTCTATTAAAATAAATATGCTACAGAAATAATTACTCTACAACGGCATAGCTTGAATGGTACTCCTTGAAGATGTACTTTTTTGGGTACTATTTTTACTCTTAAATCTCTTTCTTTGAGAATTTTGACTTGATCTTCGTTGTCGTTTTTGGCTTGTTGATGACTGATAAGTTCTAGAAGTCTTCTTAAAAAAGGGAGAAGTTGTATCTGTAGAAGTTGTGTTGTAAACTGCTGTTGATTTTGTTTGACCAGGAGATGTTGTCAGTGATTGACTTGAATTCTTCTTTCTTTCCCTTGCTAATCGCGCCAAGTCTTTCTTAAAATAGTGGAAATATTCCGTTTGTTCTCTGGAAATACCAATTAACTTGGAGAAATCTTTCTTGTTGGTTGGTAAATTCCTCAGCATATCCTTTAAGGTGTTATCAGAAATTAAAAGTTGATTCCTCATACCCACTTGAACCAGCGCATTCAGTCGAATATGACTCAATTCTTGAAAACTCTTTTCGATATGAGGTAAATCTTCTCGAGATATTCCTGAACTGAAATTATTGTTGGGCAAGTCAATATTGGACATTTCTCGAGCTGTAGTAAATGATCCTTGATATCTAAACCCATTAAGACCATTAGCTGGTGCATTGCCATTACTTGCTTTCAAAGTTGGGTTTCGATTTGTTTGACCTGCAGAATTATACCCCAAGTTACGAGAAGGACCAGAAGTGCATTGCATCTTAATCTTTTTCGCGCCAGTCAATACATCATTAGCATGTTTTCCCAATTGAATATAACTCACAGGAAATCCACCAGGTGAACGTAAATATTCATCCAAACACTTCTCTGACAACAAATAAAAGAACAATCTGTCTATTTCAGTCTTATCCAACAGTTCACCTTTACCGTGGTATGGATTCTGATCATGGCCCACGGATGTAATTTTCATACTTCTTGATCCTTTGTAAACATCTTCACAATGTAAACGAGTAACATCAAACCCTTGAAATGACTGTACAAGGCGGATAATATCAGCAGCATTGGTCGTGAAATCCTTTTCAAAACTAGTAGTTGAACCTGAATTTCGACAATTATCACATTGTTGATGACAAAGTTTTGGATCAAAAGTTTCATTAAAATAATGCAAAACTTGTTTACGACGACAATCAATGACATTCTCACAATATTGAACCACTTGTTTCAACTTAACCATATGACTTTCTCGACTCATTTTGTTTAAACTTTTATCTCGAATAATCATACTTCGGAGATGATGAGCATCACGAGTATTAAAAAACATGAGACATTCCGAAGGTTTCCCATCACGTCCTGCTCTACCAGTTTCTTGGTAGTATCCTTCTAAACTTCGAGGTATAAACAAATGAATAACAAATCTCACATCAGGTTTATCAATTCCCATACCAAATGCAATGGTGGCACAAATTACATAAACTTTATTCTCTTGCCATTGGGTTTGAACTTCAATTCTGTCCTCTGAACTCATACCTGCATGGTAATATGCAGAATGTAAACCAAGTTGATTCAACCGTTGGCTTGTTTGTTCGCAAGATTGTTTTGAGTGACAATAAATAATCCCGGTTTTATTTTTAAATTTCCGAAATATGTAATCTTTGATCACATCCAAATGATTAGCATTTTTCCATTGAACTTCATAGAATAAGTTAGTTCTGTTGAAACTTTGTTTAAAGAAAACCGGATTGTTTAAATTTAAATGGGTTATGACATCAGCTCTTACTCTTTCATTGGCAGTGGCAGTAAGTGCCATTACTGGAACATTTGGAAACTTTGTTTTAAATAAGCCCATACCTTTATAATCTGGACGGAAATCATGACCCCAAGAACTAAGACAATGAGCTTCATCAATGACAACTCTGGCTAACTGACCTTCATTATACAACTTTTCAATGACCTTTTGAAACATGGCGGATTTAATCACCATTTCTGGCGATAAATATACTATATCTAGTAAACCTTCCCGAAACAAGTGCATAGTATGTCTTTTTTCGTCGGCGGTACCTTTAGAATTAATCATCCGGACGTTAACATTCAATTTCTCTAAGTGATGTACTTGATCTTGCATAAGCGAAATAAGTGGTGATATAACAACGGTTGTTCCCTTGGTTAACCCGCCTTTTACAAGAGCAGGCAATTGATAACAAAGTGATTTACCACCTCCAGTGGGCATCAACACAAACACATCTTTTCGTAATAGACTGGCAATGACAGCTTCAAGTTGATTAGATCTAAAGGAATTCAATTTGAAAACATTATTTAAAACATGATAAATCTCGTCAATGAATGGTCTTGCTTCTGGGGGTATATTCTCTTTGTTTACCGTAGTCACTAAAGGAGATGCTGGTTGATCTCTTGCATTCAAAAGTTTTAATAATTCATCATCGTCATCTCCAAAGTCCAGGTCATCAAAATCACTATCAATGCTGACAACTGGGTTAGAAGTGGTGGTGGTATTATTGGCACTTCCATTTACTGGTTGGCTATAAACATCTGCTATTTCCAAGACATTACCATCTTCATCATCGGAAAGTACCTCGATTATATCAACTTCTCTTTCATCATTCATGGTGAAATTTTCAATTTCTTCAACTTCATCTTCATCGCCACTTTCATAGGGTATAACTTCCTGTTTGACATTAATATCAGTCAGACCAAATTGTGTATCGTCCTGGATCTCATCCACATCAGTCAGGTCAGACTCAGAGTCATTAAGGAATGATCTGTCGTCCTCATCTTCAGAAACGTCATCTTCAATAAAACTGCCTAAATCATTAACTTCATCACGTTCTTGACTTTGAGTTAGAAGTCCTTCCATGGTCATTTCTCCAAAGTTGTCTTCACCATCAGTAAGATCTGTATTTTCGACAAATTGCCGGGCCTCGATTCGGTTGTCAATTTCTCGTAAAGCACGTTGGGGTTGGGGTTGGGGTTGGGCAAATGATTGATGTACTGGAGTAGTAGGTACTTCAGCAATTGGTGATAATATAGGACTACTCATTTCTAGTATTATTTGTGGCTCAATTTCATGATTTTGTAAATTTAATGAATCGGGCACTTCTTGGACTGGTGGTAGTGGAGCATTAATAGGAGTGGAGCTAACTATGTTTGCAGATATAGGTGTAGAACTGGTGAATGTGGATACCTGCTCATTGACATCTTGATCAAGTATTTGTAGCTTTAACTGGGCTATCCTTTCATCTGTTGTTTTTAATTGAGGTTCAAACTTATTCTTGTACATTTCCTTTTTGCTGTCATGGGATATCAGTGTTGATTCGGTAATAGCAAATCTTTCTTCTAATAACTTAATCTTTGACTCTTGAACTTCAACTAGTTCTTGAAGTAAAGCAGTTGAAGCCATCTTCGCTCGCGTATTAGGTTGTACTGTGTTTTTCTTGGTAGAAGTCATTCTAATGGGACTGTTTTCAGTTAAATCAATGACATCTTCGTCATTTATTACAACTTCGGATGATGCTATTTGTACTATAGATTTCTCTTTGGTTAGTGGTAATCTTGACTGATTCACTTGATTCACCAGCTGTTGGGGGGTATTAGAACTTTTGTTATGCAGGGACGGTATGGATGTTGGTTCAGGTGCGAGTCTCGTTGGTGGTCTCATATCGCCAATAGTTTGGCCAGAATTAGGTCTTCCATTTGATGTATTGGTTTCAACGGAATTAACACTGGGTATATCTATTGAACTTTCTATTGATTCAAGTGTGGTTACAACATTGGGAGCTGTTTGATTAGGATATTTTTTTAGTAGGAGATCCAACACATTTGAAGAAGGTATATAAGGTTTGGAATCTTCAAACCATTTGATCTGTGCTTGAAGAGTGTTTTGTTGGATCATAAACTAGTATTATTTTTGGTAGTAATGCATATATCTTGTAAAGGTTGATCTGTTTATACGCGTCTTATATTTGGCTTACATTGAGAAGGCGATAGGTAAACAGAGACTAAAAAAAAAAAAGAAGTATACACGTGACACTTGTCCAGGTGACTATTTTAACATCAAAGAGATTTCGATTTAGATTTTGTGTTTCACTTGATACATTGTTCGTTTATTCTATATGATACGATTATCCGGGACAACCGCTTGAATATAAAAATGTACATATTTTCAATACATATAGACAATTATTTATTTAGCTCATATATATTTTAATTGGTTATAGCAAGTTCTAGCATTAGATATATCTAGTTTTATCCAAGACTTTGGCACTGATGAGATAACGACAAATCAAAGAAGAAAGTAGATTCTGGTGCTCACCTGTTTATTGAGTATTACATGTAATGTCTATATCAATGCTTGATAATGCTAAAGGAATACGTATCATCTAGGAACCAAATGACAATCATTGAAATAAAGACAAGTACATGTCAAAGATTAAATAATAGACTGTAAATGCCTGTATAATGTTCTTTGAGGAGTGTTAATTGTATATGTGGTATTTTTTATTTGGTCAGAAATGACGTTTTTTATGGGGCCATATGACTACCCTCAAAGATTGCTTTTGGAACTAGTCTATTTTATAACCACTCTTATATAGTTAATTCTTCAATATATTATTTCTATATTCTCCGCTATTTTCGCTAGGCAGCACCATGTTCTTTTTTGGTTTTGGTCCCTGAACTGACATCGGAAGATTTGTTTTAGCAGCCTTGCATAACAACACATTCATGACGTAATATAATGCATATGCGCAGTTTATAAAATTTGCACTTGGGCTTCCCTAGAGGTTATTTGGAATATCAAGATTCTATTTGGCATGTAGATAGAATAGAGTTGATGCTTGTTGAAACAAGTGCTAATTGTTGTTTATGATACCAATATATAATAAATTACTCTGGTATTTGTTATTATTATAAATTTCAGTAGAAAAATTTAGGCCCTTGTACTTCGAGGCAACTTCCAGCGTTTATGTTTCGAATAAGATTGAATGATTTCTCTCGTGTGGAACCACTTTCCAAAGTCAAAATGTGAAAAGTATACCACAGAATATTCTTTTTGAACAATTGGATGTCTTTGCAATACAATAATAATTTCTTGTCTTGCATTTGATATTCCACGATATTTATTTTATGACGGTTAAAGCTACAAATCTCAAAAAAACATTTTTTATATAATATAATGACATTTTCATTGTACTTGGCTTCATATTAGAGTTAACACAGTTGTAATTAATAATAACTACACTGGAAACTACTCTAAGTGAAGTCATTGAGCTTCCCTTTCTCCAAATAGAACAAAAAAAAACTAGTAAGGACAAAATAATTGGTATTATTACTGCTCTTGTAATTGTTTTGACACTTGTTTGCTTGTAAAGTATTATGTATAATGTTATACAATAAGAAATTACTAAGGAAACATATATTCACAAAGATTGATGTATGTATAATAGAAAAGTTGAATATATGGATATACCACGTAATAAATGAGGGATCTGAAATTTCGTTATCTGAACTAGCACTTAACCATTATATTGATGATCTGAAATTATTTCTTGTAGTTAACCCTGATAGTATGAATGAGTTTAATCTATATAAATATGAAGATAAACGACACTTGTGATGGGGTACAAAGGTTGTTAATTCGGCAACACAATAAGATAATCTGCAAGAGATTCTCAAGATTGCATTCAAGCTTATTACTGGAAAAAAAATCTGTGTGTGTTTATAGGGCAGTATCCACATTAACTATACATTTTGGAGCAAGATGGATTGGGTATCAGTATGGATCAGGCATATGCAAGGGATTTGGATAACGATTTGGAATACAGAGATATAGATGGTCATTTCAGCACTCACATTTATAGATAAATGGGTCATGAAGAGAATTTCTACCTAGGTGGTTTGACAAGAAATAGTTTACAGTTCCAGATCTATTACAAAATAAATCATAATGGTAAAATGGCTTCTGGAGAGCCTGGTTAGCCGGTGCTTAGGAGAGAAAATCATTTTTCAAGATTGACTTGTTCATGCCATTTAGAAGTAAATATAAAGTGGCATAACTTGATTCTGTTTATGATCCTGTAATCTTTTAAGTACTTAATATGCTAGATTAAATACTTTATGGTTTCTAAATTTAAATTGGTAAAATTAATTTAAATGTACGGCTTTTTTTTTGCACCCACCAGAAATGTAACGTATGAATGTCAAAGCAAAACTATCTTTTCTTTGAGGCATATGCAACCGCCAGCAAACTTATTTGGATGAATTGCATGACTAGAAATAGTGTTGGCTTGGCAATTAATGATCACATGAGAAAATTAAAGGGCAAGAGAACAAGCTTTTGATGACTGGGAATTTTTTTTTTTTCTTTGTTCCCGCCTCCGAACATTAACACCAATTTCTAAAGTTGCACAACGGCTAAAATGCACTCACCCCCACTTTCCATGGATTCTGGAAACTAACATGGAAACCTTCACAAATGCAAAAAAAAAAAATGTTGGAGAGGGGGGGGGGGACAATTCGCTAATGGCTAATTCGGGTGATTGGCTAAATCTTTGCGAGTTACGGTAGAAACAGAAATAAAAAAAAGCTGCCATTACTTGTGTATTAGGATGTGTTTCCTAAAAAAGGGGGTTAAAAGTGACAGTATTTTATTTTTTTTGTTGGGAAATAATGGCGCGGATAGCTTATGTAAATTGGAGATCGCGCCACCACGCAGGCTTGCCCTGAATTTTGTGAATAATGTAGCTCATTTGCTAAGCCCGTGGATATGACAGCCCCGCAAAAGAGTAAACTAAATGATTGCCCCGAAATGTCCGTCGTATATATATGTGATTGCAAAATTTATGTTTATAGGAGAGCGCAAGGTTTTTCTTCACATTCTTTTTAGATTGCAGTATTATAATGACAGGAATGCATATATGGAGTAACACGTGATCCTGTCAATTTAATATAAGGTTAGGAAGTGGAAAGGCATAATGTTAAAACCTAAGTTATAACGTAAATACTATTTTGTTTAAAAAGTTTACAAAATTTGCCAAAAATAACTTTCCCCACTAATGTTACAACCAATAAAGGGTTCATTTCCTAATTTTGTTGTTACAACAGCTTGATATACCTTTCCCATGCAAATGTGGGTACTTGTTGGTTGCCACAACAGAAACGTTTTTTTTTCTTGTTATTTTGATTGATAAATTGGTTATTTGTTTCTGGCGATAAGAATTATTATTATTGTGAATATTTTTTTTTTGTTTCACTGGTCGTTTTCAGCCGGTACGAAGCTTGAAAAGTTAATTGTTCCGGAGTTTAAGTACTGTTTTTTTTTCAAGCTAATCCATAGCCAAATGTGGAAAGTTTGGTTCTATTTAAAGTAAAATGTAATACCAGGACAGCAATAGGTAGACATATATCTATTAATCACGATTGTCAGGGTGAAATAACTGCTTATTAAGCAGTTGTTTTAGAGGAGCAGATGACGGGGTAACCAGGTCGTATAGGTGCATGAACAATTATTTTTTTTTCCCAAAAAAAATAGCATAAAAAAAATCTTGCACCGCGTGAAAGCTAAACGTGGAAAGAGAGAGCAACAGACAGGAGTCATCACCTCACTTTTTTTTTTTCCAGCGTCCGGATGAGATGCTTCTATTGTTTTTGTGTAGCATTCCCAAAAAACAACAATAAATAGCCAGGAGAAAGTGGTGCGCAACGGGGGTTAATTTGATACAGCGAATTGTGGATCGATTTCTATGTAATTATATTGCGAACATGTGAAATAGTTAAATAATATTATTGAGATCTTATGGGTCCCACCTCTTACAAATACCACCAGTCACTAAAGTAAATAGTTAGGCACACAAAAAATATTAACAAATAAAAAAAAACAAAAAATATAACAAAGTTACTTTGCCCCCTCCTTTTTTTATTTTTTTTTTCTGTCAGTTATACATCTCCGCTCTGGATTTCTTAACTATCTGGTTCAACCTTCGATTTTATCCGTTGCAGAATTTAAAAATTTAAATCGTGGAAAAACAAAATTTTTATAAAAAGTTGACATCAGGAATAACCTAAAAGTTTGATACAGTTGTGAACACGAATCATGATGGAGAAAAAAAATTATAGGGGGGGAATTGCCTCTTCCACAAGTGTGGGTGTTCTCCGCAAGACCAATCACAATATTGATCCTGTTGTGTTTGAAATCAATGGAAGGTGAGTAAGATTTGGTATAAGAGGGGAATTTCAAGAATTATTTTTTAACTTGACTCTCTATTTTTTTTCATTCTCTCTCTTTTTTTTTTTGGGCAGCAGCATAAATTAAAATTTTTCCTGTCCCATTTCTTTTTTTTTCCCATCAAAAAAAAAAAAGAAAACAATTAACAAAGAAATTTCTTATACTATCAACTGGCGCTGTCTTTCTTGTCCGACTGGCTTAAATTTTTATTGATATATAAATTTCAATTCATTTGCCCATACCAAAAATACATTTACCTGGTTTTTTTTCCATTACATTTCTTCAGAAAAAGGGAAGAATCTTCTTTCTTTTTAGTTTTCGTTTTTTTGTTTTTACATTATCAGATACAACACATAGGGGATATTCCTAGTCTAATCCTAACCACATACTCCCTTTCACTTATCACAACCAGTCATTTTCACCTTTTCTTGAATTTACCTTTTTTTTTTGCCATTTAATTTCCTGGTGGAAGGATCTTCACGAGAAAAAAAGAAATCATAATAATGTTGTCCACGAGTTCTATGTACGGCGCTTCTAATATTGGATCAGGTAATTCAAGGAATTCGCCACCTCCTATTGGGTTACAACAACAGCACAAGCAACCACAAAATACACCATTAAAACAACACAATTCTGTATCGTCTAGTTTAACTACTTCGTCGGCATCATCATCCACTTCGGACTTTGGCGACTTGCACGGCGATTTGTTGGCTGATTTATGGCATTCGTCAACCAATGAATCTATGACTTCTAATGGCGCCATTAATGTCAAGCAACCAGCTGCACAATACCCATCAGCAATAGTTCCATCGGTGTCTCAACAACCACAGCAACAACAATTTTTTCCACAACAACAACAACAACAGCCACGTTTGTTCAATCCTAACCCAGTTTACACCACACAACAAGTGAACTGGAATACTTCAAATGTTTCTATTTCACCTCCTATTTTGTCTAGCATTTCGCAACAACAAATTTCTACTGTTGCCCAACCAAACAGTTCGAGTTCACCACTGTTGACTGTGGATCCATTTATTGATTCCTTGCACGGTTATGAGTCTAGTTTGTTGCCTCGCTTAACTGAGGAAAATTTGATGATGCAAACCAAGAGTGACCTGTTTACAACTACTCATAACCCTAATGTTCAATTCAACATTGCGAATGATTCAGAGGATTTGTTTAATTTTGAACATCACCAACAACAACAACAACAATCGAGATTTGTTCGTTCCACCCCTATGTTGAATGGAAATGTCCGCCAACAACCATTTGTTGGTCATTCCCATAATTCTCAACACAAGGAATCGAGTGATGTTCATGCTCACATGAAGACTAATGTATCATCAGCTACAGTTAACACCCAGTTATACAAGACTGAATTGTGTGCATCGTTTATGAAGATGGGGATATGCCCTTATGGAAACAAATGTCAATTTGCCCATGGAGAAAATGAACTTAAAGTTGTTGAAAGACCACCAAAATGGAGATCTAAACCTTGTGTTAACTGGGCAAAGTATGGAAGTTGTCGTTATGGTAATAGATGTTGCTTTAAACATGGTGACTAGAAAAAAAAAAGGTTTGCTGCTCAAAAAAAAGGAACGGTTTTTATAATTTGTATTGCTTTATTTATTTGGGAACACATGCTTTGAATGTGTATATATATACTTTTTTAACACTGTCGGTTGAAACTAGTTTAAAGAGGAACAAGACGTTGATTTTTTGCTGGTGCCGAGTTTGTTATTTTGCTTTGAGCTTTTTGTGTTTATGATTTGATGATTACGTTTTATTTATTGACTAAATTTTGTTTGTATTGTCATTATTTATGTACTGTCTAATATTTATTTATTTACTATCGGACTTGTTGTAGGGGGACACAGTAGTTATCAACAAAGTTTCTATTTTTGGTGGCTGTGTTACAGTCATTTCCGGATCTTGCAGCTTAATTAATGGTAGTACATGTAGTTGCATGAGGTCACATAAGCGAATACCCGTGCGGATGTTATTTCCGCCACTTCAAATATTTAGCCCCGGAAAATGAACGGCAGATATAACTGGAGTAAACATCAACACAGAGATGTTAGTTCCTTGAGGCAAGCATCGTGAGATTTATTGAACCCATTTTGGTGCTGCTCTGGACAGACACCAGCAGTTAAATATCAGCTAACTTCTTGCAAAGGGGTCAATTTATTTCTTTGTACAATTTTAGCAGAAACTTCTGCACATTCATCCAGGTTTGTTGTTCGGTGGGTATAAGTTCGTGGGAAGCTCATTTTTTAATAGGAAAAGTTTGTTATTTTGATTAAACTAAAAGCTGTAAATGTATATTTTTTACGGGTTCTCTCTCTTTCTCTGCAATAGCTTGTTGAACGACTTTTCGGTTGTTCTCTATGATTATTTAGTATTAATTTTTAGCGTTTCAACATCTTCTTTTTTTTGCAGATGGTTGAATATCAAGTTAGATATTATGCTCTATTGGGACCGAGGATGATAAGACATGTCGTGTTCCATATGATGTTGATAATTCTACTTTTAATGTTCAATTCTTGTATATATTTGGAAATTTACTAATTGAAATATGTTAAGGTGCGTCTATATAGATACTTTTACGCGCAAATATTAATCTTACGGTTATTAAATATCAAAGAAGCCTACAATTTAAAATATAAAAAGATATTATATTGATAAACAAAGTATTGCAAAAAAAATAGAGTGGCAGGTTGCACAGGTATAACTTACAACGCTGCAACAAAAGGTAGATAGAAAATAGTGAGAGGCGGGGAGGGGCAGATGAAATATAACTTATAACACTGCAATAAGACCAACTAACAACAAAATACTATAGGAAACCAAGGAAGCACCACTATGCACTTGAATACTGTCAAATACCAGGGACCCCTGTTGCTGACTTGAATGTTCACCAAGATTTTGCGTTGATTTTGAAGTAGGAGCAGCTACCACGGAACCATGTTCTTGACTTGAATGTTGACCAGGCTTTTGTTTAGCTTGTTCCTGTTGTGAGCTTATAGAAATAGTAGCATATACCACTTCCACTTCACCATTTTCTTTGGTGATTGTTGTATACTTTGCATCAGGTTCATTGGATTGGAAAGGTACTGGATGATAATATGTTTTGGTGCTGGTGACAGTGACAGCCGTTCTTATACAGGTTGATGATTCACAAACACTAGTGAAAATAGTACTGATTGAAGTTTCAATTATGGTACTTACTTGTACCGAGGGAGATTCTATCACATATGAAGAGTTGGTGGTTGTGCTAGCTTTGCTGCTCCAAGTTTCGGAAGCACTTGTTGTAATTGAAAGGATTTCCTTTGTATTCGTTTCAGATGCAGTAGATGTATAACCTTCAGATGCAGTAGATATATAACCTTCAGATGTACTTGATACGTCACTCTCAGATTTACTTGATTCGTCAATGTTAGAAGAACTTGTTACCTCAACATCAACTGTGCTTGATTCATCAGCTACAGAAGTAGTTGAACCATCAACATCAACTGTACTCAACTCATCAGCGTCAGATGAATCTGTTATGTCAACATCAACTGTGCTTGATCCATCAACATCGACTGTACTAGATTCATCAACATCCACTGTACTCGACCCATCAACATCCACTGTACTAGATCCATCAACATCCACTGTACTAGATCCATCAACATCCACTGTACTTGACCCATCAACATCTGCCGTGCTCGACTCATCAACATCAACTGTACTCGATCCATCAACATCTGCCGTGCTCGACTCATCAACATCAACTGTACTCGATCCATCAACATCCACTGTACTAGATCCATCAACATCAACTGTACTCGACTCATCAACATCTGCCGTGCTCGACTCATCAATTTCAGATGCACTGCTAGGATTTGGAGAATCGTTAGTACCTAAAACCATTATAGGAAAAGTACCTCCTAGGTTTTTCAAACCACCATCCAGACAATCATGTGTGAAGACATATGGCTCTGGCTGTTTTTGTGGTTTTCTTCCACTGACCACAATATCAAATGGAGTCGAGCAAATTCCCTCTTCACATGGTTCCCCAGCCATGACCCAACTGGCAGTATAAGTAAATATATCTAGGAATATGTGAGTTTGACTGTCTTGTGGACGAGGAGTAATATTAGATTTGGTTCTTTTTTTGTAGTAAAGTGTAACATGCTCTAATATGAACCAATTACGAACTTGAAGCTCTAATTCTACCGAAACCACATAATTGTTTGAATTTTCTATCTTTTCCACCGACGAAAATCTAAACTTCCTTAGGACTACACCTGCATCAGCTGGTAGATTGGATTTAATTGGTTCACAAATTGGCTTTTTCACTTCAACAGCAGTTGTTTGTAATCCATCGGTGACATCAGTATATTTCCACGTTGCTTTCTGGACTTGTTCGGCACACTTTCGATCCATCAATACAGGTTCACTAGCATCTGAAGTCTGGTAGTAAGTCTTCCCACACATGTAATCCAGATGCCACATAGCGAGTTTCAGGGGGACACCATAGTACGAAGAAAAAGACCCAAACTCATAGTCAACACCAAAAGTTGTCCATTTATGGCTATACTTCCTACGGGGATATCCGTCCTCCTTCCCAATTTGAAAGTCAATGAGTTGACTTGTTTTGCATGTCTTACTCCTATCAATATCTAGCCGCATGAAGTAGTTACCATTAGCTCCCAACTTGACTGAACTAATAACAAATTCATCGCTTGGCCAAGTCTTGTAAATGAAACGGACAGGGCATGAGCTGACTTTATTTTTAGTAAAATCTAATACTCTATCGTTTGTTGTTGCAATCACAAATGCTAAAAAAGTGAATAGGGATAATAATGTGTTCAACATTGGTAAAGCATTATAGAGAAACAAATGCCAATAGAAAACTATACAGGAAATTGATACATATTTATATTGTTTATAAGAAACAAAACAGGGTCTATATTAAAGTATTTTGTGGAATTTTGTCATGATAGATTTCCAGGGCAAAAGGTTTGGAATTGATTTTACACATTCAGTGACAAGAACACATGATGACATGAACTTTTAGGTTTGCCGAGTATTATTATCATCCACTAGCTGATATGTTATCATGAGGTTTTGTTGTGTCAAAGTTTAAATCGATATTAGTCCTTAGATATTTGGTTGTTCTGGGATTACAAGACAGAGATTATACTACATCTTATAGAATAAGTTTATAACAATCAAGGTAAAATGGAGTGGGTAGGATGTATTACAAGAATCAGGACATTATCGGAGCCAAAACCTCAAGGAGAGCCTTGGTTAAATTGTTTATTGGTTTTATTGTGTGTTAAAGTTACCAGGTGGATACAATAATGAGTGAAAAATGTTTTGTTTTATTAAAAGCTTAACCTTTAGTGGATACCTGAATGGATTCATTTTCTTGGAAAAGTTTTGTACAACTAGAAACTTAAGTTTCGATTTAGGACCAATGAAGTATTCCCCAAGAGAGGAACTAAAGAAAAATAAACCAATTCGAGCTGATAAACTGCTATCTACTAATTATTTTTCACAAAGACAAGATGTTTGGCGGGGTTAACTTTTTAAACCAACTAGAACATTAAGTCATATGGTAATTGATTCCAATTACTGTTTATGTGTAAAAACTTTGGCAAGAAAAGGCTATTACAATTCAATGTATACCGAATTGAGCAGATGCTTGGCAAAAAGGGGGGGAAATATTGATAGTACGGTCATCGGAAAGACTTTACTATTTCTTACAACTGTAATGAGTCTACACATGAATGACCCTTGTCTATTTTGTATCTTTTACAAATTATAAAAACTTGACCTGGCTTTTTTTTGGTTGCGAAAAACAAAACAGATGTGAAATGTGACGTTAAGAATGGAACGTCATAACGCTTTATAAAGAGTAGAAAAAGTCAAGCTATTGTCATGTTTATGAATATCTACAATATCAACAAACGGCAACTGTTGTCAGGTATAATCAAAATCATTGATTGAAAAAAATTAATAAGAAATAGGGGTCCTTGTGGGTAAATGCTTGGAATCGTAAAAATTTCCACAAACAGAGCATACGATGTTGCATGAGAAGATGCATTTCTTCTTGGCTTTTAAATATTTAAAACTTTTCATGCTAGGGCATCAAGGCTAACATATTGCTTGGATTATATATAAATATAGTCAAGTGTATAATGATGTATTTAGTGATAACTCATAGAATTTGCTTATTTTCGTAAAATAGTTACTTTAATTGATGCAACATGCCAAACCATCGTGTGACAACGGAAGGAAGTGATCATCTAAATATTTCATTGAATGTTGAAATCGGCTCGCGAATTTGCTAAATTCTTGAAACTTTAAATATCGTACTAGTCAGTAATTCATAAATGATGGGCTGGAAAGACTCTTTTGTGTAGGGTATGCTCCTCCATTTTTACTCAATCCTATTATCTTGGCATTTTCACCTTAGTGCTACGGCTTCTGATACCATCAAAAACCAAGAAAAAGAGAAAGATAACTTGACAAGGTAAAGAAAGAATTTAGTGTCAGTCCTGTGATACTTGTATTTCCTGCACCTATCCTTTGTATAGAATTCTATTATTAGGGCCCATAAAATACAGACGGGATAATAACAACGTCTCTGTGTTGCACAGCTAGACGACATAAAAAAAACAAGAACTTTCTACTAAACCCAGGGTTTTCACATGGGATTTAATTAATCCAAGCGATGTACCGAAATCTTGGAACGGTTGTAAACTGTTGCTTATTTTATTCTATTTTTTTTTCTTGGTGCAACATGAATCTCGATCAATACAGTATGCCAACATAAAACCTTTTTGAAACTAAATATGTGTCTTGACTCACACAAGAAAAGAAAATCGAGATTAGGATCCAAAGGCCAGATTTATGTAAACTAGTTAGTATTCAGAAGATGCAAACTTTTGGAAAAAAAACACTGTCTAGTTTGTACATCTATTACTGCACTTCTCAAGAATACCTGGAAAATGTTTTTGGATCAATGTTTGTCGATAGAATGAACCTACATTGCGAATAGGAATACGTGTGTATAGTCTTGTAGGAGTGTTATGGGTCAGTGCTTACAATTATCTGTTTGCACAGATATGGATCACGTCTATCTGATGGAAATACTCAAATTCCTCAACACCCATATTAAAGGTATAACGGATACTTCATAGAATCTTTTACATAATGGAGAGATACAAGTCTCTCAAACGAGTATCCCCGTCATTTATCAGACAGCTTCAATAATATGACACTACTGTTAAACAATGACTGAGAGGTTGTAATAATCTATAGGTAGCACCACTATTGCATCCTCTAATTCAAGGCTGTCATTAGACCCTAATAGTCTGTTCTAAATCTAGGAGACAGAGGAAAAGAATTCATGATAGATCTTACACTTGTATCCTGATTCCCCACAGCAACGCGTCAAGATATACAAATTAGTAATGTCACAGAATAAAGACTAGAAGTTAGTGCATGATCAGCTATAGTATACAGCCTCAGATTGTTTCTATTACATCACTAAGTGTGTGTGGTGATGAACGGTCGTGACGTTGTCCACAGCGCCCACAGTCTCCCATGAGTCAACCAAAAAGGTCAGAACCAAGGTCCCTTCCCTCCAGTTTTACTGCAACGGATAACATAACCTATCCTCATCGACTGTTATAGTTGATAAGGAGAAAAAGAAGAGAACCAAAAAAGTTAAAAAAATTTTTTGACGGCGTTGAAAATTTATAGACAGGCTGATCCGGGTAACAGTGCTGTCTCTGGAAAATTTTTTTTGCAAACCTTTTTGACTCACGATTTGGCTGTCATTCACCGTAGAAACATATTTGGTTTGTTAGTTGATACAAGGTTCATACATTGGCAAAGTCATGACCGGTAGCACTAATATTGAATCATGGGACCAATTGGAACCTATATTCGAAAAAGGGATCCAAGATTCCTTAACTACAAAGAGAATTGTCATTTTGAAAGCCATCCAACAACTTTTGAATGCCATTCCCGAATCAGATTTGACCAAGATCTCCCTTTTGCTATTGAAAACATACAACTATTACCATGATGCCGATTCTAGAAATGAATTATTAAAAACTTTACAGGCTATAGCCGATGCCAAGCATCACTATTTGCTGGGTTTCATCAAGTTCATCAACCATCAAGTGAGTGCAACCACTTTGGCAATCACTGACTACTTGTCATTATTATACTGGATCAACACTTTTAACGTGGATATGATGAAATATGGATTAGAAAAGCAAGACGGTGAGTTGTTGGTGAGAACCCAAGCAATTGTATTGAATAAATGTATTGAGTATGAAGGAGTAAAGAAACACCAACACCGAAGGAGAGTCCATGGTTCAGCCATTCACACCACTAAAACTTCCATCGTTGACGCATTGACAATTACTGAAGATAAAGAAGCCTATATTGAGTTAATTGTCAAATCAATTACCAAGAATACCGCCGATGAAGGGTTCTCTATATTAGGGGCATTGAATTTGGCTATTATTGAATTAGTCCCAACTATCCCTTCATTAACCGAGATATTCGCCAGCAAGGATAAAGAAATCCTTGAATACTACTCTAACCAAGGTTTATTGAACAAAATAGCTCCTTCAGTTGCATCATTGGAGTTATTTGGAACATGTATTGAATCTTTAGTTACGGTGGAAAACTTCACTAGCATATTATTACCAAACATCGAGAAGGCTGTTTTAAGATCATCGGAAAACTCATTTGGTGTTGTTTTACCAGTCTTGTTTAAACAATTCCCTAAGATCGACATATCTGAACCATTTGTTAGTTCCAAGTTGTTGACTTCGATTATTTCAGGGTTCAAATCCACCAAGGAAAATGTTAGAGAAGGGGCATTCAAAGTAACAGAATTGATATTACTAAACAACTTCACAGATAGTTCCATTGAAACCCTTGGTAAGTTTGTTGATGAAATTCTCAAAGCCTTGAAATCTACTTCAAACGCTGATTCAAAGGCACTTATTGTAAAGACTTTATCCTACTTGCCATCAAAAGTATCAGGTAAGATCATAAAGTCATTATTGCCACTTGTCCTGAAAGATATCAATGAAACTTCCCTTAGCAGTCTTGTTAAAACCTTTATTCAACACGCATTCAAGGTTTTAGACGATAATGATCTTTCTTCCCAAATAACCAAGGAATTAACTGCTGGTCTTAGCCATGCCAAACAGCAACTTCGTCGTATCTGGTTTATTGAGTTTGGTGAACAAATATTTACAAACAACAATGAATCCGAAGTTAAGTTATTGAACAATTTATTCCCTACACTTGTAAAGTCATTAGAACCTGCACAACAATCACCGCTCCCAACATTAGCCAACAAGGGTATAGTCTGTGCATTTGTTACAATTGCAGTTTCTAAATACGTTGAAGTTGACGCTGGTAAGATTTACATCCCATCATTAAAAGCTCCTGGATTATTGACCAGTTCCAAGATTTATACAAAGCTAACTGAAGCAGCTGAATTATCATGGTACTTGAGGGCAATTGCTCAAGCAAGTGGGTCTATCACAGAATTGGAGGAACAAGAAAGGGTTGATTACGGTTTGGCTTGGGTTTACATGTTGTCTTCCAACAATGTTATGGCCAACATACGATTGACTGGAAACAAATTAGTAAAGCAAGTCTTGGAAACTGTCCCCGAATTAAGTGATGCTATAATTAAAGCTTGTTATAAAGTATTGAAAGATTTTGAAATTGAACAACACATGGAAGTTTTCAATTTTGCATTAAAGAATTTTTCGGTTATTTTTGCATCATTGACTCAATTGAACAATCAAGAACTAGTTCGTGATAACATTCAAAAGTTGGCTATTATTGCTAACCATGCTCAAGCCACTGTTAACAATGGATGGATTGGGTTAGCCCAAAGAAGTAACATGAAACTTGATCTTGGGGATTTGATTAAAGAAAATCATTCCCAAATTCTTAAAGAATGTGCTTTGGTTACTAGCGATGCTCCGGCATCAGGTAAATTATATCAAGCTGCAATAAAAGCAATTGGAAATATTGCATTCATTCAACCTGCTATTGTTTCTCCAATTCTTTCTAATATAATTAAGGAAAACTTGGATGTTGAAAAATTTTCTTCTATTGATAATGAAACTTTGAAAATTTACAATGGTAAAGAAGGTGAACTCGTAATTGACGTCCTCAATAAAGATACCAAGAAACAAGTTGAAGACAAGAATTCCAAAGACTATGAAATCAAGAAATGGGAAGAAAGTATCAAAAAGGAAATAGCTTCAAAGAAAGCACCAGCCAAGAAATTAACCAAGGAAGAAATTTTATTAGTCAATCAACAAATAGCTGAGGAATCCAAAGTGAGAAATGAAGTCAAGGCAATTGTTGGTGATGCCCATTATGCAGTTAGTATCATTACCGAATTGACAAATTCTGCAAAGTTGGTGGAAAATGGCGCATCTTTATGGTTCCCAGTCGCAGTTATCAAATTATTAGAATTCTGCAAATTGGAATTGGTGGTGGAATTATTCCACAGCTCTCCTGTTGATGCTTATTTGAATTTGTCAAGTTTGATTTCTTCTAGATTGGCATTGTTGAAACAATTTGTTGGTGTTGCTACCCTTCGTTCGTATTCTGTTCAAGGATTATCTGAAAATTTGACCCAAGAACCGTTGTTGGCCTTGGTTGGAAGAATATTATATAGAATTAAGATCTTGGCTGATCAAAAGCCATTGGACTCATTGTCTTTATCTTATATCTTGCCATTATTAACTAAAGTGTTGCACGATGGGAAATCAGTTGCAATCAAGAATGCTTCTAAAACCGCAGTTACATCTGAATTTGTGGAGGAAGATCCCGAAGAAGAACAATTGTTGTTAGCCATTGAGATCATATCTGCCCATGCTGATTCATTTGAAGATGAAGGTATTCCAAGATCAAGCATTTTAGAGGTTTTGATTTCATTGATGAAGTTACCATCTAAAGCTAAATTGTCAAAAGATTGTTTCTTGTCTTTATGTCAACATGTTTCCATCAATATTTCCGAATCTGATTTACAATTGCTTTTAAGTAATATTGTCACTCCAGAAGTGTTTGTAAGATCCACTATTTTGGAAGGAATTGATGCTGAATTTGACTTACAAGGTGAAATTGAATATTCTAATGAATTGTGGGTTGCAACACACGATAACGATCTGAATTGTAAGGAGTTGGCTAATACCATTTGGGAAGATAATAACTTACATATCATTCCTGAAACTCCAAAGAAGTTACTTGAATTGTTTGGAAATCATGATTCTGGTTTAAGAGTGTCTATTGCAACTGCATATGTTGATGCCGTCAATCAATTAAGACAACAAGAAGAATCAGTTCTTGGGTCATGTTTAGACGATTTGATTGAATTATATCACGAAAAGAAGAACCCCCCTGCTCCAAAACTTGACAAATTTGGACTTGTTATTAAATCAACTATTGACCAAAGAGATCGTTGGGAAGAAAGATCCACCATTGCCTTGGCATTGAAATTGCTTGCACCTGTTTTTGATAAAGAATGTATTGAAAAATTATTCAACTTTTTGGTCCATGATCAAGCTTTAGGTGATAAGGAAGGATTAGTCCGTCAAGAATTGCAAGAAGCTGGTATTGAAACTATCAATTTACATGGTTCAAAGTTTGTTGAAAGTTTAATTCCGATTTTTGAAGAAAATTTGGCTGCCAAGAATGAAAGATCCAAGGTTCAAGATTCGATTAAGGAGTCAGTTATCATTTTGTATGGTTCTTTAGCTAGACATTTAGAAACGTCCGACCCAAGATTGAAGATTATTGTTGATAGATTAATTAAAACTCTTGATACCCCATCTGAAAAGGTTCAATTTGCTGTTTCTGAATGTATTGCTCCATTGGTGCCTTCATTTGAATCAAGATTACAAGAATTCTTTGATTTGTTAACAGAAAAGTTATTTACTGGAAAGTCGTTACCTATTAGAAAAGGTGCAGCTTATGGAATTGCTGGTTTAGTTAAAGGAAGTGGTATTAAAACCTTATCGTCATTTGACATAATTAGAGAATTGACTGATGCAGCTGATGACAAGAAGAATCCAACCAGAAGAGAAGGTGTATCAATTGCTTTTGAATGTCTTTCTAGAAGTTTAGGAAAGTTCTTTGAACCATATGTTATTGAAGTATTACCAATTATTTTGAAATCATTGGGTGATTCTGTTCCTGAAGTTAGAGATTCTACTGATCGTGCCGCTAAACAAATTATGAAAAACACCACTTCATTTGGTGTTAAGAAATTGATTCCATTGGCTATTTCCAATTTGGATGAAATTGCTTGGAGATCCAAGAAGGGGTCAGTTGAATTATTGGGTTCTATGGCTTATTTGGATCCTACTCAATTGTCAGCTTCGTTATCTACAATCGTTCCTGAAATTGTTGGTGTTCTTAATGATACTCATAAAGAAGTTAGAAAAGCAGCAGAGCAATCGTTAAAGAGGTTTGGTGAAGTTATTCGTAATCCTGAAATCCAAGCTATTGTTCCTGATTTGATTAATGCAATTGGTGATCCAACTAAATACACCGACGACGCCCTTGATAAATTGATTAAAACTCAGTTTGTCCATTATATTGATGGTCCTTCATTGGCACTTATTATTCACGTAATTCACAGAGGTATGAAGGATAGATCTGCCTCCACCAAGAAGAAAGCTTGTCAAATCGTGGGTAACATGGCTATTTTGGTTGATGCCAAGGATTTACGTCCATACTTGAATGAATTGGTTGGTGAATTAGAAATTGCCATGGTTGATCCTGTGCCTGCAACTAGATCTACTGCAGCTAGAGCATTAGGTTCATTGGTTGAAAAGCTTGGAGAAGAACAGTTCCCTACCTTGATTCCTAATCTTTTGGCTACTTTACAAGATGAAAGAAAGGCTGGTGATAGACTTGGATCTGCTCAAGCTTTGGCTGAAGTTATTTGTGGTCTTGGTATTAACAAGTTGGAAGAATTGTTACCAAACATTTTGGCTTCTGCTTCATCTCCAAGAAGTCATATTCGTGCTGGATTCATGCCATTATTATTGTTTTTACCTGTTTGTTTTGGTTCACAATTTTCACCTTATTTGAATAAGATTATTCCTCCAATTCTTAATGGGTTAGCTGATCAGGATGAAGAAATTAGAGATACTGCTCTTCGTGCGGGTAGATTAATTGTTAAGAACTATGCCAAGAAGGCTGTTGATTTGTTGTTGCCAGAATTAGAACTTGGTTTGTCTGATCCTAACTATAGAATCCGTCTTTCTTCTGTGGAACTTACTGGAGATTTATTATTTCAAATTACTGGTATTTCCGGTAAGAATGAACTTAGTGAAGATCAATTTGAAGTGTCTGGAGAAGTCAACAAAACTCTTGTTGAGGTCTTGGGTCAAGATCGTCGTGATCGTGTCTTGGCTTCCTTGTTTGTTAGTCGTGCTGATGTTGCAGGTATTGTTCGTAATGCCGCTGTTGATATTTGGAAGGCTTTGGTGGCCAATACTCCAAGAACTGTCAAGGAAATATTACCTTCATTAACTGCTATTATTGTTAGAAAATTGGCTTCTGGTGATGATGTTGAAAGAACTATTGCTGCTCAATCATTAGGTGAAATGGTTCGTCGTGTTGGATCGAATGCATTGGAACAATTATTACCTACTTTGGAAGAATCGTTTGATACCACTGACAAATCTGCTAAACAAGGTATCTGTATTGCATTAACTGAATTGATTAAATCTACCCCAACTGAAGGTCTTTATAACTATCAAGAAACGTTTATCTCCATCATTAAACAAGCACTTGTTGATAGTGATTCTGAAGTTAGAGAAGCAGCCGCTCAAGCATTTGAAGGATTACAAACAGAACTTGGTAAAGTGGTTATCGATGAAGTGTTGCCTGATCTTCTTAAGATGTTGGAAGGTGATGATTCTCAACATGCATTATTGGCACTTAAAGATATTATGGCTACCAAGGCAGATGTTATTTTCCCAATTTTGATTCCAACCTTATTGGCTCCACCAATGGATGCATTCAAGGCATCCGCCATTTCTTCATTGGCATCAGTTGCAGGTTCTGCGTTGTATAGAAGATTGTCTTTGATTATCAATACTTTGGTTAATGCTGTGGTTGATTCCAACTCAGAACCCGAAGAAACTCAAAAGGAAATTACCAATGCATTTGACAAGATCTTGCTTGCCATTGACGATGATGAAGGTGTTCACCCATTGATGCAACAATTGATGGCATTGGTTAAACATGAAGATTCCAGAAAGAGAGCAGCCGTCTTCCAAAGATTGGGCAATTTCTTTACCCATACCAACTTAGATTACTCGGCATATTTGGAAGATATGGTTAGTCAATTCATTCTTTCCTTAGGTGATCCTGCTTCCGAAGTAGTTGAAGGTGCATTTGAGTCACTCAGTGCTCTTGTCAAGAGACAACCTAAGGAATCTCTTGAACATTTAGTTAAACCTGCTCGTCAAGCATTAGACTTTACTGGTGTTAGAGGAGAAGATTTGGCTGGGTTCAAATTACCAAAGGGACCAAATTGTATCTTGCCTATTTTCTTGCATGGATTAATGTATGGTAATAGTGACCAAAAGGAAGCTTCTGCATTTGCCATTGCTGATATTATTAACAAGACTCCTGATGTTAACTTGAAACCATTTGCTACTACCATGACAGGTCCATTAATTCGTGTTATTGGTGAAAAGGTTAATAGTGATATTAAGGCTGCTATTTTGGTTGCTTTGAACAGTTTGTTGTTGAAGATTCCTCAATTCTTGAGACCATTTATCCCTCAATTACAAAGAACTTTTGTAAGATCATTATCTGATGCTAGTAATGAAAAGTTAAGGGCCCGTGCTGTTGTTTCTTTAGGATCATTGATTAAATTCCAACCAAGAGTTGATTCATTGATTACTGAGTTGGTCACTGGTGCTAAGAATTCTAATGATAAGGGAGTCAAAGCTTCGATGTTGAAAGGGATGTTAGAGGTTGTTAACAAGGCAGGTAAGAGTTTAAGTGAAGATTCTAAAACTTCTATTATGTCATTAATTGAAGATGAAATTACTGTTGTTGATGATAAGTCTGCCGTTTCATATGCAAGATTGTTAGGGTCATTAGCTGGTATCCTTTCAATTGACGAAGCAAGAAACATTCTCAAATCCAAGATCTTGGAAAAGGTTGACAATTCCAATGATAAATTCTGTGTTTTGTCAATTAATTCATTCTTGAAGTATTCTCCTGATCATATTTTCAATACTGGATTATTATCTGAAATTGTCGATTTTGTTCTTGCATGTTCTGATTCTACCATTGATTATATTAGTGATAATGCCACTGTTGCTATTGGTAAATTACTTTTATTGCACAAGGAAAATAAATCGCCATTCTCCAAGGAAGCCACCTCAATTTATGAAGTTGATGAAGAAAGTCTTGATAAGCTTGTTAGACAATTGTGCGTTCTTGTTATTCAACCAAAGTCTTCATCTCCCGACACAAGAAGATTAGCATTGGTGGTATTGAGGACGGTGGCAAGATTGAAGTTTGATGAAGTCCATGACAATTTAGATTTGATTGTTCCAAGTATCTTTGCATCTATTCGTGATCCAATCATTCCAATCAAGTTGGCTGCTGAAAAGGCATACCTTGCTGTATTCCAATTAGTTGAAGATCAAGACATGAAGTTATTTAACCAATGGTTTGAAGGAAAGAGTACAGTCACTACAGTTACTGGTACATCAATTGTTCCTAGATCAATTGGAGATTATACCAAGAGAGTTGCTAGTAGATTGGCTGGGGTTGAACGTGAAAGAATCGAAGCAGGTGGTGATGCCGAAACTATGTTTAGTGATAGATTTGAAGACGAGACTGAAGTATGGGCTGTTGGTGGTACAGAAATTGCATCTACGTAATGTTTGAAATTCTAAATATACATTAAAATTTATATAAAACCTTATTAAGAAATAATACACGTAAAATTAATTTAGTTGTCCCTTTTCATCAGTAGTACTAGCATCAGTTTTTATAATATGATTCTGATTATGTTGACTAAAGAATGCCGAGTCAGTTACTGCTCGGGTCAAACTTGGCATGGATAAGTTTGTAGGCAAGTCCAAGTTCAAACTTCGCAATGGTGGTAACTTATTAGGGTCAGTTGGTTGTGGTGCTTGTGGTGGTGCTGGTGGTGCATCATTGCCAGATGGAGATAATTTTGGTGTTTGCAAATTGGAATACACCGGTGGTGTTCCCACACGTTGTTGCTGAGGATGATCTAAACTTGCAGTTCGAAACACCGGCGTCATAAGCAATGATGTTAAATTTGTACTGCTGTTGCTTGCTGATATCAGGGGGGTGGTATTCAGAGAAAGACCAAGTACAGGCGAATTGGGTAATGTGAATGGTTTGCCACCACTAGGACTATTTGGTCTTGATCTTTTCAATTTTTGCTTGACGTAATCCAAATCTGAATCTTCTAAAATATGTGATTTCCCATGTGAAACTTCTGGCTCTGGCTGTTGAATGTTTGCATTAATTGGTGTCATTCTTTGAAGCGAAGATAACGAATTCCAATGTTGCTTAGGAGGTGCAGCAAGGGTAGTATAACTTCTTGATTTGTTGTTATTGTTGAGGTGTTGAGCTGCCATGTTGGACAAGTACTGAAGGTTTGTGGCAGATTTAATTTCTGGAGCATTGGCAAATTGAAATGTTGCCTTTTTGTTACTAAAATTGTAATGGGATTTATTATTTGATTGCTGCCCAAAGTATTCCGTTAAAGATGGCAATGAACGCGAAGGATTTACTGCTTCAGATTCATCAGTGTTGCCATCAATCTCCATCATTCTTAATTCTTCAGATGCAGCTGATGCCAAGATGTCTATACTCATGGTGCTTGGTAATTTGTTGGGAATAGGTGGTCTTTGTTTGTTTAGTGACGGTATCCGCTGTGTATTTGTTGTAGTCTTGATTGACGGTTGCTGTGGCTCTAATTGGGTGAATCGAGGAGATAACTCTGATTTGATTTTGGCATCTGGAGTTTCTGCAGTTGCTGACTCGTTTGACATCTTTTTGGTGAGCTTTCTTTTAGTCACGGTAGGAGTAACAGCGGGGGTAGTTGTGGTTGGTGCAGTAGTAGCTGCTGTTGTTACTACTGCTGCTGCTGTTGCTGCTGCTGTGGTAGCAGTACTGGTTCCGTTTTCTTTCTCATTAACTCCGTTGGGGTTATTGGTATAGTTAATGTGGTGTTTGTTTAAATTTTTATTCCTTCGGGAGTTGGGATTTGTATGTATTCTTAAATGCCTAGTTAATTCGTCGGAACGACTAAACCTCTTAAAGCATCCTGGAAATGTACAAGCATGAGGTTTTTCACCAGTATGGGTACGTATATGTCTCGTTTGATGTTCCAAACGGTGAAATGCCTTGTCACAAAGTGGACATTTATATGGTCTAGATGTGGGGTCCTTCTTTGCCTTGGCTGCTGCTGCTGCCGCCGCCGCTACAGAAGAGCTGTTTTCTGAAGACAAGTTGTCCATGGATGATACAGTCGCTGATGCTGATGATGCTCTGGTTGTAGTCGCACCTAAAGTGGCACTTTCATCAGCTTTTATTGACATGGTTGTAACGGTGGCTGTCTATAAATTGTTGGAGTAAATTTTGCCTGTCTCTTTTTTTTTCCTCTGTTTTCAATGGGGTGTTTCTTTTTTTCTTTTTTTTTGTTCCGTTGTGTTAATTTTCACCTGCGGGGGGATCTTTTATATACAGGGGGTAACTAGAGTGTGTGTATGTAGGATTCGGAGTTTGCTGCTGTGACTCCCTTTTGTAGTCGTTAATTTGAGTTACTTAATAGTATTGATAGAACGAATGATTGCTTAAGCAAACTAAACGACTAGAAAAAAGGGTAAGAAAGGGGGAAAAGAGTGGAAGAAAGTAGGGGAATTTTTTTTTTCCTGTTGTGTGTTATTTTTAAACTTGGAGAAGGCATTTTATGGAGAAAGGCAAAATGTACTAACGAGTAAAAAAAAAAAAATAAGGTGACGATGAGATTCCACTTACAGCAAGAAAAAAAAATGTCAGTGTGATAATTTTGCAAAATAAAAGGGTACAAGGCAGAATCAAGCTGGGAGCTCATGACCCGTAGTTTTGATTCTGATTCTGAGCCAAAAACATTCGTAGTCATGGTGTTGTTTAGTTATTGCCACAATACCACAACCGTTGCCCTTGTACTTTGACGTAATTTTAATTGTGCTAATTTATTGCCGCACCCCTTTGTGTGAACCTTGAAATTAATTCTTACAAATTGGCGATTATTTTTGTGGTTTATTGATCAAAGCCTGCAATTTCGAACTATAAAAGTTGTTGAGATTAACCAACTGATTCGAGCTAGTTGAATCTAGTGTAACGATTTAGCACAGACTAGTCATAGATGATCTACAACCATCACGCGATAGTTTTAACTTAGTACTATAGTCATTAAAGTAGCGATGTTGACAGCATTTACTTTACGAAGTTCCTATAACTCTACAACTAACCACCACATTTTCATTATTATCCCTGATGCAGTAGTGTATAATAATGCAAGGGTCTCCCCATATTGAAATATTTGCAGCACAATATTTATTTTGCTTGATTTTTGTTCTATTTTTTTGCAAAATTTGGTACTCTACCTGCAATGAAATTTACACACCATCAAGCCTCTACCACTTCTTGGAAGGTGGTGGCATTGTATTCTAAACATATTGCAGACTTGGACAGTTTCAAAAATGGAAACTCCAAGAGGAAAGTGTAGTAAATGTCTACTAGTATACTCAAGTACTTACTACAGAAATATGAACAAAGCTTTGACTGTCTGTTTCAAATCCGCAAGGATACCAGCAAATGTGTAAGGTTTAACCGAAGTCACTTGAAACTTCCCCCAAACTGTAACTAAGCGTTCCACCTTCCTTGACAACGGAAAAAATGGCACACACACACGCCCATCGTATAAAATTCAAGTGGGGAAAGAAATCGCACTGACAGAAAAAAAAAAAAGAGAATCTCAAGACCGTTACAGGTTACAACCCCGCTCTCCCCCAATGAAAATAAAAAAAAAAAAAGTGTCGCGGATTTAGTTAAATATTACCGCAGATCTACAATTGCAAATTTGATAACCAAAGAAAAAAAAATGAAATCTTGTAGAGGTAATTCTTTATTCACGATAATCATAAGATACATAGATAAATCTCCAATTTTTAAACCTATTAGTTTCTTTTTTTTACCTCCCTGGTACCGCAATCAAATGTTTGTTTCATTGCCTGGTGAAACTTGAGTTATCATTCTTTCTCGTATTAGTATTGCATGACTCTAATTTATCTAGTATTTTAGCTCTAAATTCAATTAATAATGTCATACAAAGATACGAGGTATACCTTAATAAATGCTACTTTTTCAATCTAGAGTAAACTTAAGCCACCAAAGAATTAAAAAAGAAATGTTTAATATCGAACTAAATGGAACAACCAATAGACATAACCATTCGAATAATGAGCTTGACTTTGATTACAGTTTAATGCTTCACTTGAGTCATTAGTAGATATTAACCATCACTTTAATCTAAATGGCAACGAATGGTTTAGATACGTGATTGCTAAAATTATTACTAGCATCTAATTTAAAGTTAGACTTTTTTTGGTAATCAAATGAAATAAAACTTGACAGGAAGTCTAGAAGGAAAATCTCGGCTCCAAATACATCTCTTACCCCAAATAATCATAATGCAGAGTCAAGAGTCCTTGCAGCAGTGATGGCAACTTTTCTGGGAAATGTCACGCCATAATGAAGGTTAAAGAAATTAATGGTCACGAAACTTCGAGGCGTTCCTGCACAGAATTGCCCATACAAAAAAAAATTCAAACTCAGGGTAGCGCCATGAATTACCAAATCCATGTTGAATGTACGTTTCTAACATTGCCATGACAGCGATTTAGGAACAAGAGCTATATGAGTGTACTGTGACGGACTTTTAAAAATGTTTTTACATGATTTGAGAGATAACTCAATCGATGCAAGAATAATTAAACACCGAAATTGACATCTGTCAAAAAGAAAACGTTTGAAATGCATTCTATACGTAAAAAGCCACGATATCACTAATATATGCAGAGCATCATGAAAAATAAAGATCGCCGAGTGAATTCCCCTCTGCAGATATTGTAATATATAGCCAATTTTTGCAGTCTAATATGAAAGAATCATGTTTTACCTCGATCCAAAAAGAAAATATTTTTGCGCACTATATTTATTTTTTGTTCGAGATTATAAATAATTTCTTTTAGCCACTTAATGCAACTCCGGAGAATTGAGGCTGGCAAAAGAACCGTGACTATAGAATGATCGGCGCATATTCTTCTATTTTTAAGCCACGAAAAAGAAAGTTTTTAGAAGTCGAGGCAAATAATAATGTCGGAAATAAGTTAGTTTCAGCCATATTTTGTTCTTTTTGATATCGCCTAGACTTGTTAAAATAAGGCGTTTTGTTCCAGGGGAATTTATAGCCTCACGGTTTATTGTACCGGTGTCTAATTATGAATGATGGTAACTACTACCCCATTAAAATGTCGATAAAAAATATTAGAATTAAGGGCGTAAAATACTGATGGCTTTTTTCAACAAACGTGCACAAATGATCTCAGTTTTCAAGTTTCATACAGTGGATAACAGGGAAAAAACCTATTTCATTATGATACTTGTCTTTATTCACACAAGTGTTGTGCTAGGAATAGTTCACGTTCAAACCATTTTCTTCAACCACCCCTAGCTGATTTCGTCAATCTGCTATATTGCAGCAAAATAATATGGAATCATGTTTTTATTGCAGCAGGAACTTTTGCAATATTTTTTATGCAATACCCCTGCCCCAACTATTATTTAATTTGATTCTGAAAATATCAATCGCCTTTACTGAGTTTAAAATCAATCATCTTCATAAAGAGTTTTACGAAATCCAAGAATGGTCTATATAAGAAACAGATTCTTGAATCTCTGTAATATTTATGATTTCTGAAAAAACTCATATCTCTATTAACATACCTAAATGTTTTCAAAAATACTAGCGTTTATATTTTTAGCTACATATGTAGCCACCACCCAAGTCACGGGTGTGTTTACAAGCCTTGACAAAGTCGAATTCAAACCATACTCGAATAAAGATCCTGCAAGGCCCTATCAAGTTCACTGGGAGGCAACTATGTCATGGGAAATTCAGGGATCAAAAATCCAACCTCTTGATACTTTTACCTTAGACTTACCATGTGTGTTCAAGTTCATAACTGATGAACCGTATATCGCATTAACAGTGGGATCAACCGAATATGCGCATTGTTATTTCCAAGCCGGGGAGGTGTTTCTAACATTTTCCCAATTGAATTGTGTTGCATTATCTTCAGTAAAAGATAGTACGGATGCTCATGGAACTGTTCGATTCCCATTTACCTTCAACGCTGGAGGTTCTAGTTTAGATGTTGATTTACAATGTTCCAAGAAATTTACTTCAGGATCCAATATTATTTCCTTTTATGAAGGAGATAAAGAGTTTAGGTATTCTGTAAATTTTGTTACCCAATTGTTGACTCATACAGACGATATCACGTTTCATGCTCGTTCAATTCCTACATTGAACCGGTTGCAGACCTATGTAGTTGCCGGAAAGTGCACAAAAGGTTATACATCTGGGACTTTGGGGTTTGAAATGTTGGATTCAAGTTCAAAAATCGATTGTAATAGCTACCATGCTAGTATGTCTAGCCAATTTAACAGTTGGATGATGGCTGGAACTGCAGAAAATATGGAAATGACAGTTTCTTGCACGGATAGTGTTCTTATAGTCGAGTATCAAAATATTCCGGTAGGGTATAGACCATACCTTGATGCCAACTTAGCTGTTCAAGAGGGTGCTGCTACACCTATGATTTACCATAATAGCTACACATGTGTCGGGAGTAGGTACGAAACTGATAATGATAAGGATCATGAATGGTCAAAATATCTGAATTCCAATGCAGATTCTGAAGGAATGGAAGTTGTTTTTGCAACCAGCACCTGGACCGGACAGGTGACGCAAATAACCACCCTTCCATTCTCCACAGGAGAACACTATACCAAGAGTATCATTGTTCAAGTTCCAATTCCAACAGTAACTACAACTACAATATACACGGGGGTCTCTACATATTGGTCAACAATAACTGCCACTCCAGGTGAAACTGCTACTATTATTGAACATTCTCCAACTGATACTACTACCACAATAACTCAATGTTGGAACAAGGATTATACTACTTCAACAATAATTCTTGATACCATTTCTGCAATTCATACCTTGGAGGTGCTGATTCCATGTGATCCAGAACCAGAGTCTACTGAACAACCAGTAATGTCTACTGAAGAACTGGTAATAACAGAAGAGCCAATTTCATCAGAGAAGCCTGTGACTTCAGATGAACCAGTGTCACCAAAACCACCACTCTTATCAAAACCACCACTTGCAACAAAACCACCTGTAACAATTTCAGAAGAACCAGTAATGTCAGAAGATCCAGCGTCATCAGAAGAGGTCGTGACATCAGAAGAGACTATTGCTACTTCAGAAGAACAAGTAACATCAGAGGGGCTAATTGAAAAATCGGAAGAAAATATTTCAACTTCAGAGGAGTCAGTTCCAACATCAGAAGAATCATTGCTGACTTCAGAAGAACTAGTGACTTCTGAGGAACCACTATCATCAGAAGAGGCACAGTCATCAGAAGGGTCAATGGCATCAGAGGAACCAGTAACGTCGGAAGAACAATTTGAAACAACAGAACTACCCGTAGAAACATCAGAAGTATCTATTAAGTCAACCGAAGAAATTGTCGAAACCTCCGAACAACCTATTGAATCGACGGAAACAATCATTGAAAGTACGGAGATGCCCCATGAATCTACTGAGAAATCAGCTACTACACCAGAGCAAGTAACAGAATCCAGAAAAGAGTCAATAGAATCAACCGAAAAACCCATTGAAACATCTAAAGAACTGCTCGTTACATCTGAAGAAGAACCAGTTGAATCCACAGAGGAATATGTGCCATCTACAGACTCTTCACGTCTTCACGAAACAACAGTAGAGGAGACTAATACTTCAACTGATACTGAATCTACATATGGTGAACCAAAACAAGGACTTCTTCAATCAACAGAAATGGACTCAGAATCAACAGAAAAATATGAGTCATCCACAGAATCACAAGTGTTATCAACTCAAGAGCCCCCAGAAACTTCCAGTGCTTCTTCTAAATCTAATATTGAATCTACTACCACAGAAATATACGAATCTACACCAGACGAAGATTCCACTACACCAGACAGTCCCACCAGTAATCCAGATTCTTCTACAGAAAACGACTTGACTACAGAATCAACCCAACCCATATTTTCATCAGAAGAACCCAGTCAAACTGTGGAACAAAGTTGGTCTGAACTTACATCAAGTGAATCTAATCCTCTGGCCATGCTGTCAACCTCACCAGATCTTACTGGTACTTTAACGGTTATCATTACCACTCCGACACCAGTAACTCCTGACGTACCTACTGGTGGAATAGTTACAGTTACCTTTACAACCGAAGTCAATGGATCAGTAATCCAAAGCACCACAACAGTAACCAACGGCACTGGTCAGGGTGGTTCTGCAGGAACGGTTACTTCAGGAACAGGAACAGAAACAGAAACAAGAGCACCAACCAGTACTGGATCCAGCCCCGAAGGACAAGTAACTTCTGCACCAGCTAGTGGCAATCCAACCACAGCTGGAAATAATCAACCAGGAACGGGAGCAACTTCTCAAGCAGTATATTCAACAATTTCTGGTGTTGTATATGTCACTGAAACGGTTCCTTCTGTTTTCACATCACCTGTACCAAATCCACCAATCACACCAGAGGAACAAGGCACTAGTGGAAATCCAGGTGGTAACGGAAATGAGGTTACACCAGAAGCAGAAGAACTAGTAAATAACCCTATTGTTTCACCTGGCAATGAAACAGGTTCGGGAGCAGGACAATCTGATACGGGGGAACGAGTCGTGTCATCTAGCGAAGGGATTGTTGAGATACCCGTAAAAAATCCTGATAATTCTAATTCTGGCAATCCTAATGCTTCACCAGTAGCAAATCCCAACAATCCATCCACATCTGGTGTAGGTGATAATATTAATTCTGAAAATAATTATCTTCAAGTTGATGAGCAAGGTTCTGCAGAACCACTGGGTGCAGGAGCTGGAACTCCTGCTGATTCAGGAAGCAATGATGACAACGTTGATGAACAACTTGAAGTAGATGACCAGAGTTCTGGTGTCTCAGGTGCCAGTGGCCAAGGTGGAGCTGCCCAGTCTAATGCCGGTGAAGGAAACCAATCACAAGAAGTTGCATCTGCAAGTGATGGTCAGGTAGTTCCCGAAGAAGAACAATTGTTAGGAAATGATGATTCTAACCAGGGTTCTCAACTGGAAAATACAGGAGATCCCGAAGGAGATCTTGTGCTGCCAGATGACGAAGACTTCCTAGGAATTGAAACAACTTTAAGACAACAATACCCATCACTGTCTATGGTTTCAGTTCCTACGTTAGCTCCGATTGACAATGGTTCTCCACATACTATAGTTCAACAAGGCTTATTAATAGTCTTTTCTATTTTGATGTACATTAGCTGATTTATGCCAAATTAGAGTATTGTTTTATTAGTGTAACAAAAAAGTTATTAATTATTACCAAAATGTAGAAATTCAAGTAGTTGTCAACCTGCCTAATCGAGAGCCCGAGTTGTTAACCCTGGATTTTGGTGCGAATGTACTAGTTGTTAACCCTTACAGGTTACGCTCCCATAGTAAAAGAGCTTGAGTTGTTAACCCTCATACAAAACTGACCTGGCTTTACAGTTTAGCGATAACACATTTTAGAGGTTGCATTTCTAACTAGTAAAAATTCCAAAATCTTTTTTCGGGTGGTAGCAGTGATTCTCGCGTAGTTTTATAGAATAACCCAGTGCCCAAAAAAATGTAGAAAAACAGAGAAGGGACATATTGCTTACCGGTGTACCGCAGCTGGAACAATTTCGCACCGACAACAAATCCAATATTACACAGTCTATGCTCTTATTTATTTGATGAATCGCAAAGTCTTGTGTGTGATTTCTCGTATAGAGAATTTAAAAAGTTGAAGTTACAAGTGACTGATTTGTTTCACAGGACAGTTATGATCTCTGCTACAATTCCCAAGAATTTTATAACGTTTTTAAAGAAGAAGTGGGGTTATGACTGTGGAAGATATATCAATCTAATCACAAGTGATCCATTAGCCAAGATATTCAATACCAGTACATCATTCAAAGAGAGAGACAGAATTATGGATTATGTTGTAGTTCTGATGAAGAACTTCCTCCAACGAGATGTAAATGATATAGCATTGGTATACTTTGAAAACAAGATTATCCAAGAGAACTACTATAGAAGATTGTGTAGTGAATTTGGAGACAAGTTGATGGTGATGATCAATGCAGACACTGACAATAAACAGGCTAGCTTGCTTCGATTGACTAGAGGTGCACGGGTGCTCTTGGTGACCAAGCTGGTTACTTGTTGCATTGATTTACCACAAGTCAACCATATACTTTTTATAAATTGCTTGGTACCAGTGATTGACTTTCTTCAGGTAACAGGTAGAGGACGAGGATCGTGTATATTAAATATCTTGTATCAAGATTCTGAAGCTATTCATGATTCAAGTGACTATCGCCCATGTGAAGAAAGAATCAGAGTCAGCAAGTGTTTAACCAAACAAGTTGCCCACTTCTATGGTATCAAGGTGAGCAAGTGTCAAAATTGTTGTGATTCCAATGATAGCATTCTTGAGCCACATATAGTTGATTTGGTCAAGAACGTCCATTATGCTACAGAAACCCAATTTAAGGAACTTCAATTTGGAACTGAGCAAGCTCCAGCACGGAAGAAGTTTCGATCATGCACCGCAGAAGAAAAACTTGACCACTTTGCGTTGCAATTTGAACCGGAGGAATGGTTGGAGGAGCTAATTGACAATGGAGCCAAGTATTTGAAGTACCCGTTGACACATATGGATGCACTGCCAGAGTCAGAGTACATCTGCACAAAGTGTTACAGAAAGCATGGTAAAGAGTGCAATAGAGGTGGGTTCAAGGCATTACTAGTGTTGAAATGGATACTCGATGACATAACTTATGATGATATCAAGGACATGAAAGTGAATGGTTGGGGTGATGAGATATATAAGTGGGCACAGAATCATAATTTAAAGCATCTCTACCGCACATACTTGGACAAAGTGGAACAATTTAGGAACTGTTTGCAGGTACCATCTGCATATCTAGTTGAAGGTTATGGTACCCGACTTGACCACTTACGAAAGTTCTTACGTCATCCGTTCTTTTTGAATGAATATTTGTTAGAAGACCCCATTCCAACGGAAGATGCAGGAATATACGAGAAGGCTCAGAGATACGGTGAAGAGTACATGCATGCAGATACAAGGAAATTGATTCAAATGTCGCAGTTTCATAATAATTATTGTCGGCAATGCGGAAATTCAAAACATAGTGGCGAGTGCCGGTATTCCCAAGCCATAGAGTTGTTCTATATAATCTTTTGCATTCCAGCTTTCAGGGATCTTCGAAGATCAAGGCAACTTGGTTTGACGATTAATTACTTCCCCCACTGGCTTGATGCAATAAGCAAGAACGGACATCATATTTGTATACTAAATGACATTTTGGGCCGAGATCGAGTATGGGACTAATACCGTGAAGATACAACAGTAGTTAAGTAAATATATATATGAATGGATAGTTTGTTATATTTGGTCAGGCAGATATGCCATAACTGTAAGAACTAGCCAAGAGTTGGAGAGTAAGCGATGGATAGAAGAATTTCTGGAGAATTACAAGGGCAGAAGGGAGTGTGGAGTAGGTAAGTGGCGGTGGTGCGATCAACGACGTAAGCAGTGGGAGATGGCATTCGATCAAAGGTAATACAAGCTGATCAAGGGAGCAACAGCAATGAGTAGACATGGGAGTTGCTCGAAGAGAGAGCAGAATCTAGCAACCCATACAACATGAATGTGTAAGACGGATGTACAAGATAGCGGGTAGTATTTTGTAGGTTGGACAGTGGGCGTAGTAACACTTAGTAACATATAGTATATTGGTATTTGTGCTAGAAATGGGAAGAGAAAATACTAGTATATATTTTGTAGCAAGATTAGTAAATTTTATAGCAATGTAGGTATGATAATATATATATTAGATATAATTTGTAGGAAAGTGAGAATAAACATAGGAGATATTGTGTGCAGGAGAATGTTGGTAGCGCGGTTACTATTATATGCAGGACACGAAGGTCAGTCATGGAGACGGGAGTCAATGACAGGAAGATGGAGAGAGAACACTAGTTTCTAATGCTCATGGTGATGAGTGCATAGATGCAATATGTCAACAATACTAATCTAGGTTATTTCAGCAAAGTAAATGAGTGATAGTCGACTCATTTTTTATACTAGCTGTTAGCATATTTCGGAGAACCGAGCACCGGAAGTGGATGTTGTTAATGGACACATTAGCATTTGGGGTTGCAGACAAGTGGTAGTAGACACTGTTATGTTAGTAGTGTACAATGATTTGCGAAGCTGAGACCGGAAGTAGGACTGCTTCTAGAATATAATAAGTTCGTGCGCCGCAGGATACACGATAGTATAGTTAAGACAACGAGTGGATATATTGTATAGAGCAATGAGATTAAATTGTTGGGGTAGATAATTGGAAGGAGATATTGTAAGATATGAGTAGAGCGGGTATTTAGCAGAGGGTGATACAGTTGTTACGTAGCAGGCAATTGGAACGAGAGATTTTGACAAGGGGTGGCAGAGTCAGCTTACAGATATTAGAGTATAAACACCAGAGTAGGAGATGTAGATAAGTAGAGAATAAGAGAGCAGAGTAGTGTCAAGTTGTGAGTACACAACAGGTGAAATGCTGATAGGATGATGTAGTTATTGTCGAAGGTGACTATAATATTGGGGGACAGCGAAGTAGAGTAGGGGAAAATAAGACAAGCAGCAGATGGAATATTATGCGGCAGTAAATGTAAAGCAAATATTGGTATACAGAGATGGATTGACAGAGGCGAAACATAAGAGTAACAAGGAGAGAATAGAGACACATTAGAATGGAGAACCGAGCACAGATAGCAGAGGCGGGCGATGTGAGACGAGACATAGCAGGACAGTAATAAAAACACGCGGAACGGATGTTCTTGGAGTATTTCATGGAAGGCAAATATAGATTTGAGCAGCAATTGATCGAAAGATACAATTTCACAAGGAGAGGTAGGATGAGAGTAGAAACAAGGGAGTAGAAACATGAGAGCAACAGCATGAGCGTTTCAAGGACACAGTGGTAAGAACAGAGTAGTAACGAGAATATGCAGGCAAGTAAGAGACCGAAATATCAGAGCGGCGAAGGTGGTTAGCAAACACACGCAGATAGGAGTACCCAGATCAGAGAGCCCCAAAGATTAGATACGGAACGGATGTTGTTGGATATTTTGGGCGAAGGCAAATATATTGTTGGGCCGAAGGCGAGAGGCATAGAGAGTAGATTGTAGAGCCGCAGGCGAGAAGCGTAGGAAAACAGATTGTGGGCGGAAGGCTCAAAGCATCAGAAAACGGATTCTAGAGCCGAAGGCTCAAAGCATAGACATTTCATTCTGGAGCCGATGGCGCGAGGTATCAAGAATTAGATTCTAGAGCCGCAGGCGAGAAGCATCGGCAATTCGATACTGTAGCCGCAGGCTAGAAGCATAGGAAACATCAGTGGACACCCCCATACAGGATGTGGGAACACCCCCATACAGGGGTACTCTCTTATGTTGCGGGTAGGATGTTCTGGGGTACTCTCTTATGTTGCGGGTAGGATGTTCTGGGGTACTCTCTTATGTTGCGGGTAGGATGTTCTGGGGTACTCTCTTATGTTGCGGGTAGGATGTTCTGGGGTACTCTCTTATGTTGCGGGTAGGATGTTCTGGGGTACTCTCTTATGTTGCGGGTAGGATGTTCTGGGGTACTCTCTTATGTTGCGGGTAGGATGTTCTGGGGTACTCTCTTATGTTGCGGGTAGGATGTTCTGGGGTACTCTCTTATGTTGCGGGTAGGATGTTCTGGGGTACTCTCTTATGTTGCGGGTAGGATGTTCTGGGGTACTCTCTTATGTTGCGGGTAGGATGTTCTGGGGTACTCTCTTATGTTGCGGGTAGGATGTTCTGGGGTACTCTCTTATGTTGCGGGTAGGATGTTCTGGGGTACTCTCTTATGTTGCGGGTAGGATGTTCTGGGGTACTCTCTTATGTTGCGGGTAGGATGTTCTGGGGTACTCTCTTATGTTGCGGGTAGGATGTTCTGGGGTACTCTCTTGTGGTTCCGTACG